GCAGAGGGCGAGTTGGTGCGGCCGCTTACGAGCCAACGTCCGGGAGGCCAGCTGGTGCGACGGCGGCCACTGTCAGGGGAACAAGGAGTGACTGCAGCACCTGAGGGCGTGCAGCAGGCAGGGGGACAGCAGGGAGTGACTGCAGCACCCCAGGGCGTGCAGCAGGCAGGGGGACGACAGGGAGTGACTGCAGCACCTGAGGGCGTGCAGCAGGCAGGGGGACAGCAGGGAGTGATTGCAGCACCTCAAGGCGTGCAGCAGGCAGCGGGACAGCAGGGAGTGACTGCAGCACCCCAGGGCATGCAGCAAACAGCGGGACAGCAGGGAGTGACTGCAGCACCTGTGTGCGTGCAGCAGGCAGGGGGACAGCAGGGACTGATTGCAGCACCTCAAGGCGTGCAGCAGGCAGCGGGACAGCAGGGAGTGACTGCAGCACCCCAGGGCGTGCAGCAGGCAGCGGGACAGCAGGGGGTGACTGCAGCACCTCAGGGCGTGCAGCACGCAGGGGGGCAGCTGGGGGCGAGGGCAGCACTTCAGGGCGTGCGGCAGCGGCAGCAGCAGCGGCAACAGCGTCAGCAGCAGCAGCAGCAGCAGCAGCAGCCCCCCCCGATCCCTCCGGAAAGCCCCACACCGGGGGTTGCGGAGAATTCAGCCACTCCTGACACGGCTCCACTTGCTCCAACTTGTGTCCCTTGCGAGTTCTGCTTTCACACATTTCCGCCTGGTGGTGCGGCCTCCCGCCACATAGTTGCATGTAAAGCGGCAGATGCTCAGCGGCGGGCTCAGGCCCTTACTTCCTCCCCGAACCTGAGCGAGGTCTTCGGGGCAGATCCAGTACCTCCGCGGGATATCGGCGAGGAGGTGTGGGGGGCGGTGCCTTCGTGGGACTGGGAGACTTTTTTCAGTATTCATTCTGTGTCGGGAGAGCTTCTTCGTCGGGTCCCGCAGCGGGCGCGACTGGGGGTGCTTGATGCATTGTGCTGCATTCTCAAGAGACTGAAGGCTTCCCCTGGGGATGAGGCGGCGACGCTGATGTTCCTGGCCTTCCCGCGCCTCATTTTGGGAGTCCCCGCGAAGGAGGGTCTTGGACGAAGGGCAGCCATAGTAGGGCGTCTCGGAAAGTTCTGGGCAGGGGAATGGCAACAGCTGTTCGAGGCTGCCTCTGCCGCGTTGACTCCGGCGGCGCGACCTCTTGCCTTCTCCTTACCTGAGCGAGATGCTGATGCCATCCGTTTGGCCCGATGTCGCACGAGGTGCCAAGTGGGGGAATGGAGTCGAGGACTAGCATGCCTTACTGCGGGCGACTTGGCGCAGCCCTCTCAACTAACAGTAGACCAGCTGACAGCAAAGCACCCGGCCAATGAGGTGCCAGTTCCTGAGTGGGTGGAGCACTTTCGCATAGACGTTTCTCATCTTCCCCACCTAACTGAAGACATCCTCAAGCATGCTATTCATTCCGCAGCGCGAGCCTCAGCACCAGGCCCCTCAGGATGGATGACAGAGCACCTCCGAGACACATTTCTCTCGGAGCCTTCCTATCTCCCGCATCTGTTGGAGGTGTTCAGGCAGTGGATTTCGGGATGCGTTTCTGAGCGGGTGCGGCCCTGGCTTGCAGCCTCGAACTTGGTTGGGTTATCCAAGCCGAACGGGGACGTCCGCCCAGTGGCTATCGGAGAGGTGCTCCTTCGGATTCTGGCGCGTGCGTTATGCGTTCTTCTTCGTCCCGACATGGAGACCTACTTTGCTCCTTGTAACCAACTAGGGGTGGGGACTAAGTCGGGGGTGGAGATTCTGGCGCATGCTTTCCGCTCGGCTGTAGCGGTTCATCCGACGTGGTGCGCGCTGCAGATCGATGTAGCGAATGCCTTCAACTCGTTCCATCGGCACGTGATGTTCGACGGCCTCCGCGATTCTCCTTTTGCTGGCCTTATCCCTTTCTTACGCGTCTTTTATGGGGTGCCCAGCGGTCTGTACCTTCGCACAGGCCCCTTTGTCGAGATGCTGGCGTCCGAGCGGGGTTCGCGACAGGGGGATCCATTTGGTCCCTTCCTTTTTGCTTTCACGCAGCAGTTGGTTATGGGGCCTACAATGAAGGATTTCCCTGATCTTCTTTTCTTGAGCTACGCTGATGACACCTACGTTCTTGGCCCGCGGGAGCGGGTGTTGGCGGCGTACGATGTCTTGCGGGAGCGACTGGAGTGGGTGGGCTTGGAGGTGCAATCGCACAAGTGTAGGATGTGGGAAAGAGGGGAGGCGGCAGCGTCTGGGGATATTCCGCTGGGAATGCAGCAGTCGTGGACGGGGTTAACAGTGGTGGGGGTACCTATTGGAGAGGAGGATTGGGAGGTGGCGCGCTTGAGGGAGAGACTTTTGCAGCTGCGATCACCTCTACCTTGGCTTCCTATTTTGAACCACCCCCAGATTGCCTCCCACTTGTTGGCTGTTGCCGTGTCTGCGCGGCCGCTCTTCTTGACTCGCACTGTTCCCCCTCGTCCTGAGGTTCTTGACGCTTTCAGAGATTGGGATGGGGCTTTGGAAGAGTGCTTTGAGCAACTTTTCCCGCCAGACACTTGGGACTTCAGTCCTGATAGGTCGCGCATGGCTCACCTGCAGCTGCACCTCCCGGCTCGTTTGGGCGGGTTTGGCATTCGTTCAGCAGCAACTCTTAGCCCTCTCTCTTACGTCTGTGGGTGGTGCCAGGCTGCGAGTGCTGTTGTCAAGCTGGGAGTAGCGGGCGAGGAGCAGATGTTCAGTGAGTTCTTCCGCACTCCGCCGGCTGGGGATTTACTGGACCCTTGGTTTACCAAGGCCCTTGACCAGCTCCCGCCTGTTGTCAGGCAGGAATTGCCGAGTTTGGGGCTCTGCACTACAAATCCCCCCCTCCAGCTTTTCCCAGCGCAGCAGCGTCGCTTGGCGGTTGAAAGTCTTCAGTCTCTGCGGCGCATGGCCCGCGATGATGCTACCTTGGCCCGTTTGACTTCCCTTCAGGGCCCGGGTTCGGCAGCATGGGTGTCCGCAGTTCCAGCGCATGATGACGCAACTTTCACCCCTGTGGAGTGGGGCATTTCGGCGGCAATCCGTTTGGGCCTTCCCGTCCACCAGCTTCTGGTTGCTGGCAAGTGTGTTTGCGGTGTGGAGTTCAAGGACCCGTCAGATCCGCACCATGCTCTTCGGTGCAAGTACCAGTACGCCTCGTCTCGTGTTCATGATGCAGTGAAGCTCGTTGTTGCTAAGATAGCCAAGGCATCGGGTGGGGTGGTTACGATCGAGGATGACACGCTTCTGCCGGGGAAGAGAGTGGATGTGGCGGTTAGGAAACCAATGGACGGGGAAAAACATGCGCTCGAGGTGAGCGTCGTGGATCCGGTTTCGCTACCGGTGCAGCAGCATGGGCAGTGTGGGCGGACAGTAGGTTTTGCTGCCAAGGAGCGAGAGAAGAGGAAGGCGACGGATTATCAACCTTTTCTGCGGCAGCACAGGGGGGTTCGTTTCTTCCCGTTGATTCTTGAGACTTGGGGTTGCTTGGGGGGAAGCTTTCGACAGTGGTTACGGCAGCAGGGGGAGGTTCAAGTAAAGGTGGCTCTTAACAAAGGTGTGGGAAGGGGCAACAGCTCGGGTTTCTCGGAATACTTGGTGGGGTCCTTGACAGCCGCGGTAGGGCTAGCTTTGCAGAAGGCACAGGCTCGGGTGATTCTTTTGCGGGCGGCATACACGTTGGGTCAGTCCGAGGCGGAGTGGGTGGAGCGAGGGGGTGGGGAGCAGGAGTTTGGAGAGGGAGCACCATGGGTGGACGTGCCCTACTTGGTCGACATGCGGCTGTAGATGTCTTAGGAAGCAATACTTTGTTTCGGGTTTTGGCGATGGTCTTTTGATGTTTGAGGTAGTAAGACACTTCTAGGAAGGGTTTATGCATGTCTGTATGCTTGTTGAAATGTAATTTTGACATTAAAAAAAAAAAAAAAAAAAAAAAAGGAGAAGGAAACAAAAAAACGGCAAGCGAAACTGGTCCGCCACCTCCGAATCGCGCCCTCAAAACGTCCGAGAGATGTCGAGACAGCCCTCAAGCCGGTCAAGGCGCCGCGACGGCGCAAAAACTCGTCAAGCAGATTCACATATCTTCCTTGAGAAGCGATTCAATACAGTATAAAGCAATATCTTAAGGGGAGGTAAAACGTTTTTAGGATATTGAGTGAAGAGTGAGTGGTGGGATGCTAGCTTGGTTCTAACAGCTGATTTGTGTGTACCGTATGTCTGGATTGCATGGTAATCAATACGTATCTGGTTGGAATGTGGAATGGGTTGGATGAGTGGGCTTCTCAAAGGAATAGGCAGTCTTCTGTAACCATGGGAATTGAGAAAGCTTGCTTTCTTATTTTTATCAATTGGCATCGTTCTCATTACAACTGGCTTATTACAACATTTGCATCGAGATTGAACACAAGCTAGTGCATGCTAATATCCCTATCTAAGATGTACCCTATCCAAGTGGCATTAGCAAGGCGTTCTACGCTGGGGTGGGTGGTGGGGATGTTGAGTGAGCCGTTTGAAATAGAGAAACGTGGGTGGAGGGAAATGAGCTCCAACCCACGGTTTTTGTAGTTGGAGAAGGGCGTTTAGCGCGCTTCGACGATGCCAATTGTGCAGTACAAGCAGCTTCGCTTTCACAATACACAATTTTAAAAAACACAATGTGTGTTTAAAAATTATAATTTCTTGTGAAGTCAGGTGCATGCATGCGTAGCACTCATTCAGCAGGTAAATATATAAAACGCACAGGGGGAAAGGTGAGCGAGAGGAGAATGCATAGCGAGGCATAAAGTGGGGGCTGACCAGAGGACAATAGTGCATGCATACACATAAAGTACAACTGAAAAAAAAATGACGAGCAAAGGGCGTATCAGTGAAAGAATTGGGGGGTGGGGCCAACCACAGTGTTATGAAGCCCAGGGGGCACACATATAGCGAGTACACCTAAACGCGTGTAACAGCGACAGCAGGAGCTACCGAGAGGAGAAGGACTTGCGGGGCATGAAATGAGCCCTGACCACGGGGTAATGCAGCCCCCGCACCCACACCCCCCCAGGCGCCCACTGCACCTCGTCCCACGCCAGGCCAGACTCGAGGATCTGAAACGGAAGAAGGGGGTATGGGAAGAGCAAGGGCAGACGAGTGATGATGCAGTTCCCAGGCACACCCACACCCCCGCTGGTGCCCACTGCACCTCGTTTCATGCGACCCAGACAGGAGGCGGAAAAGGCAAGGGCGAATGCGTGACCAAGCATCCCCCAGACGAACCCACACCCTTCCTGGCGCCCACAGCACGCCACGCCAGGCCAGGCCACTCCGGCGATCTGGTTGGCGAATGAATCCCCGATGCGGAAAGAGGTTGCGAATGAATGTTGCAGGAATTCAATACTGGGTTGGGGAGAACGCAACAAGTGCACTACCTTGGTAATGGCAGAAGGGAGAGGGCAGCCGTGGGAGCGGAGTTGGTCGAGAGGGAGAGGAGGAATGCACTGGGTCCAGCGGTACGTGTCTCTCGGCCCCTCGCCCTTCCCATGGAGGTGGGCGAAAGAACTCTGGCTGACACACTTTGGGGCTGAACCCACTGGGATTCTAAGGGCGTGCGTACCTTGGTGAAGGCAACGGGGAGAGGGCAGCCGTGGGAGCGGAGCTGGTCGAGAGGGAGGGGCGGGACGCACTGGGTCCAGCGGTACGTGTCTCTCGGCCCCTTGCCCTTCCCATGCACGTGCGCCAACGCACTTTGAGGCAGCACCCACTGGGTCTCAGGGTTGGCGCTGGTGGTGCCTAGGACCCCAGGAGGAGAGGAGAAGAGGGAGAAGGATCGTTTTGAGCCACTCAGACTGCCCCCTCCTCCTCCTCCTGCTGCTGCTCCTGCTGGTGTTGCTGCTGCTGCTAATGATGGAGTTGCAGAGGAGTTGTTTGTGTTGGCAGCTGCAGCATCAGCTGCTGCAGGGCTGCTTGTTTGTGCCTTGGAGGGGTGCGCTGCTGGTATTTCTGGGCGCGTCTTCCCTTCTCCGTCTGCTGCTTTGCTCTCTGATCCTCCCTCCTTTAGTTTCTCCTTCGCTCCCTTGTCAGACCCCTCGGCTCCCTCTCCCTCCTCTGCTGCCCCCGTCTCTCTCTCGCTCCTCTCCCCTGCTCCCCCACCTTGCTTCTCCTTTTCCCCTCCAGCATCCACCCCTCCTTCCCTTACTACACCAGCAGCACCAGCATCCGCAGCAGCAGCAGAAGCAGCAGCACCACCGTCACCAGCAGCAGCAGCATCCGCATCAGCTTTGGCACCGGCAGCTTCAAGCTGCATATGCTGCTGCTGCTGCTGCTGCTGGGCCTGGGAAAGTGCTACAGAGTAGAAGACCTTGCGGGCCGACACGGGTTCGTAGCTCAACTCAAACCTGCAAGGGTGTGTGGAGGAGAGGAGGCAGGGGAGGGAGAGTGTGAGTGTGCATGCGAGTGTCAGTGGGGAGGTGCGCCTGCTGCTGCTGGGCCTGGAAATCCGCGTGTAATGAGTCAAGTTTTGAGTTGACTGAAAACTTGTGTGCATGCGAGTGTCAGTGGGGAGGTGCGCCTGCTGCTGCTGGGCCTGGAAATCCGCGTGTAATGAGTCAAGTTTTGAGTTGACTGAAAACTTGTGTGCATGCGAGTGTCAGTGGGGAGGTGCGCCTGCTGCTGCTGGGCCTGGAAATCCGCGTGTAATGAGTCAAGTTTTGAGTTGACTCAAAACTTGTGTGCATGCGAGTGTCAGTGGGGAGGTGCGCCTGCTGCTGCTGGGCCTGGAAATCCGCGTGTAATGAGTCAAGTTTTGAGTTGACTGAAAACTTGTGTGCATGCGAGTGTCAGTGGGGAGGTGCGCCTGCTGCTGCTGGGCCTGGAAATCCGCGTGTAATGAGTCAAGTTTTGAGTTGACTCAAAACTTGTGTGCATGCGAGTGTCAGTGGGGAGGTGCGCCTGCTGCTGCTGGGCCTGGAAATCCGCGTGTAATGAGTCAAGTTTTGAGTTGACTGAAAACTTGTGTGCATGCGAGTGTCAGTGGGGAGGTGCGCCTGCTGCTGCTGGGCCTGGAAATCCGCGTGTAATGAGTCAAGTTTTGAGTTGACTCAAAACTTGTGTGCATGCGAGTGTCAGTGGGGAGGTGCGCCTGCTGCTGCTGGGCCTGGAAATCCGCGTGTAATGAGTCAAGTTTTGAGTTGACTGAAAACTTGTGTGCATGCGAGTGTCAGTGGGGAGGTGCGCCTGCTGCTGCTGGGCCTGGAAATCCGCGTGTAATGAGTCAAGTTTTGAGTTGACTGAAAACTTGTGTGCATGCGAGTGTCAGTGGGGAGGTGCGCCTGCTGCTGCTGGGCCTGGAAATCCGCGTGTAATGAGTCAAGTTTTGAGTTGACTCAAAACTTGTGTGCATGCGAGTGTCAGTGGGGAGGTGCGCCTGCTGCTGCTGGGCCTGGAAATCCGCGTGTAATGAGTCGAGTTTTGAGTCGACTGAAAACTCGTGTGCATGCGAGTGTCAGTGGGGAGGTGCGCCTGCTGCTGCTGGGCCTGAAAATTCGCTACAGAGTAAAAGACCTTGTGCGCCAACACAGGTTAGTAAACGTGCGAGCATGTACTCCACAACTCAACACGGAAGACAATGGGCCTATGAGACGCCTAAACGTGCCCCTATGGGTCTGCTTTGCTGTACTTTTCATGAGTCGTCTGGATGAGTCAAGAAGACCCTTGGGCCTATGAGACGCCTAAACGTGCCCCTACTCTCACCTGTGCACCCACCCACCTGTGCACCCACCCACCTGTGCACCCACCCACCTGTGCACCCACCCACCTGTGCACCCACCCACCTGTGCACCCACCCACCTGTGCACCCACCCACCTGTGCACCCACCCACCTGTGCACCCACCCACCTGTGCACCCACCCACCTGTGCACCCACCCACCTATGCACCCACCCACCTGTGCACCCACCCACCTGTGCACCCACCCACCTGTGCACTCACCCACCTGTGCACCCACCCACCTGTGCACCCACCCACCTGTGCACCCACCCACCTGTGCACCCACCCACCTGTGCACCCACCCACCTGTGCACCCACCCACCTGTGCACCCACCCACCTGCGCACCCACCCACCTGTGCACTCACCCACCTGTGCACCCACCCACCTGTTCACTCACCCACCTGTGCACCCACCCACCTGTTCACTCACCCACCTGTGCACCCACCCACCTCTGCACCCACCCACCTGTGCACCCACCCACCTGTGCACCCACCCACCTGTGCACCCACCCACCTGTGCACCCACCCACCTGTGCGTGGCTGTTTCCAGGTACAGCACTTCGGCTCGCTTGAGCCGTGCTGAGGTGAACTGAGGCCGCTTCAATCCGTGGTCGGCAATAATGGCCATCGAATACTTGAGCCTGGTGGGTTGGGTTGAGAGGGAGGTAGGGTGGAGAGAGAGGTAGGGTGGAGAGAGAGGTAGGGTGGAGAGAGAGGGCAGCGTGGGGAGGGCAAGGATAGAAGCTCAGATCACTTAGGCCGCTTCAATTCAAAGTCTGCAGTTATCAACATCAAATACTTGAGCCTGATGGGTGGGTTAACATGAGGGGGGAAACGAGGGAAAGGGGGAAAGAGAAGGCAAGGGAGGAGGCTCATTCCATGGAATACTTGAGCCTGATGGGTGGGTTGGGTTGGGTTGGATTGGGTTGGGTTGGGTTGGGTTGGGTTGGGGAGGGAAAAGAGAGGGTGGCGAGAGAGAGAGCGGGCAGGGCGGGGAGGGCGGGGAAAGAGGCGGTGTGTACTGAGGCAGCTTCAGCCCGTGGTCTGCGATGATCACCATCGAATACTTGAGCCTGGTGGGTGGGTTGGGGGGACGGCTCAGGGGAGGGTGGGGAACGAAGCTCAGAGTTATACTGAGGCAACTTCAGCCCCTGGTCTGCACTGATTGCTACTGACTTGACTATCTGTGTTTGCTCCCCAGGGCTTGTTGACCAGGTGTGACCTTGTTGACCAGGTGTGACCTTGTTGACCAGGTGTGACCTTGTTGACCAGGTGTGACCTTGTTGACCAGGTGTGACCTCGTTGACCAGGTGTGACCTTGTTGACCAGGTGTGACCTCGTTGACCAGGTGTGACCTCGTTGACCAGGTGTGACCTTGTTGACCAGGTGTGACCTCGTTGACCAGGTGTGACCTTGTTGACCAGGTGTGACCTCGTTGACCAAGTGTGCACCAAGTGTTGACTCACCAGGGCTCATTACAGAGGTTGCACCGTAGAGTGACGTCGTCGACTGCTGTGATACAAACACTCGTGCCTGTGAGTGCTCTGATCGATTGACGCGCCTCAAAACACTGACTGGGTTTGAGGGGGGGCTCAGCTCACCAGGGGCTCGTTACAGACATTGCACCAGGGCTCGTTACAGACATTGCACCAGGGCTCGTTACAGACATTGCACCAGGGCTCGTTACAGACATTGCACCAGGGCTCGTTACAGACATTGCACCAGGGCTCGTTACAGACATTGCACCAGGGCTCGTTACAGACATTGCACCAGGGCTCGTTACAGACATTGCACCAGGGCTCGTTACAGACATTGCACCAGGGCTCGTTACAGACATTGCACCAGGGCTCGTTACAGACATTGCACCAGGGCTCGTTACAGACCAAGTGTGCGGATTGACTGGGTTGGGGGAGCTCACCAAGTGTGCACCAAGTGTTGACTCACCAGGGCTCGTTACAGAGGTTGTACTGTAGAGTCACTTCTTGCACGAAGCGCTGGTGCCTGTGCGCGTTCTGGTTGGTGGAGGGAGGGCGAGGCGCAGCAGCAGGGTACACAAAAAACGGACTTGGGTGAAGTGAAGTTTGGTAATTTAGTGTGCATGCACCATAAGAGGGGTGCAATAAATGTGCACTATAAAGGGGATGCGGTATTTGTGCATGATAAGAGAGATGCACTATCCAATTCATGCACTATGCAGGCACTTGGCGTGGTGTGGTGTGAATCATGGTCACGAGGTGACCTGGAGCTGGGGGTGGCGGTCATGTGCTCACCCTCTCACACATACACTCGACTCGACGCGTTTTTTTAAGCGCCTCAAAAGCCGGGGGTGACAGTCATGTGACAGTCATGTGCCCACACATACACTCGTGAGGCGGGTTACTCTGCGAAGACTTACGCGGGCTATTGCGCTCACAAGCGGTCCCGCCGATTCTTTAAGCCTTCTGCACGCACGCAGCTCACTGAGCTATGTCTGGATCTGGCGCCTCAAAAGCCGGGGGTGGCAGTCATGTGCCCACCCTCCCACACATACACTCGACGCGTCACACATGTGGAGGCACGTACCCGCACGGAGGCGGAGGCGCGGGTGGTCATGGTGCATTTGCGATGTGAAGGCCACAAACGGTAGAGGCGATGATCCCTCACATGTGCCCACAGAGGAATATCATATCATCATACATGAGTGAAGGGACGTGCCCGCACGGAGGCGGACGCGCGAGTGGCCATGGTGCGCTCGACCGCTGCGGGAACGAGTGGTGTGAGTCATGGCACCAAAAAAACGATGCACAGACAGGGCTTTCCCCTCACACGTACCCGCACGGAGGCAGAGGCGCGGGTGGTCATGGTGCGCTCGACAGCAAAGGAGTGCCCAGGAGAGCAATCTACAGGAGTGCACAGGCCCCCCTCACACGTACCCGCACGGAGGCAGAGGCGCGGGTGGCCATGGTGCGCTCGACCACTGCAGGCACGAGCGTTGGTAGGGGCCCACTGGGGGCGTGCGGGCAGAGATGCTTGAATGCCCGCACAGAGACATGAGAGGTGTGACAGCAGGCACGTACCCGCACAGAGACATGAGAGGTGTGACAGCAGGCACGTACCCGCACAGAGACATGAGAGGTGTGACAGCAGGCACGTACCCGCACAGAGACATGAGAGGTGTGACAGCAGGCACGTACCCGCACAGAGACATGAGAGGTGTGACAGCAGGCACGTACCCGCACAGAGACATGAGAGGTGTGACAGCAGGCACATACCCGCACAGAGACATGAGAGGTGTGACAGCAGGCACGTACCCGCACGGAGACATGAGAGGTGTGACAGCAGGCACGTACCCGCACAGAGGCGGAGGCGCGGGTGGTCATGGTGCGCTCGACCGCTGCTGGAACAAGCGTGGGACCCACTGGGGGCGTGCGGGCAGAGGAAGCTTCCAGGTCGATGCTGGTGCCGTCGAGCTGCAGCGTGGGAGAGAACGAGGGAGAGGCGGGGTGGGAGGGTGGGGGGGGGTAGGGGAGGCGACGCTCAAGGTGTCGCACAGCAAGCTACATTGTGTCTTTGTGACGTCGTAAATCTCGATTGAAGCTGCCAGGTCGATGCTGGTGCCGTCGTGCTGCAGCGTGGGAGCCAATGGATTGGATTGGATGTTCTCTCCCAGTCGGCAGGCACGAGTGGATGTTCAAGCAGTTCAAGAAACTCTCAACTCGTAAAAATCCTAGTCGAAAAGAAATCCCCTGAGCTGACTCAGAACATCAAAGGCTCGTGCTCCTACCTTGATGATTCTGCAGCTTTCTACTGCATAGCTGCATGTGCCCTTGCCTGACCCCCATGCCCGAGACCTCATGCTGTTGCGCGAAGAGGAGCGGTAGGCTGGGAAGTGGAGAAGGAGAGAAAGGGGGGCAGGAAAACATATTGCATGAGGTGAATATCTAGTGAATGACCCCCATGCCTGGGACCTCATGGTTTTGCGCGAGGGAATGATAGGCTGGATGGGGGAGAGCGTGGGAGGGGGAAGGCGGAGGAAAGGAAACAGATCACATAGAGGCGAGGTGAGTTTTGGGTCGACTCAGAACTGCCCCTCATGCTGTTGCGTGAGGAGGAGCGGTAGGCTGGGAGAGTGGGAGGGAAGTGGGGCCGGCGAATCGGATTACAAGAGGTGGATTTCGTCGACTCAGAACCGATCCCACGCCATCATGATGACATCATGCTGCGGTGCGAGGAGAAGTGGTAGACTGGGAAGGGGGAGGAGAGGAAACGCATATGTCCACACGCATGTGTAAGAGACACGCATGCACACACACTTGCACGCGCACGCCCACACACGCACGCACACACGCATGTGCACACACGTACGTGCGCGCATGCAAGTGGGCTGTGTCAAGCACTGGTACAGTCAGAAGGCTTACATGGCTGACCTGGCAAGAGCTATTGACAGGGTAGAAGCTGCTGACGTGGCATGACTCGCATGGCTGACGTGGCAAGCCATGTCTCTGAGGTGGCATCGCTTACAGGGCTGAGGTGGCAGCACGCGAATGGTTGCTCGGAGCTCAGCTATGGATGCTGGTGGGGGCACTGAGACGGGTGTGATGTACCCCACATGCATCAGCACTGCGGGAGAAATGGAGGGAGATGGGGAGCGAAAGGGGGAGGCGGGGTAGTCTAAAATTGTCTATGGATGCAGGTGGGGGCACTGAGACGGGTGTGATGTACCCCACATGCATCAGCACTGCGGGAGATGAGGAGGAACAGGGGAGAAAGCACGGGAGGGAGTGGGAGAAGCAGGGGATTTCCACTAAAGACTTGGCTGCGGATGCTGGTGGTTGGGATACTGAGTTCGTGTCCGTGGGGATGACATGTCAACATGGCAGTGTCAACACGAAGCGCGCGGAATTTGGAGTGTCAAGCACTGTACCTTCAGTGTCAAAACGAAGCGCAGCACAAAATCCTGCGACGCAACGTGATTGGTTGGGCACGAATTGTTGCAAGACCTTGCAGTCGCACAAGACTTTACATCCACACGCGATTTCTTGCAAGACCTTGCAGTCGCACAAGACTTTACATCCGTCGATTGGGCAGGTGTGGGTAGAAGGAATTCTCGATCCTACCAGTTAGTTGGCTGGATGGAGGAACACGATTCGCAGAACGGGATGTCCGACTAAATTTACTGGCTGGCAGTTTTCATGTCGTTGACACTCTGCCAACAATGTTGGCAAGTGTCAAAACCAGAAGTTGACACTCACAAGCTTGACATGTCATCCCTACGGACACGACCTGAGACTGGTGTGATGCACGCATACCTGCAACGATGTCCGAGTCGTCAGTGTATATGTCTGTGCCCCACAGCTACCTTAAAAGATTCACGGCATGCATATACATGTATGCGTGCGTCTAACATACCTGCGACAATGTCCGTGTACACGTCGGTGCCCCACAGCTGCCTTTATAAAACAAATGAATTATAACTTACGTGAAATGTGTCAGTGTACATACCTGCTACAATGTCCGAGTCGTCAGTGTACACGTCCGTGCCCCACAGCTGCCGCGACCGCACCTGGCGGTTGGCAGTGGTGATAGATTCGGGCGGCACCGAGATCTCCACTGCCGGCTGCTGCTGATACGCCCCTGCTGCTGCCGCCCCTGCTGCTGCTGCGGTTGGTGCTCCAGGCAAAGGACCACTGGCGGCAGCAGCAACGTCTGTAGCCGTGGCAGCAGGAGCAGAGGCAGCACCAGCACCATCGGCTGCAGCAGGGCCATCATGGTCCATAGGATCATCCTTCCCTCCTTCATCGCCCCCCTCCTTGTCGCCTCCGGACTCCCCTTCAACCCCAGCCCCCAGTTTCCCACCAGCAGCATCACCACCAGCGTCACCAGAAGCAGCAGCAGAAGCAAGGTCGGAGTGCCGAAGCATCTTGGAGAGGTCCGGCATGCCCTCGCCCTCTCGGTACGGGAAGAGCGGCGGAGGCTCGGCGGCTTGTGCTGTGCTGCAGAGGAGGTGGGGAGAGGGTGGGGATTGGCCGAAAGAACGGGTGGGAGAGGGCTCGTGTGCTGCATTTAGACTGAAATATCAACTCGTGTGCCACATTAAGACCAAAATATCATCTCGTGTGCCGCATTAAGACCAAAATATCATCTCGTGTGGCGCATTAAGACCAAAATATCATCTCGTGTGCTGCATTAAGACCAAAATATCATCTCGTGTGCCGCATTAAGACCAAAATATCATCTCGTGTGCCGCATTAAGACCAAAATATCATCTCGTGTGCCGCATTTAGACTGATATATCATCTCGTGTGCCGCATACGAATTTCTGAGGCACCGCAGAACCTGTTGTTTTTTAGTCAATAGGGCAATGGTAGCAGGTGCTGCACGCACCGTGTCTCGTCCATGGTAGGAGAACTTCGGAGGTGGTTCAGTTGGAGGGAGGAGGTTCAGTTGGAGGGAGGAGGTTCAGTTGCAAGCAAACATGAGTATGAGGGGGAGAAGGAGAAAGGGAGATATGGAGGGAGGAGGATGGATTGATGGTAGGTGGATGGAAGCAGCATACACTGGCAAGCACATTCAGCGAACAAGGGAATACACACCCGTCCTTCGATTTGTTGAACCTTGACCGTCCATCTCGCCCGATCTGCCCGACCAATCGCGGCCTGACCTGCCGTCGCGACCGCTCCGCACTGGGGACGCTCGACCCGCCCACGTGGCCGTCCTTCTCGGCGCCAAACGCGCCGCCATCTGCCATGCGCAGACTCTGCGACTCCTCGCCGCGCTCCTCCCATTTCGCGTCGCGGCCTCTCTCGCTGTCGCTTATTCCTCCCTCGCTTGTCACCTTCTCCGTGCGGCCCTTGTGCCCTTTATCCCGCTCGCGCTCTCGCTCCCTATCCCTATCTCTGTCCCGATCCTTCTCTCTCTCTCCTGCTTTTTCCCGCTCTCTGTCTCTCTCTCTGTCCCTCTCTTTGTCTCGCTCGCTTTCCCCCTGAACCGATCTGAACCGTACTCTTTCATTCCCCGCATCCCGCGGCGGCCGGTGCCGGCCGAATCCGCTGCCGCCGGATGCGGCCGCGCCGGCGCCGCCAGACTCGTTGTCCGTGTCGTGATTGGCGGAGCCGAGGACACGTGGCGGATGCACGTGCCTCGTTGGGGTATCCCTATCTCTATGCTTAGCCATTTCCGCTACGGTTACGAACAAGACACCACGTCATAAGACAAGTGAAAAAAAATGTGGGCAAGAATGGGGAAAGGAAATAGGTCAACTGGAAGCTCGTCAAAATCGGAGGAGCTTGTCAATGGGATAACTGTGGAGGCTGAAATGCGAAACGTGAGAGAGGCTGCCCGTGATAAAGCTGCCCGAATCGGTGTTTTTTTCTCCCCGAATGGTTGATGGTAGGTGTCAAAGCTGACCTATTTGTTTATGAAAAAGGTCCAATTCTCTACAGAGATTAGGTGCTATCCCACTTCAAAACACATATTTTCGGGGAACTGCGGGTGAAAACAATATCCGTCATGAAAACACCATGCGAAGAGTTTGGCCATTTCGTGAACGCCACATCTAGCGTTTGTTACCATACATTTGTCCCAAAAAAGAAAACCTCCAGAGCTTGATTAGGTAGGTGAGGAGTAGTTGCGGAGTTCCACAGATGAAAATGGGAAGGATAGAGAGCAGTGAAAGCGCGTCCGCAAAGTTCTTATCAGACGTTTGTTCCTGTGAGAGTTCCCTCGCGAATTGCGTGAACAGAATTAGAGAGGGAATACAGCTTATTGTTACCCATGGTCCTCATTGAGAGGTATGAGGTATTTCGTAACCATGATCGGTCGAAAACACCAAAAGCACATGGGAATTAACGAATGACAGGTCTTCTTAGTCAGCGTGACGGCGTATTGAAGCAAATAGCCTGCTGACATCTGAGCTAAGTTCTTCCAGGACGAATGAAGCGATGAGAACCGGGCCTCGAGTTAAGAAGAATGAAATGTCGGAAAGAGGAAGCACTTCCGGGTTGCACGCTTGACAGACTTGGATAACGCAGTTTTGCACATCTTGCAAACAAGCAAACGAGATCATACTAGCTAGAGCGGAGGCACTATCGGTATCCAATATTCTAAGAGTTACGAGATGGCTGAGTTAAAACATAAAAAGAAAAGGCTCGGAGCAAGGAGTCCGCTTCCGACTGTTACGAGCTCCATCGGCCATGGCTGCCAGTCATGATCACGATATGAGGCGCAACGGCAGTACTGGAGAACGTTCCTTGCTTGCTTTGCAGTCTGTGTGTCTCTGCGATGAGAATCGAACAGAACGTAGGTGAACTGGAACGTGGAAACTCCTACGCGTACGTCATGAAAAGTATGTTATTGCGTCGAAGTGATGTGAATATGCATCAAGCACGGTCGAGTCTGGTCTGGTCCGGTGGCAACTGTAAACTCAAAGATGAGGTAAAACTATCCTAAGATAATACAATTCTGTCCATGGCCAACAATGCAAAATCCACAAGTTCGTCGCACCAATATTCAGCCTGCAAAGTCTGCCTTCCACTTTAAAATAGCCAGTTACAAAACGCCTCATAAAAAAGTGTGGACGCCGACTAGTTCATATATTCATAGTAATAAATATCTGTGCTTTTGTCTACACTACAGGTGACCAACTAGGGGCACCCTGACCCGGCGGGCAGATCCATTTGTTTCCATTCCACATGCACAAATTCGGCGGGGGTGGGGGCGGTGGTGGACTGGGGGGAGGGGGAGGTGAAGGGGGACGAGGAGGGGGAGGCGAGGGGGAAGGGGGAGGAGGAGGGGAAGGCGAGGGGGGAGGCGGGCTCGGGGGAGGCGGGGAGGAGGGAGGAGGAGAGGGCGACAATGGTGGCGGTGAGGGGGGTGGAGCAGTAGGGGTGGTTGATTGAACCTGCAGGGTTGAAGTGGGAGGGGGGCTAGGAGGTGGGCTTGGGGGAGGTGGGCTAGGGGGAGGAGGATTGGGTGGGGGGTTTGGGGGAGGGCTGGGAGGAGGTTGAGGGGGAGGGTTAGGGGGAGGGCTAGGGGGCGGTTTAGGGGGAGGACTAGGTGGGGGGCTGGGAGGAGGTTGAGGGGGAGGATGAGGGGGAGGGCTGGGGGGAGGTGGGCTAGGGGGAGGGGGATGAGGAGGGGGGCTTGGGGGAGGGCTGGGGGGAGGTTGAGGGGGGGGATTTGGGGGAGGGTTAGGGGGAGGTGGGCTAGGGGGAGGGGGGGTAGGTGGGGGGCTCGGGGGTGGGCTGGGGGGAGGTTGAGGGGGGGGATTTGGGGGAGGGTTAGGGGGAGGTGGGCTAGGGGGAGGGGGGGTAGGTGGGGGGCTCGGGGGTGGGCTAGGGGGAGGTTGAGGGGGGGGATTTGGGGGAGGGTTAGGGGGAGGTGGGCTAGGGGGAGGGGGGGTAGGTGGGGGGCTCGGGGGTGGGCTGGGGGGAGGTTGAGGGGGGGGATTTGGGGGAGGGTTAGGGGGAGGTGGGCTAGGGGGAGGGGGGGTAGGTGGGGGGCTCGGGGGTGGGCTGGGGGGAGGTTGAGGGGGGGGATTTGGGGGAGGGTTAGGGGGAGGTGGGCTAGGGGGAGGGGGGGTAGGTGGGGGGCTCGGGGGTGGGCTTGGGGGAGGTTGAGGGGGGGGATTTGGGGGAGGGCTAGGGGGAGGTGGGCTAGGGGGAGGGGGATTAGGTGGGGGGCTTGGGGGTGGGCTGGGGGGAGGTTGAGGGGGAGGATTAGGGGGAGGGCTGGGGGGAGGTTTAGGGGGAGGGCTAGGGGGAGGGCTGGGAGGAGGTGGGCTAGGGGGAGGGGGGTTAGGTGGAGGGCTGGGGGGAGGGTTGGGGGGAGGTGGGCTAGGGGGAGGGGGTTTAGGTGGAGGGCTGGGGGGAGGGCTGGGGGGAGGTGGGCTAGGGGGAGGGGGGTTAGGTGGGGGGCTTGGGGGAGGGCTGGGGGGAGGTTGAGGGGGAGGGCTAGGGGGAGGGCTGGGAGGAGGTGGGCTAGGGGGAGGGGGATTAGGTGGAGGGCTGGGGGGAGGTGGACTAGGGGGAGGGGGATTAGGTGGCGGGCTTGGGGGTGGGCTGGGGGGAGGTTGAGGGGGAGGATTAGGGGGAGGGCTGGGGGGAGGTTGAGGGGGAGGGCTGGGGGGAGGTGGGCTAGGGGGAGGAGGGTTAGGTGGGGGGCTTGGGGGAGGGCTGGGGGGAGGTTGAGGGGGAGGACTAGGGGGAGGGTTGGGCGGTGGTGGGCTAGGGGGAGGGGGGCTAGGGGGGGGACTTGGGGGAGGGCTAGGAGGAGGGCTGGGGGGCGGTTGAGGGGGTGGATTTGGGGGAGGGTTAGGTGGAGGAGGGCTGGGGGGAGGGGGGTTAGGAGGGGGACTTGGGGGAGGGCTTGGGGGAGGTTGAGGGGGAGGGTTCGGGGGAGGGTTGGGGGGAGGTGGGCTAGGGGGAGGGCTGGGAGGAGGTTGAGGGGGAGGACTTAGGGGAGGGCTGGGGGGAGGCTGAGGGGGAGGATTAGGGGGAGGGCGAGGGGGGCGAGGGGGGGGTCGAGGAGGTGGGCTTGGGGGAGGCGGTGGTGGGGGAGGCTTGGCTGCATTGGGGTGGGGGGAGGGGAGAGGAGAGGGGAGAAGAGAGAAGGCAAGGGAAGGAGAGGAGAGAAGAGCACATACACAAGGGGGAAATGGGGGGGATGTGCAAGGGGTGGGTAAGTGGAAGATGTAGTAAGGATGAGAATGAACATGAAAGAGTCAAGGTGGGTTAGTGGGAGATTCAGTGGGGATGAAACAAGATGAGAATTCCGGGGACACAGCCTTCTCTTCAGAGGCGATTTTGAGAATTTTTAAAAGCAAAATCCCGGGGACACAGCCTTCAGAGGCGATAATTGAGGAGCCTAACAATCGACACAGTCTTAAGAGGCTTGGAAACAGATTAGACTAGGCTTGGGAGCATAGTTTCTACGGGCTTGGAAACTGGCTGAGAGACAGGCGTCAAAAGAAACGAAACGACAGCCTTGAAGTGACGTAGTTTTTGAGGCGCCTTAAAAATCACCTCAATGCACGCGAGTTTCCTACGGGCTTGAAAACAGGTTACAAGAGAGGCGCTTAAGGAAATCGAAACTACAGCCTTGAAGTGATGCGTGAAAAGTTTTCTTCAGCTAAAGAGTCTTCCTAAACTGCAGCTCTCCCAGTCTTCATATCTGAAGGTCAAAAGACAGGTGCTTAAGGAACCGAAACTGCAGCCTTGAAGGGACGCGTGAAAAGAGACTGGGCGCACATGGTGTTTGCACCGAGGTGTTGAGAGTGGTAGTTAGTGGTCTGAATAGCTCTCATTGATAAGAGTACTCACCGATAATAGCACAGGACATGCCGTCTGGGGTTGGCAAGGCAATATCGGCCGGGCAGTTGCATGCAAAGGTCACTCTCCCAGTATCCACTGCCGCTGCTTTTGACGCTGCTGCTGGTGTGCTGCTCTGCTTCCCACTCTTACTGCCACCCTTGCTGGCACTCTTGCTGGCGGCCGTGCTACTATCAGCTTTACCACCCTTCTTGCTGCTGCTGCTGCTGCTGGTGGTGGTGCTGTTGCTGTTGCTGCTCAAACTACCTCCGCCAAGCCCACCACTAGCGCCACCAACCACCCCACCAGCCCCAGCACTTGCAACCACAGCCTCGCATGTACCCAGCCCGCCACACTGCGCATTCTCCTGAAACCTTCCCGAAGAGGTCATATTAGTGGAACAGAACATCTTGCAGGCAGTGGCTTCTTTCTGCACTTCAGACGAGCAAAGCGGGGCGAGCGTCGCGTCGAAAACGACGCAGTTGCCGCCCAGGGCGAGCGTCCGGTCGGCGGACTGGCAGAGCGGGCGGCCTTGGCTGTCTGTTATGTGGCCCGGGCCGTAGAAGAAGTTGTGGGTGAGATCAACGGTTGAGATCTGCTCTGTGGAGGGGAGCAAGGGAAGCCCACCACTGAAGTAGTTGCGAGATAGGTTACTGGTGGGGGAGAGGGATTGGGGTAGAGGGGTTGGGGAAAGGAAATGGAACAGAGGTGAGGAAATAAGCAATGAGAGAGAGAAGAGGTTCGCGGGGCAAGGTCTGAGTCGCGTTCCGCCCCAGTCGGGGTGGAAATCAGCTGGTTTGGATCCACAGCACGCCTACTAAGAGCGAACTAACTCTACTATACAAGGTGGGGAATAAGCGATGAGAGAGAGGAGTTGTTTCCGGGGCAACGTCTGAGTCGACTCAACAGTCCATCGGTACGACCGTACGAACAGGATACTTACAGCGAGCGAGGAGGGAGGGTTTGCTAGTCGACAAAGAAAGTGACTCAACGGTCAACCGATCTGAACAGGATGCCTACAGCGAGGAGAGGGAGGAGAGGTTGGAGAGTATGGTGTCTATCCGGCCACTCAGTGCGTTGTTGCTTAAATCGCTGGAGGAGGGAGTGGGAGCGCATGGGGGAGAGGGGGAAGATTTGGATGGGAGGACGATGCTTTGTGGAGAGAAGGGAGGAGAGGTTGGAGAGTATGGTGTCATTGCGGCCACTCAGGGCGTTGTTGCTTAAGTTGCTGGGGGAGGGAATGAAAGGCGATGTGGGGGAAGGGGGGAGGGTGACGATGGGGCGAGCAGAGAAGGGAGGAGAGGGAGGAGAAGGAAGAGAGGTTGGTGGGTACTGTGTCAATGTGGCCACTCAGGGCGTTGTTGCTGAGATCGCTGGGGGAGGGAATGGGAGCAGATGGGGGCGGGGGGTGGCGGGAGATGATGGCGGGTGGAGGAGCCGGAGAGGGGCGGGAGGAGAAGGGAAGAATGGAGGGAAAGGTTGGAGAGTTCTGAGTAGGGTGTCTAACCGCAGAAGAATTTTGAGTCGACTCAAAACTCGACTCACTACACGGAGAGGTAGGTGAGTACTGAGTAGGGTGTCTAACCGCAGAAGAATGAGGTGCTTGTGCAGAGGCGACTTTTGAGACGTCTCAAAAGTGTCTACCGCACAGAAATGAGGTGTTAGTGCAGAGGCGCTCACAAGTTCAGAAGGATGCAGCAGTTGTTGACGATGTTTGTTTGTTTGTTTGTTTGTTTGTTTGTTTGCTTGCTTGCTTATCAATCGCTCAGTTGGCAGTGCCTTGGGATTGTTCACCCAAGGATAAGAGGCGCTCACAGGTTGATGAGGGTGGAGCAGTTGGCCAGGGCAGAGGGCAGCGATCCCACCAATGCATTGTCTGATAGATCGCTGCAGAGAGGGCAAAAGGAAGGGGAGGAGAGGTGGTGTGAAGGCCGACTCAGATGGCTTTTGATGCGCCTCAGAAATGGCGGTGCAGTTGGCAATGCAGTTGGCAATGCCAGAGGGCAGAGATGCTTTTGGCAATGCTTTTGAGGCGCCTCAAAAGTTGGCAATGCCAGAGGGCAGAGATGATTAAGAATTCTCTAGAGAATGGATTCTGCAGTAGGCGAGGTTACGATAGATCAATGCAGAAGTTCCACGTGGGCATTGTCTGATAGATCAATGCAGAGAGAGGAGGGATGGGGCAAGGGAGGAGGCAGAGAGAGAGGAGGACGGAGAGATGGTGCATGAGTTGACTGAGATGGCCAGAGGGCAGTGAACCCACAAAGGCATTGTACTCAATAGACTCACACGGTGTGAAGATTGGCCATGGCACTGCCACAGAAGGAAGGCAGCGTGCCTGCGAGAGCATTGTAAGAGAGGTCCCTGTGGGGGGAGAGGGGGAGTTGGGGTTGAGATGGGCAGAACGGAGACAGGTGAAGGGCAGGAGAAGGGGGAAAAGAGGAGGAGGAGGAGGAGAGCAGGAAAAAGTAAGCAAATGAGCACTACGTAACACTAAGCATAAGTAAACACATCAGCACAGATATCAGTTAAACATAAGCAAGAGTACATACAGCTGAAGATGCATGATACACTTACAGGTACGAATGCACTTACAGGTACGAATGCACTTACAGGTACGAATGCACTAACAGGTACGAATGCACTTACAGGTACGAATGCACTTACAGGCACGAATGCACTTACAGGTACAAGAGTATCATCCATCCATGAATGCACATACATCCGTGATTACACTCACAGGAACACCATGTTGGTGAGAGAAGTCATGTTCTCTGGCAGGGAGCCTGAGAGGGCGTTGCTACCAAACATAGGGATGTAGACATGATAACTCCGTGATTATCATCCATCCATGAATGCACATACATCCGTGATTACACTCACAGGAACACCATGTTGGTGAGAGAAGTCATGTTCTCTGGCAGGGAGCCTGAGAGGGCGTTGCTACCAAACATAGGGATGTAGACATGATAACTCCGTGATTATCATCCATCCATGAATGCACATACATCCGTGATTACACTCACAGGAACACCATGTTGGTGAGAGAAGTCATGTTCTCTGGCAGGGAGCCTGAGAGGGCGTTATGATCGAGCTGCCTGCAAGTAGAGAGGGGCATGTGAAGAAGAAGGGTAGAGAGGGGCATGTGAAATTCATGCATGGAATGGAATGGAAATAGGACGCGACTTTGAACTGAAGTTCGAATGTTGCCCCAGTTACACATATAGATGGGATGTATTGGAAAGGGGAAGAACATCAGTGGTGAGCTTGCTTTCAGTATGGATGTGTGCGTTCTTGTTTGTTTTTTGAGTCGACTCAAAAGTCAACATCGAGCAGTGATGCTGGGTGACTTTTGAGTCGACTCAAAAGTCAAGTGTTAGGGTGCTCTCATGCAGCGATAACTCACAGGAAGCCGAGTTTAGACAAGGCAGTGATGTTAGCAGGAAGGGAGCCTGAGAGCTGGTTGCCACTGGCGGAGCTGGTGGAATGCGGGTGGGAGAGGTTGAACTCGGTTGGATGCGGTGAGAACAACACAAACGCAGGCGATGAAGGACTAGGTAGTGATGCTGGAATGGAAGGGGCCTGAGATCTGGTTGGAGCACGCAGAGCTGGTGTGGGAAAGGTTTGACTCGGTTGAATGCGGTGAGAAAGACACAGAGACAGCCAAATTTGTGTTCAAGGCCTGGAGAGAGGGAGGCTGAATGCACAGGTGGTTGGTTGGGGGCAGTACACCCTGGTAGGTGAGGGAGAGGTGACTTTTGAGTCGACTCAAAAGTCACCTGGTTGGGGGAAGTACACACTGGTAGCTGAGGGAGAGGAGGCTGGATACGGTGGCTGGGATGGACCCTGAGAGGACAAAGATGCTGAGAGGCCTGAGAAGGCAAGTTGACTCAAGAGTCATCTCTTGAACAAAGGGCAGGCGGCACGCACAGGTAGCCGAGGGAGAGGAGGCTGGATGCGGTGGCTGGGATGGACCCCGAGAGGGAGGTTTGACGGCTCTAATGCATCCCTTGAACCGAGGGCGGTACACACACGTAGGTAGCTGAGGGCTCTAGGCACATGTATGTAGTTGAGTTGAGGGCAGCACGCACAGGTAGCTGAGGGAGAGGAGGCTGGATATGGCGGCTGGGATGGACCCTAAGAGAGAGGAAGAGAGTTTTGACGACTCTAAAGCATCTCTTGAAGGGCAGTACACCCCCCCGCACACACAGACAGACACACAGACACGTAGGGCCCTACGCACAGATAGCTGAGGGAGAGGAGGCTGGATATGGTAGCTGGGATGGACCCTGAGAGGACAAAGATGCTGAGAGGCCTGAGAAAAGGCAGCTCATAGGAGGCTGAGGGAGAGGAGGGCAGCACTCACAGGTAGCTGAGGGAGAGGAGGCTGGATACGGTGGCTGGGATGGACCCTGAGGCTGAGAGGGAGGTTTGACAAGACGGCTCTAAAGCTGCACATGAACTAAGGGTAGTACATACATAGTCAGCTGGGGGCAGTACGCACAGGTAGCTGAGGGAGAGGAGGCTGGATACGGTGGCTGGGATGGACCCTGAGAGAGAGTTGGCGTTTGCGAAACTGCAGCAGGGGAGAGAGAGGGGTGAAACAGGAGCAAATGAAAGGGGGACGAGATGGGTGGGAAGGAGGGTTGATAGCCATTGGACAGAGAAAGATGACAATGAGAGTGGGAGTGGGACCGAAAAAGTGAGAGTGAAGAGAGGAGGGTGAAAAGACGATGGTGATGAGAGGACGGCGAAAAGAGGAGGGAAAAGAGGTGGGGGGGTGAGCGGCAGACATACAAAGATCCGAATAGTGGTCGAGAGAAAGAGAGAGCATTCCCATAGTGGATGGCAGAGTCTGCTTTTGAGTCGACTCAGAAGCAGGGGTGAGTGGCAGACATACAAATATCTGAGTCGAGAGAGTTTTCCCATAGTGGATGGCAGAGAGCCCGAGATCTTATTGTTGCTCAGGTACCTGATGGGACGAGATAGATAGATAGGGAATGAAAAGGGTCTGGTCAAGCAAGAAGGCGACTTTTGAGGCGCCTCAGGAGTTTGCTAATGGTGGATGGCAGAGAGCCCGAGATCTTATTGTTGCTCAGGTACCTGATGGGACGAGAGAGAGAATGACATGCAAGAGGCCAGGATTGAGGTGCAAGGGTCAAGTCAGGCATGGGTTGCTGTGATGTGAGTGCCCATGGATCAAGTCAGGCGGGAGAGTTTGCTAATGGTGGATGGCAGAGAGCCCAAGACCTTACTGTTACTCAGGTACCTGATGGGATGAGATAGATAGAGAGGGAATGAAACGGGTCTGGTCAAGCAAGAAGGCGACTTTTGAGGCGCCTCAAGAGTTTGCCAATGGTGGATGGCAGAGAGCCCGCGACCTTATTGTTGCTCAGGTACCTGATGGGACGAGAGAGGGAATGGCACGCACGAGGGATGCAGTGGATGCATCATGGATGCCGTGGATGCATCATGGATGCCGTGGATGCATCATGGATGCAGTGGATGCATCATGGATGCAGTGGATGCAGTGGATGCAGTGGATGCATCATGGATGCAGTGGATGCAGTGGATGCAGTGGATGCATCATGGATGCAGTGGATGCATCATGGATGGGTCAGGTGAGGTGAGGCACGTGTTGTTGTGTTGTTTTGAGACGCCTCAACACATGCACGAGGCACGTAATCCCCTTTGGATGCATCATGGATGGGTCAGGTGAGGCATGGGTTGTTGTGTTGTGAGTCAAAGCAAGAGGAGGAGGTAAGATTACTGTATACTCAGGTGCCATTCTCAGTGAGGTTGGAGATTTCAGAGTGTACCTGTTAGGCCCCTCAGAAGAAAACACCCAAATGACTCACAGCCAAATGACGACTCACAGCCAGATAAGTTTAGAGAGAGATCTGATCTCAGATGGGATTGAGCCAGTGAGGGAGTTGTTGCGTAGGCCTTTGGGGCAGATCGAGGTAGGGGTTGTGTTTTGAGAGCTGACTCAAGGCACGCATAGGGACTCACAGCCAGATGAGTTTTGAGAGGGAGCCGATCTCAGATGGGATTGAGCCAGTGAGGGAGTTGTTGCGGAGGTCACTGGGGGCACAGGGTTGGGGAGAGAGAGAGAGAGAGGAGGAATGCTGGGAAGGGACGATTGGGGGTACAGAAAACGGTGAGCTGGAAGGGGTGGGTGAGGGCCGACAGAGAGTTTCTGTGGATTTCACTCGGGGGTTAGGTGCGGGATGAAAGGGATGTTATGTCATGCTGGTGGGAGGGTTAAAAGACCGTGAGAATGGGAGCCATCGGGAAAGGAAGCAACAGAAGAAGGCACGTGAGGAGGAGTAACGGAAAAGGGCATGATTCACATTAGCTGCAGAGCCTTCACACACGAGAGGGAGCCTGCGATGGATCCTGTGAGCTTTGATCCGACTCACAACCCACAGCAGCAGGAGTGACTTTTGAGAATTCTCAAAAGTCGCACGAGAGGGAGCCTGGGATGGATCCTGTGAGCTTAGACTCGACTCACAACCCACAGCAGCAGGAGGAGGAGAAAAACGGCATGTCTAGAGCACATTAGTGAGGTGCAACGCACGCATGGCATGACTCATCTGCTGTACTAACTCACACAACTCACATTAGCTGCAGAGCTTGCACGCGAGAGATGGAGGCTGGGATGGACCCTGTAAGCTGGTTGCCTCGCAATGAGCTGACGAGCAGAAAGGGAAGGTAATAAGAGGAGGGGGCTGAGGGATAGTGAACACTTGTAGAAGGCAGTAGCCAAGACAGCATGGCTTAGGGAGAGGTGGAAGGAGAAAAGGTTGAAACTGTTTCGTCATATTAGACGCACAAGAAAGACAACTAGTGCCGGGTGAGGTGGAAGGAGAATAACAAAAGAGAAGTAAAAAAATGGCATTGTCACAGAGAGATTGTAACATTCGAAAAAAAAAAAAAAAAAAAAAAAAAAAAAAAAACACCAACAGTCTTCAAAGCGTTGAGTAATGAATGAAAAACTAGTTGCAAGTAAGAAGAGGAAGATTCTGCGATGGAAAACAAACTCCTAAAACATACGCACAGGTAGGAGAGGGCGGACATAGTCGATATTTGTGACGGGATTGGCCCATCCAGCCGATTTCCGTCCATCCGGCTGGAAGGGAGAGAGCGAGGGAGTAGTATATGGCAGGACAGGCGATGAGCAGGTGTGGGTGTAGCATATAAAGAGAGATTAACTTGAAGATGTGACGATACCAGAGAGGGGAAGGGAAATATCTGAGCTACTTCCGAGATTTCGCAAGAGTAACTCTGATTCCATAGCGGTGACGGGAGATGTGAGGAGCAGGAGAGAAGGGCAGGGGCGGAAATTGGGGGAATGAGAGGAAAGAAGGGGAATGACAAGCTAAGTGGAAGGCAGGGTTGATCGATCTAGGAGGTGTTGTGCGTTTTGTGTGACAAATCTCACTGCACAGAAGATGAATAAATGTGTTACGATATTGGAAAAGAAGGTTAGTTTGGGATGGCAAAGCATCTTCACTACACATAAATTTGCACGGCAAAGCATATATCGAAAGAACAGCCCAGCACACCACAGAGGTGACTTTGAGTCGACTCAAAAGTCACCTCCAGCACGCCACAGCACAGCCCACAGCAGAGGCCACAGCACAGGCCGATTGACAGCACAGCACAGAACAGTCGACAGCTGCTGTTTTCATAATGTCTGACGAAGCCTTTGAGAATTCTCAAAAGCGACAGCTGCTGTTTTCATGATGTCTGACGAAGATAATTCTTCTTACATGAAGGTGAGAGAGGATAACCGGGAGATGCCAACAGGTAAGCTGCCGGTGAGCCTGTTTTGAGCCATGTTGCTGTGGCAGGTAGGGCAACGGGATGGGGCCGTACAAAAAGCACTTTGAAAGAAGTCTCAGGTAAGCCTAGGAGAGGCGCGAGATGCCAACAGGTAAGCTGCCAGTCAGCCTGTTTTGCGCCATGTTGCTGTGGCAGGGAGGGCATGGGAGCATGTGGTTGGGACATGGAGAATGGGATTATGAGGAATGGGGAGTATGGTAAATGGGGAGATGGGGAGTGCGAGCATGGGAGTGTGTCGGATGGAGTTAGAGAATTCTACAAAAACGCCTGCAAAAAAAAAGGACGGAGCGTGAGTGGATAGAGGAGCACACACAAGACATTTTTGTGGGTTTCCATTAACTAAGGACCCACCAAGATTGCTGTTCCTCACTGGTGGTTGGTTGACATGTGACGCTCTTCAAATCCCATTCCGAGGCAAATCAGACAGAATGCAAGTCTTACAGTTGCTGCAGTGCTGTCAGCAACGTAATCCCCTTGGGGAAAGTCCCTGAGATCTGGTTGTTGCTCAGATGGCTGAAGGAGTGAGTGAGTGAGTGAGAGGAGAAGGCTAGATGTTAGTGAGCGTGTGGATGTAACTTTGTGACAAACACCGGTGGATGAAGAAGTGGAGGTGTATTGAAATCACTTTGGAGAATTCTCGAAAGTGACTTATGAAATCACTTGTGAGAATTCTAAAAAGTGGCTTTTGAAATCACTTTTGAGAATTCTCAAAAGTGATAAACACCGGTGGATAAAGAAGTGGAGGTGAGCAGCAAGACAGGTGTCAGGAGGTGGGTAATTTTTTTAAGGCAAAGATGAGACGTTAGTGAGGATGCTTTGAGATATCTGACCCCTAACAATAGGGAAACGATTGGAGTACAGGGGAGGTGAGTGTGGCAATACAGGGAGGTGAGTGCGGCAATACAGGGAGGTGAGTGTGGCAATACAGGGAGGTGAGTGCGGCAATACAGGGAGGTGAGTGTGGCAATACAGGGAGGTGAGTGCGGCAATACAGGGAGGTGAGTGTGGCAATACAGGGAGGTGAGTGTGGCAATACAGGGAGGTGAGTGTGGCAATACAGGGAGGTGAGTGTGGCGTTGAGAAGGGAGAGGGTGGAAGGGATGGAAGTGACATTGTTGCCTGCAGACCTGGCGTGAGAGGAGGGGGAAAGAGGAGGGAAGGAGGGGAGCGGGAGGAGGGGAGGAGAAGGGAGGAGTGAGAGGAGAAGGGAGAAGGAGAGAGAAGATACAAAATTTTCGGGACAGACAGATGCTCGTTTCAGCACAAGAACGTACGAATGCAGGCTGTAGTGCTGAGCTGGTGTGAGAGGGGAGTGGGGGAGTGGGGAAAGAGGAGAGAAAGGCAACCACGCACGGTGCCTTTCCCGATGTGCTTGAATGTAAGCAGGGGAAGGCGAGGGAGGGCAGTGAGAGGGCGCGACATGTGAGGAATAAAGAGAAAAGGGGCGAGGCGACAGAGGAGAAACTGTAGTTCGAGAGAACGGGAAGCGAGAGGGGACTGACAAGAAGGCGAGGGAGGGCAGTGAGAAGGTGCTGACACGTGGGGGATAAGGACTAAGGGAGAGAAGCGACAGAGGAGAGACTGCAGTTGGAGAAAAGGCGAAGCGAAAGGGCACTGACAGGAAGGCGAGGGAGGGCAGTTCGCCAATGGCGTTGGGGAGAGAGCCGTTGACCCCATACAGCGTGCTGCAGGGGAGACAACCGGGGTGAATGGGATGGGGGGACAACAGGGTGGCGGGGGGGACGACATGGAAGTGAATAGTGGGAAAGGGAGAGAGCCGTTGAACCCGTAGAGCGTGCTGCAGGGGAATCGGCCGGGGTGAATGGGATGGGGGGACAACAGGGTGGCAGAGGGAAGGAACGACCTGGGTAAGATGGAATGGAAGTCAAGAGAGGGAAAGGGAGAGAGCCGGGTGGTTCCGTAAGAAGTGCTGCAGGGGAGATGACCGGCGTGGTGGAGGGTTGTGCTTCGAAACAATGACATGACAGTGGTATGGTGACAGGGCATGGGGAGACAGAGCGAGAGAGAGAGAGTCATGAACTTACAAAGCATACAAACAATGTAACTCACAGCGCAACAACGTATCCAAGGTCGTCGCAGATAACCCCAAAGAGCTCGTCGCAGCTCTTGGCGCTCTTCCAGTACGCCTTGGGGCTGCGCGCGGGGTTGGTGAAGTTGAGCTCGTTGCGGATGCGCAGCAGCGTCTTCCCTGCAGGGGCGGATGGAGGGGAGGAGCACAGGCATGCATGAACTGGCAGGGACGCATTGCACAAGGGGAGGCACCATGGCCTGGCGTCATGGGGTGGTATCCTTATCATGTCGCAAGAAGTTCTTCCAGTGCGCCTTGGGGCTGCGGGCGGGGTTGGTGAAGTTGAGCTCATTGCGGATGCGCAGCAGCGTCTTCCCTGCAGGGGCGGATAGAGGGGAGGCATGCAGTGGCATGGAGCGGGTTCGGGCATCGGAAGGGACACTGGGAGTGGTCTGGAGGGTCTTCTGGGAGGACGGGGAGAAAGGGGGAGGGAGCGCGAGCGGGAGGGGGTGGATTTGTGGGTGGAGGGGGAACAGATGGACACAGTTGATGACTTGAGCAACTTCTGTGTCTCCTAATGCAGATTTGACAGCAGAACGACGAGCCGGGACATATGCAGCGAAATGACGTCGTTGCTCGATTTGAGCGACAACCCTGTACGTGGTAACCAGAAAAGGTTACAGACTGGCTCGTTAATGGAACCTGTCAAACGTTTGCAATCGGAGGAGCAACGACAGTATTACACGAACAGTCACAGACACAGCACTACGGACTTCGGGGGGATAAACTACATGGTAACCCGGTAACCAGGAAACGTACAGTCGGTTCCGTTGACGGCTTGAGCAAACGCGGTCTGCTGCTGCAGGGCTACTAGCGACAGAAGAAACACGGCCGCCAGCAACAGACTGAATCGCGGGACGTGGAAACGACACGTTCTCACGTCCCTCCCCATTTCCCAGCGTATGCCGTCTGGACTTCCCATTTCCGAGGGTACGCCGTGTGGAATCAGTAACTACTCGAGCCGCGACGTCAGCAAGAAAAACACGTTTGGTACACCGCGCATTCTCGCGAGCCGACTAGGCGGCGGATGTGCGGATTCTCTAGAAAGGAAATGAGTGTACGCGATGGAAACTGACGCGATGGTCGTAATATGACACGCTGAATGCGCAAATGACCGGAGCGTCCAAATTGGCGAATTTAGCCAAAATGAGAGCTAGCGCGACTCCCTCGGAAAGGAATGTCACATAACAGCGGTGTCAACTCTTGAATGTGTGACTAGCGAGGCTGTCTCGTCCACGTTGAATGGGGGAATAGTCAGCGAGGGAAGCGGAGCGGATGGAGTGGGCAGGGAGGGATTGGCTAGTAGGTAATGGCTCGGGAGGGAATGGCTAAGGAGAAAGCCTCGAAGTCGAAGCGTGGAAGACAAAGGCTCCTTTTTATTATCCTGCCAAGATGGAAACACGTCAGAATATTTTTTGAACGCCATCATATTCCCCATGGCTGTAGAAATGCAATCTCTAGGGAGAGACAACCTGGCGGCCAATTTCTGACAAGCATTTGCAACAATGGTGGAAAGGTTTGAACACAGAGGGCAAGAAAAGAACAGCTGCTCCTTACAGCAAATCTCTTCATCACATACAAAAACCAAATTGTTTTGCTCCATGATTTCAGCATGTTTTTTCACAAAACCGTGTAACATTTCTGTTTGCGCCAGAAAATGGTTGTCGCATGGGAGGCACGGCTGTTGTACAGTGCATTGTATCGAGCTGTCTGACTTTGTTTGACAGCTGCCCACTGCCCAGCGCCTCCTTTTCAAGCATGGCACCAGCTTTTCTGATTCGCGAATCAGCAAACCCGTTGAGCCCACACTCTGCCAGTAGGCTCCTTGTTCCACATCACCGCTTCGGGATTGCATTCCGTACATTCACCTACATCAAATTTGACAGATACATTAGCTTGTATAATTTTCATCGTAGAAAAGTGGAAACTTTTATCGCAGGTTATAGTGCGAAGCTTATATAGCATATATTGGAGCAGCTGCGCTGCAAGCAGGAGGATACCTGACTCAAAGCTGAGAGCTATTCAGGGAAAGCGTGTACAACAATGGAAGCAGTACTTTCCACCGCGTTCCACTGAATAGCGTTTAATTCACGCGGATTGGCCGTCCAAACGCTAGTGTGTCCGTTCAGACTCGCCCTGGGCGTACCTCGCTGTTCATCCCGTAGAGTCCGCATCGCATCATGCGTGCACCATAGCCTGCTGTGACACGGTTCAAGCGTTGCGTTGCGCGAGAGAAGGAGGATAATCACGCGATACTACCTTCCAGACATTCGCTTCAAGAACCACGCCATTGGTCGGCCGCTCCTCAGGACATCCTATACCATGTCACTTAGTGCAACTATCCAAGCCGCGGCAGCATGTCGTCCCTAACGGTTAAGGAGATCAAGCGGACCTTTATGATGGAACCAGCTCACCTTGTGACAATGAATGGGACAAAAAGGACGTGTCGAAGCAGCTAATAGGAACAAGGAGAGCCGACTGAGTGGCTTTTAAGCAATATGCGCTGTAGCAGGAGATGCTGTAGCGGGACAACTCGCTGCGTTATGCACTTTACTGGAACCCACTGTAGCGGGGGAAATTTCACCAAAACGCGTAGTAACGAAACGCGCTATTCCGAGATTCATCGTAGAAGCATCGGGTCCCCTTCCCTGGTGCCTCGTGGCATGTTCCGCGGCAGCTCCTCGCTGCTGCTGCTGCTGCTGCCGCCGCTACTAGTGCTTCTCCTTCCCTCGTGCATCGGACCGCCTGGCGCCGCTGCTGTCGCTGTCCTCTACCCGCAATGTACGTACGTTCGTCTCTGATGTTGTTATGAGTCGACTCAAAACACGCCGCTGCTGTAGCTGTTCTCCACCCGCAATGTCCTCTACCCGCAATGTACGTAGACTCTGCTCTTGTTTTGAATTCTTGACGCTGTAGCCCGTAGATGGTACTGCGTTGCTGCTCTTGCTGTTTCCTATCCGCAATGTGATCATTCTGCACTCTTGGTTTCAACTCCTTTATAAGACAGCTCGCTGAGCTCAACTTGTGGTCTCCTCCTTCTGATACACATACTTTTTACCATGCGCATTACACCACCCCTAACTAGTGGCTAGCTAGTAAATCCTGACACTATACCACAACACTGATCGCTTTTGTTCACCTTATAATCCTTGGTTGGTTGGTCCCTTGCTAAGTTTGCACAACACCAGATTTCCAGCTACGTGTCTCCAAAGCCCCTTCCTCTCCTCCCCTATCCGCCGATCATCCCCGTTACAGGGCTGGCCCTCGTTTCGTTAAGAGACGGGCTCACGTTCCTGTACCCTAGCCGCAGCCCGAAGGCATTCTGGACCAGCCGCTCGGATTGCTCCCTTCTCTTTGGGGCCGGCTGCGACTCCCTCGGGAACGTCGTGTCTCTGTGAGTGTGCTGTGCCATGCTGTTCAAGGCTGCCTGCGGCTCACGTTCCTGCACCCTTGTCGCAGCCCCAAGGCATTCTGGACCAGCCGCTCGGATTGCTCCCTTCTCTTTGGGGCCGGCTGCGACTCCCTCGGGAATGTCGTGTCTCTGTGAGTGTACGGCTTGGGGAGGAACGTGTGTCTCTGTGAGTGTACGGCTTGGGGAGGACGTGTGTCTCTGAGTGTACTTAGTGTACCATCAAGTTTTTATGTTGATTGGGACACGCTCGGATCGGACCGCTCCCCACTTTTTGCGGCTGGCTGCGACTCCCTTGGGAACGTCGTGTCTCTGTCATTGTACCATCTCAGGAAAGACGTTGTACCATTGTGTCATTATTGATGAATAATAGGGACACACACGGATTGCTTCCTGCTCTTCTTAGCTGACTATATCTCCCTGGGAACGTGTGTTGCCGTGAGTGTACACACCTTTCGTCATTGTTGGTATATATTTGTTAGAAATTTAACGCTGTGTCATTCACGTGAGTCTTCGGTCCCTTACTCTGAGTCTGCTCCAATCTGCTCTTCTCTGCTCTGCTCTGGTTTGCCCTGCTCTGCTCTCCTCTGGTCATTAACCCAAGCAGGTCTCTGTACGATGCGATTGGGACGATCCCGACTGCACTGGGTGACTTGACAGCCCTACGATCGCTGTGAGTGAGCACACTGCACATGTAACGCGCCCCCCAAGCAGATCTCTTTTGAGTCGACTCAAAAGCACACAGCACACACACGTAACACGCCCCCCAAGCAGGACCCTGTACGATGCGATTGAAACAGTCCCTTCTGCACTGGGTGACTTGACAGCCCTACGATCGCTGTGAGTGAGCACACGGCACACAGCACACAATCATATACACTAGTTTTTATGTTTATAAGCAGATGTATATTGCAATGACGCAACTATTAATCACCACCTCGCGATGTTGCCTCTACAACGCACATTCTCACTTCACATCACACACCCTCCCCCCTTCCCTCCCCAACCACCCCTGTCTGTTTGCCATGCCATTTGGCCGGAATTGCCAGCTTCATCCCTCCCCAGCTTCCCAGCCTCCCAGCATCCGAGCTTCCTTCTTTGAATGGCTTCATAATCAACCCCACTCAACCCCACCCACCCACCTACCCCTGCCCGCCATGCCACCAAAACTGCAATCGGAGTCACCCCCACCCTCTCAGCCTCCATTTTTTTGTTGACTCAAAGATCGCCCCCACCCCACACTTTACTTGGCACACCCTCCTTCCCCCCCATTTCCCATAACCCCCTCCTTCCCCCCCATTTCCCATAACCCCCTCCTTCCCCCCCATTTCCCATAACCCCCTCCTTCCCCCCCATTTCCCATAACCCCCTCCTTCCCCCCCATTTCCCATAACCCCCTCCTTCCCCCCCATTTCCCATAACCCCCTCCTTCCCCCCCATTTCCCATAACCCCCTCCTTCCCCCCATTTCCCATAACCCCCTCCTTCCCCCCCATTTCCCATAACCCCCTCCTTCCCCCCCGTTTCCCATAACCCCCTCCTTCCCCCCATTTCCCATAACCCCCTCCTTCCCCCCCATTTCCCATAACCCCCTCCTTCCCCCCCATTTCCCATAACCCCCTCCTTCCCCCCCATTTCCCATAACCCCCTCCTTCCCCCCATTTCCCATAACCCCCTCCTTCCCCCCCATTTCCCATAACCCCCTCCTTCCCCCCCATTTCCCATAACCCCCTCCTTCCCCCCCATTTCCCATAACCCCCTCCTTCCCCCCATTTCCCATAACCCCCTCCTTCCCCCCCATTTCCCATAACCCCCTCCTCCCCTCTTCCACACCCACCCCCACCTGCCGTGCCACCAGAACTGCCAACGGAGACATCCCCAGCCTTCCGGCTCCCACAATCGAACATCCTCACTTTACTTCACACACCAAACCCCACCTCCCCCCCCCCCCCCCCCAACCTCCCCCACCCACCCACCCCTGCCTGCCATGCCACCAGAACTGCCAACGGAGACATCCCCAGCCTTCCGGCTTCCATGACACAGCTCACCTCGCTAACACTCCTGTAAGGGGCTGAGAAGGGTTGGAACCGTTGCAATGCAATCTATGCTCGCCTTGTGCTTGCTTTCCAAGCCCTTAGCAGGCGTGCGGCACGTGCGACTTTTGAGACGTCTCAAAAGCCCTTAGCAGGCGTGCGGCGCGTGCGACTTTTGAGACGTCTCAAAAGCCCTTAGCAGGCGTGCGGCGCGTGCGCGCAACGCAGCTCGCCTCACCTCGCTAACGCAGAGCTGGTTTTTGAGAATTCTCAAAAACCGGCGCGTGCGCGCAACTAGGCATGATCATTAGGCCCGACCCGACCCGACCCGACCCGACTTGGTCGGGTCGGGTCGGGTCGGAACTTCAAAAAATCCTGGCCCGACCCGGGTATCGGGTGCCGGGTCAGGCGTGACCCGCCCCCGGGTCGGGTCGGGTAGGGGCCGGGTCGGGTCGGGTCGGGCCAGGACCCCATATGCAGGGTAAGAGGTTCTCCTTACTACTGTGCGGTGTTGCACTGATTGAATATTTGTGTAATATTATTATATGAACGTCCTCCATTTTGTAACTAGACTATGGGGGGTCGCGTCACTATCGATACGGGCCTGGTAGGCGCGCAGGGGGCGATTAGAACGCGGGACCAGAGTTTAGTCGCTTGTGAGAGCTAAGAATAACTATTTCTATAGAATCGAATATCTCTGCCTGGTCGCGCTAGGTTAAAAAGACCCTTACGCCAACATGGAAACACTAGTAATAGTGTTCCTTAACATGGGCGCGGGTTTAGAGAGTAGTAGAGCTTGAGAACGATTGCTTGCTAGCTGCCTAGGTATTGCAGATCGAAGTCAATGTCGAGGGAACAAACAAACCCTAGACATTGACTTCGCGATCTGCTTTAGTGCAAATTGTCGAGGGAGGAAAAGTCGGGTCGGGCCAAATACTCGACCCGACTTAGGGCGCGGTACCCGAAACCGGGTCGGGTACGACTTCGGGTCTAAATCTGACCCGACCCGACCCGACCCGACCCGACCCGGTTTCGGGTGTCGGGTCGACCCGACCCGACCGGGTAAACCCGACCCGACCCGGCCGGGCCAGCGCTTCAAAATGCCTGACCCGACCCGGGTCAAAACCCGGGTCGGGTCGGGTCGACCCGACCCGCCGGGGCAGGATGATCATGCCTACGCGCAACGCAGCTTGCCTCACCTCGCTAACGCAGACAGGTCTTCCAAGCAGTCCCTCGCCCCCTTCCCTTCCCGCACCTCTCAGTAAGAATTCTCAAAAGCACCTCTCCGCTACCTAGTTACCACTCATGTACGATACCTCTTCCATGCAGTCCGTTCTCGTCCCTTCCCCTCGCTCCCTTCCAGTGCCTTTCATTTCATTCTCCTCGCCAATGCTCATTTTCGATACTTCTTGCACCCAAACCTCGCCATCCCTTGCATTCACCTCTGTCTGTCCCCCCCTCTGTGTCGATTTTTGAGGCACATAAAAAATCCTTTCATTCACCTCTGTCTGTCTGTCCCCCTCTCTGCGTCATCTAATCCCACAATCCCCACCCCTCCCCTTGCCATCCACCCCTCCCCTTGCCATCCACCCCTCCCCTTGCCATCCACCCTTCCTCTTGCCATCCACCCTTCCTCTTGCCATCCACCCTTCCTCTTGCCATCCACCCTTCCTCTTGCCATCCACCCTTCCTCTTGCCATCCACCCCACCTCACATCCACCACGAGGCACGTCGTTCAGCAAGGCCGGTCTCACTCACTCACAGGCCCCTTCTCCTCCGTCTTTTCTGCCTTTCATTTGTGCTGAAGTTGATTTTGAGAATTCTTAAAATCAACCTCGACAAAAAGGGCCGGTCTCACTCAGTTAGGGGCCCCTTCTCCTCCATCGTTGCTTCCCTTCCATCGTCCGTCCCCTCCCCTCGATCTTCCAATCCCCTTGCCATCCGCCCTTCCCACACCTTCCACGAGGCAGATCGTTCAGCAAGATCGGTCTCACAGGGCCCTTCCCCACCATCTTCCCCTCCCCTTAACCGTCCCACTGACCCCTTTCCTTCTCCCTCCCCTGTCCGTGCCACCCACCTCTCCCCTTTCGGTGCCACCCACCTCTCCCCACACTTACAACATGACAGGTCGTTCAGCAAGGCCGGTCTCACAGGGCCCTTCCCCTCCGTCATCTCTGCACTCAAGAGCCTTAAAGACCTGTGCGTGCGTGCGTGCGTGTGCGTGTGTGTGTGTGCATGTGTGCATGTGTGTGTGTGTGTGCGTGCATGTGTGCGACGTGCGTGCGTGCATGTGTGCACGCATTTGTGTGTGTGTGTGCATGTGTGTGAGCATGCGTGCGTGCGTGCGTGTGCTCAGTCATTCTCCATCGTCGTCACCCGTATGCTTACTCAGGCACGCCCATTCGCGCCATCCCGTTTACCCCCCCCCCAACCTTGAGATCATCCTGACTGCTCACTGTTGTCGCCATCCCTCTATCCTCGCTTTCCATTGATATTTTTCCCCATTCTCCTCGCACTTTGACATCAGGAAACTTCCTAGCAACTCCCTGTCCGGCCCCGTTCCTCCCTTCCTCTCCACGCTCACATCCCTCACCACCCTGTATGTAAGGGAACGATTCTTTTGCACAAACGATTCTTTCAAAGCTCCCTGCATATATGGGAATCATTCTTGTCCAGTAACGGTTCTTTCAAAGGTCCCTGTATGCAAGCCAGCTATTGTTTCCGAGAGTGTTCTGACAGTATGCAACTCAAATCAAACCCCTGTCTGACTCCCTCCCTCCCTCCCTCTCCACCCTCAAAACAAACCCCTGTCTGGCACCATCCAAGTGCTTTGAAAGAATCGTTACTCTTGAAAGAAAGAATGAAAGTAAAAATCTCCTGCGCTCCTTCTTGTTTTTCCATCTTTCCGTTTTAATTCATTCCCCAGGTCCCCCTGTACTATTTGTCCGTGTTTTTCATATCTTCCCACACCCCTCTCTTCCGTCAACTTCTTTCATGCCTCTCCACACCACACACCTCTCCATATCGGCCCGCACTTCTCTGCATCGTTTCATATCGTTCTGAATCGTTCTGCAGGCGGCTGGACTCGAACCAGTTCACAGGCTCCATCCCCTCCGGCTTGTCAAAGCTAACAGCTCTTACCGTCCTGTGAGCGAGCAGAGCAGTTACGAGGTGACTGTGATTTGACTCAAAAAGGCGGCTGGACCCAAACCACTTTACAGGCTCCATGCCCCATGCTCCGCGCTTCTCATCTCACTGCGACTACCTTTCCTCTCTCTCCCGTCCGCTCCTCTCTTCGAGAACCTCTCTCAAAATCTGGTTTCTTTCCATTTCCCCGGCCGTCTTCCCCCATCCATCCGTCTTCCCACATCCATCCCCTCGCATCTTCCCATCTCAGATCCGTCCCCAAAAACCTTCTAACAGGGTCACTGCCTGCCACTCTCTCTGCCCTCCGCCGACTTGTTTCCATGTGAGCTTTGAGTTGCCTCAAAAGACGACTTTTGAGGCGCCTCAAAATCTTCCTCTCTCTCTGCCCTCCGCCGACTCGTTTCCATGTGAGCTTGCTTCTTGTACTCTCTATAAATGGCTGCGCACAACCTTCTTGTACTCGCCATAAAAAGGCTGGGTACAATCTTGCTTGCTGTACTCGCTATAAAAGGCTGCTTACAACCTTGCTTGTTGTACTCCCCATAAAAGGCTGCTGACAGCCTTGCTTGTTGTACTCTTTATAAGAGTTACCATGTGAGCTTGCTTCTTGTACTCTCTATAAGAGGTTTCCTCGCTCTCCTTCACCCTCCCCCGTGTGTTCCTCTCGTTGCAGTTTTTTATGGCCGTCAGCTCGGCTGATTTCGCATTACAATTTTCAAGGTCCCAAGGATTCAGGCTCATAGTGGATTCTAAGGTTTGCTGCTACTCCACAATATGAGCCTGAATCAGTGGGACCTTGAAAGATTTTTATGGCCGTCAGCTCGGCTGACTTCGCATTGCAATTTGCGGGCGCATAAAAAATCCCGCTCTTTTGCCGCCTTCCTGGTGCTGTAAAACATCCCATTCTCCTTGCAGCGACATCCGTCAAAACAAACTCTCGGGCTCGATCCCTTCTCAGTACAGCACCCTCACTGTGTTGGAGGCCATGTGAGTGAGTGAGTGAGTGAATGAGCGTTGGAGTGAGTGAGTGTGCAGTTACTCAGTTCCTTTCTCTATTCCACGCCCATTGCGTTTTTCCCTCCTCTCACGCAGAAGAGGGAGTCCCTCCTCTCTTCTGCCCACCCACAACTAGCCCATGTTTCCCACTGTCACCAGTGTCTTGAGCTCACCATGCTGCCCCCTACGCATGTTATTCCTCTCCCTCCTTTCCATTCCGCCATCTTTCCATTTCTGATGTTGTGCGGAGCGGACTAAACCACTACTCATACGCACCTTTCCCCTTCCCCCTCTTTCTCTGATTATCCCCCCTCTCCCGCCGTCTCTCCTTCCTTCCATCTCCTCCTCCCCCTCCAGGCAACTCAGCAACAACTCTCTCTCTGGTTCGCTGCCTTCTGCTCTCAGCACGCTCACCAATCTGCGCAACCTGTACGTATGCCTCGTCTTTTTCCAGGCGTGTCAATCCGAGGCCCTCAAATCAAACAATGAATGCTTGCTATTTTCGTCCAACACCCTCCTTCATGCACTTCCTCCAACACTTCCTCTAGAGAATGAGTAATTTTACTCTCCTTAGTAGCATATTTTTGAGAATTCTCAAAAATATCCTACAACCTCTAGAGTACAGATACCCCTCCTGCTCCTCTCATGCTTCCAGTCTGGTTTTCTTCCTGCAAACTCTATTTTTTCTAATGCGGTCTCGTTATAAGCAGACTCGTTGACAACAACACTATCTCTGGGACAATACCAGCGTCGTTCTCAGCTCTCCTGTCTCTCGTCTACGTGTGAGGGGCCACCCCTTTCCTGCCTTTTAAGTCGACTCAAAAGTCACCTCAATATCAGCGTCGTTCTCAGCTCTCCTGTCTCTCTTATACGTGTGAGTGCCCCACCTTCCTCTTTCATCCCTTCACTGCCTTGCTTTACCCTCTTTCTTGGCTAAAACCCTAAGCAATCCCGTCATTCCTACAGTCTCCCATCCCTGCTTTTTCTTTCCTCCACCCCTCTCCTCCCCTCCACACCCCTTCCCTTTCCACTCCTCCTCTCTCGCAGTCGCGCCAACAACAACAAGCTATCTGGATCGCTCCCTTCATCTCTCAGTACCCTCACCACACTCGATTCCCTGTGTGTTTCAAGCAGCGCCCTGCCTTTGAGGGTTTTAAACACCCTGCAACAGTCATACCTCTCCCTGCATACCCCAGCACCCCCACCACCACCCTCGCCTCAATTCCTTGTGCGTTCCAAGCAGCACGCTGTTTCTGAGAACTTTCAAAAGCACCCTGCAATGTTTTTTAGTAGACTCAAAAGTCAGCTCGTATCGCTCTCTCCATCTCTCAGCACACTCACCCACCTCCCTCGATGCCTTGTGTGCACACTTTGTAACTATTCAGTTTAGTCACCCTGCCTCTCAGTACCTTCACTAACCCGTGCCAACCTCTTCCCATGCCCAACCTCCCATGCCCAACCTCCCATGCCCAACAACCCGCACCCCCACCCCACGTCTCATGCCTTCCACCCATCTCCCATGCCCCATGCACCCAACAGGATTCTCTCCCGCAACACTCTATCCGGCTCCATTCCCTCCGATTACTCCGCCCTTGAGTTCCTTGCCATCCTGTGAGTCGTCTTGTCCCCATCCCCCTCGCAACACGCTAGTCTTCTCCTTCCCCCTACTACACCCCCATCCCCACTCCCCTCCCCCTTCTCCCCCAAACAGTCTGCTTATCAACAGCAACTGCTCCCTTTATATCCTACTCCTTCATTTCTTCTCCCCACCCCCCTCTCCCCTCTCCTCTCTCCCCTCTCCCCTCTCCCCTCTCCCCAACCAGTCTGCTTGACAACAATTCTCTCATTCACTGTTTCCGCTTCTCCTCCTTTTCCCCCCCCCCTCTCCCCGCTCGCCCTTGCCCATCTTCCCCAACCAGTCTGTTGAACAACAACTTCATTATTGGGACCATCCCCTCCTCCCTCTCCACACTCTCCTACCTTTATCAAGTGTACGTGCTCTCCCCTCCCCTCCCCTCCCCTCCCCTCCCCTCCCCTCCCTTCACCTCCCCTCCCCTCCCCTCCCCTCCCCTCACCTCCCCTCTCCTCCCCTCCCCTCCCCTCCCCTCCCCTCCCCTCTTCTCCCTCCCCTCCCCTCCCCTCCCCTCCCCTCCCCTCCCCTCCCCTCCCCTCCCCTCCCCTCCCCTCCCCTCACCTCCCCTCCCCTCCCCTCCCCTCCCCTCCCCTCCCCTCCCCTCCCCTCCCCTCCCGTCCACTCACCTCCTATCTCTCCCAACGTATGCTCCTCATTCTTGTCTTTATTGATTGCACGTGCTCTCTCTACCTTACTTCTTTCGTTCTCCTTCAAAATAATATGATTGTACGTTCTCCCTCTTCCATCCGTCTCCTCTTCTTTCATCAGTGGTTCCTCTTCTTGAGGAATAGGCCTGCACTCGCCTCCTACGTTCTAATATATGTGCCCACAGTCTCACCCTACTTCCTCACGCACCCACCAGTCTCGCTGGTTCCCTGTTGTCCGACCTCTTTTTTTCCTTCCTCTTTCTTTCCTTCCTCTTTCTTTCCTTCCTCTTTTTTTCCTTCCTCTTTTTTTCCTTCCTCTTTTTTTCCTCCTTCTTTTCCTCTCCTGTTTCAGAGACGTGTCAGAGAACCTGTTATCGGGTACTCTTCCTTCAATGTTCGCCACAAGCAAGACTTCAAAGACTTTGCCTGACGCCCTTCCCCTCCCACCTTTTCCTCTTGCCTGTTTCAGAGACGTGTCAGAGAACCTGTTATCGGGTACTCTTCCTTCAATGTTCGCCACAAGCAAGACTTCAAAGACTTTACCTGACGCCCTTACCCTCCCACCTTTTCCTCTTGCCTGTTTCAGAGACGTGTCAGAGAACCTGTTATCGGGTACTCTTCCTTCAATGTTCACCACAAACATGACCGACCTTAGATTCGTGTGAGTCTCAGCTCAGAACCCCTAAGACCTTAACTTCTTGTGAGTGACATGCTTTCCAGATTCTCACAGTGACTTCCGTCCATTGATGTGATTATGAGTTAAATGCTTCCAGGCATCACAGTGACTTCCGTCCAGCCTCAGTAGATTGAATTCCATCTATCAATTGGCTGCCTGAATTTCTCATCTCACCTTCTACCTGCCTCCCCCATGCCCCACCTCCCTCATTTGTTACCTCCTCCTCCCCCCCTGCCCCACCCACATCCCTCTCATCCCTCATGTGCCACCTCCCCCATTGCCTACACCCACCTCCCTCACGTGCCACCTCCCCCATGCTCCACCCACCTCCCTTGTGTGTCACCTCCTCCACTCATGTGCTTCCTTTCCCAGCAACATCTCTTTCAACTCTCTCTCTGTCCACAGCCTGCCCAAGCCTCTCTCCGACCGACCTGCACTCTCCTCACATTCCCCTCTCGCCTCCTCTCTCCCCTCTTCCCTCCCCTGCGCCTCAACCCCCCCAACACCAGCAACGTGGCCTTCAACTCTCTGTCTGGCTCCCTGCCCAAGTCCCTCTCCAATCTGCAGTCCCTCTACTCTCTGTAAGTCTGCTTTCTTTTCCTGAATCCTGCGCTACTTAACTGGAGTCTGTTTTTGAGGCGCCTCAAAAGATGTCTGGTTCCCTGCCCAAGCCTCTCTCCAATCTGCAGTCCCTCTACTCTCTGTGAGTCTGCTTTCCTTTCCCGCATTCCACGCTACTTAATCGGAGTCACCTCTGACAACTCTCAAAGGCCAATCCCACACCTCTTAATCGGAGTCACCTCAAAGGCCAATCCCACACCGAACTCCGAGACCGTTCAAATGGTCTCTCCAATCTCTTTACTTTCGACGAGTGTGCCTTCCTCAGTAACTCACTGCTTCTTCCTTCTGAGTATTGCTCTCCTCTCCTATTGCAGCGAACTCTTTCTCTCCCCACTCACCACCGCCCACCAGCGACCTCAGCAGCAACTACTGCAGTGGCCACGTGTGACGAGACGATTTTTTAGTCGACTCAAAATCCGTTTCCACAGGATCTCACCCCTCCCTTCTGAGTGTTGCTCTCCTCTCCTATTGCAGCGACCTCAGCAGCAACTACTGCAGTTGCCATGTGCAGACTCTACTCTGCGCCCTCTGACATTGCTTCCCTGCTTTGAAATATCAGCACTGCACTCACTGTTCTCTGTCCCTTGCCTCTCTCCGCCCGCCCTTTCTCAACCCACTCACGGCCCACCAGCGACTGTCAGTACTTGCTGCTGCTGAAGTACTTCAGTGGCCACATGCGGACTCTCTTCAGCGCTCTCACTGTTCTGTGTCTCTCCCCTTTTCCCCTGTGCCCCTCCCCTCTCTCTCCCTTACCCCTCCCCACCCCTCCTCACCCCTCCTCACCCCTCCCCACTCCTCCTCGCCCCTCCCCACCCCTCCTCACCCCTCCCCACCCCTCCTCACCCCTCTCCACCCCTCCTTGCCCCTCCCCACCCCTCCTCGCCCCTCCTCACCCCTCTCACTGCCCACCAGCGACCTCAGCAGCAACTATTTCAGTGGCCAAGTGCAAACCATCTTCAGCGCCCTCACTTCACTTCAATCCATGTGAGATTCCGAGAGATTTTCTGTGACTAAGTCAGCTCATAACACGTGCAAACCATCTTCAACGCCCTCACTTCACTTCAATCCATGTGAGATTTCTGAAATCTCCAGTTCAGTAAGTCAATGTGTTTCCCTCCAACCCTTTCAAAACCCTGCCTTCCTCTATTTTATCCCTCCAAAAAGAGTCGACTCAAAACACTTCCACTCTTTAATCCCTCTGTCCTCGCTCGTCTCCTCAACCCTCCTCTTCCCTTCACCCTGCATGCCACCCTGATGTTGCAGGGTGTTCTGCATATGCTCATAAACACTCTGCATGCCACCATGTGCTAACCTTCCCTCCCACCCCCCACAGCAACATCTCCTACAACTATTTCACGGGGTATTTACCCAAGATCGGGTTTCTAGGCGAGCTAAAATCCACCGACCTCTCCAACAACTTCTTTTTCGGGTCAGCCAACGACGGCACCGACAGCATTGGGTTACCCCTCTGCCCGGACCCTCCCACCTCCACCTACACAATCGCCCAAAACTGCCTCTTGAACCTCGCAAACACCTGCACAGCCATATCCGGGCTGACAGTGAGTTTTGTGGAGCCGCAGAAGACGGAGGACGAGTGCTTTGTGTTCTGTGGGACGAGCCTCGCGATGCCGATTTTTCCGAACCAGCAGTGCGGGTACGAGAAGGGCATGTGTGTGGCGAATCTGAGCGGCAGCGGGGTGTTGTTCTACCAGTGCCAGTGCACGGCGCCGTTCGTCCGTTCTGCAGACGCCAAGTCCTGTGACCTGCCACGTAAGTCCCCGTCTCGTGCCTGCCCTTCCTTCTGTTTTCGAGTCTGAGCGGCAACGGAGTGCTCTTCTACCAGTGCCAGTGCACGGCGCCGTTCGTCCGTACTGCCGACGCCAAGTCCTGCGACCTTCCACGTGAGTCCCCGTCCCCTGCCTGCCCTTTCTTCTGTTTTCGAATCTGAGCGGCAACGGGGTGCTGTTCTACCAGTGCCAGTGCACGGCACCGTTTGTCCGTTCTGCAGACGCCAAGTCCTGTGACCTGCCACGTAAGTCCCCGTCTCGTGACTGTTTTTCCTTCTGTTTTCGAGCCTGAGCGGCAACGGAGTGCTCTTCTACCAGTGCCAGTGCACGGCGACCCCGATACAGCCCGACAGCCACAGTGGCCCCAGCAGCGCGGGTACGAGAAGGGCATGTGTGTGGCGAGTCTGAGCGGCGACGGAGTGCTCTTCTACCAGTGCCAGTGCACGGCGCCGTTTGTCCGTACTGCAGACTCCAAATCTTGCGATCTTCCATGTAAGACCCTTGTGAAGATATTTTCTCTTCTTCCCCCCTCTCCCCACTCCGCCTTTTGAGACGTCTCAAATATCTTCCTTGTAAGACCCTTATGAAGATATCTTCTCTTCTTCGCCCCTCTCCCCACCACCACTAATTTTATCAGTGTAAATCACCCTGATACCCTGATTATCAGGGTGGTTTTTGGTAGTCACACTGATGGCCTTGGGTAATTTTTTTTGGAGCTAGAATTTTCCTGATTTGAAAGGGTTTACATTTAAGGCACACTGATGCCTCAGGGTTACCGATCTTCATAACGAAATTTACCCTGAAGCGAGTACAATACCCTCCCCCCCCCCCCCCCCCCCCCCTTTCCCGTAACCCGGGATTCCCGATTGCCAACTGTCGAAACAGGAATTTCAGCCTCGACAATACATGTGCTGGCAATTACTCTGATTGGATCAGGATTGAGAAATCATTAATTCTGAAATTTCAGTCTCCCCAAAGTGGAAAGCCTGAAATCACCCTGAAATCAGGGTAATTACCCTGATAAAAACAGCCCTGACTGATGCCACAGGGTTGGATTTTATTAAACAAGAAAAACACTGATGGATCAGGGTTTGAACAAGGTGTCACACTGATAATCAGGCTTTTGAACAGGTGCAACACTGATCACAAGGGTTGCTCAAAACCAAGAATTAGCCCTGCTCCCCACCCCCCACACCCTCCCCCCCACACGCCCCTCCTTACCCTTTCTGACGTCCCAATAGCTCAAGTTCCATGGAAGAAAAAGCTTTAGCTAAGAGTAACTCAGAGTGCATCTGATTCTCTCACTCTCTCTCCTCTTGATGTGGCTTCCTCTCCTCTATCAGACTGCACGATCGATTTTTCTCGCTCTCTCCTCCTCTCATATTTAATCAGTAAACTCACTCTGATCTCATTATGATTTCCCTTTGTCTTCTGTGTGTATGTTTCAGCCAGCCCACCACCGCCACCGCCATTTCCGCCAGGGCCCCTCCCACCCTCCCCTCCCCCCTCCCCACCTCCAAAATCGCCTCCTCCTTCCCCACCGTCACCTCCGAGCCCCCCTCCTAGGCCTCCCCCATCTCCCCCTAACCCGCCCCCCAATCCCCCACCTCCCCCCTCTCCTCCCCCTCCCTCGCCCCCATCGCCTCCCCCTTTCCCACCTCCTGCACCTTCCCCCCCTCCTCCGCCCACAGTGCTTCCACTCATTGATTGTTATATGTCAAGCCTTACTGACAGCTGCGAGTGTTTCTGCCCATTCTTTAACCAATGTTATTGCCAGTAACGATTTACTGGACCTTGATTATCCAGTACCTCGTTCATGATTGTTCTTTCAACCTTTTGCACATTTGTGCTATATCGAATACAGTGTAAGAGCATCATATCTTTTGAGTTTTATCGAGGCTGAGTTCTCTTGGCGCGGAAACTGCGGTCCACACACTTTTCGTACTGCTTATCGCGAATGCGGGACGGGCCTATCGCGGTCGAGAAAGAGATGCTTCACTGTGCATCGCTCGTGCTGGGCTCCCCACCTGCGGCAAATTTTGTCCCCACTATTCACGTGAGGCAGTGCTTGTTTCAGGCCCCGAGATGTGCCCTCCTATCACACGTGGCACTTTCTGAAACTGTTTTGAGAGAGAAGCCGAGCTGTACACTGCCACTGGAGGTACCAGCCCAACCACCCAAATTCTCTAGTTTCGGAAGTGTAGCTCCTGAGTCAGGGCAGTTTGAAAGTTGTCAAGCTGGCAGAAAGCCCGTCAATGACAATCTTGAAAGGGGAAATGGCGCATCAGTGGGTTGGGGGAACATGTGGGCGCAATCACATGTTTCACATGCCATCCGTCACCCATCAACGGCGAAATCGCGCGCATCGGCGGAAATCGCGTTTCTCTCAAAAGAATCGACCTACATTGCTCCGACCTCGCCAAGCTGCAGAAATGTCGATGTGCGAGGTCCCATGTGCGGAACGCATGAGAGTTGTATTGGTAATGGGTGCTTTCCTTTCTCGTATCCCCCCACTTTCGGGAATGGTGCCCACCCGCTCTAATGTACCAAAAAGCGAACCGAGTGAAATACAGTACAGAATGTTTACAATCAGCCAATATTTATGGCCCTTATCTTGATCGTCTTGCCCCTTTCGATACATCCGGTCCGGTACAACTACACCCCATTCACATGCGGCACCCGCAGGGTACCATGCGGCTTTTGTGCGATATGATGGAAAGAACGGTCAATTGACAAATTATTGACATGATCCGAGGCCACTGCTTGAGCAGGCGAGTTCAAGCTTCAGCACCACCAAGCACAGCCATGCCATGCCATCCGTCTCCATGTGTGCGTCACCGTCACCTGTGCGTCGCAATAAACGCAAATGCTGCTTCATCCGCACGTTCTGACACCATCGCCACCCGGCTGATCCTCATCAAGTCGCCAGCGCAACCTCGCGTGCTTCTGTTCCAGCGGATTTCAGGGAACGCTCGTGACTCGTCCACCAGTGTGCCTGCATTTGCTCGCCTTGCCCGCCCATACTTCGGACTCCAGCAGTATGCTCGGACACGGAGATTGGACGCGTACGAGCCGTCGATTATCGGGACAAGCACAAGGCATTTTCCACCACGATAAGGGCGGGTCCCGAAAGTAGAATTACATTTCATCATGTAAAAAAGTAACCACAATCTGGATTTTCGTCACTCGCCAACCCTTTCGTCTGGACACGGCGCCAGGTTGTACAAAGATTACTGACGCGATGCTCAACTTGGGCTGCGAACTGTACAGACATCGAGAGAAAGAGTACCTGAAACAAATAGAACAAGAAGCGAAGAGTTTTAGGTTCACCGTATCTCCTTTGGGCGAACTCGCCCTGCTGTCGCAAATTCCTCTGAGACAGTCAAGCTGTCGAGGGAATTGGGTTTCGTGGCAATGTGGACCTGGTAACAGGCTTGGATCTGGACTACAAGTCGCGGCACTGTAGAACCTCGAGTCTCTGTCAGCTTCCTAGAATTCGGACTATTTCGGAGTGATGCGTACGTACCTGGAACGTGTGTGTACCGCGCAGCTGTACGTGTTGTTATACGTAAAACCGGGTCCCGAATGTGCTTACAAACTTTCGGGACCCGCCCTAATCTTCCGAGCTACAGAACATCACAAACAAGGCGCAACGACGATGGTGATTGCAGGGAAGCAACAAGCAAACCACCCTCACCCAACCACTTCACCCAAACCCCGCGAAGGCACTGGGAGAGAACAAAACAGACCTGCAGAATTCTGGAACCCAGGTCGCCGCAAGGCAAGGAAATCACCCAACATACTACGTTCAGCTCTGGAAGAAACGATAGGTTGAGCAATAGCTTCTCCACTCCTAGCAGACATGATAGAGCTGGGCTCAACCAAGAGAATTCTTTTGCTCTCGCGCTGCCCTTTCCCATTTCTTCAGAGTTCTTAGAACCCTCAATTATTAGTTTTTTTTTTAGGTCAATTTTCGCGCCGGAGATGGATAGAGAAGCCATACTAGCGTCTCTCCGTGCATTGTCCACGTCGCCATTTCTTGCGCCGGGCGCTACAATCACACCGCCTTTACTCCCCTTCGGTATAGCGACTCCTCCGTCCCCCTTCACTCCCCTCGCACCGCCTTCGTCCCCTTTCGCCGCCGCTTTCGGGGCGAGTCCTGTTGCGTGCGCAAATTTCGCGAATTTTGCGAATTTAGCGTTACAGCAGCACCAGCATATTCCAGACCTCGCATTCCCCAGCCCCGCGCCCCCGCTACCCCCCCTGGGGCGGAGCTCCCCTTACGCGGACGCCTTTTCAAAGAGCCCGCGGCCAACGCCGCCGCCCCGCGAAATTCTCGGTGCGGAAACGGCTATATTTCGAGACAACGCCGCGTCGCGGAAAGCCCCGCCGCCGCCTCAGCCGCCGCGCGGATCCCCCTCACCTCCAGCTTTTGAGTCGACTCAAAAGCCGCCTCAGCCGCCGGCGCGCGTTTCCCCCTCGCCTCCTGCGCGGAATCCGCGGGAGAAAATGGGGCCGCCGGCGCTTTCTTCCCGCAGTGGCAGAAGCGACAGCTTCAGTAACCGCAACAGTGATTGGCGCAGCGGCGGAAGTGACACCCTCAGTGACCGCGACTGGCGCACTGGCGAAACTGGCCGCGGCTTTAGTGGCGAAAACGACCGTTCGGCCGATGCCGCCGCCGATTTCGCGGAAGTCGCAGCCGCCGGGACGGTTCCGGCAGGAGAAGGGAGGATCGCCAGCGTGCGACATGCCGTGAGACGACGTGGCGACGATCGTTCGCTCGTGCGACCAGACGCCGGAGAACAAGCGGTGCAAGGTTCGGGGGACGGAGACGCAGGAGACGGAGGCGGAGGCGGAGACGGAGACGGAAGCGGAGACGGAGACGGAAGCGGAGACGGAGGCGTCAGAATGTTGGAGTGGCGACGCGGATTGGGGCAGCAACAGCAGCAGGAGCATCAGCCACAACAGCTGCAGCCGCAGTTACCGTTGTTACCGCGGCTGCCAACGAGAAACGTTCTTCAGTCAGCGCACGCCTTCGCAGAAGTGGCTCCACAAGCTAATTACCCCGGTGCAAAGCGGGCACAACCCTGGGAAGCCCTGGAAAATCTGGGGCAATTTACCCCGGAAAAACGCGCAAGGGTGGAAGAGCGTGACCAGATTTTCCGTCGGGAGTGGGCTGCCCGTGACGGCATTGAAGGAAGAAATTGTGCGGTTGAGATGGGTGGGAGGGATGGGCGGGCAGTGTCGAAACATTTGGAACGGGCAGCTGGGGCAAAAAGGGTTACTGTTCCCACAGAGAGCTTGCAGAAACGGCTTGGGCAACAAATCGAGGCGCGGATTCGGGGGAAGAGACCAGGGGGAGGGGGGGAACGGAGAGGGGAAGGTTGGACGCATGGGGGAAATTTCCGCGAGGATGTAATGAGAGAGAGGAGAGGGGCGGAAGAGCAGGGGGGAGGTGGAAGGCAAGGGCAGGGGGAGCAGGGGGGGGAAGGACGGCGGGAGGCGCAGGGGGGAAAGGGGTTCCAGGGCCCCGGTGTGGGGCAATGGGGGAGAGAGGCATGGGGGGAAGAGGCATGGGGGGGGAAGCGAGGAGAGCGGGGAAGGGAAAGATGGGGGCAGGAGGAGGAGCGTGAGAGAGGGGAGGTGAGGGGGGAAGGGAGGGACGAGCGCCCTTCTTATCCTCCTCTTCCTCTCCCTTATTCCAGCGCTCTTCCCGTCACCCAATCTCCGCTTATGCTTCCCCCCGAGGCCCGCTCATCGTCCCCCCTTCCGCCTCCTCCCCCGGCCCCCTATCCCCATAGCAAACATCTTTCCGACAGTCATGCGGCGGCCGTTCAAAAGTCCGAGTCTGAAAAGCGATGCTTCTCCCTGAATCATACTGCTAATATGTCCGAAACGCCGGTTTTTGAGACTTCGCAAAACGATTCTCGCCCTTCTTTGAATTGCCAGGCGCGTGGGGGGACGGATGAGCGGGGAGCGGGGGGAGAGGAGGAGAGGGAGTGTGAGACGCGGGGAGAGGAGGAGGGGGGGGGGAGGGAGAGGAGGGAGGGGAGGAGTGGGGGAGTGAGGAGGAGAGTGAGGAGGAAGGGGAGGAGGTGGAGAAGGGGAGTGGAGGGGGGACCAGGCAGCGAGATACAGGCGCAGCAGCAATGAGAGGACTAACGCCCCCTGCTGCAGCAGCAGCAGTGAGAGAGCCAACTCCGCTTTCAGCAGCAGCGGCAATCCGAGAGTCGACTTCTGCTGCTGCAGCAGCAGCGGCAATGAGAGGTTTCACCCCCCCTTCAGCAGCACTAGCAGCAGCAATGAGAGCTTTTACTCCCCCCCGAGGAGCAGCAGCAGCAGCGGCAGCAGCAATTAGAGCTTTTACACCCCCCGCAGGAGCAGCAGCAGCACCACCGTCGTCGCCGCTGCTCTCCCCAGCTGCAGTAGCTGCAGCAGCAGCGGGGGCAGGGGCAGGGGCAGGTGCAGGAGCACTGTCCATCCCTCTCTTTCTTCCACACGGCACTAGTCCCCATGCAGCAGCAGCGGCAGCAGTGCGCATGCGAGCACTCATGGGCATGTGTGCTGAGTCGCAGCAGAGTAACTCAATACCTGTACCTGGGTCTGTGCCCAATCCTCTGCCTGTTTCTGCTCCAGAAGCGCTGGGGAATGGTAACCCTGTTTCTGGTTCTGCTGCTGTTGGCGGTGGTGGTGGTGCTGCTGCTGCTGCTGCCAGTGCCGCTGTTAGTGCGGCTGGTGGGGCGTGGGGAGGAGCAGGAAGAGGAGAGAGGAAGGCTTTAAAACTCCACCAGCAGAAGCAGAGGGCGCTAGGCAGGCGCAAGCTAGAAACACTGAATGAGGATGAAGAAAGGGAGGTAGCAGGGAATAAGGGAGGAGCAGAGGAGGAGGAAGATGATGAGACGGATAGGGACAGGGAAGGCAAGGAGGATAGGAGAGGCGGGAGGAGAGGGGTCGACCAGCCTCGGGAACGCGTGAGCTCTGACGGCTCAGGCTCGGACGGCTCAGGTTCGGAAGGAAGTGGGGAGGTGAGGAGGTGGGAAGAGGAAAGGGATGAAGATGACGAGGAGGAGAGGGAGAGGGAGGATGAGGAGAGAGAGGAGAGGAGGGAAAGGAGGGAGGATTTGCAGAGGAAGGAGCAGGAGGTGTGGAGGCTGTTGAGAGAAACGAGTGTGCTGCATCAAATGGCGCAGGTGCAAGCTCAGGCTCGGACGCAGTTTGAAGCGCAGGCTCGGGCGCAACTGGAGGCTCGGGCACGGATGGAGGCGCAGGCTCGGGCCGAAGCTGTGGCGCAGGCTCGGGCCGAAGCTGTGGCGCAGGCTCGGATGCAGGTGCAGGCGCAGGCTCGGATGCAGGTGCAGGCGCAGGCTTTCATGGCATCACAGGCAGCATTCCTAGCGCAGGCTCAGGCTCAGGCGCAATTGCAAGTGCAGGCTCGGGCCCAGGCTGAGGCGCAGGTTCGGGAGGCCTTGGTTCGGGGGGCGCAAGTTCGGGCTGTCAGCCCCTTTGGTGTGGGAGCAGGTGGGGGAGTGACGTCAGCAGACAGACAGGCAGCATCAGAGGGACAGGAAGCGTCAGAGGAGCAGGACGCTTTGGTACGAGCAGGAGGAGCAGGAAGAGGAAGGGGAGCAGGAGGAGCAGGAGAAGCAGGAGGAGCAGGAGGGCCAAATGAAGGAGGACGGGCGCTTGCTGTGTATGTGCCACAACAAGACTCTCTCGCCTTGTCCGCTCTTCCTTACCACCCTCTCTCACACCCTCCTCTCTCACACCTTCGTCAGACAGAGGAGAGAAATCCACAGCGGCATGTAGTGTCAGTTCAGCACCAACACCAGCACCAGCAGCCAGAGCAGCAGCATGAGTCACTGCAAGAGAGTGAAAATGAGGCAGCAGCCGCAGCAGCGGCGGCGGCGGCGGCGGCTGCGGCGGCGGCGGCAGCAGTGGCAGACGCAGTTTATGCAAGCGTGGTGGGGAGTAGGAGGGGCGGGAGGAGGGAAGGGATGAGGAGGCTAGAAGGTGGAGAGACTGAGGAGAGGTCTGGGCAGGAGCATTATCATCAACAACAGCTGCAGCAGCAGAACCAGCAAGCGTTGTGTCGTAACTCCAGGTCCGGAGGCAGGCTCGGAGGAGATCCGAGCCTAAGAAGACGTTCGGAATCGCGGAGTGTAACGGAGAGCTTCGACATCGAAGCTGCTGCTCAAGCTGCTGCCGAAGCTGCTGCCAAGGCTGCTGCCGAGGCTGTGAGGCGAGAATTGGGAGGGCGGAGGAAGAGGGGCAGGCAAGAGGGAAGTGGGGAAGGGAGTGAGGGAGGACTTGGAAGGCAGTTTGCTTTACAGCGTCGCATTAGTGGGCACGGGGATGGGGACACGTGGCAGTCAGGGGGTGGGGGAGAGTCAGAGCGTGGGGGAGAGTCGGAGCGTGGGGGAGAGTCGGAGCGTGGGGGAGAGTCAAGACATGGGGGAGAGTCAATGCATGGGCGAGCGGCCAGTATGGATCTTAACAATCCACCCAAGACACGACCTCCTAATCAAGGTAATTTTCGTCATTGCCCTCCCTTACAGGGTAATTTACGTTTTGCCCCTTTTTTACAGGGTAATTTACGTTTTGGTCCTCCTTTGCATGGAAATTTACGTTATTGCCCTCCTTTACATGGTAATACACGTTGTCGCCCTCCTTTACCCCGGCCACCAGCACCACACACAGCTCTGCACCCCTTTCCACACACCTCAACCCAAGCCCACCCACCGAGCCCTCTCAACACTCCTCTCTCTGCCCCTTCTCTCTCTGCCCCTCCCCTCCGTGTCCCTCCTCCCTCCCCAGTCAACCCCCTCCCACCAGCTCCCCCTCCCATACCACCTGAGAATACACCTGTTCTGCGCAGAAACGCACCTGACCTACGGGAAAGCACACCTGAGCTTTCTCCTGAAGACCTGGCCATGTTCCATTCCTTTGCTCACTTTGAATCCACGCTCCCGCCGAGCCTCAGCCATCCGAGCCTCCGTTCCTCTGAGCCTTGGTCTCTCAACACTTCTGCCGAACCTAGCAATGCCAATCCTGGCAACGCCGAACCTAGCTGTGACGGCCCTAGGAACCCCGAGCGCAGATTCTCCAAGCCCCGAAACCCCGAGCCTCAAAACCCCGAGCCTCAAAATCCCGAGCCTCGAAACCCCGAGCCATGTAGAAGGATATCATGTGAGCCTGCGATTGGTGGGCGAGTGGCAGTGGTGGGTGGGAGTTTGAGAGGACTAAAAGTAGCAACCAGAGCAGGAGCAGGCGGAGGAGCAGGAGAAGGAGGAGGAGCAGGAGGAGGAGGAGGATCAGCAGCAGCAGCAACAGCAGCAGCAAAATTAGCACGAGCAGGAGCAGAAGCAGCATCGGCGGGTGCATCAGCAGGAGCAGGAGCGATGGTTCCTTATGTGTCAAGAGACAGGTCTGGTGGAAGCAAAGGTCTGGCACGAGCCACAAATGCTGCAGCAAAGGCAGCGGGAGTGGATGCAGCAGCAGGGAAAGCAGGTGCATCAGGAGCAGCAGATTTTGTCGGGGACACATCAGGAGGGAAGGAAGCTTCGAAGCTAGCAGCGAGAATAAGAGTTCGGTGCTTAAGAAGAGACGAAGGAGAGGAGGGAAATGAGGGAGAGGAGGGAATTGCAGGACAGAAAGATGTGGAGAGGGAGAAGGAGGGAGAGGAGGGAGAGGAGGGAGAGGAGGGTGAGGAGGGAGAGGAGGGAGAGGAGGAGGTGCCTGAAACGGGCACTATCCCGAACCTACCTGAGAAGTGGAGGCTGGTCTCGAGGCTTGGCACAAGGCTGAGCCTGATCGAGGACCGAGGCTCGGGGCAGAGGTTTGTCGTCCAGCGGCTGGAGGTTCGGGAAGAGGCTCGGGAGGAAGCGGGGGAGAAATTACGGGAGAAGAATGGCTGTGTGGGGAGTGGGAGTGGGAATGGGAATGGGAATGGGAATGGGGGTGAGGCAAAGACACGAGAGAGTGTGGAGGGTGGGAGGGTGCGTGAGCTTCAGAGGAAGGTGGCTCTGCTGCTGAAGCACAGTCATGAGAACGTGGTGCCTTGTATCGGAGCCATCCGCGCCAACCCTTCCGCTGCTGCTGCTACTGGTGCTGCTACTGGTGCTGCTGCTACTGGTGCTGCTGCTGGCGCTTCCCCTCACGAGGAGTCTGGGCGGGCGGGCGAGTCGGTGGTGGTGTTTGCGGCCTTTGAGTTTGTGCCGTCGCCGCCGCTCTCCCACCAGCTGCAGGAGTGTGGCCCCATGCCGGAGGACACACTTGCTTTCTGCCTCCGACAGGTGAGAAGCAGTGAGTTCAGTGCGGTGCAGTGAGCTGGAGTGCGGTGCAGTGTGGAGTGCTGTGGTAATGGTGGTGCAGTGCCGTCCCTGGAGTGCGGGACCATGCCTGAGCATACTTGGATACCCGCGCCTTCTTCTGCCTCTTTCACCCAAGGCAACATCTGCCCCTCATACCTTCCTATCCCCACCCAAACCTCAACAGGTGCTAGAGGCCCTTCACTCGCTGCATTCCCACGGCATCACCCATGGAAACATCCGCCCCTCCACGGTCTTTGTCCCGGACGATGGGGTTGTGCGACTGGCCGGCATTGCTTGGCTGGACTCCGACGGGTCTGGGACCTCGAAAAGCGGTAGCAGCAGCAGCAGCCATGGTTATAGGGACAGCCGAGTGTCCCGCCTGTCTCCTGAAGTCATCAGAGAGGTGAGACAAGAGGAGTCGACTCAAAAGGTTACAGGGACAGCCGAGTGTCCTGCCTATCTCCTGAAGCCATCAGAGAGGTGAGATGAGAAGAGAGAAGGGCCGGCATCTGATGTGCTTCAAGAGAGAAACTGTTTGATTACAAACTGGTGGTTTGGTGCTTGTCGTACTGCTTCGAGACCTCTTTGAATTTCTCAAAAACGGCTTCCGAAGGAAGGAATTTTTACGACCTACTACCAAAAAAGAGTGCCTCTAGAGGAAGAACTGGCCAGTAACGGCTCCGTGGTCTCTGGCGTGTAGTAAAAAAAAAAATGTTTCTTGAGTCGACAAAAAAATCGACTTACTACACGCAGTAACGGCTCCGTGGTCTGGCGCCCTACTGCTTAGAGACCTCGCAAAGCGCAACTCTGCGGTACTCCTTTTTCTCTTTTCTGACGTCCTTTTCAAGACGGGAAGTAACTTCCCAGCAACAACTTGGCTGTTTGGTGCTCGTCCTACTGCTTCGAGACCTCTCAACACTCAAATCTGCTACTCCTTTTGTTCCTTTCTGACGTCTTATTCCCCACAGGAAGAGGAGGGGCCGCCATCTGACGTGTGGGCCTTGGGGTGCCTGGCTGTTGCCATGGCGACAGGAGCAGAGCCGTGGGTTGGTATCACTGACTGCGAGCAGGTGAGCTTGAACCACTCTGGCCCTCGTTGAACCCTGTAGCAGGGTACTGTGAAAAGAGCTTGGATCAAAGGTGTGATCTTGAGGATTGGAAAAAGGGTAAAGCTCGACCTAGTAGGATTCGACTACCATTGGGCTTGCCTTATTCTCCCATCCCATCCCCAGATTTTTGAAGTTTTTTCCCTATCATCCCTTTTCACCCTACTTCGCCTTTTCTGTTATGTCAGGTGAAGCTGTTCATCGCTCACAGTCGAGACCTACCTGAGCTCCCACCTGATTCCTCACCTGAGTTCACAGACTTTGTCGCATCCTGCTTGAACCGCGACCCGTCGAAGAGGCCATCACCTGGAGCCCTCATGAGCCATCCTTTCTTAGCAGTATCATAGATCAGCGATCAGAGTCTCACACACACAACCCACGGCTCACTACGACATGGCACCACCAGTCCTGCTTCAACCAGAACACAAGAATTTGGTTCAAGTCAAGACCCTTCAAGTCAAGACCTGTGAATGAGGCCGTCAGCAGCCCTCGTGAGCCGTGCACTCCTTGCAGTGTCATACTGTAGGTCAGACAGATTCACGGCTAGCTACGACGGCACCACCTTTTTCTGACCGTCAGAGTCGCGCAGTGTACAGCTTGCTACGGCACCATCTTTTTCTGGCCTTCAGAGTCACACAATGTACAGCTTGCTACGGCACCACCATTCCTGCTTCTACCAGAAAATAAGGATTCGGGACGTCCCCCTTCAGAGGCCCCATCTTCTGAAGTCCCCAGAGACCTTCGATTCCTTGCATCATCATACCGGTAGATCAGAGTCACTGTCTACAGCTACCTACGGTGGCACCGTCAATCCTTCTTGGTTTGATCAGATCATCAGAATATGGAATATAATGATTCATGTCAATTGTATACTGCTGCTTTAACATGAGCCATCAGGTGGCTGGACCTCGAGCCCTTATACGTACCGGTAATCCATTCATTGCAGTGACATAATCTCTTATACCGTAGTTAGCATAGCATGGCTTGTTTAATGACGTGTACACAATGTACAGCTGATTGTTACCGGTACGAGGTACAGTACTTCCCTGGATCATTGACTGTTTTCCATTTTCTGCCTACTTGATTCGGCTTGCACTCTGAACCACCGTGCTTCATACACTACAAGAACGCTCACACAACACAAACCCATCTTCCCACAACCACAGCATGGCCCCATCAGCCTGTGTCACAATCTCTTGCTCTTGCAACCAGGTACCGTAACCTGCTCCTCCTCTACATTCCCCTCCAATCATCCCTTCCACATGAGCCTCGATCCCCCAACCCTCATCCCTGCCATCCCCATTCGGTCTATGAAGCGGCAGTGCACATTTCTCGAGGGGTTGTGTGCCATGTACCGTGTTCACATTCCTCCCAGTCTGCTTTGAGTGCAGCCTGCCCGAGCCTCTACTTCAACAACTGGACCTTGCCGCAAAACAGGTCCCCAGCAACATCAATCATGCCATTGAACATTGACGGGTTGTCTATTACCCCCTGAATTGAGTCGTCCAAATTGCCGCTTGAAGTCACAAAACCCCCCTCAAAATTGTTAGCGCTTCAGAAATTTCAACATGCTGGTTGTGCGATCTGCCCATGCGACTCGTCCAAAAGGGAAAGCGCCACCTTCCGGCGGAGGGCAGTCCACTCCGAAATAGATGTATCCTGGCTTGACACCTTTAGACCGGACGTTGTACGCGTGTGCGGTAACATCGATACGCATGTTGCCTCCATCGACCCTGGATAATGTGTTGTAACAGAGACGGGAAAGCGGTCAGGACGTGTCCCGTGCATGTTAAAAAAAAATCAGCAAGTTGCTCATACTGTAAAAATCCGTAGTAGTGTCAATCCTTTGAACATTTGAGGCAAACCAAACTCACTTCCAAGTCTTTACGCTGATCGTTCCTCTAGCCCACTCGGGACGCGTCACGCGGCCTTTGTATCTGGAAGGACTAGCAACCACCCATATGTGATCTGCAGGAAGGGGGATAATGAAGAAGGCCGAGGATCCAACGAAAAAGAACACTTAGTACCTGGCAGGAGGTGAACTTAGAGTCATCTCAGAAAAGGGACAGTTCAGTCGACACAAAAGTCCAACAAAAAGGAACAAATGGTACATGGCTGGACTCAGCAGCGCTACTAAGTGATCTGAAATGGGAAAAAGCAAGGAACAAGCATTGTAGAAAAAGCCAGGCTACCAATTTTTTTCAGTCCAGGATCTGTCCTGAATCTGCCATGAATCCCTCATGGATCTCTCATGGATCAGTTCCGAGAGTTACTAAGAGGACAAAAAAAACAAACTTCAAGGACAGATCCAGGAAACAACGTGAAGTGAACGGGCTTGCTACAAAAGTCCCTCGAGAATGCCGATGCAGCAGAATTGTCACATCGCAGAATACAGCTCATACAGCCGTGCAAGACGGACACTCACGGGAGACTTCCCCCAAGCTCCGCCGATTCGTCTCCCCAAGAGCCGTTGTGACGTTCTCCGCCCTGACGCCCCAGAGAAGCGCCGCGCCTGCCAGGCACAGCTTCGGGAAAACAATCAGCTTCTTCAGGAAAGCGCCGCACAGCTTCGGGAAAACAATCAGCTTCTTCAGGAAAGCGCCGCACAGCTTCGGGAAAACAACCACCAGCTTCGGGAAAGCGCCGCACATTTCGGGAAAACAACCACCAGTGAACAAGACGAGTTTAGGACTATGGCAGCAAAAGAGGAAGGGGTTCAGACAGCCACGGGCCGTGCCACGGGGAGCGGTGATCACAAGGATGAGAGCGTATACTCACAGATTAGCAGGAAAAGCGCGCTCCTGGCGGCCATAATAGCAACAGCAGTCAAGTTGCCAGCAAGAAGGCCTGAATACGAGAATGAGGGTGTTTCAGAGATCAGCAGGATACGAGCTCTGAGAGAAAGTGGTGCTTCTGTCAGTGTCAACGCCTTATCAGGGGATTACGATGTACCGTACTTCCATCAGTCTCAAAACGCGACACGCAGACTCCCAGGTTCCTCACCTCAATCTCGTCCGAGCCATCCCAGCTCTTCGTGGTGGAAGTGGCTGCGGCTCGAAGCGCGTCGGTGGGGGGGTGTGGTGTCACCTGTGGGTGGATGGGAGGGAGTCGGCCAATTTAGGGTTTCCGGGCAGCACCATCCCAAACAACATCTTCGCCTCGACAATGTACCTACAGCACATTGACAACGAACCTACAATGTACCTACAGAGTGCACGCACACAATGTGTGTACATGTTCTCACACATAGCAGACACTTCGACACCATGTGCAGGGTAGGCAGAGGCTGCCTACAACACCTGGACAATGTCCAAACTGCAGTACCCACTATGTGCGTACTTTGGTTCCACCCCACACACAGATACTACAGGGTTCTACACCACAAGCATAGTACACACAATATACATTCTATGTCCCCTTCCGCTTACTCAGGTCAGAGTCTAAACAATGCCGACACTAGGCGGTTCCAGGTTCCACTGTTTCTGCCCAAAAAAATGTCTCATTTATAATTACCCTTGTACATCAGCCCACAAATTACGAAACTGGCTACCCCCTTACCCCCCCCCCCACCCCCCCCCCGCCCCTCTTTCCCCATCTACCTCCCCCCTCAGTAATAATAAGATACTCCCTCCACTGCTTCCTTGTTCCCACTCTTCCCCCCTAAGTCACTGCGACCTGCGCGGCAGCATCCATGTCATCGTCGCCGTCATAAACCTCCCCACCCACAATTTCCTCCGTCATCTCCACCACCTCCTCCGGGCTTGGGAAGTGGATCAGCACGTTGTAATGCGTACCCTCGCTGAACTGGTACGCCTTCTCACTTGCAATGTAGCGAGGACCACCCCTAGTGGTACGCCACTTGAGAATGGTGTATCGCATCCAGTTGCAAACGATGGCCCGCATCCGGTTGGTGTTGTGGATGTTGGGCGTGTCTTTGGTCGGGAGCCCGGTGCGGTACTGATCGTGGTGCACAACGGGGTATTCAGCCTGTGGAACCATCACAACAGGTGGGGAGAAGGCACACCTAGTGATCCGTGTGTATATGGGTCACGCATGAGTTTAGGGTTTCATACATTCAGGGAACACTCCCAATGGCGGTTACTGCCTTAACATCCCATATGCACTCACCCCATACAGGGCGAACGCCACGTTGTAGGGGTGAAGCCTCAGGTTCTTCCGCTGAAGACACCTCCAGTACGCTGCCGCGATGAAAATCTCAAACTGCCAAGTGCTGAACGGCACGCCCTGCTCGTTGCAGTGCCACGTCATCGAGAACCCATCTGCCACATGGGGAGTGGAATGACAAGGCAGCAGAGTATAACGAGTTTCAGCCCGACAACAATACTGTGATGCGCGTTTAAACACACACCACACCCACAGCAGAATTCCAGCCTACATACTCTGCACAATCATACACGCATCAGCCATTACCAGGGAGGTATTCCTCGTAGGCAGCCCGTGGGTTGCGCACCACGCTGCAAGTGACCAGCTTCCATTGAACCTCCTTGGGCAAACCACCCACAAAGCGGGGAATGCCCAAGAAGCGGTACAGCACCGTTTTGCTGATCCCCGTGATGCCACCACGCATCCTGGCTGAAACTGTCGACCACACTGCCATGTGCTCGGCAGAAAACTTAAGACAAAACACCAGCCTGGCTTGCAGATGCTCCCCAATTGCTCCCGTCGCCGCACTCCACTTTGCCACGATCTCCACTTTCGGCCACATGGACAGCCCTTTGTCGCCAGTTGACTCGCCCACCATGATACATTTCTGGAACACCTGCACGTATCGTGCCTGCTCAAAGCACACAGAAAATAGCACTGCACAGACTCATAAAGGGAGGTAACAAGCACATTGTCCTGCTTCATATTTAACGTCAGAATGCAACCGCGTGGAATGGGGTTACACATGCCCACATTGGTGCCTTACCGACAGTTTGGCAGGCTCGACGATGGCTGCAACCGAACGCTGCAGCTCTGCCACGTGCGTGGTGTCCTGGGTGTCGTTGGATCCGGTAACCAGAGAGCCTCCCGACGGACCCTGCATGGGGGGATTGCCATCGAGGCTGGGTGCGTGGCAACATCGCATCTGGTTAGCATTCTCCTGCTGCAGGCTTAGAGTTTTCTGCAGCAGCTCGCTTAATTCCTTCACAGCATTGGTCGATGTCGTGACAGCCTTGCTCATGTCCTGAAAATGGGTTTGCATGGCGCGCATAGCATCCGTGATGGCGTCGACGTTGTTAGCGTCCCAGCCGTAATCGCGCAGGTTCCCTCTGGGCGTCGAGTCTGTAGGCATGTACGCCATACGTCCACTCAGCTGATTGACATCCCCCACACGCTCTGCACATCATGGACACACCATCGTGAAGGGTTAACAAGAGAAAAAAAAGGTAGCGTGCCAGTGGTATCCACGGAAGCTAAAAAGCAACGCATAGTTGCAAGGTTTTCAAACCACTTGCGGAACACATACCTGATTCCGTCTCTTCCGCCTCCTCGTTCCCAGCGTGAGAACGGGTAGGAGCCACTTTTCCTCTACTCAGCGAGTGCACCGTCCGCTTGTGACCTGTCTCGGAAGACAACCGCGTAAGCAGGTTAGAAAGGGGTCTTAGCGACAATACATGTCTGCAACCTTCAACACTTCACCCTCACTCTGTGGCATCGCAGGTGGCTTCAACTTAGCGGTGGGATTGACTGTGGCTCCTCGTGTGCCATCTGCACAGTTGTCGCCCCTAGGTCGGCCCAGAGATCGAACGGTTACAGCGTTCTCATCTCCATCTGTAAAAGTATATCGTTCCGGGTTCACAAAAAAAGGAGCTCCAATACAAATTAGAACGCACACGGTACATCACCACATCACATAGAGGTGTACTCACATTCAGCACCGTGGCCAGCGTCGTCATCTCCATCTTCCAGGCCCTGTGCACCTCGCTTGCTTGCGAAATATTGCAGCATTTCATGATGCTCCCTGGGCGTCAGATTCACCGCGACTGTCTCGACATCACCAGCGCGACCGACACGCCCGCGAGGCAACCCGCTCTCAAAGTCGGGGTGATGGAACCGAGAATTGGGAACCGGTCTGCGTTTCCCAATCACGCCATCGGCAGCGTCCGCCGCGAGAATCTGAGACATGGTGATGAGAGACTAGCCGGATACTGGCTCTGAACGAGCCGTCTCTGAAATGGCTATACGGCGCCATCTTGGCTCTAAAATACTGTGTGAGGTCTGAGCGTCAGCAAGCTCTGAGTCAGAGTGGTTCTAGGTGATCTAGCCTGCAGGGTCACAATTGCTTGGTGACGAACTCCTTGAGTGAGCTAGGGTTTCAAGGGTCAAGCAACAGCTCAGCTCTAGCACGATCCAACCACCTCTCGCTCCTCCAATAAGCCGTTTCTCTGAAGTGTAATTCTAAGTCTAATTTACAGGTCGGAATCACAACCGTTGATCACACCAATCAAGACCAACCTCAGCCATAAGCAGACGACACCATAAGCTGTAACTAACGGCCAGGATCTAGCTGGCCAACCAAGCCAGCGATTAGCGGAAAGCACGCACTCAGGATGGTACTAGGCGCTCTAGCCTGAAGTGTGAGGCGACACAATCTCTCGGTGACGGAGCTGTGGTTTCCAGGGTCAAGAAACAGCTCAGCATTTGCACGATCCAACCACCACTCACTCGACCAATAATCAGGTTCAACAATGTGTAAACCAGTGTTTGGTTTACAGGGTTGTCTAATGTGACCCATTGTACTACCCCACCACCCCACCTGACCGGCTGACGGTTGTGGCAGCTTGCTAGCTGTGCTGAAGAGGCAGTTTCCGAATCAGAAGTCCAAGTGGAAGCTGATCAAGGTGCATGCGCTCGTGCACCTCCCTTATGCACTAGAGACGCGTGGCGTCCCCGAAGAGTACTCAACCAACCTGTTTGAGCACAGTCACGTGCGCTTGGTGAAGCGCCCGTACCGTTCTTCGAATCGAAGGCAAATCAACAAGGCCATTATCTCAGCGGATGAGATAAGGCGGGCCATGGGTGTGCTGCCGTCCGCTATTCAAGGCGACAAGAAGTACATGACGGCTATGGCAGAGGTGCGACCCAAAACGCATTTCATGTGTGACTGTTTTGATGGGCGTAGGTAGTGCTCTCCATAGTTTCGTGTTGATCCTCCGGTGATGGTCCATCTTCATGTGTTTTTTGCTGCGATTGGTCCCCCACACTCTACAGGTGATGCTGACCGGCCAGCCTGCACTGACAAAGACTTCCGAGACGATGGTGCTTGTCAACGGCCAAAGGTGGCAAGCGTAAGGCGGTAGACATATGGGAGGCCTACTGCAAGTCCTTGCCGGAGGACATGGCACACCTCTCTTCTGCAATGGCTCGCTATGGCATGGAATGCACGACAATTCAGGTGGGTTAGATGAATCACGTGATGTGGCACTGGCATGGGAGGGTTGTGTTTCAATTTCAGGGGTAGAGGAGGGAGGGGGGGGCGAGGGTGTAGGAGTGCCTCACTTGCTGTCAACCATAGAATAAGCAGACATGTGATCACCGTGCTGACATGTGCTGATGATGCGTGCGTCATACGCATCCCCCTAGTCCAAATCCACAGCGCCACATCATCATCACCCCCCCCCCCCCTCTGTACCCCCGGCCCCTCCATCCGCTTCCTCACATCGCCTCCTGGGTAACTTGTTCTCCCATCGCTGCTCCGCCTTGTGGGCCTTGGCTCTGCCGATCAGCTTTGCCCCCCAACAGGGACACACAACACACCCGGGACTTCTGGTCCCAAGCCCCACTTCACCTCCCGTTTCCCCTTCCCCCCTTTCTCCGTGTCCACCCCAGCCCCCCCCCCTCCATCTCTGGGCACCTATGTTCGCCCAGCAGGTATGGTGTGTGCATACCGACGCCGAAACCCAGACATGGTGCATTGGCTGGACCTGGCCTTACCCTATAGGCTAGACCCGAAACCTAGACATTCGCTTCTTTGCCACCTGTGGTTACTCCCACCACTCCCCTTTTCCATCCCTTTATCCTGCTAGCGAATCAGGACACACTGCACATTCTGCGCGTGCATGGTCATGCGACCAAACCAAGGCCGTTGGATCCCCCAAGTTCTTGTGTGCCCAAAGCATAGGAGGACCATGCTGTTGAGAATGTGCCTTGCGACGTTGCCGTGATGATTCGTGACATATGTACATACCGAGACCCACGTACCAGTGTATCGTGTGTTCCGTCCTGATCCTGCAACCCTCCCTACTGTCATCAGGTGCACCCGGCATTGGCTGTCAGCGGCGTCGCAGTTGACGGATCTGACCGTGGAGGGCCTGGTTGGGTCAGAGCATCTCCAAGCTTTCACGGAAAACCGTGCTTCTCTTACGTGGAGGCTAGAGCGGGCGGGGAAACCTTCATTGCCAAGGTCTTGCTCATTTTCAGGCCGGAAGCTTCACGGAAGGATGGCTTTGTGTTTCTGCAACGCTTGCTCACGGCCGGGGTGGACGCATCCTTGGGTGTGTCTTCGTATGTTAAGCACTCCCCCGGCAGCCATGCGCACGGTTATGTCGTGATCCCAACTCGTGATGTGGTGCGGGTTGTGCACGTTGTTGCGTCATTTGTCAAGGAGGGCACGTGGTTCCTAAACCAGTATTTGTTCTGAATTGGGAACCGGTCTGGAAAACCAGCTCTAGCGGTGAACGCATTAACCTATACTTTTCATGGCTTGACAATGGCCCATCTGGGCATCATTTCGAGCTACATCAGACACGGCCATTTAGTCGGAGTGTCATTTTTAACTCACCCTGGGGGCTGTCTAGTTCTTACCAAGTTGTTCCTTGTGTGTTACTACGCAAATGTCGCCAATTTAATGAAGACTGATATTTATCGGTTATGTCTATGCTTGTAGTTGATGTAGTTGTACTTTGGGCCTAATCGAATGACTCTTTATGCCGTTGCGCACTGTTACGGACTCCTGACTTCGCATCGACGGCCCTGAAATTTTCAAGTTGTTGAGCTTGTTTTTCATTGGCCGAGTATCGTCGATGGTGTGGTTGGTTGTTTTCACACCGTATTTGTTACTGTTTGTGATGATTTTGCGAGTTGGGTTTTGGGAACTAAGTGTGCTTGTAATGTTACGCGTCCCACTGTAACCTGAGGTTCAGTGTTTGGCAAAGTAGAAGTCCAGGCTTTGTACCTTGTTTGTAGGCTTGGAGCACAGGGGAACCATGTAGGTTCGTGAGACCCAGACGTATTCATTGGTCAGTGTCAACACAGTGTAGCCACTTCCGTGATTGTGCTTTGTCCCGAGCCTACAATCTGGCACGAACCCCAAGCATAGTTGGCGCGAGGTGGGGGGACTACATTGTAGCTACTCCGCGCGTACAGTTCACCCACTCTGTCCCTGGGTTGCAAGTACCCACCCCCCACCTCGGTACCCCAACCCCCTCGATTTCAATTTTGGGATGACGAGAGTGACCGTCAAAATCGGGTATGCAAGCTGCTAAACTCGCCACACTAACTACATATGAAGCATAACTCCACGGAAATCACAGCTGCCCGGGGGTGGAGTGGGGGCGCTGCTACGTCATCGTTCATCCACGGAAAAGGCGGCGGGGCGGCCAACTTTGCTCGAATTTGGGAACTCGGTGTGAATGAGGTGCTAGCGGGAATGAGGTGAGGAAGCAGTACATTCGGGTTCTAGTGAATGAGGTGCTAGCGGGAATGAGGTGAGGAAGCAGTACATTCGGGTTCATGAGGACGCGTCACCTGAACGCCGATCTTGCGATCGATCGTCAAATATCGATCTTCCACCGCATTGAAACTACGCGCATCGTAGTCAAAACTTATAGATGCAAATTAAACCACGCAAAAATTTGATCCTACGTAGGATCGATCCTGCGATCGGCGTTGAGGTGACGCGTCCTGAGGGCATTTCGAACGAGAGGTTCGAAGAGCCTGTGTCAGTGGTTTCAAACATCTCAAAACGTTACTGAACGGTGAATCGCGGTAACGTTGCCTGGGCGAACCCTCGTTGAGAGAGGGTTGCGGGAAAGAACGTTGTTGCGGGGAATATGTGCGGGAACGAAACAAACAACACCGTCAGTACAGCATGTGTATTGGGGGTGCCGTGACGCTTGATTCGCATAGAAATACCAAACCGAGCCGAACCGACGCAATCCATCGTTTTACAACTTGGCACCGTGTCCCACCCACTGCACAGCCCCTTCATCAACGTCTTTTTACAATTGGAACCGTGTCCCACCCACAGCACAGCCTCAACAGGCTCACAGAGCTTGTACCATACTTGGTCGGCTTCAAGCTTCATCTCAACAGAAGGGTTGTTGGTCCTTGAAAGGTGTTTGTGAGGAGCTTTGCAGGCCGAACAAAGCCTGAAACGACAGAACTTTAACACTAGTTCGCCGCCTATGTCGACGCATCTGCGTTTCCTCCAACGTCGCCTAGCGGATGCACCGCCTGTCGCTTTCCCCTGCACCCGAAACCCAGTTTCCCGCCATCATTTGAATTATGCTGAAGTTTTAGGGCGCGTTTTATGTCGGTGTCAAGCTTCTGTTTCGGCTGAATTGACACGAAACGTAAACCAGCCGGGGGTCAGCAACTATCAAGGATGGACGAGTGTTCCGCCACCATTTACCGTCCACGCAACCTGTCGCGGAGTCGCGAAGGAATTTGTCCACCATCACACCTTGCGACGGCGTCGCACAATCGCGCAGTGAACAAGTATTCCAGACTTTCCCGCTCGACCAATGCGCACACATGCAAAGTCGCTAGTACGTCACGGTCTAAGCCTTAGACTGAGTCCATTGGCAATCGATTAGACACAGAGATGTTGCGAGCTTCGCCCAAATCTTGACGTTGGCCTTACTTTGGAGAACCTGGAGATGCGCGACGGTGCCACCGATCCCCCCGCCAGCAGGAATGCAGGCCCATGCCGGAAGTACGCTCGCATTCTGCCCTCCGACAGGTGAGAACGCCCAGGCTGTCAAGATTTGGGTTTAACACGGTGCAGCGCGGTGTGTTTCAGTGGTGTTAGGTCCAATTGACCCAGCAGATGCAGGAGTGCGGGCCCATGCCGGAAAACCTTGAGGTTTGCGAACCGGACTGTAATACCATGCGGTTCAGTGCATTTCAATGCAGTTCAATCCGTTTTTAAAACCCGCAGCCTGAATTACAAAAAGTGTTGAGAGGTGTTAACACTTTTCGTCCCGAACCTGGGTGGTTACCAGGTGCCCAACCAGTAAACGTGAGGAAGTCGCACGCAACACAGGGAAGGGTCGCAAGGGTCCCTGGCAACGAGTTTGGCTGTGGGTGTGCACACCTAGCAGGTGTTTTGTAATTCAGGTCGACAGAAATCGGGGAGTTCCTAGCCTACTATTAGCCTGCACTACTGCTTAGATCTGGATTTCTTTTTCCAGCTACTGCAGTCTCTATCGCAATCTTTGCGATTTTGTGACGCACTCCCGTCGCATTAGAGCGTCTCCTCTCCGTCGCCCACGCTCATCCCTCCTGTCGCGTAAACATATTAACTTTCGTCGCCTACGCTCATCCCTCCCGTGCACGAGGGGCATGTTCCCCTGCGACGCACGCGATCATCCCTCCCGTCGCGTAAACATATTCCCCCCCCGTGGCCCGCGCTCACTCCCCTCCCGTCGCCTTCGCTCTTTCCCCTCGTCCACGCTCACTCCCTCGCGTCGTATTCGCTCATTCCCCCCCTTCGCGGATGCTCACTCCCTCCCATCGTATTCGCTCACTCCCCTTCCGCCGCCCACGCGCACTCCGTCCCGTCGCGTTCGCTCACTCCCCCCCGTCGCGACAGTCCCCTCCGTCGCATACGCTCGTTCCCCTCAATCGCCCACCTTCCCTCCCCTCCGTCGCCCACGCTCACTCTCTCCCGTCACCCACGCTCACTCCGACGGGAAGCACGCTTATTCCCCTTCCGTCGCCCACGCTCACTGCCCGTACGTCGCACACGCTCACTTCCTTCCGTCGCCCACGCCCGCTCCCTCCCGTCGCCTCCGCTCACTCCCCGTCCGCCGCCCACGCTCGCTCCCTCCCGTCGCGTTCGGCCCCATCCGTCGCGCACGCTCACTCCCCTGCCGTCACACACGTAGGCACCCTCCCCTCGACCGAGAAGGCATTCTCCGCTTCCGTCGCATACGCGTTCATCTCCCCATTCCTCATCTCCCCGTCCCTCATATCCCCATCCCTCATCTCCCCATCCCTCATCTCCCCATCCCTCATCTCCCCATCCCTCATCTCCCCATCCCTCATCTCCCCATCCCTCATCTCCCCGTCCCTCATCTCCCCGTCCCTCTTCTCCCCATCCCTCATCTCCCCATCCCTCACTTCCCCATCCCTCATCTCCCCATCCCTCTCCTCCCCATCCCTCTCCTCCCCATCCCTCACCTCCCCATCCCTCTCCTCCCCATCCCTCTCCTCCCCATCCCTCTCCTCCCCATCCCTCACCTCCCCATCCCTCACCTCCCGCCCTGTGTGCCCCTCCCCGCGTCACCATCCCCGCCTCTCCCCCGTCAACCCCATCCCATCCCCTGCCCTCAGGGATGGGGTGGACGCGAGGTGGAGGAGTGGGGGCGAGTCGTCGTGCTGAGTCGGGGGCGCCGCGACATTGTGGGAGGCTCCCCACCCGCCCCACCCCATTCCGCCCCACCCCATTTCCGCCCCACCCCATTCAGCCCCACCCCATTTCCGCCCCACCCCATTTCCGCCCCACCCCATTCAGCCCCACCCCATTCCGCCCCACCCCATTTCCGCCCCACCCCATTCCGCCCCACCCCATTTCCGCCCCACCTCATTCCGTCCCACCCCATTCCGCCCCACCCCTTTCCGCCTCACTCCATTCCGTCTCAACACGTCCCCCCTTTTTCCCCTCCTGATCGCCCTCTCCCTTATTTCCCTCCACTATTTCTCCCCATCCCCCTCCCTCCTGTTTCCCCCCTTCCCGCCCCCACACCCTCTTCTGCAGGGAGAACCGGAAGAGCGTGCTACAGCTGCTGCTGTGCTCATGCTACAGGTGAGCCACAACACAACATGCTCTGCTGTGCGGTTGTGTGCGGTGCGGTTCTGTGCTCTGTTCTGCTCTGCAGTGCTGTGCAGTGCGGTGCTCTGCACTGCTCTGCTGTGCAGAGCTACGCGAGATGAGGTGCGCTGCGCTGCTCTGGGGCGCTGCACCTCCACATCCCTCACCTCCACATCTCTCCTCTCCCCATCCCTCCTCTTACCATCCCTCCTCTCCCCATCCCTCCTCTTACCATCCCTCCTCTCCCCATCCCTCCTCTTACCATCCCTCCTCTCCCCATCCCTCCTCTTACCATCCCTCCTCTCCCCATCCCTCCTCTTACCATCCCTCCTCTCCCCATCCCTCCTCTTACCATCCCTCCTCTCCCCATCCGTCCTCTCCCCCTCCGTCCTCTCCCCATCCTCTCCTCTCCCCATCCTCTCCTCTCCCCATCCTCTCCTCTCCCCATCCGATCCTCTCCCCATCCTCTCCTCTCCCCATCCTCTCCTCTCCCCATCCTCTCCTCTCCCCATCCTCTCCTCTCCCCATCCTCTCCTCTCCCCATCCTCTCCTCTCCCCATCCTCTCCTCTCCCCATCCTCTCCTCTCCCCATCCTCTCCTCTCCCCATCCGATCCTCTCCCCATCCTCTCCTCTCCCCATCCTCTCCTCTCCCCATCCGATCCTCTCCCCATCCTCTCCTCTCCCCATCCTCTCCTCTCCCCATCCTCTCCTCTCCCCATCCTCTCCTCTCCCCATCCGATCCTCTCCCCATCCTCTCCTCTCCCCATCCGATCCTCTCCCCATCCTCTCCTCTCCCCATCCTCTCCTCTCCCCATCCGATCCTCTCCCCATCCCCTCCAGGTGTTTCCCACACCGCCATCGGCCCTGCGCCACCTCCTCATCCCACCTTCTCACCCCTCATCCCTTGTTCTCATCCCTCATCTGCACCAAAGAGCTGCTTGGGGCGCTGTGGACAGATGGCAACGCGCATAGTCACGCAGCAGAGGCGGACATGGTGCTGCTGGAATCTCTTCCCCCCTTCCCCACTTCCTCCCATCATCACTTCCTCCCATCATCACTTCCCTCTTCCCCCTCTTTCCCTGCTTTCCCCTCCCCATCACTCTCCCTCTCCCTGGCTATTGCAGTGACTACATTGATGATTTTTTCTGGCACTGCAACTTGCTCAGAGGCCCATCATCCCATGCCATGCTCGTAGAGAAAACAGTTCCCTTCATGCTTTTTTCGAGGCCTTGGAAAAGGTACAATCAAAAGTATTGTGCACATGCCTTTCTGTACCCTTCTGACACTCTTAGTGTCCATGCATCTTGGAAGAATATACTGCACTGCAGAAACAAAAGTACATACAGTATTGTGCCTTCGAGATCCATCTCTTCAACAAAAATACAGTATCATGCATGCATACAACACACAAGAAACAGGTGGTGGTACGATGCAAAGCATAGACTAGTTGCGCCTCAGCTTGCTCATCTGCTTCACCACTGAAAAATAGGGGAGTGGAGTAGGCAGAAATATTCGTGTGAAGGAACATGGGGGAGGTGGTGTGAGGTGCAAGGGAACAATGGCAGGGGAATACAGGCAATCGCACATAATGAAAGCATGTATGGGGAGACAATAATGGGTGCACATGCATGGGTATTAGAGGGCGGAAGGTGAGGAGGTGGAAGGGCAGGGCACGAAAAGGAAGGGAAGGGTTGAGAACGGCTGGGGGAGGGAAGGGCGGAGCAGGGAGGAAAAGGCAGGGATGGGGAGGGCACTTCGGAACAGGGCAGAGGGTGCAGGAGAGTGTGAGTGCGAGAGGAGGGAGGGAGAGAGTGCAGGAGGAAGGAGAGTGGGGGAAGGAGGGTGGGAGGAAAAGGCAGGGATGGGGGTTCCTAGGTGGGAACAGGGCAGAGGGTGGTGGGAAGGAGAGTGAGAGTGCGAGAGGACGGGGGGAGAGAGTGCAGGAGGAAGGAGAGAGAGAGAGTGCGGGAGGAAGGAGAGAGAGAGAGTGCGGGTGCTAGGAGAGAAAGAGAGTGCGGGAGGAGGGAGAGAGAAGAATGGGAGCATGATGGTAGGAAGGAATGTGAGAAGGTGGGAAGGGTGCAGAGATGGCGGCAGAACGGAACGGGAGAGGGTGGGCGGAACAGATTGAATAAGGCCGGCCGACGCGCAGCGCCTGCACTTGCGACGGGCATTTTCCCAACGAGCGAGGGTGTCGAGCCGGGGAAATATGAGTGACAGGGCGGACAGCCAGCGATAGGGAGGGGAAGGACACCTGGAGAGGGAGATTATGAGGGGAAGCAGGCCAGGGGATGGGGGGAAGCAGGGGAGGGGACGGGAGGAAGCAGGGAAGGGGATGGGGGAAAGCAGGGAAGGGGATGGGGGGAAGCACGGAAGGGGATGGGGGGAAGCACGGAAGGGGATGGGGGGAACCAGGGAAGGAAATGGGGGGAGGCAGCGGAGGGGACGGGGGGAAGCAGGGGAAGTGACGGAGGGAAGCAGCCCAGGGGATGCGGGGAAGCAGGGGATGGGACGGGGGGAAGCAGGGAAGGGGATGGGGGGAAAGCAGGGAAGGGGATGGGGGGAAGGAGGGAAGACGAGGTGGGGAGCGAGGAAGATGCCGGGGAAAGAGCTGGGGGGAGGACGGTGGGGAGCAGGGCGATTGATGGGGGGAAAAGGGAGATATGTATGCAGTGAGGGAGTGAAAGGCGATTTTTCGGGAATGGGAAGGGTGCATGTGCGGGTGGGGAAGGGGGCGTGACAAGTGTGCGAGATGAGAAGGGAGAAGGGAGGGATGGCGAGGACAACGAGGAGTGGATGGGAGGGCGACGGGGAAAGAGAGGGCGACGGGGGGAGAGAGAGACGGGGATTGCGAGGGGACGAGCGGGAGGGAGGGCGACGAGCGGCAGAGAGGGCGACGAGACGACGGGGGGCAACGGGGGGAAGGGAGCGCGACGAGGGAAAAGAAGGGCGGCGGGCGGAAGGGAAGGCAACGGGGGGAAGGGAGCGCGACGAGGGAAAAGAAGGGCGGCGGGCGGAAGGGAAGGCAACGGGGGGAAGGGAGCGCGACGAGGGAAAAGAAGGGCGGCGGGCGGAAGGGAAGGCAACGGGGGGGAAGGGAGCGCGACGAGGGAAAAGAAGGACGGCGGGCGGAAGGGAAGGCGGGCGGAAGGGAAGGCGACGCGAGGGTAGTAGGCGGGGAAAGCGAGAGCGACGGGCGGGGGAAGCGTGAGCGATGGGTGAGGGGACCGAGGTCGACGGGCGGCGAGGCGGCGAGGGCGACGGGCGGGGCGAGGGCGGTGGGCGGAGAAAGCAAGGGCGACGGCGAGGGTCGCGACGTAGGCAAAGCGCTCTCTCATCTCCTCACGCCCATTTTCTCCGTGCTTCGATTGCGTATACAAGCTGCACCTACTAATTTCGGTTGTCTGAAAGGTGCTCACTCTAAAATCCTAGCTGGTGTGCGATGATCGGATTGTGATAGCGAGTGAACCAGTTTTCTGTCGCACCAGTTTTCTTATGCTGATCCAGCTCTCTGGGTTTGGGATGCGGATTGCCTGCGAACTGTTTGCCCCACGGGAGAGTCGCATTAGGTTTCGCTAACCTTCCACCTTTCGCAATTCTTCCGCACCTCCTATTGCCCGAACCCCGACCTACCAAACCAAGCGTTGACTCAGTTTTTGTAATTCAGGCTTCGGGTTTTAAGCAGTTCAAGGCGGTTCAATACGGCTCGGTGTGGTTTTATGAGATTGAATGCGGTTCACTATCGTTTGACGCAGATAGATGCGTTTCAAAGCGGTTCAATGCAGCAATGCAGTTCGTTGTTCTGACACTATTTTCTTCCCATCATCCCTCCCCCATGAACCATGAGCCCCTAACACTCAACCCTCCTGTCCCGCCATTCCGACCGAGAATCTCAAACCTGCCTGTTCGAGCCTAAGAACAAGTCGCCAGCAACCTATCCTGGTGTGTACCCCCTACCCAGATGAATGTCTAATATCGGCTGAATCACCGGTTCCATTAGGTCTTTAGGAAAATCGCAAACCCGCCTTTCCGAGCCTCTTCTCCAACTTCGGGAAGGCGATAAGTGACAATAAAAGAGACCTCTCCCCGGAGATTATGCCCGTGGGACTACAAAACAGGTGTGTCTTTTATCCAGGAGAATTTAAGCTAGGTAGGTATCTTCACCAATCAGTACAATCATACCGCTGTTCTACTACTTTGACAGATCATCCCGCCGCACCACCATTCAGTTAATAAAAATACTCAAACCCGCCTGCCTGCCCGAACCCTAGCTACTTCAGCTTGTGTAACCTGCCACAGAAGAAGTCTCCAGCAACATCAATGACAGCGGTGTACTTGTAATGACTGGCTACTATCCCCTGAACAGTTTGAGCCGCCAACGGGACCGAAGTTGTTTGCTTCCCCACGAAGTTGTAGCGTTTCAGCTGTTTTTCCGGCCCGCTCGTGCGGTCTGACCACGGCAGATGTCCAAAGGGAAAAGCGGCACCTAGTTTTGGTGGACAGTCTAAAGCGAAATAAATCATTGACGGCTTGACACCTTTCGACCGGACGTTGTACGCGTGTGCGACAATGTCAACGATTATACTTCCTCCGATCCTGGATATTGAGAGAGTCGCAACAGAGACAGGAACGCGGCCAGAATGTGCCGTGCAGGATATTATTCAGCAAGTTTCTCATGCTGTTAGACAATATTGTTGTCATCCGAGGTGAATCAAACTCACGTAATAGCCTTAACGTCGATCGTTCCTTTAGCAATATCGATAAGCGACACTCGCCCCTTGTATCTGGAAGGACTAACAGTCGCCCGCAAGTGATATGAAAAAGGAATAATGGGGAAGGCCAAGGATCCATTGAAAAGGAGCACTTAGTAACTGGCATGACTCACCAGTTCTACTACGTGACTCTTGATTCGACTCAAATGTCACGTGATCTGAAAAACGGAATAAGAAGTAAAGAAAAGGATCCAATGGAAAGGAACACTTGGTACCTGGCAGGACTCACCGACGCTACTAAGTGATCTGAAATGGGCTTGGGAGAACCAAGGAACGAGCATTGTGGAAGAAGCCAGGCAAGGAAGAAGAAGAAACACGCACGCACACGCACACGCACGCACGCACACGCACGCACGCACACGCACACGCACGCACAAGCACACGGACACGCAAACGCACACGCACACACACGCACACACACACGATCATCACTCACGTATGACTTTCCCGGCCACCAAGCTCCGCCGGTTCGTTTCCCCAAGAGCCGTTGTAACGTTCGCCGCTCTGACGCCCCAGAGAAGGGCCGCCGAACCTGCCAGACACAATTTCGGAAAATACATCCGCCAGCTTCGGGAAAGCGCCACACAGCTTCGGAAAACAACCACCAGCTTCGGGAAAGCGCCACAAAGCTTCGGAAAAACAACACCAGTGAACAAGACGAGCTTAGCACTATGATCAAGCATGAGAGCGATGATCAAGCATGAGAGCGATGATCAAGCATGAGAGCATATACACTCACATAGTAGCAGGGAAAGCACGCTCCTGGCGGCCATAGTCGCAACAGCAGTCACGTTGCCAGCAAGAAGGCCTGGACGCGTGGGTGTTCCAGATCAGGAGGATAAGAGCTCGGAGAGGAGAGTGGTGCTTCTGTCAATGTCAATGCCTTATCAAGGGATTATGATGTATACAGTTCTGCACTTCCATCAGTCTCAAAACGCGACTCGCAGGCCCCTCACCTCACCCTCATCCGAGCCATACTTCCCAGCTCTTCATGGTGAAAGTGAAGGCGGGTCGACTTTTGAGGCGCCTCAAAAGTCGTTCCAGCTCTTCATGGCGGAAGTGAAAGCGGGTCGAAGCGCGGTAAGTCGGTGTAGCGGCAGCTTTGGTGGATGAGAGGCAGTCGGCCCATTTAGGGTTTCCGGGCAGCACAAAAAGGGTGACAGTTGCACCTGAGAGTGATCAAGCTACGTTAGTAGAACCCCGAAATGGTTGGTAGTGATGGTATGTAGTGAGGAATGTATTAGAAATCAGTACGAAGCTAGGGGGTTGGCTGCATGCATGCGCGGATTGCGAGGCCAAGTGACGGTCTTTGAAGACACGGGACTCGCTAAGATAACACTTAGCAGATCCGATACCTGGCCCAAGTAGAAAAAAACAGTGGTGTAAGAACTAAAACAGGTTGTCAGCTGTTAATATCACCACACTCTACATATGAAGAATGAATCACCACCTGCCCGGGCGGCGCGCCCGCGCACATCGTTCGTGTATGGAGAAAGTGGAGGGGCGGCCACCTTGGTCGAATTTGGGAGCTGTGAGACGAAGGGAAATGAGAAAACGGTACATTCGGGTTGATTAGGCCATTTTGAACGTGAGGTTCAAAGATCTCAGCACGTTACTGTACGGTGAATCGCGGTACAGTACCTTGTTTGGGTGAAGCCTTGTTGGGTTGGTTGGGATGGGAGAGGGCAGCGCGAAAGAACGTTGCAGGGGAACAGAACAAACAACACCGTCAGTACAGCCTGTTGACGCGCTTTGAGTCCAACCGATGCAATGCATCTTTATAAAGTTTCGCACCGTGCCCCAACCACAGCACAACTCCTCCATCTCAACGGACTCGCGGGCTGCGTTCTGCAGGCATCTCCCTTGGGAGAGAAGTGGGGAGGCAAAGGGAAATGACGATGGTTCCGAGGCAGTTTACCCTTTGAATCCTCCTCCCCCCCCCGCTACAACCGAAAGTTGGAAATTTCGGGTTTAGGGTGCGAAGCTGCTGAAGGTAAACAGCCACAATTTCCAACACCACGTAGAAAAGGGTTTTCAACTCTGTTCGAGGAGGTTGGTGGCTTGTGCTTTTCCTACCTAGGTTGACGCGTCCCTGTTTGGGCTACTTAAGGGAGGGGCTGTTTGCTTTCTAGGGTTCAACCGTGGTGTTCCCTAACCCAGCGCCTCCCTCCCCCCTCCGTCTCACATCCCGGGCAAGAGCAGTTTTCGAAAGGGGGGGAGGAGGCAAATTTTGCCAGAGAAGGAAGCTGGGGTGGGGAAATAGGCAGCTTCCTACGCCCTCATATCCACGAGGGTAAATGGCTGTTCTGTTGCCATTTACCTTCGTTTACGTTCGGAGGGTAAATGGGAGGCTCGGATCCATTTTCCGGGCTGACCGGGCGTTGATCCAAAAAATGCAGTTGGGGGAAGGTTCCTATTTACCGCCTCCCCCCCCTCTGTCGTGCCTGCAGAACGCAGCCGCGGAGTTTGTACCATTGTTGGTCGGTTTCAAGCTTCATCTGCACGGAAGGGTTGTTGGTCCTTGAAAGGTGTTTGTGAGGAGCTTTGCAGGCCGAACAATGCCTGAAACGACAGAACTTGTACTCTGGTTCGCCGCCTATGTCGACGCATCTGAGTTCCTCCAACGTCGCCTAGCGGATGCACCGCCTGTCGCTTTCAGTACCCCCTGTGTCATCCATACAGTATGGTAAAGATTTAGGGCGCGTTTTATGTCGGTGTCGAGCTTCTCTTTTAGCTGAATTGACTCGAAATATGTAGACCGGCTTCAGGTCAGCAACTCTCAAGCATGGGCGAGTGTTTCGCCACGCTTTCACCGTCGCCGCAACCTGTCGCGGAGTCGCGAAGTCGCACTGCCATCTGAATTTGTTCACCACCACACCTTTCGACATCTCACAATCGCGCAGTGAACCAGTATCCCGGGCAGATCGCGCTCGAGCACACATGCGAAGTCGCTAGTAGGCCTAAGACCATTGGCGATCGATCAGACACAGAGTGAGATTTTGCGAGCTTGGCCCGAAGCTTGACGTCGACCTCACTTTTGGAGAACCTCGAGATGCGCGATCGCATTCTGCCCTCCAGGCCGACAGGTGCGAACGTCCGGGCTGTCAAGATTTGAGTTCAACACGGTGCAGCGCGGTGTGTTTTAGTCGTGTTAGGTCCCATGGCCGCCGCTCTCCCAGCAGATGCAGGAGTGCGGGCCCATGCTGGAAAATCTTTTGCATCCGAGAGGTGAAAACCGGACTGTGAATGTCGTTCAATGCGGTTCAATGCGGTTCGGTATGGTGTAGTACAATTTAGCACGGTTCAGTGCGGTTCAGTGCAGTTCAATGCGGTTCGGTATGGTTTGATGCGTTTGAATGCGGATGGTTCCGCCACCACTCCTGCTCTTTCCACAGCTGCCAGCTGCCTTCGTGCGCAGTTGCATTCATCAGCCTTTAAATGAGGATGCCCAAAACTACTCTCATGAGGGTGTGGATGTGCGAAAGTACTCATAAAGGGAAAAAAAACTTGCGCTTGTCTGTGGCAGATGAGGGAGCTCCAGGTTGATCTATGCTGACCAATGGTGTGCTGCCACATCACCCACGGCAACATCCGCCCCTCATGCCTCCCTTCCCCATCTTCCGTCTTGACTGTTCCCCCACCCACCCTAAACCCCCCCCCCTTCCTCAGGTGGTAGAGGCCCCCTTGCTCCCTGCACACCCACGGCATCACCCACAGCATCACCCGCAGAGAAAACCTTCTTGACTGTTCACACGGCATCACCCACGGCATCACCCATGGCACCACCCACGGCACCACCCGCAGAGACATCCCTCCCTCGTGTCTCTCTCCTCCATCTGCTCTCTTGACTGTTCCCCCGCCCTTCCTCACATGGTAGAGTAGAGGCCTCCTTGCTCCCTGCATACCCATGGCATCACCCACGGCATCACCAGCAGAGATTTTTTTCCCTCGTGTCTCTCTCCTCCATCTGCTCTCTTGACGGTTCTCTTCTTCACCTACCCTCTCTCCCACCCTCTCCCCCGCAACTGTCACGCACACCTGCTCTCCAACCCTCTCCCGCCTCTCTTTGCACGCCCACAGCAACGTCCGTCCCTCATGCCTTCCTTTTCCTATCTGTTTTTTTTCTGTGCCCCCCACCCAAACCTCTCCCTCACTCACTCCCACACCTCTCCCTCAACCACTCCCGCACCCTCTCCCCCACCCACTCCCGCACTCTCTCTCTCACCCACTTTCGCACCCTCTCCCTCACCCACTCCCGCACCCTCTCTCACCCACCCCCCAACCCCCACCAGGTGGTCATGGCCCTTGATCTTTCGCACGCCCACAGCACCACTCACTTCAGCCCCTCCGCTGCTTCATTGAGACGATTTTTTAGGCGCCTCAAAAACCCTCCCTGCACGCCCACAGAACCACTCACTTCAGCCTGAAATGGGGTCGACTAAAAAAAGGTGGTCATCATGGCCCTTGATCTTTCACACGTCCACAGCACCGCTCACTTCAGCCCCTCCACTTCAGCACCGCTCACTTCAGCCCCTCCACTTCAGCACCACTCACTTCAGCCCCTCCACTTCAGCACCGCTCACTTCAGCCCCTCCACTTCAGCACCGCTCACTTCAGCCCCTCCACTTCAGCACCGCTCACTTCAGCCCCTCCACTTCAGCACCGCTCACTTCAGCCCCTCCACTTCAGCACCGCTCACTTCAGCCCCTCCACTTCAGCACCGCTCACTTCAGCCCCTCCACTTCAGCACCGCTCACTTCAGCCCCTCCACTTCAGCACCGCTCACTTCAGCCCCTCCACTTCAGCACCGCTCACTTCAGCCCCTCCACTTCAGCACCGCTCACTTCAGCCCCTCCACTTCAGCACCGCTCACTTCAGCCCCTCCACTTCAGCACCGCTCACTTCAGCCCCTCCACTTCAGCACCGCTCACTTCAGCCCCTCCACTTCAGCACCGCTCACTTCAGCCCCTCCACTTCAGCACCGCTCACTTCAGCCCCTCCACTTCAGCACCGCTCACTTCAGCCCCTCCACTTCAGCACCGCTCACTTCAGCCCCTCCACTTCAGCACCGCTCACTTCAGCCCCTCCACTTCAGCACCGCTCACTTCAGCCCCTCCACTTCAGCACCGCTCACTTCAGCCCCTCCACTTCAGCACCGCTCACTTCAGCCCCTCCACTTCAGCACCGCTCACTTCAGCCTGTTTTTGAGTCGACTCAAAAACAGGCGGCCATGGCCCTTGATCTTTCACACGCCCACAGCACCACTCACTTCAGCCCCTTCGCTGCTTCCTTGATTTCCCTCGCCCCCGCCCACTCCTCACCCACTTCGCAACCCTCACCTCACCAGGTAGTAGAGGCCCAAGTTGACTCCTGAGTCCACTCAAAAGTCAACTTTGAGTCCACTCGAAAGCCCACTCCTGACCCACTTCCCAACCCTCACCTCACCAGGTAGTAGAGGCCCAAGTTGACTTCTGAGTCCACTCTAAAGTCAACTTAGGGGCTCTTCAATCCCTCCACGCCCATGGCATCACCCACAGCACAGCAACGTCTGGGTTGGCTCTTCTCTCATGCTTTCCCATTCCCCCTTCCCAATCTGCTTTCTCATTGCTCCTGCCACCCACTACCCAGCCCTTACCAGGGGCAGAGGCCCTTTGCTCACTGCACGCCCACGCCATCACCCACGGCAACAGCCGCCCCTTCACTCCTCCCTTGACTGGTCTCGCCCCTGCCCACTCCTCACCCACTACCCAGCCCTTACCAGGGGCAGAGGCCCTTTGCTCACTGCACGCCCACGCCATCACCCACGGCAACAGCTGCCCCTTCTCTGATCCCTTGACTGGCTGTGGCGATGGTCACTGGGGGAGCGACGTGGGGTGAGCTGATATGGAGGACGGTAAGCAGGTGAGCTTGGAATTCTGTAGCACGATTATATGTCAAGTGCAGGGAACAGGAAAACAGCTCCAGTTAAAGATGTGATATTAAGGAAAGGGAACAGCGTAGGGCTCAAATTAATAGGACCCAATTACCATTTGGCATGCCTTACACTGCCATTTCCAGAGATATATTATAATTTGCCTTTTTCCCCGTATTACCCTTTTTACCCTTTTTTGCCTCTTGGCCTTTTCTGGTTGTGTCAGGTGAAGCTGTTCATTGCTCACAATCGAGACCTACCTGAACTCCCACCTGATTTTTCACCTGACGTCACAGACTTTGTCGCATCCTGCTTGAACCAGTGCCCCTCAGAGAGGCCGACAGCTGCAGCGCTGCTGAGCCACCCATTCTTGGCGGCAGCGTAGTCTCATAGAGCATGTGTTGATGCGTCAATGCACACGGGCACCGTACAGAGTGGTACCGGTACCGGTAACTACCAGCTTGAGCCTTCAGATCCGAGCTGGGGAGGGGAGGGAGGAGTTTGGTCTTGGGGCGCCTCAAAACGGAGTGGCACCGGTACTGGTAATTACCAGCTTGAGGCTTCAGAACTGGGGAGGGGAGGGGAGGGGAGGGGAGGGGAGGGGACCCATGGAAGAAGCAACTTCAGCTGGAGTCCACCTCACCTCTCCCCACCCTTCCTTACTGGTGTCCCTGGTAGTTTTATGGATCATGTGTTGGCATGGCCCGGGGGGTCAGGTCGCAGGATGTGTAGTTGTTACTTTGGAACAAAACGTTGATGACTGTTCAGGTTGGAGCATGGACCGCATGTCACAAGGCATACTTCCTATGTGAGGTGCAATAATTGAAGAAATGCTGCTCACAAGGCATCAATTTATCCGTTGCATCAGTTAGCATTGCGGTATCATCGGTTTCCATACACAAAGTATGCTCCACTAAAGCAGGGAAAGCCCTTACACAATAATGACCCCACACAAAGAGTCTCCTACACAAAGGCTGGTGTAATCAGCTAACCCAGTCTTTTCCACACCTTGCCTCCAGTACCCCTGTAAGGAACACTGGAGCCTTAAAACCAGGGTGCACATTCAACGCGGTTCGGCTTGAGATGTTGGGAAGGGGGTTTGGAGAAAAACAGTGATTGGCTCACGAGGGGCGACAAAAAAATGATTCCGCTAGAGCTTCGGGCATTTCGTAGGTGGCGGGAGGGGGTGAAATGGCGGGAGTGGGTGAAACCGAATGGCGGGAGGGATGAAACAGATTGGCGGGAGGGGGGGGAAACGAAATTGCGGGGGAGGGGGGAAACAAAATTGCGGGGGAGGGGGGAAACGAATTTCGACGGGGAGGGGGAAATGAAATTGCGGGGGCGTGGGGAAACGAAATTGCGGGGGAGGGGGGAAACGAATTTCGACTTGAAGGGGTTGAAAGCACACCTCGTAACCCACTCAGTCAAGGGATAACCTTTGATGCACATTCAGCTGAATGTGCACCCCGGTTTAACTATTCACTCACCCTCAACTCAATGTTGGTGCCTCATCCTAACAGAGTGGCTGTGAGCTCGAGATAGCACCCCTAGTACCCTACTCTGTGATGTGACCCTCTTCCAGCCTCTATTTCTTCATCATGTCCGTGATCTTGGTAACGCCACGCAACGGCCTCCCTGTCGCCTCCGGCCTCTATTTCTTCATCATATCCTTGACCTTGCCGCAGAACAAGTTGTTTCCGACTTTCATGACTCCGCGGAACGCCTTCGGGTTATCCAGGACCGCTTGGACAGCCCCGTCCACACTACCGTTCGGACCATACTGAGTTGTGCCCTTGAAGCTGTAGCGTTTCATGGCTTTCCCAACCGAGCGCGTGCGATCTTTCCATGTCATGCCGCTGAAAATGAAAGGACGCCATTTGTCTGCCGGGCACGATTTCGTGAAGCCGACGAATTCTGGCTTGACTCCTTTCGACCGGAGATTGTATGCGTTTGCAGTAATGACGATGTACACACTGTTTCCAACTCTGGAAAATTTTGCAATATGATGATCCGAAATTGTAGCAGCAGACACATGAACGCGGTTAGAAAGCTGGAATTTGTCAGATTTTCTCTAAGATGCAATTAGAGTCCCGTCTAGCAAAATATCGTGCATCATGGACAAGATGATGCCATTTGCATTTCAACAAAATGTCATGTACCGTAACACTTCTTCATTATGGCATGTATGTGTAGTTACAGTAAGTACAGAAAGCCTCACCTGACAATTTTGAGGTCGAACCTTCCTCTGGTCATCTCAGAACGCGTCACACGCCCCTTGTACTTGGCAGGACTCACAATCGACCTCAGGTGATCTGCAGTGTGGTTAAGTGGTAAGGCACAGAAGGTTTAAGGCACAGAGCGGGCAAGACAGCACAACAGTCACGCCCCTTGTACTTGGCAGGACTCACAATCGACCTCAGGTGATCTGGAGTGGAGTGTGATCAGTGGTAAGGCACAGAAGGGGTAAGGCACAGAAGGGGTAAGGCACAGAAGGGGTAAGGCACAGAAGGGGTAAGGCACAGAAGGGGTAAGGCACAGAAGGGGTAAGGCACAGAAGGGGTAAGGCACAGAAGGGGTAAGGCACAGAAGGGGTAAGGCACAGAAGGGGTACGGCACAGAAGGGGTAAGGCACAGAAGGGGTAAGGCACAGAAGGGGTAAGGCACAGAAGGGGTAAGGCACAGAAGGGGTAAGGCACAGAATGGGTAAGGCACAGAAGGGGTAAGGCACAGAATGGGTAAGGCACAGAAGGGGTAAGGCACAGAAGGGGTAAGGCACAGAATGGGTAAGGCACAGAAGGGGTAAGGCACAGAATGGGTAAGGCACAGAAGGGGTAAGGCACAGAATGGGTAAGGCACAGAATGGGTAAGGCACAGAAGGGGTAAGGCACAGAATGGGTAAGGCACAGAAGGGGTAAGGCACAGAAGGGGTAAGGCACAGAATGGGTAAGGCACAGAAGGGGTAAGGCACAGAAGGGGTAAGGCACAGAAGGGGTAAGGCACAGAAGGGGTAAGGCACAGAAGGGGTAAGGCACAGAAGGGGTAAGGCACAGAAGGGGTAAGGCACAGAAGGGGTAAGGCACAGAAGGGGTAAGGCACAGAAGGGGTACGGCACAGAAGGGGTAAGGCACAGAAGGGGTAAGGCACAGAAGGGGTAAGGCACAGAATGGGTAAGGCACAGAAGGGGTAAGGCACAGAAGGGGTAAGGCACAGAATGGGCAAGGCACAGAAGGGGTAAGGCACAGAAGGGGTAAGGCACAGAAGGGGTAAGGCACAGAAGGGGTAAGGCACAGAAGGGGTAAGGCACAGAAGGGGTAAGGCACTGAAGGGGTAAGGCACAGAAGGGGTAAGGCACAGAAGGGGTAAGGCACAGAATGGGTAAGGCACAGAAGGGGTAAGGCACAGAATGGGTAAGGCACAGAAGGGGTAAGGCACTGAAGGGGTAAGGCACAGAAGGGGTAAGGCACAGAAGGGGTAAGGCACAGAATGGGTAAGGCACAGAAGGGGTAAGGCACAGAATGGGTAAGGCACAGAAGGGGTAAGGCACAGAATGGGTAAGGCACAGAATGGGTAAGGCACAGAATGGGTAAGGCACAGAATGGGTAAGGCACAGAAGGGGTAAGGCACAGAAGGGGTAAGGCACAGAATGGGTAAGGCACAGAAGGGGTAAGGCACAGAAGGGGTAAGGCACAGAAGGGGTAAGGCACAGAAGGGGTAAGGCACAGAAGGGGTAAGGCACAGAAGGGGTAAGGCACAGAAGGGGTAAGGCACAGAAGGGGTAAGGCACAGAAGGGGTAAGGCACAGAAGGGGTAAGGCACAGAAGGGGTACGGCACAGAAGGGGTAAGGCACAGAAGGGGTAAGGCACAGAAGGGGTAAGGCACAGAAGGGGTAAGGCACAGAAGGGGTACGGCACAGAAGGGGTAAGGCACAGAAGGGGTAAGGCACAGAATGGGTAAGGCACAGAAGGGGTACGGCACAGAAGGGGTACGGCACAGAAGGGGTACGGCACAGAAGGGGTAAGGCACAGAAGGGGTAAGGCACAGAATGGGTAAGGCACAGAAGGGGTAAGGCACAGAAGGGGTAAGGCACAGAAGGGGTAAGGCACAGAAGGGGTAAGGCACAGAAGGGGTACGGCACAGCAACAATCACGCCCGTTGTATCTGGCAGGACTCACAATCGACCTCAAGTGATCTGGAGTTCCGGACATGGCTCAGTGAGCTGCGTGCGTGCAGTAGGCTCAAGCAAAGGAAAAAACAGCAGAAGATTTCCGCTCTGTGTACAACGAAGTGCTCAAGGACTCACAATCGACCTCAGGTGATCTGGTTTTGAGACGTCTCAAAACTCTTCTTTTTTCACCTGGCAGGACTCACAATCCACCTCAGGTGATCTGGAGTGTGATCAAGCGGTAAAGCAAAGCAACCAAGCAAACCACACTGGTATCATCGGACATGGCATCCCACTCTCCAACGCTACTACAACAAATTGACATGTAAGGTCGTTGGTTGGCAGAACGGAAGAACGTTCTGCCAAATGGGATCAGGAGAGAACGGAAGAAAGGTCGTTGGCAGAACGGAAGAAAGGTCGTTGGCAGAACGGAAGAAAGGTCGTTGGCAGAACGGAAGAAAGGTCGTTGGCAGAACGGAAGAAAGGTCGTTGGCAGAACGGAAGAAAGGTCGTTGGCAGAACGGAAGAAAGGTCGTTGGCAGAACGGAAGAACAGACAGACAGGCCGAGCAGCAAGGTAGAGTCTCACCCATTTTCTCAATTGGCGGCACTCTGTTAGGACAACGTGCAGCAAACAGCCATGTGAGGCACTCACAAGTGGTTGTTCCAGGCACCAAGCTGCGTCGGATCGTCCTTTGAGGCGCTTGAAAAATACAGCCAGCAACATGTGATGTGATGCACTCACGAGTGGTTGTCCCAAACACCAAGCTCCGCCGGTTCACCTCCCCAAGAGCCTATGTTTGAGGTGCCTGAAAAGTACAGCATATACCCCCAACGCGTGATGTGATGCACTCACGAATAGTTTTCCCAGACACCAAGCTCCGCCGGTTCACCTCCCCAAGAGCCGTTGTTGTGACGTTCGCCGCCGTCACACTCCAGAGGAAAGCCGCAACTGCCAGGCACGGCGGGACGAAAACACGCACACCAAGTGAAACAGGAAGTGTAGAATTGTGGCTGCGCCGGCTTGTCTTCCCAAGAGCTGTTGTGACGTTCGCCGCCGTCACACTCCAGCGGAGCGCTACAACTGCCAGGCACGGAGGGACGAAGAGAAAAAACCACCAGGAGAAACACCAAGTGAAACAGGAAGTGTGAGATTGTGGCTGCGCTGGCTCGTCTTCTCAAGAGCCGACATTGTGACGCTTGTTCGTCGCCGTCACGCCCCAGAGGAGCGCCGCAACTGCCAGGCGCGCCAGAGCAGCAGGAGAAACAGCACGTGTAAGGCCACGAACAGCAAGAAGCGAGACCATGGCAGCAATATGGGTGCGGTCTAGAATGCGCGGTTACTACTAATATGCGGGCAGAGTGGTCATGCGTTCGGGAGAGCTCACGGACAACTCACGGAGCAACAGGAGAAGCGCCGCGTTCCTGGCCATGATGATGGGAGCAGCGGTAGACTGAAGATGTAGCCCCGAAGTCAGTGGGCGAAGCCTTGAAACAAGTGTTTCAGAGAAGCTGGACTTTCGAGGCGCCTCAAAAGCCTTGAAACAGGTGTAACAGAGAAGCTGGATACCTACCGGTTGTAAGCGAATGCTTACAACGGCCCGTCGTGCCAGTAGGAGCTCCAAAGAGAGAAGACGAATGCTTCTGAGCCACAGAATGGCCGATGAGCGCGTTTTATACTCACATGCTCACTTGCTTGGTTTCTTCAGGTGCCTCGAAACTCGTGTCTCGGATCCGTCACTCCGAGGCTGAGCCATCACGGCTCACTTTACTTAGACGTATCATCAGAATTTCTTGTTCTTAGCCATCATGACTCTTCCCGTGATGTTTTTCAGGCGCCTCGAAACGCTTTTTGGAAAAAAAAATGGGCCAGAATAAGGAACCAGACAGCCATGCGCAGCGCACGAAGGGGGGACGAATGCGGCGCACGCGCTTTGGCCACCAACAACCCTAACGACTCTACAAACAGTGCGACAAGAAGGCCATTCAAATCAAGCTAAGCGTCGGCAGGCGGACGGGCAAAAGGGCGGTGTCAGTGGTGTGGTAGTGGCGGTGGAGTGAGAGGTCAACAGGAACCCACTGCAAATCAGTGCGCTGCGAAACACGAACTTGGCGAAACGACATGAGTCGATGTATTTTACTGGTTGAGAGGGGGTCTTGACAAAGTGAAAGATGTTTCGCCACCGTCGTCGAGATTTTCGCATCTATCAGTTACCTGAGACTGGTTTGGCTGAGCAGTTTGGTCAAGGCTCAACATGGTGGGGAAAATGGCCTAGTTGTTCGACGAAACCTCGCAATAGTAAGCTCCGCAATGACACCAGGCATCCAGAAAGCTTACACAAAATATACATATTAAAACTCAGGCAATATTTCCTGCCATGCGCAGGGAACTTGTGAGCTGTAAGTACTTCTGAAACGCTAGTCAACAGGCGTTTGGGTGCCTGACCGTCGACTGGAGCAGGGTTGTGGCCTGATGCCGAAGAGAATGAGTTGATAAGCTTGGGATGCGTCGCCAAGAGGTAGGGAGAAAAAGGCTGGCTGCGCCACTTGCTTCGGTATAGGGTACGAAAAAAACAGTGATCCACTAAAGGAATGATAAGGAAAGTCACTATGCGAGTGATTCCCTGCATAAACCCCCAGCAGGTACATATCTCAAATAAAACCTGGTGATCAGACACCCCAATCTTTCTCCACCCCGCTGTGTCATTCCTGGTAGAAGGGACTACAGGGCTGCTGTAGGTTTGCATGCGGCCCCACCCCTTACCCCGTGCCTCCAACCTTAACTTCATCACATCCTTGATCTTGATAACGCCACGGAATAGCTTCGGCTGATCTATAACATATTGAACCATCTGGTTGGGACCACCCCTGTTGCTTCCAGCCTCTATTTCTTCATCATGTCCTTGATCTTGCCGCAGAAAATGTCGTTGCCAACCTTGATGACGCCACGGTACGAACTAGGTTTGTCTAGGGCCGCTTGAACCGGCGGGTCAGCACCTCCATTGGGACCCAGCTCTGCTGTTCCCTTGAAGTTGTAGCGTTTCAGGGGTTTCTGTGCCGAGCCGGTCTGATCTTTCCAAGCGATTGCGTCGATCTGGTAAACTTTCGACTCTACGGCCGGGCAGGTTGTTGTGAAGCCGATGTATGCTGGCTTGACTCCTTTCGACCGAACGTTGTAAACATTCGCAGCAATGACGTACCACACACTGTTACCGACCCTGAAAAAAAAAAAAACAACATAGCAGCAGAGGGATGAAAGCGGTCACAGATAGGGGATTCATTGCATTGAGCTCTCCTAGATACAGTAAGTGTCTCACCCAACGGGGGATTTACCGAATGGATGGTGCATGGTGTATCGAATGTCACATAACGTTTCATTGGGTGAATCATCCATAACCTTTCTTGTAGTATGTCACGTATCTGTAGCTACCGAAAGTCTTTACCTGACAAGTTTAAAGTCGATCTTTCCTCTTGCCATCTCGGGACGCGTCACACGCCCCTTGTACCTTGCAGGACTCACAATCGACTTCAAGTGATCTGGAGAGTGACCAAGTGATAAGGCAAAGAGCATGATTGCATGACAGTCAGACGGGTCAGGCGAGGTGGAATTTCGCCAGTTACAACGAGATTACAACGAGTCTTTCAATCAGCGAGACTCAGATTACAACGTATACTGCCAACAACACGCGAGGCACTCACATTCAACTTTCCCAGACACCAGGCTACACCTGTTCGACTCCCCAAGACCTATGTATGAGGCGCCTGAAAAACACAACATATACCAAAAAGGTGTCATGTGAAGCATGCACTCACATTCAACTTTCCCAGACACCAGGCTGCGCCTGTTCAACTCCCCAAAAGACGTTGTGACGTTCGTCGCCGCCGTCACGCCCCAGAAGAGCGCTGCAACTGCCAGGGAGAAACAGGAGGTGAAACAAACACCGAGTGAAACAAGCAACGAGTGAACCAAGAAGTGTGAGATCATGGGAGAGCCGTTGTGACGTTTTTGCCGTCACGCCCGAGAGGAGCGCCGCAACTGCCAGGGACAGCGGGACGAAGAAACACAACGAGCAAGAGAAACACTAAGTGAAACAGGAAGTGTAAGAATATGGCTGCTCCGGCTCGTCTCGTCTCCCCAAGAGCTGTCGTGACGTTCGTTGCCGTCACGCCCCAGAGGAGCGCCGCAACTGCCAGGGATGCCACAAGAACAACAACCACAAGTGAAACAGCAAGTGTAAGACTAAGACTATGGCAGAAGAGACGGGGCGGACCAGACCCTGACCATGGTTTACTGACTGCTTGAGAACGAAACGTTGACCTTCTCGAAACCTTTCACGTAAGTCGTTGACGTTGACATATACAGGCTACCAATAGTGCCTTTGGGAGGCGATGAAGCATGATCAGAGAGGCAACTCACGGAGCAGCAGAAGAAGCGCGTTCCTGGCCATCGGAGCAGCGGTACACCTAAGATGTAACCCCGAGGGTGCTGGACAAATGAAGCTTCAAGAGAGGTGCTTCCGAGAGGCTGGATATCTAGTAATACTAGAAGCTCTAGAGGAGGGAGATGCTTCTGTGAATGGCCGATGCACGGGTTTTATACTCACATGCTCACTTGCCTCTTCGTTTCTTAGGTGCCTCGAAGCTCGTCTCGTAGGCCCCTCCCTCGGCTGATTCATCGCAGCGCTTCGTGCCGCGACGTGATCGCCAGTCGAACCGCGAGGTAGATGAGTGTGGGTTCGGTGCCTGTGGTTGGTGGGAGGTGGGTCAAAGTAACCCATCAGGGTTTCCGGGCAGCACGCGAAAACTACCAAGCGTAATAGCGGATAGAGAACAGAGCTACTTTCAGACCATCACGAGACAAGGCTATTCAAGGCCTCTTGTAACGGTAATATTGAGGAGCCACACGCTCGGAGAGTTTGAACCTATCATCGGGTACGACATATCCACTACACATCGTGTGTCAAATTTCACATCGCCACCGACAGATGAAAGCTTTTGTCACACCTGCCCGTGGTAGCCATGCATCTCTAAGGCTAGGTCAGAACTGTCAAGGGGGAACCGACCCACTCAGCTCTGCCAACCAACGCAAGGACATCATCGACTAAGGAGCGACACGAGCCCTGAACGAGACTTTCTAGATCGCGTCGCATTGGCTTCGTTCGTCTGGTTGGAGACTCGGTTTGCAACTTTGCCGATTAGATCCTTGAAGATTTGGCTTACCACTTTGGCCAGGCCATCAACCAAGCTACCGCCCCTCGCTTCACAAGCAGCGCGACAAGGGGCCTGACCTTCAAGGTTCGCGTCGTTGGGCGGATGAGCGAGCGGGTAGTGCCGGTGGAGTGGGGGTCGACAGGAACGCGCTGCAAAAGTGTGTTGCGAAAGACGGACTTGACGAAGCGACAAAAGTCGTATGCGTGTATTTCTGGTTGGGAGGCGATCTTCGCGAAGCGACAGAAGTCGCGTTGCAAATTTCGCCGCCATCGTCGAAGCCTCGTCACGTGTCGGGGATTATAGCTTAGGGATTGCAACTTCCATATCTATAACTACAAAACTTTAAGGTCTCGTTCAATGCCTAGCTTGTAGCGAAGATTTTTGTTTTCGCGGATCGCCTTTACCCCTCTGACAGACCTTTTCCGTGTCTTGCTGCTTCAGCCGCACTCTACCGCTGCCTTGTTTCCACCGAAGTCTGGCGACCTGTCAAATCTCCCAGACGACCTTTTCCAAATCAACCACCTTGGGATTTCCGCCTTCATCGAGTCTTTCGAACCTGGGCCCATCTTTTATGGATCCATCCCTCAAGAATATCCTGACAGAAGCAGTAATATAAGAAGGCCTTCACTAGCGAACGTTGTGCATATAATAAGAGGAACCGTTAGTAGGGTACTCGATCTAATCATGATGGCTTCCGCGGGACCGCGTACGCGGGCAGGAGCATCTGGTTCTGCACAAGGCTCCATGTCAGCATCTCCCTCCTCTGGCTCTATCCAGTCGCTATCGCAGGACCCGTCACGCGGTAATAACAACCGCGTCATAATGCTCATTGCCGCCTTACCGTTAGGCCTGGCGGCCTTCGCTTTTATCCTCCATTTGCAGGGTGACTTCGATATGTTAGACGACGGGCAGCCGCGGCTGCCCGGATGGCATCAGGTGGACTTTAGGAAACCAGATAAGAGCCTGGCGACGCCATCCGATGTACCGTGCGATACAGCGAGGAGCTTTAAACCGGGGATGTACCCGAATCCGTCGATCAAAGTGCTCGGGAATCTGCAGGATAGTCCGAAGCTACTAATAACGACGACCACGTCGGGCGGCGCGCAGCAGATTCTGCCGTGGATTATGTACCACCGCGCCATCGGCGTGCACTACTTCATTCTCTTCGTGGAAGGCAAGGCCTCTTCGCCGGAGAACGTGGCGATATTCGAGTCCATGGAGGTCAGTCTCCCCTCCCCCCACTCTTCGCCTCCATCCCTTCACCCCCGCCTTTTCTTCTATATTTTCGTACTCCTCTACCCTTCTGGTTCGTCGCCTTCCTTTTCCCCCCTGTTCCCCTCTCCCGCTCCTCCCTTCCCCCACCCACCCCTCCCACCCTCCCCCTTCCACTTCCCTCCTGATTCATAGCTACAGTGATTTTCTTGCCGTTCTGTCCTTCGCGTTCGCCTGCTCTTCTTTCTCCCCGTTGGCTTCCTTAGGGGCGTGGGTGGCTCCTCATACGCCCGTATTCCCGTTACATATCTCTTATATTCTCTTCCCCCTCTCCCACCCATTTCCACCCCTTCCCACTCGTTACGCCTCCGCCCTCCCCCTCTTTTCCTCTCTTCGTCTCCTCCCCCACCCACATCCCCTCTCCCCATTTGCCCGCAGGGTGTGACAGTAGTACAGCGAACCAAGGAGCTCGAGGATCAGCAGGCCAAGAGGTGAGTGCTCAGCTCCCCTCTGCTCCGCTCTCCTCTGGAACGAGACGTGGCTCGCGTTCTTCTTCTACAAGCCATGCAACTACCAGTTGTTTTGAACGCCCAGCACCATCCTCCACCCCCCCACCTCTTCTTTCCCCGTCACATTCCCCTCCTTGCCCCTCAATCCAGCCGCGTGTGGAACGATCCTTCTCCTCACACCCCCTTTATTCCCGCCCCTATCCCCCTCGCACCCCCTTCATCCCTCCAGCCGCGTGTGGAACGAGACGTGGCTTGCATTCTTCTTCTACAAGCCATGCAACTACGAGCTCTTTGTGCGCCAGTCGCTCAACATGGAGATGGCCATTGTCTTCGCCAGGGTGGGTTACCATGGTTATTTCTTCAGCCAAGGTGGGTTACCATGGTTATTTATCTCGCCAAGGTGGGTTACCATGGTCATTCCTTTCGCCAAGGTGGGTTACCATGGTCATTCCTCACAAATCTCTTCACACGTTGCCTTCACTGCCACCCCTCCTCTGCCCCATCAGGTGTTGGGAGTGGATTGGATATTCCACGTGGATACAGACGAGCTGCTGTATCCTGCAGGCACGGCTGACTTCTCCCTCCAACGCCTCATCCACGACCTTCCTAGCGATGTGGACCTCATTGTCTTTCCAAACTATGTGAGTGCAGTGCGGTGCAGTGCGGTGTGGTGCAGTGCGGTGTGGTGCAGCGCATTGCAGTGCAGTGCGGTGCATTCCCAACCACCCTCACTACCCCCTCCTCACGCGCGACTTCTCCCTCCAACGCCTCATCCACGACCTTCCTAGCGATGTGGACCTCATTGTGTTCCCAAACTATGTGAGTGCAGTGCGGTGCAGTGCAGTGTGGTGCAGCGCATTGCAGTGCAGTGCAGTGCGTTCCCAACCACCCTCAATACCCCCTCCGCACGCCTGACTTCTCCCTGCAACGCCTCATCCACGACCTTCCCAGCGACGTGGATCTCATTGTCTTTCCAAACTACGTATGTCATCCCACCATGCCACCATGCCACCATGCGTCATGCACGACCATGCGTCATGCATCCATCATGATTCATGCCAACGCCCCATCCACGGCCTCACTGTGTTTCCAACGCCCCATCCTGACTCACTATGTGAGTTTTAGTCGAGAATAGCTGGTTTCGTAACCAGCTATTCTCAACTATGTGAGTGCTGTGAAATGCATCCCCTCATGCCAGTACACCCATTCCCGTGTGTGTGTGTGCGTGCGTGCGTGCGTGCGGGTACGTGCGTGCGTGCGTGTGCGCGTGCGTGCGTGTGCGTGTGCATGTGTGGTTGTGTGTTTGTGCCTGTGTGTATGCATGCATGAGTGTGTGTGTGTGATTACAGGAGAGTGTGGTGGAAACAGCTGATGTGGGAGACTCATTCACCGAGGTATTACCCTTTTTTTAGCTGGTATTTTCCATTCAATGCATGCCAACCTCCGTACTTTTTTTCTTTCTTCCTTGTGTGTGTGTATGAGCGTGTGTGTTTTTTTTTATTGCCTTTGTTGTATTGTATGTACTTCAGTTAATATACTCATGTATGCAAGTTGCCCTCCTCCTGTCACAACAGGTTTCACTGTTCAAGAAGAATTACGACCATGTTACAAGAGAAGCCTACTTCGCACACTACAGGGATGTGAGTTCATGCATGCATGCATGCACGCGTGCTTTAACAATTCTTGATTCTCACCATGCCTAATCACTCCGTGCATGGATATGACATGCATTCTTCTATTCTAATGCATGGTGATGCGAATCTGCTTCTCTTCCATCCCCCCTCCTCATTCCGTTCGCTTCCCTATCCGTACAACACCACTACTCACGGGCAGCACACACACGGTAACCCTCATTGTACTCCCCCGTACAGCAACGGCAAGTCAGGTCAGGGTAGTTTGGGAGTCATTTTTTAGAATTCTCAAAAGTGAATGAATAACCCTCATTGTATAATGTATTCCCCCGTACTGCAATGGCAAGTCAGGGCAGGCTGATACGGAGCGCTCACTCACTCAATCTTGTCATTCCCGCCTGTGTCCACACCACTTGCAGGCAGCACACGGCAACCCCAACTACTTTCTGACCTACGGCAACGGCAAGTCAGGAGCAAAGATGCAGGCGCATTTGCGGCCGAATGGGGCGCACCGATGGCACAACTACATGAAGGTGCCCAAGTGAGTGTTATGGTTGGTAGCTAGTAGCCTACATAGCCCATCCTGTAGCCCAACCGTGTGAAGGGGCAGTTCGATATGCTCCAGGTCAGGGGTTTAAGCCAGGGGCGAAGATGCAGGCGCATCTGAGGCCGAATAGGGCACACAAGTGGCACAACCACCTGAAGGTGCCCAAGTGAGTGTGACTGGATACCGCCAATGTAGCCTCTCTAGCCTAGCATAAAGCTCTACTGCATGAGTGCGTGGGGTTCAGAGAGATGCAGGCGCATCTGAGGCCCAATGGGGCCCACCGATGGCACAACTACATGAAAGTGCCCAAGTGAGTGTGACTGCTGGGAGTTCGACGATTGAGAGTGTTGTGCCCCCCGGCTGCTGGTTGAAAAGCCCGTCTTATAAGTGATTGGTTCAAGGTGATGCAAGTCGGGGGCCTAGACAAGCCCCAAGTCAGGGCGAAGATGCAGGCTCACCTGAGGGCCAATGGGGCACATCTGGAGGTGCCTTGGTAGATTGCCTTTTCATGTGCTTGAGCAGCGCTTCGAGTCAGGTGGCTAATTCTATCTAGAGATGCCCAAGTGAGTGCGATGGTTCGAAGGGTTGTGAATGCACTATTGGGCACATTCCCCAAGTGGAAGCACTGCTCGTGTGAATGCCATGAGCCTCATCATTTCCGTTTCCCCCTCCCCACCCACAGGGAGGTGAAGCTGATGGAGGCGACAGTACTGCATTTCACCTACACGCACTGCTCCGACCTCACGTCTTCTTGGAGGGTGCAGCCTGCTATGAGCTGCCTGTAACAGCTTGAGGTCACGCCCCCCCCCCACCCCGCCCACCCCGATGCACAGGGAGGTGAAGCTGATGGAGGCGGCAGTGCTGCACTTCACATACACTCACTTCTCCGACCTCACGTCTCGGCGGGACCGCTGCGGGTGCAAGCCCAACTCAGAGGACGTGAAGAAATGCTTTATGCTCGACTTTGACCGCCTGGTGAGAGAGCTCTACATGTTTTATGCATGTCGTACTCATGCATGTTCTGGCTGAGATGTATGTGCATGTCTCAGTCAGCTGCGGGTGCAAGCCCAACTCGGAGGACGTGAAGAAATGGTTTATGCTCGACTTTGACCGCCTGGTGAGAGCTTTTTATGTGGTATGTGTGTAGTCTGCGTGTGTGTTTTGGCTGGCTCACACGTATCCGTCTCAGCTGCCGCGGGTGCAAGCCCAACTCAGATCGGAGGACATGAAGAAATGCTTCATGCTCGATTTTGACCGCCTGGTGAGAGCTTTTTATGAGGTATGGATCCACAGCACACGTGTGAGCCAAACACGCTTGGAACGACTTTTGAGACGTCTCAAAACACATGGAACGTTCAAAAGGCACATGTAACGTTCAAAAGGCACATGTAACGTTCAAAAGGCACATGTAACGTTCAAAAGGCACATGTAACGTTCAAAAGGCACATGTAACGTTCAAAAGGCACATGTAACGTTCAAAAGGCACATGTAACGTTCAAAAGGCACATTTAACATTCAAAAGGCACATGTAACGTTCAAAAGGCACATGTAACGTTCAAAAGGCACATGTAACGTTCAAAAGGCACATTTAACATTCAAAAGGCACATGTAACGTTCTGAAGGCACATGTAACGTTCAAAAGGCACATGTAATGTTCAAAAGTCACATGTAATGTTCAAAAGTCACATGTAACGTTCAAAAGGCACATGTAACGTTCAAAACACATGTAACGTTTCATGAGCTAAGCACATGGAACGTAGTCCTCTGGTGTGCTCTTGCTCGCATGTGCATGTCCCGGATGCGGGTGCAAGAAGGCACCTAAATAGGTCAACAAGTCCCAGCTGTGGCCAGGTGCAAGCCCAATTGGAGTACATGAAGAATTGCTTCGTGCTCGCTCGACTTCGATCGTGTGTGAAGGCTGTGACTTTTGAGTCGACTCAAAAGTCTGTTTTGGATGGGATTAGAAAAAGTCTGTTTAGGAGGGGATTTTCAAGAATCTGCTTAGGAGGGGATTATTAAAAGTCTGTTTAGATGGGATTATCAAAAGCCTGTCAGGATGGGATAATCTCGCTCTCTCGGTTTTCACCATCGCTCGTTCCTTCCCCTGTCAGATCACCTCCCCTTGTGAAGCCGTTTATCATAGAGACAGAGGAGTCAGTTCCCCTTTCCCCACCCCTTCTTCACTCCTCTCTTGTTCCTATCCCTACCCCTCTCCCTTCTCCTCTACTCTCTGATTTCCCCCCCCCTGTGCAGGCATTTATCATTGCATCCACACAGACAGAGGAACAGATGTTTCAGTGGTAGGCATATGATGACAAGACTTGCACCTCATCTGTTAGATTTAGTCCGCTACATCTTTGCAGTTACGTCTCTTCTGTCACATCTTTTGTTCCATCTGATCTTATACTTCCCTTCAGTTAACGCCCCTTCAGTTCGATGTCTTCTTTTTCTTCTCGTCTGTTTCATCTCTTCCGTTCCAATTCTTCTGTTTCATCTCTTATCCTTTCATCTCATGCTTCCGGAATGCTGTGTCACATCTACCTCTTTCCGTTCCACCCAAAAATTGCTCTTCAACCTCAGGTATAAGGACCACGTGGTGTGGTCAGACCGTGACATGATAGAGAAGCTGCTTAAAAAGGGGATATTCGGTCGCATCCACACACCCCAGGTATGCTCCCACCTTCTGGATGCCTGTATGCTTTCACACCCTTGCATGGTATTTTCTGAAAGTTCAAAGAAATTCTCTGCTTCCTCACTGTTTGTAGGCATTTAAAAACAGCTCCCTGTTGCCCCTTCCTTTCTTAGTTCCACGCTATTCTCACCCTCTTCCCCACGCTTCTATCCCCTTTCAGCTAATCCTTTGCAGCATATACTCCACGGGTAACATTAGCCACACTCTGGAGGCAGCAGCTGAGAGGTGGAAGCGCTGCTCCCAGCAGCAACAGCAGCAGCAACAGCAGCACCTCTTCCCCTTCTCATCTCCCCCTTCTCCCCACCCTTGCACCCCTTGTCAGCTGATTCTCCGCAGCATATATGCCACGGTCGTCATCAACCGCACGCTGGAGGCCGCAGCTGAGAGGTGGAAGCGCTGCTCCCAGCAGCAACAAGTGCACCTTTTCCCCTCTCATCTCTCCCATCTCCCCACCCGTCTTGCACCCCCTTCCAGCTGATCCTTCGCAGCATATACGCGACCGGCATTATAAATCGCACGCTGGAGGCAGCAGCTGAGAGGTGGAAGCGCCGCTCCCAGCAGCAACAGCAGCAGCAGCAGATTCTTCAGCCGCAGCTGATACAGCAGAAGCTGCAGCAGCAGCAGAGGGAGCGTCTGCAGCAACAGCAGCGGCAGCAGCAGCCGCAGGAGCAGCAAAATTCACAAGAGCAGGCACAGCAGCAAAAGAATCAGCAGCCGGGGCAGCAGGAGAGCGACAGGCAGCATGCAGGGACGGGGCACGGGGGAGGGGAGGCAGGAGGCAGAGCAGCAGCACAGCTGCTGCAGCAGGCAGTGGATAAGGAACAGAGGGAGGAGCAGAAACGGCGGCTTGCACTCGACACAGTTTCTCACTTTGTTGCCGACAGTGTTCGGGGCATAGCAGCAGCAGGGCAAGGCCTTTCTAAAGCTGTCAGTAATCATGGCCAGAGGCGTTCGGGAGAGGCTGGCTCGGGTGCAGGTGCGGCGAGGTTCGGCAGTGGTTCGGGAGGAGCAGGTGCGGGCGGAGGTGTGGAAACTGGTGGGAGTGGTGACAGCGTGGCAGCTTCTGCTGGTGGTGGTGCTGGTGGCGGTGGCAGTGGTGGCAGCAGTGGTGGGAGTGGTGGCGGGAGTGGTGGAGGAGGGGGTGGTGGGGCTGCTGGGGGCAGTCGATTGTTCAGAGGAGATGCGCTTGACTCAGCAAGGCTAGCAGATAGGGCTGCTGCAGGCACAGGTGCTGCTGCTATTGGTGCTGGTGCTGGCAGTACTGGGAGTGCTGGTTCTGGTGCAGACTTTGCCACACACACAGGGGCTGACCTACAAATGCAAATGCACACACGAGCGATCGCACGAAGGCGACTCATGGCTGTTCACGACGCACAGTCTTTTCAAGACTTGGTCTCTGGAAAGGAGAGCTACAGGGATGCCGAGGGGTGGAGTGTGGTAGGGTCTGAAGGGGTGGTGGTGGGAGTTGGAGGTCAGTTAGAGGCCACTGCTGTACCGCCACTGGCTTCGCCTGCTCCTGACGAGCTGTAGCTGTAACACTGTTGACGTATGCTGTTGTGGAACAAAACCACTGTAACAGTATCCCGATGCCGGATTACCTTATGGGGTACCTTGTATGGATCCATTCGTTTTGCCTTTCTTATTACGGTACATGCATGCAGTATTTTTGGGTAATTTGCTTTTCTTACAGTATCTTCATTTTAACCACACTGGAACTGCACACAAGCGTACACAAGCGAAGAACAAACTACAGCTACATCTGATACTCCAAGATGGGAAACAACCAAGTCAAAACAGCAACGTATACTAGAGCTACTGTTGCCTAACTTCCCTCCCTCAAACCTCCCAACGATCATACTCTATACCACAGGGTTACCACATGCCATACAGGGTTACCACATGCACATCTATCTGCATCAGTGTTCATAGCTCAGTAGCAGCAGCAGCGGCAGCAGGCGCTATATCCCTGGATCGGCATAGGTACAAGCTTGTGAGGAGAAGGGGCCTATAATATACTAATCCCCACTATCACCCTTACACATGTTCGGTAGCACACCATACCTCTGTTCTGTATTGAGATAAGGTATCATAAAACTCCCCAACATCATCTGACGACCACACCACACTGCGGCGGCAACAGCACCATTGGCAGCAGCAGTGGTGGTGGTGGTGTCAGCATAACGGTGATTCAACTTATAACATCGGCAGAGTATAGGAGCATTACTACACCCTGCCGCCAACAGGCAGATTCTCCTGTAACGTTTCTGTCGCCTCCCATCCCATCTCAGAGTTTTTGAGATCTCTCAAACTCGCCTCCTAAACCCTAGAAACGCTTTGAATCAACTCAACGATCCGCAGCAGCACCAACAGCACCGCCAGGCACCAGAAGCACAACCAGCAGCAGCACCACCAGCAGCAGCGGCACCACCACCAGCGGCAGCGGCACCGCCCCACCATAAAGCGGAGGACAAAGCGATATCCACATGCACCCAGAAGAAGCACCAGCCAGCTCTTGAGACACCTCAAAGGGCAGAAGAAGCACCAGTTGCAGCCACACCAACAACACCGCCAGTAGCACCGCCAGCAGCAGCAGCACCGCCCCACCGCAACGCCGAGGACAAGGGGAAATCCACATGCACCCAGAAGAAGCAGCGCCCGGTCTCCCTCGTATACACCACCTCGCCCTTCATACTCTTCAGCATCCTCCTTATAAGGCTCAGCGACACGCCCTCTGCGTTGCTCCTTAACGCAGCGCTACTGCTGCTCATGCCTCCCACGCTCATCCCCCCGACACTGCCCCCACCATCACTGCTCGCCCTGCCAAAGCTTCTATCACCAGCAGAAACAGAAGCGCTGGCAGCAGTGGGGGTGGTGGCAGTGGTGGTGGTGCCGGTGGCAGTAGAGGTGGTGGCAGCATTGGAGTCAAACATGTGGTTGATAACTTCCTCTGGTAGACCCCGCCCCGTGTGGGAGATTCTGGGGGTGGGAGGGAGAGGGGGAGAGAGGAAAGGAAGGGGGGGGAGGGAGGTGTGGAAAGGCAGAGGGAGAAGAGAATAAGAACAGGTTGATGAGGGCGCGATGCAGTCAAAGATGTGGTGAATGATTTGTCAGCAGGCAGACCCCGACCCATGTGAGACATTCTGGAAGATGCACCTTACGTAGCTAGAACACCCTTACACACCTTATATCGAGTTCTGTACCTTACATCGAGTTTTGAACCTTATACCAAGTCCTGCACCTTATATCGAATTCTGTACCTCATATTCAGATTCTGTACCTATCGATTTCTGGACCTTATATCAACTCATGTACCTTATATCAAATTCTGCACCTTATATCAACTCATGTACCTTATATCGAATTCTGCACCTTATATCAACTCATGTACCTCATATCGAATTCTGCACCCTATATCGACTCATGTACCTTATATCGAATTCTGCACCCTCTATGGACTCATGTACCTTATATCGAGTTCTGCCATGGTTGTTGTTCCTCGGAAGAGCCGTGACCCTTTTTGAGTCACCTCCAGCTTCACCAGCCCCGTGGCCTGCGTGTGACTCACTGCCGCACACAGCAGCCCGCCCAGAATCTGACAGGCAAAGGCAGAGAGGGGGAACGGGGACCCAAGCGGCAATGAGTGAGGGTTGGAGTTCGAGTCACCTCCAGCTTCACCAGCCCCGTGGCTTTTGTGTGACCCACTGCCGCACACAGCAGCCCGCCCAGAATCTGACAGGCATAGGCAAAGAGGAGAAAGGGGGACCCAAGCGGTACGGTTGTGAATGAGAGAGGGTTGGAGTTCGAGTCACCTCCAGCTTCACCAGCCCCGTGGCTTGCGTGTGACTCACTGCCGCACACAACAGCCCGCCCAGGATGTGAAAGGGGAAAGAGGACAGGTGTGAAAGCAGAAAGGGTAGGAGTTAGTCCTTGTGAGAGATAGGCCCTACAGCAGGGCCAAGTTGGGTGATAGGCCCCCCCCACAACAGCCCACCCAGGATCTGAACGGGTAAAGCGGAAAGGTGTGAAAGCAGAGAGAGTTGGATTTAGCCCTAACGTGTGGGCTGCAGCATGGCTTGGTTGGGTGATAACCCCCTCTCTAGGCCCAGCCCACCCTACCGTTTGCCCCTTCTTCCCTCCCTACTCTCACCTGCTGCAGCCTAGGCGCGTCGCTGCCCAGCGGCAGCGTCTTGGCGAGAGCTTAGCGCCCTTGCGAGTGGCCAGCAGTGTGGCATGGAGCTTGGGTTAGCATCAAGCCCCACCCCGCAGCTTACCCTACCGGCTCTCCTTTCCCTACTCTCACCTGCTGCAGTCTGGGCGCAACGCTGCACAGAGGCAGTGTCTTGACGTCACTGACCTGCTTGAGGCTCCAGGGTCAGCTTGAGCTTGGCGCCCTTGCGAGTGGCAAGCAGCGTGGCCTGGCTGGGTGATAGGTTTCCCCCTAATCTCAGCCCAGCCTACCTTCTGCCACTTTCTTTCCTCCCTTGTTCTCACCTGTTGAAGCCTAGGTGCATCGCCGCACAGCGGCAGCGTCTTGACGTCACTGCCCAGCTCGAGAGTGAGCTTGGCGCCCTTGCGCGTGGCAAGCAGCGTGGCCTGGCTGATGACTGCCCCACACACGACTTCCATGGTGAATGGCAGCGTGGCGAGCGGCGCTTGGCTTGGGGGGAAGAGAAGGGGAGGGAGGAAAGAGATGAAGGAAAAGGAACAGGTGTGAGTGGATTGAAGAGCTAGCAGCGTGGCCTGGCTGATGACTGCCCCCACACGATTTCCATGGTGAACGGAAGCATGGCGAGTGGTGCTTGGCTGGGGTTTGGGGGAGGAGAGAGAGAGAGAGGGGGTAAACGGTGTGAGTGGATTCAGGAGAAAGCAGCGTGGCATGGCTGATCACTCGCCCTCACACTCCCTCACTCACTCACTCCTGCCCTCCCTCTCACTCCCCCACATTCCCTTGCGCACTCCCCCCTTCACTCACCCCTGTTCGATGGCGAGCATGTCAGTGTCGCTCACAATTTTCCGCAGCTGCGTCTCCCAGTGACCGTTGGGTCAATTCATCTCTTTCCTTGGACCCCCAACCCAGCCACTCACTCCCTCCCTCTCACACTCACCCCTATTCGATGGCGAGCATGTCAGTGTCGCTCACAATTTTCCGCAGCTGCGTCTCCCAGTGACCGTTGGGTCAATTCATCTCTTTCCTTGGACCCCCAACCCAGCCACTCACTCCCTCCCTCCCACACTCACCCCTGTTCGATGGCGAGCATGTCAGTGTCGCTCACAATCTTCCGCAGCTGCGTTTCCAGCGCCACGCCCGTGCGCACCCACGGCAGCTGCTTTCCCGAGAACCCCGCGCCCATCTGCTCCATGCGCGCAAACGAGTATGCTGGGCCAGCCAAAGCTTCCCCCCTCATCTCCCCACGCCCTTTCACCCACTCACAAACCCACTCCCTCGCTCGCTCCCTCACTCTCTCACGACCACACTCACTTACTCTCACTCCCTCACTCCCTCCCTCACTCCCTCACTCACTCACTCCCCCACAGACTCACCCCTGTTCGATGGCGAGCATGTCAGTGTCGCTCACAATCTTCCGCAGCTGAGTCTCCAGCGCCACGCCCGTGCGCACCCATGGCAGCTGCTTTCCCGAGAACCCCGCGCCCATCTGCTCCATGCGCGCAAACGAGTACGCCAGCCCATCCAACGGCCCTCGGCTCATCTCCCTCACGTAAGCCACCTGCCTCGCCTTGTCTGAGGCGAGTTTTTCGGCCGTCTTCTGCTTGTCGACGGCTTGCCGGAGCTCCAGAGAGGCGGTGTGGAGGAAGCAGAAGGCGCCCACCACTGAGTTGCCGTCTGCTGAGTGCCGCGGGTGCACCGATAGAAGCAGCTCCATCAGGGTTCTCTGAGGTTGGAGGGCGGTGGAAAGGGGTTGAGAGCACGAAAACAGGGGTTAAGAGGAGTTCAAGAGAGGCCGTGTGGAGGAAGCAGAAGGAGTCCACACTGAGTTCCCGTTCGCTGAGTGCCTGGGATGCACAAAGGTATGGGGCGGTCAGTACTGCAGCTGACGCTGGTCCGGCCATGGCGTGACTCATCACGATCATGACCCAAGCTTCCCCATAACATCACTCGCTCTCCATGCTTCCACCCAAGCTTCCACCTGATCCGGCCATGGCGTGACTCATCACGATCATGACCCAAGCTTCCCCATAACATCACTCGCTCTCCATGCTTCCACCCAAGCTTCCACCTGATCCGGCCATGGCGTGACTCATCACGATCATGACCCAAGCTTCCCCATAACATCACTCGCTCTCCATGCTTCCACCCAAGCTTCCACCTGATCCGGCCATGGCGTGACTCATCACGATCATGACCCAAGCTTCCCCATAACATCACTCGCTCTCCATGCTTCCACCCAAGCTTCCACCTGATCCGGCCATGGCGTGACTCATCACGATCATGACCCAAGCTTCCCCATAACATCACTCGCTCTCCATGCTTCCACCCAAGCTTCCACCTGATCCGGCCATGGCGTGACTCATCACGATCATGACCCAAGCTTCCCCATAACATCACTCGCTCTCCATGCTTCCACCCAAGCTTCCACCTGATCCGGCCATGGCGTGACTCATCACGATCATGACCCAAGCTTCCCCATAACATCACTCGCTCTCCATGCTTCCACCTCTCTTGAATCAACCCTCTACCCTCAATCCACCCCAACCCATAAGAACCCTCACCTGGCGGTTGAGGAAGGAGAAGGGGACCTTGACGGCCTCATGCCCGGCCATGGCCTTGCTGATGACGATCATGAGCTTCGTCATGGCGTCGCCGCTCTCCATGCGACAGAGGGAGCCGAAGACGTCCCCGATGAGCATGCGCTCCCACACCTCAAAGCGCGTGAACCCTGTTACCCTCTCCATTGCTGCATTCCACTCCGTGCACAGCCCAAACTCTGCTCCGCCCAGGGGGGAAGGTACGGGGAGAAGGAGGGGGCAGGGGAGGGGGAGGAACGGGAGAGGAGGGTGGGGAGAAGGGGAGGAAGGAGAGGGAGGGAGGGAGGGGAATGGGGCGAAAAAGAGGGGGGAAGAGATTTGGAAGAGGGGGAGCGGGGCGCTGTGGTATGCTGCGCTCTCCATGCGGCAGAGGGAGCCGAAGACGTCCCCGATGAGCATGCGCTCCCACACCTCAAAGCGCGTGAACCCTGTTACCCTCTCCATCGCCGCGTTCCACTCCGTGCACAGCCCAAACTCTGTGCACCCAAGAGGGGAATCGGGGCACGGGGGCAGGAGGGGGGGGGGGAAGAAGGGAAGGGGAAAAGGGGGAAAAAGGAGAGGAGGTTGAACCTGGTCGCTCCCTCCATCGCCGTATTCCACTCCATGCAAAGTTCAAAATCTGCACACTCCCCGCCAACCCCACACTCCCCCACACCCACACTCCCCATCCCAACCATCACAACCACCACAACCCCAGAGCGTTCAATCAGCTCACCGTCACAGCCGAAGATGGGGGGGATGAGGGAGCTGTGCGCGTGCACAATGGCTTCATAGTCGCCCTTCACCTTCCTGAACCGGTCGTTCACCACCCTCTCCACCGTCACGTCCTGTCCCACGAAGCACACCCCCTGCACCTCCTGCTGCTGCTGCTACTGCTGCTACTCACAGCCACACCCACACACATCCACTCCCCATTCCAACCATCCCAGCCCCAGGGTGTGCCACTCACCATCGCAGCCGAAGATGGGGGGGATGAGCGAGCTGTGCGCGTGCACAATCGCTTCATAATCCCCCTTGACCTTCCTGAATTTGTCATTCACCACCCTCTCCACCGTCACATCCTGCCCCACGAAGCACACCCCCTGCACCTCCTGCTGCGCGTCGCGGCTCACAAACGTATTGGCCAATAGGATCACAGACGACCCCACGTCAATCCCAAGGGCCTCGGCACCGGCTGTAGCGCCGCCGGCGGTGCTGCCAGCTGCTGCTGTGGCGGAAGCAGCTGCAGCGGCTGCGGCGCTGCCTGTGCTGGCGGTGCGTGCTGAGGGGCCGGAGAGGCTGCGCTCCGTTCCCCACGAGTGCAGGCGCAGCTGAATGTTGTGTGCCTCGCGACCTGCCAGAGAGCGGGGGATGGGCGGAGTTGGGGAAAGGGGGAGAGGGAAGAGGGTTGGTTGGTTCTGTCAATACCCCTGCTGCACTGAGAGGCTGCGCTCTGTTCCCCACGAGTGCAGGCGCAGCTGAATGTTGTGTGCCTCGCGACCTGTGTGGGAGAGATTTGGGGAAGGGGAAAGGGGAAAGGGCTGGTCCTGTCAATAGCCCTGCTCTTGAGGAAGGGGAAAGGGGAAAGGGCAGCCCTGTGAGCGTCGTCGCCACCTTGTTGTTCCACCCTTCCACCCTCTTCCCCACCCCACCCACCGTGTGACATTAGAGGGCACACCCACCTTGAAAGGCAAGGTCTAGCGCAGCATGAAGGTGCGTCTTGGATGGCAGCCCTGTGAGCGTCGTCACCTTGTTGTTCCACCCTCCCACCCACCCCACCCACCGTGTGACATTAGAGTGCACAGCACAGCCACCTTGAAAGGCAAGGTTGAGAGCAGCATGAAGCTGCGTCTTGGATGGCAGCCCTGTGAGCGTCTTCGCCACCTTGTTGACACTAAACCCACCAACCGTGTAACACTAGAGCGCACCTTGGAAGGCGAGGTCGAGAGCGGCATGCAGCTGCGTCTTGGACTGCACATCTGCTAGGTCATCCACGAGGGATTTCCCGATGGCGGCAGAGAAGGGCAGCCCTGTGAGCGTCGCCACCTCCACCTTGGCTCGAGGCGCTACGTTACCAGAGCTTGCCATGGCGCAAACCTACCTTGGAAGGCGAGGTCGAGAGCAGCATGCAGCTGCGTCTTGGACTGCACGTCTGCTAGATCGTCGACCAGAGATTTCCCGATGGCAGCGGAGAAGGGCAGCCCTGTGAGTGTCGCCACCTTGTTGTTCCACCCCGTGATGCACCCCTCGCGATCAACGGCCAGGATCGGCGCAGACGCCGTCTCGATGAAGTGCACGAGCTGATCGAAGGTCGCTGCGTACAGCTTGTCCAGCTCCTGCGGGTTTTGTAATAGAAGGGAGAAGGTGGGGTGCGGTGGAGAGGGGTGGGGATGGGTTGATGGAGGGTGGGGAGAAGGTGCAGAGGCCGTCTCGATGAAGTGCACGAGCTGATCGAAGGTTGCCGCGTACAGCTTGTCCAGCTCCTGGTGTTGAGGGAGAGAAGGTTGAAAGCAGTGGGGAGGGGTGGGAAGGTTGGTTGGAGGAGGGAGAGTGGCTGGAACGAAGGATTGAACCCGAGCTGATTGAACGTGGCCGCGTATAGCTTGTCGAGCTCCTGGTATAGTGGAAACAGGGAGGAGGTGGGGCGGGGCGGTGAGGGGTGGGAGGGGGTGATGGAAGGGGAGAAGACGCAGAGGCCGTCTCGGTGAAGTGAACGAGGTGATCGAGCGTGGCTGCGTACAGCTTGTCCGGCTCCTGGTGTTGAGCAAAGGGCGGAGGGGGAGTGGTAAGGGAAAACGGGGTTGGAAGGGGAGGAGAATTGGGTGGAAGGAGGTGCAAGAGCTGACTGATTGATACGAGATGAAACGCACGAGCGGACCCAAGGTTGCTGCGTGCAGCTTGCCAAGGCACATCAAGGCGCGTGCGGAGCACAGCGTCGCGAAGAATGATCTGCACCGAGTTGATCGCATCCACCTCCAGGTCCTGCCACAGTGCCGACCAATGCCTCACTACCTCCCGGTGGGCTTGGGTGTTTCACCTCCTCCAGCTTCCAGGTGGGGTTGGGCGCTTGACTTTTCTAGAAACACCCAAGAGAGGGGAAGAAGAAAGAGAGGAGAAGAAGAAGGGCAGGACAAAGACTTACCTATGGAGAGAGTGCCATTTCAGCAGCACCGCCCCCTCCTCCCCCGACAGGCACACCAAGGCGCATCCTGTGAACGGCATCTCTGAGAATGATCTGCACCGAGTGGATCGCGTCCACCTCCAGGTCCTGCCACGGCGCCGACCGGTGCCGCACCACCTCCCGGTGGGTTGGGTGCTCGTAATACCGGGGACAAGAGGGAGAAGGAGGGCGGGAGGGCGGGACGAAGACTCACCTCTGGAGAGAGCGCCATTTCAGCAGCAGCGCCTCCGCCTCCCCCAACAGGGACCCCAAGTCGCATCCTGTGAACGGCATCTCTGAGAATGATCTGCACCGAGTGGATCGCGTCCACCTCCAGGTCCTGCCACGGCGCCGACCGGTGCCGCACCACCTCCAGAAACGCCTCAAACGACTGCCTTGGGTTCATCTTCTTGATATCATCCTTCGGGGCCTTCCCGGGCTTCTGCTTCGCGCCGCTCCAGTGGATCTGCTTCTGCACGTGCGATCTCAGCCACAGGATGAAGTCGGACTCGCCGATCTGAGCCATTGCTACTCCGCAGACGGAGTCCCCGAGGGAGGTTGCGTGCGGGTAGCCGGCGGCGAGCAGGCTGTCGATGGTGAGCCCGGTGGTGTTCGGGTGGGCCGTTTGGATCCACTCGATGATCGAGAGCACCTGGGTGGAGTGCGGTGGAAGGGAATGAAGAGCAATGGGTTGCGGTGAAGAGGGGTGATGGGGAGTGAGGCGGGGTAGAGGCTGCGTATGGGTAGCCAGCTGCAAGGAGACTGTCAATGGTGAGCCTGGTGGTGTTGGGGTAGGCGGATTAATCCCATTCGATGATTAAGACCACCTGGGTGTAGTGCGGTGAAGAGGGGTGGAGGGGGTTGAAGAGGGGTGGGGTGCAGTGATTGTGAAAAGGGGTGACCGTGAAGGGGGGTGGGGCAGGGCAGAGGCTGCTGCTCAAGTGTAGTCAGCAGTGAGGAGGCTTTTCAAATTCTAGCCAGCAGCTAAGGAGTTTTGAGATGCTGTGGTGGGCACTGGTCCGTTCGATTTGTGTTCGATTTGTGCCAAGAGGGCAAGATTTCCGTTGTTCCTGCCTCTCTCCCTCACCTGTTCCTTGGTGGGCGCAGTCCCAGAGGAGTAGAACTCCCCATCCACAAGCAGGGCAGCGCCGTCGCACTCCACCAGGTCGCGCACGGAGGGGCGCGCGTCAGGGGCCATGAGGGCGTGGAAGGGCGCGTTGGCGAGCATCATGTGGCACAGCTGCGTCTGCAGCTGCAGGATCTGCTGCTCCCTCTGCTGCGCCTGCAGCTGTAGCTCCTTGGCCAGTTGCAGCGTGAACACCTGGCAGGGTGGTGAAAAGGGGAGAGGAAGGAGAGAATGGGATGGAAGGTGGGTGGGGGAGGAGGGCAGAGGCCAACATCAGGCGTGGAAGGGTGAGCTAAAGGGCACAGGCACGTGTGTGAACAGCTCTACTGAACGCCACTGAAATGCAGGTCAGCACAAGCAAATGCAAATTAACAAATCTCTCACTCTACCCACCAGCACCACACCCCCATCTCAAATCTCAGCCCACCTGCATGAGAAAGTCGCAGGCAGAGCGCACAGGGAAGGGCACATAGCGTGGAGAAGTGTGATGGCACACAATCATCCCCCACAGCCGCCTCCCCTCCACACACAACCCCCCTTCTCGACCCACCAGCATCCCATCCCACCGCTCTCAACCCACCTGCATGAGGAAGTCGCAGGCAGAGCGCACAGGGAAGGGCACATAGCGCGGGGACGTATGATGACACACAATCATCCCCCACAGCCGCCTCCCCTTCACCTCATCCAGTGTCGACAACACTCCCCCTCCCCCTCCCCCTCCCCCACCTCCCCCTCCTCCTCCCCCATCCTCCCCCTCCGCCCCGCCCCCGCCCGCTCTCCCGCCAATCGCCGCCGGCAACGCCTCCTGGTCCCTGAGAACAATAGACAGGCAGAGCGACGCGGAGATAGCCATGTTCTGCATGTACTGTGCATGGCACCCATGCACCGCCCGCAGCGTGGACGTCGACAGGCTCACAGGTTGCTTCAGAAACCCCCTCTCCTGCACCACCTTCACCGGCTTCGACTTCGCGTCGCAGATCATGCGGATCCGATTCTTCAAGAATAAAATCCGGGACGCCTTGGGAATATCCGTGGAGGGGTAGTGCAGTCCGAGGTAAGACTCTAGGGGGCGTTTCCGGTCCTCTGCTATAACCTCCCCGTGTTCGTCCTCGTGGAATTTATACGCCATGACTCTATCGTACCCTGTGAGCTGCCGAATCTCCTCTACCAGCGCCTGGAAGAGTAAATCGAGGCTGCTTCCAGAGGGGATGGCTTGCAGGCGTGAGACAGCGTGGGTGGCGAGCTTGTGGGAGTGCAGAGCCCCAGCACCGTTCACAGCCGGGTCGGAGGGAAGAATCGGCTCGAGGTCGATTAAAATTGTGCCGCGCTTGACCTTGCTGCTAGTCGTAGGAGCGTTGGATTCCCCATTGCCGTTTGCCACACCAGCAGCGGCGGCAGCGGCGGTGGTGGAGGGGGAGGAGGAGGAGGATTGGCGGTGCAGGATGGCATAGAAAGGGCGGCAGGAGAGGGAGGACTGCACGAGCACGGGGTTCATGAGCGCCATTTCCCGCGCCCCCATCGCCTTCTCCAGCGCCGTCACGCTCTCGGGGGTGAAGAGGATGCGCGCATCCGACCCCAGGCCTGCATGGAGTGGGGGGGTGGGGGGTAGGGGTGCGTGCGGGTGTGGGAATGGGTCAGATTTGACTCGAGAATCACCAACGGCGCCAGCAGTAGCAGCAGCAGCACCACCACCACCACCACGACCAGCAGCAGCAGCAAGGGGCGGCAGGAGAGGGAGGACTGCACAAGCACGGGGTTCATGAGAGCCATCTCCAGCGCTGTCACGCTCTCGGGGGTGAAGAGAATGCGCGCGTCTGACCCCAGGCCTGTGCGGGAAGGGGGCGTGGGGAGGGAGGAGGGGGGGGGGGGCGGGGGGGGGGTGTAGGGGGTGCGGGTGTGGGAGTGGGTCAAATTTGACTTTAGAGTCAGAGGCAACAGCAGCAGCAGCAGCAGCAGCAGCAGAAGCAGCAGGAGAGGGAGGACTGCACGAGCACGGGGTTCATGAGAGCCATGTCCCGCGCCCCCATCGCCTTCTCCAGCGCTGTCACGCTCTCAGGGGTGAAGAGGATGCGCGCATCTGACCCCAGGCCTGCACGAGGAAAGGGCATTGGGTACAGAGGCGGGAGTGGGCACAGTGGGTGTGTAAGGATGGTGGTGTCTGTTGCCCCCATCGCCTTCTCCAGCGCCGTCACGCTCTCAGGGGCGAAGAGAATGCGCGCGTCTGACCCCAGGCCTGTATGGGGGAGAGGGCAGGGTGAGCAGGTGCGGGAGTGGGAGTAGGAGTGGGTTCACAGCTGACTTAACAATCACCACCAGCACGAGCACCAGCAGCAGCAGTAGCAGCAGCACTAGCAGCGCTAGCAGCACCACAGCACTGGCTAAAGAAAATCACCCTCCAAGCGCCTACAGAGCAGCCAAGGTTCCTCCCACGTTCTTTGCAACTTGCCAAACCCTATTACCCCAGTCCAGCCTGTTCCTGCTACTGCCAATCACAACCATGTAGAGCTCGCAGAGCAGGCGATATCCCTCTCACGCTGTTCAAGACTGGCCAAATGCTATGATGACCCCAGTCAAGTCTGCTTCTGCCATTGCCACACCCACCTCTTTCTCCCACACCCACCTGTTTCTCCCACCCACACCCACCTGTTTCTCCCACACCCACCCACCTGATTCGCCCCCACCCACCTGTTTCGCCCACACCCACCTGTTTCGCCCACACCCACCTGTTTCGCCCACACCCACCTGTTTCGCCCACACCCACCTGTTTCGCCCACACCCACCTGTTTCGCCCACACCCACCCGTGGGATTCCCCTTAATGCTCGCCTTGGGACTGCCGATCCCCGTCCCCTCTGCTGGATCTTCAGTGGGCCACCCTTCATGAAAGCAGCCAGAAACACCCAACACCCACCTAGAGCCTGCAGAGCAGCCAAGTCAGCAGACGTGCGCGGCGACCTCCCCGTATTCCCCTTAATGCTCGCCTTGGGACTGCCGATCCCCGTCCCCTCTGCCGGATCCGCAGCTGCCGCCCCCGCGGACGACCGCGACAGCAGCCGTCGGATGGAAAACGATCGTGCGGAGGAGAGGGCAGGAGAGGAGGAGGAGGTGGGGCGCGGGACTGAATTCGAAATGTCAACTTCCCCCGGGAGAGAGGAGCTGGGGGGAGCGTTATGATCATTCCCATGCCCGGAAGCGGAGGAGGGGCGTGAGGAGGGAGAGCACGGCTCTTCCAGAGACATGCACCCTACCCCCACCCCCACCCCTCCCCCTCCTCCGCCACCACCGCTTCCCCCGCTCCCCCCTCCCGCTCCCCCGTTAGCCGCGCTGCTGTCGCTGGCCCCCCCTGGCAGGGGGGCGGCGGGGGTTCTGACGGAGCGGGAGGTGGAGCGGAGGAGCGCGCGGTTGGAGCGGTTGATGGCGCGCATTACCCGGTCCATCACGAACCCGAGGGGGCCTGGGAGGGGGGGGGAGCGGGGGAAGGGGGCGGGGGGGAGGAAGGAGGGGGCGGAATGGAGAAGGATATGTGGGGAAAAATGGATAAACGGTTGGAGTGGTTGATGGCGCGCATTACCCGGTCCATCACGAGCCCGAGGAGCCCTGGGGGGGAGGAGGAGGGGAAGAAGGAGGGGGGATGGTGGGGGACGGGGTGTTGGGTGGGGGGAAGGAAGAAGGAGGGGGAGGAGGCGAGGAGGATATGTGAGGGGAGTTGGATTAGCGGTTGGAGCGGCTGATGGCGCGCGTTACCCGGTCCATGCCAATCTGGAAAAAAAGCGCGCATTGAGGGGAACAGCACGCATTGGCCGGTTCATGCCAATCTGGAAAAAAAGCACTCATGTGAGCGAATTTTTTTTTATTGTCAGGAAGGACTCTCAGGGATGGCACGGGTGAAAGTGGCCCGGGAGCAGGGGGGGCGAAAAGACGAGGCGGAACCTTTTTTTTTAAGGAATACTGGGAATTGGCTATTTCTAACAACCGGCTGATAAGAACTGGCTGTTTTTGGAAACTGAGCAAATCGTCGAGGGACGGGTTTGCGGGAGTTTCGAGAAAATGGAAAAGGGTGAGATACGGATACAAGCAGGTTGAAATTGAATTGGGGGAAATAGGATGTAAGTAGGGCGAAGAAGGGCGGGCTGATATAGGATCAACTGGTACGGGAAATAGGATGGTGGGAGCTTTGGAAAACGCTAACTTGACCGGCGAAGAGTTCGTTCACACGTTACCAGCGCTCTAGCCGAGAACGGTACGATTCCATCTCCTATACTATCGAGCGTACGTATTTATGTAGTACGTACCGGCGGAGGACTTTTGCGGAAGGCACAGCACTTCGGGTACATTGTCACTGTACGCCAAGAGGCGAAACGTCCCTTCTTCAACCAATAGGACGCAGCCGAACGACTGTATCATCCCGCCGCGTTCCATCTTTACCAAGAAGCTGCTCACGTCCTTGTCTACCTCCTCCATTGCTGCTCCTGCGCCTGAACCTCCTGATTTGGTCTTTCCGCTCTTGCTCTTCTCCTTCCCGGAGCCCGACCGTTCCTGTGTCTCCATTTGAAAATCAGCGGCTTGACGAAGTTATGTGCTAGAAAGCGACAGGGATTAAAGGGTTAATTTGGTCTAAGGCTTATGCGGGAGCACCCATGATGACCTGTTCGCAGCTATTGTAGGAGAAGACGACACCAGGACGTCAGGATGCGAGACTCCCTAATTTTATCATTACCATTTGGCGTAATCTACTCTCCATGAGTGATGCTTCACTTTTACAACGATCAATCCGTCGTTCATTCGTCCAGAAAGGCCAAACTCAGTGAAACCTTGGGAATGTCAAACGCCTGCCATTAATTTAATTACGGAACTGACTGGACTTCCGACGCATAACTTATGATGCTCGTCCTTGAGTCTACCCCGCCATGGAACGTCATGTTGCACGGAAAATGTACCAGTGTGACTAGTCCCACCGGAAACACACGCGTACACATGCACAGCCGTGGCTCGTTCAACGCATTTGAAGGCCTTACAAAAGCAAGAACGAACCGCGTTACACAATATAGAGGCCTTGCAAAATAGCCTCCTTTCTGAAAACTTGGTCCTAGGACAGCATGAAGGCGAGTCTAGGTGGCTTTTCTGCAATCCAGAGCAACACGCTTGTTTGGGTTGGGTGGTCACTTGCATTCCGTTGCAATGCAACTCGACTCGACTTCAGGTTGAAAAGGCAAATCGGATCTCCTTTGGATAAAATGCTGTCGCTCGTACGTACGAGGAAATCGAGATGGCTGCAAATTCCCCCAGACCAAGCTCTTTTGCAGGGCTGTTCCCCGATTGTCTTCTTTGGATACGGGTGTTGCTCTTACAGCCCGGTTAAATCCTGATCCTGTCTGCTTCCGCCACGGCCTTTGTTGTTGGTTTACGCGACTGAAGTTGGGTTTGGTGGTTTACACCTGGATAGGTACACCTCGATGGTGTAATTTAACAAAAACGTGTGGAAATGAAGTGTGAGTGGTCCATTGGAAATCGCGACGTTAAGCGTTACATCTAGATGCCCACCCGCCACAATCAGGTGTAGAGACGGGTTACCTCCCTCAACCTGGGTTTCCTCACCCGCCACCCAGGTCCTTTGTCCGTGGTGCTACCGAGCCGACTGTGTTAACGGTTTGGGCTGCCCGCAATGGGGGAACTCCACTGCGACGTCAATAAGAAGGTTCCATAAGCGGCAGAAGCACTTTTGTGCTCCGCTTGCTTTCGTCATCAGCCTTCTGCACAACGAATACGAAGTGAACACGGCATGGTTTGCTGGGAAATGTGCCGTCAACCATACGAGGGTGTACGTACGTAGCTCCAAATCAAGTCGCCTCTCTCCCTGACGCGCCGCGTACCCCCAACCACAAGCATAATCGAAACCACACCACGAAAACTCCTTGGGGCCAAACCAGAGAGAATCCATACCGAACCTCGGACGAATTAGGCAGCCACTAGGCGGTTTGCGAGGATTTCCTTGTTTCGGGGGGACCAGTAAGCAGCAAGCACATCGATAACGAAAACCAAACAGTGACGTGGCTAAAACAGCCATCCTATGATGACAGTTATAAAGTCAACTGTATACTTACACTTCTTAGCATATGGCTCATCTACATTTTTATGCTCCCCTCAAAGTTTCAATAATTGTCTATAATGGACCTGTTGTTGCTCATAGTAATTTGCACAGAACCTGCATACTTTCAGCATTTGCAACATGCATAGCATACAACCACTATGGGTACACTCGTACGTGTATTCATCCTATACGAGTGACCCGCGAAGAACTACAGCAACCAAGTAAAATGGCAAGAATAAACGCTACACAAAATATCCCACAGTTGAAGATAGGTCATTGATAATCTGCACACAGAAAGAAAGAACAGGTGCCGAAAGCACGAAAAGGGCGGAAAACTCAAGATGCAAGTTCTCTCACCCGTGTTAGAACTCTATCCGCTAACTAAAGGCCTCTCAAAATAATTATCGAGAACGATCTTGCAATACCCACAACCTCTTCCCATACTGGCGACCTCTCTTGCCATCAACCCTCTCCTATCACACCTCTCGTATTCACCCCCACTACTCACCTCCAGCTGCTCCGCACTGAACGCCTTTTGTGCATGCGCCAGCTGCCGGCGTGCGTGCGCAGCACTTACCCCGCCTTATTGAAGGTCCTCAATATGGTCACCCCCACGACTCACCTTCAGCTGCTCCGCACTGAATGCCTCTTTGTGCATGTGCCAGATGTTGGCGTGCGTGCACGGCGTGCGCAGCACTCGAACACACCCCATAAATCACCCCCACCACTCAACTCCAGCTGCTCTGCAGTGAATGCCTCCTTGTGAATGTGTCAGCTGTCAGCATGCATGGAGCGCACTTGAGACACTTACTCTAGCCCCCCCATCACCTCCCACCACTCACCTCCAGCTTTCCCTGCACTGAACGCCTCCTTGTGGATGTGCCAGCTGTTGGCGTGCGTGTGCAGCACCTGACCACCCTTAGTCTCCCAAGTCACCCCCACCACCACCTCCCACCACTCACCTCCAGCTGCTCCGCACCGAACGCCTCCTTGTGAATGTGCCAGCTGTCAGCATGCGTGGAGCACACTTGAGACACTCTCTCTAGCCTCCCATCACCTCCCACTACTCACCTCCAGCTGCTCTGCAGTGAACGCCTCCTTGTGGATGTGCCAGCTGTTGGCGTGCGTGTGTGCGTGCACAGCACTTGAACAACCCCCCCCCCCCCCCCCCCCCCCCTCCCTCCCCCTCCCCCCCAGTCATCCTCACTACTCACCTCGAGCTGAACGCCTCCTTGTGAATGTGCCAGCTGTCGGCGTGTGTGCGCTTGAAGTCCCCCAGCGCCTTCCCCACAACCCCACTCACATTGCTACTCAACCCCAGTTGCCCCGTGCTCACCTCCAGCTGCTCCGCACTGAATGCCTCCTTGTGAATGTGCCAGCTGTCGGCGTGTGTGCGCTTGAAGTCCCCCAGCGCCTTCCCCACCGCAGGGCCAACTGGGGCAGGCTCTCCTGCCAGGCTGGCGAGCGACAGCAGCACGGCTGGTAACCACCTGGGTAGAAACAAATGTTGGGAAACGGGAAGAAATGAAGGGGAGTGAGTGATCCTGTTCAGTTATTTTGAGGCGCCTCAAAATACACCTCAATGCACGAAGAAATAAAGGGGAGTGAGTGAGCCTGTTCAGTTACGCGGCCAACTAGGGCAGGCTCTCCTCTCCTGCCAGGCTGGCGAGCGACAGCAGCAGGTCTGGTAACCACCAGAACACCTAAGCATGCCAATTCAAACGCTTTGAGTTGCACTGCGATTCTCGAGGAATGACAATTCAGTCACTTTTGTATGCTAAGCGTGCACTCAACAGTGCATGCTGCTGCTATTGGAGCAGCTCTTACAGGGGAACATCGTATGGTGCTGATCGCACAGCAGCAGCAAGCCCAAGCGCCGATCCATGCATCTTGACCGTCCGTGCTGCCATCTTTGCTGCTGAGTCAGCATCCAACGTCTTTCCCCCATTGGCTCGTTTGCGGGCGGTTCTCGAGGCTTTGAGAGTGGATGCAGCTGATTGGACGAAGCTCTGGCGAATGGTAGCTGGCCACGTGTCACCTTGAGGGGCTGCCTTGAAAAGGCCTGCCAGCGTGGCGGATGCCATGTCACGCACCTGTGACAGGTTGGCAAGGGAAGGAGATAAACGGGTGAGTGAAGGGAAAGAGGGGAAGAAAATGGACCGCCAGAAGCGCAGAAAGAGGCAAAAACCATGGGGACACGGAAAGCCTCGTGTAGAAAGTGTAATTCTGAGACGACTCAAAAATACACTTTCTACATGTGGCCAGAAGCAGAAAGCGGCAAAAACCATGGGGACATGGAAAGAAATACAAACGAATGATGGCAGACGAAGCAGTGGTGGCGAGTAGTAGTTCCTGTAGTAAAGCAGCATAGTGGAAGGAAAGAGAGGTGCGTGCACTGGAGAGCAGAACCAATCCTGCTGCCGGGCATTATGGTGGGCAGGCAGGGATGGCTCGTGACAAAATTATTGCAGTGACCACGTGTCATGGTTCACATCTGTTTACCTCTGGCTGTGGGTCTTGCAGGCAGGCAATGACTGCTTGACCAAGAGGTGAGAGGTCGGCGGGTGAGAAAAGGACTTCTGAGTCGACTCAAAAGCTATCTGCTTACCTCTGGAGGGTAGTACTGAAGTGACGTCGTGTCACATTTCCCGTCTGTTTACCTCTGGCTGTAGATCTTGCAGACAGGCAATGACTGCTTCACGAAGAGATGAGAGGTCAGCGGGCGAGAAAAGGACTTCTGAGTCGACTCAAAAGCTATGTGTTTACCTCTGGCGGCTAGTACTGAAGTGACGGCGTGTAAGGGTTCACGTCTGTTTACCTCTGGTTGTGGGTCTTGCAGACAGGCAATGACTGCTTCACGAAGAGACGAGAGGTCGGCGGGCGAGAGAAGGAAGCCATTGCTGCAGAAGAAGGGATGGAGAGGGGAATAAGGTGATAATTTAAGCAGCAAAAAATCTTGCAGGCAGGTTTTCAGGGCTCAATGAAGAGATGAGAGGCCAACGGGAGAGAGAAGGAAGTCATTGTTTAGAGGGGAGGGATGGAAATGGGTGGTGGTGGTGAGGATGGTGAAAGCACAGCCAGAAAACCTTGTGAGATGTTTTTGCACGCATGCGTTTGCATGTGCATGTGGCAAGTCAACTCAATGAAAAACAAAGGGCTGGCAGAACGAGAGAGCAGCAGCTCTCTCCTTCCAGTTGCTCAATTGTGCCGCCGCCAGCACTGCCGCTGCTCCGAAGCACAAACCTTGAAACACCAACTCACCGGAAAACAAAGGGCTGGCAGAACGAGAGAGCAGCAGCTCTCTCCTTCCAGTTGCTCGACTGTGCTGCTGCCAGCACCGCCGCCGCTGCTGCTGGCACAGCAGTCGCAGGGAGGGGCAGGTACTTGGTGTAGGCGAGGCATTGCTTGGCGAGGAGAGAGAGGTCCGTGTTGGGGGTTTCCTGGAGTGAGAGAGGAGGAAAGGTTTAGAAGCATTGGGGGGGGGGGGGGGGGGGTGATTGAAAAGTGGTTCCAGGGAGGGGCAGGTACTTGGTGTATGCGAGGCATTGCTTGGCGAGAGAGAGAGGTCCGTGTTGGGGGTTCCCTGCAATTAGGGAAGAGAGACGGTACAGAAGCATTGGCAGGTACTTGGTGTAGGCGAGGCATTGCTTGGCGAGCAGAGACAATTCCGTTTTCGGGGTTTCCTGAAACGCGGGACGAAGTGAGCATTGAGAGGTGGAATGAGAGGTGGAATGAGGTGTGGAATGAGGTGTGGAATGTGGTGTGGAATGAGGTGTGGAATGAGGTGTGGAATGAGGTGTGGAATGAGGTGTGGAATGAGGTGTGGAATGAGGTGTGGAATGAGGTGTGGAATGAGATGCAGGCAGAGGGGAATGTCAACCCCAGATATGGTGGTTGCAGAGAGCAGCAGGTACTTGGTGTAGGCCAGGCATTACTTGGGCAGTTTTTGAAGCGCCTCAAAAACCACCTGTAGGCCAGGCATTACTTGGGCGGTTTATGAAGCGCCTCAAAAACCACCTGTAGGCCAGGCATTACTTGGGCGGGTAGTGAGAGGTCCTTGTTGTGTTGGGAGGAACGGAGGGGAGTCACCTCACTTGACATAGACAGCAGTCACGAGGAAGTAAAGGACCCATAATTCGGTCGACAAATAAGTGGTCTCATTTACATGCGGTTTCCTCCTACCTGTATGGAGAGCAGAGGTGGCAGCAGAGCGACGATGTCTGGGAGGAACGGAGGGGCGTCGCCAGACTTGACAGCAGACATGAGGAAGTAGAGAATCTGGGAAGGGAGTAAGAGTGGTTGGGAGGGATTGGGAGGGATCGGGAGGAGTTGGGAGGTTGGCAATTGAGTCAATGAAGAACATATGTGACAGGAGGACGCTGTCACAGAATCTATCCTCAACACACTCCTGTCCTCCTATCATTTGCAGGATATTAAACAATACATGAAGTGCCTATCTTTGTTTTTTAAGCATAAGAGTTTTGTTGATGAAAGCACTTACAGCTTCCATCATCCACACGCTCCTGTCCTCCCGCTTCTATCCATCCCGCTGCTGTGACGTGAAACAGTATGTGTGAAGGTGCCTGAGGAATAATCCAAACACATAGAATGTGCTACGGAAAGCACTTACAGATTCCATTGTCCACACGCTCCTGTCCTCCTCAGATCCCTCCTTCCCTGCTTCACTGCTCCCCTCATCCCCTCCCTCCTTCCCCTCCACCACCCCTTCCATCTCCCCCTCTTGTTTCTTCGAACCCTCCTTTGTCTCTTTCTGCTGCTCGGTGCTGCTTCCCATGGACTTGATCACTGTAGCAGCTTTGGCAGCTTCTGCCAAGATATGATTCGACAGGCTGGCAGCAGCAGCGGCAGAAGCGGAGGAGGAGGAAGAGGACGAACTAGCGAATCTAGTGCTGAGTGCAACCAGAAGAGCAGATAACACCTCCCCCAGAAGCTGTCGAACCTGTCTCGCGCTATGAGTCATCAGCCCCTTTGCCTCATCTGCCAATCTAATAAGGAATCTCGATTCCTCCTCATCCTCCTCCTGTTGCTCCTCACTCTCAGCCCCTTCCCCCACTTGCCCCATCTCCCCTACCGCCACCACCAGCAGCATCAGCCGTTTCGCCTGCTGACCTGAGGCCGCATTTCCTGGAAGCTTCTCCAGAAGCTTCTCCCGCACGAGCCGCTGAATCCTGCCCCTCACCCCCCCTCCAACCCCCTCACGTCCGTCCGCTCCCCCCTCTGACCCCCCTGCCTCAACAACTTCCCAGCTGCTCCCATCCTGTCTCCTCTTAGTCAAGACATATCGCACACATGTGGCCCAGTCGGTTTGAGATTCCACGGAGCAATGCAGAATGGCTTGGTGGAACAGACGAGCCAGCCAACCAGGAGTGGTAGGATTCAGAGACGGTGAGTCCGAGTCAGAACCAAGCGGAGCCTCTGCTTCCGCCCCGGCCCGAACCTGGTTCTCAGCCTCGGCCAGTACCTCTGGCTCAGGCTCGGCACACCAGGCGTGCAGCACAGCGGGGTGTGCAGAGGCGAGGAGCCCTGCAGTGATCTCTGCTGCTGCGCTCTGTGCTCCCTTGTCGGTCTCCTTGGATACCAGGTCTTGCAGGCACGGGTGGAGTGCGTGCAGGAAGGCTGTCACTGCTGCTGTGCTGCCAGATATGCCAGAGGCAGCGCCAGCAGCAGCAGTGGTTTGAACAAGAAGCTCAAAGAGCATCGCATTTGCCACCACAAATGAAGAGGACTGCGGACAGGACGGCACCAACCCTCGGGACTTTCTCCTCGGCCAATCCGAGAGCAGCGCTGACGTGGCAGACGCTCCAAGCCCCGCGCTGAACAGTGCTGATACTGTAGCCCCGGGATTGTCGCCCCCGCCCGCCCCGTTCCCCCCTCCCCCTCCACCAAATAGACCCGCTAGCCTTCCCCCGCCGCCCCTGCCCCTCCCCCGCCCGTTTCCTCCTGAGGGGAGGTCGCCGGTTTGATGGTCGAGTGAGAGGTGGGAGGTGAGGGAGGAGAGGAAGGACGTGGATGTGAGGAGGGAGAGAGGGAGGGGAGGAGGAGTGCGTGAGGAAGTTTGGAAAGGAGGAAGAGGAAGTGGAGAGGGGGAATGGAGAGAGGAGAGGAAGGGGGGCTGGAGGGAAGGGGGGAGGAGGAGGAGGAGTGCAGAGGTGGCGAGAGGGCGGAGGAGAGGGAGAGGACCTGCAAGGAGGTTCAGGTAGTGCAGAGGCAGGTACAGGGTCTGCTGTTGTTGAGTGATAGAAGAGGCGACAGCAGCAGAAGGTGGAAGAGGAGGAGGAGCAAGAGGAGGAGGTGGGGTGGAGGGGACGGAGGAGGAGAGGAGGGCGAGCAGCGCATTGGCCATGAGAGAGTACCTGGGAGAGAGGAGGGTTGGAGGAGGGAGCGAGGAGGGAGAGAGGAGGGAGCGAGGAGGGAGAGAGGAGGGAGCGAGGAGGTGGTAGGTGGGAAGTGGAGAAAATGGTGTCAGTGGGGTAAAAGAGGTAATGGGGTAAAGCATCGGGAGGCAGTATAACAGATACAACATTCAAAATTCCAAAGAAAAGGAAAAAGACATGGGTAAAGAGAGGCGTTGCGAAAGGGGGAAAAAAAGGGGGAAAGGGGAAAAGGGAAACTCACCTCCAGTGCGTGGCTGCAGAAGCAATCGCATTGCTATCAGCAGCGGCAGCAGTTGCTTCACTCGCACCACCACTAGCAGCAGCGGTGGGAACATTAGCAGCAGCAGCAGGAGCAGCAATGGTCCAGAGGAGCGAGAGAGCTCCCTGTGCTTGAGAGGCAATATCACCATCACCGCTACCAGACTCCCACCCGCTCTCCCACCCACTCTCCGCTTGTGCCTGCTCCTCTCCTATAGCAGGCACTGGGCGGGGCCGAATGGGGTTCACCCCAGCGAAGCGAGACACGAATGCGATGAAGAGCTGATGGAGGGCGGGATGCAGAGCATGAGAGAAGGTGTTTGATTCGAAACGGACGCGTTTTGAGGTGCGACACAGCATGGTGTGTCATCGCATGGGAGTTGCAAAGGCAGCAGTGCATTTGACAAAGGATAACGCAGCTTCGGCCAGCGATTCTGGTGTGCATGATTCTTCAGAAAACCAGGGTAGAAGGACGCGTGGGTATGGGTTTGGCTCCACCAGAATTTTAGGGCTTAGGAAAAGAAGAAGAGAAAAGGACAACGTGTTGTGGCAAGACCACATACCATTGAGGCATTTAAGCGAAGTAACAATGAAGTTGAAACATGAAACACTGAATTCAAATCGCTGTTGTGGTCTCCTCTTACCTGGTTGATGGCGTTGAGAGCCTTGAGAGAGTCAATGGAGTGCCTGGGATGGGATGCGTGAATAAGGCGCGAAAGAGAGAAGGGGACATGGAAGGACGACATGGTGCGGCGGAGTGCTGTGAGCCTCTCATGGCTGGAAGGACGACATGGTGCGGCGGAGTGCTGTGAGCCTCTCATGGCTGGAAGGACGACATGGTGCGGCGGAGTGCTGTGAGCCTCTCATGGCTGGAAGGACGACATGGTGCGGCGGAGTGCTGTGAGCCTCTCATGGCTGGAAGGACGACATGGTGCGGCGGAGTGCTGTGAGCCTCTCATGGCTGGAAGGACGACATGGTGCGGCGGAGTGCTGTGAGCCTCTCATGGCTGGAAGGACGACATGGTGCGGCGGAGTGCTGTGAGCCTCTCATGGCTGGAAGGACGACATGGTGCGGCGGAGTGCTGTGAGCCTCTCATGGCTGGAAGGACGACATGGTGCGGCGGAGTGCTGTGAGCCTCTCATGGCTGGAAGGACGACATGGTGCGGCGGAGTGCTGTGAGCCTCTCATGGCTGGAAGGACGACATGGTGCGGCGGAGTGCTGTGAGCCTCTCATGGCTGGAAGGGACGACATGGTGCGGCGGAGTGCTGTGAGCCTCTCATGGCTGGAAGGACGACATGGTGCGGCGGAGTGCTGTTGAGCCTCTCATGGCTGAAGGACGACATGGTGCGGCGGAGTGCTGTGAGCCTCTCATGGCTGGAAGGACGACATGGTGCGGCGGAGTGCTGTGAGCCTCTCATGGCTGGAAGGACGACATGGTGCGGCGGAGTGCTTTCAAGAGCAAGAAGAGTGTATCTGTGGTGTTATTGAGCCTTGAGAGAGAAAATCCATGCATCTGTACACATGCGCATAGTTGGAAAAATAATACCAAAAAAACAACAGGAACTCTGCTAGTGGTTTCAAAACTGGGCTGGGAAAAGCGGCTGGTGCCCCAAGGTGAACGGGGAAGAAGAAGCACAAACGGATACAATGTTGCTCACAAGGCAAAGACTGTGGAGAGGAAGAGAGAGAGTGCCGGCACCCACCAGGAGAGGGTGGGGTTGGTTGGATGGAATGGAATCACAAGGGGTTGACTTTTGAGGCACCTCAAAAGTGGGGTTGGTTGGATGAAGTGGAATCACAAGGGGGTGACTTGTCACGTGTGACTCACGAGGAAAGGAGTGCGGAGAGGAAGGGAGCCAATGCCCTCCAGTCGTAAGCGATCTTGCGCATGATTGGTCGGCTCACAAACACCTGACATGCTCCCACTGCTGCCTCCTCCCTGTCCTCCTTCTCCTCCACCTCTTCCACCTCCTCTGCCGCTTTCATCTCCTCTACCTTCTTTTCCTTGTCTATTTCCCCATTGCCATCACTACCAATGGTGACACCACTGTTCCCCATCCTGATCATTCTTGTCACCGCGCCTGCCTCCCCAGCCACGCACGGCGACAGCTGGCGCAATGCAATGTCGACAGCTGGCGGGAAGCGCTTGAGAAGCAACTCCAGGCTGGCACGCGCAACACTGAGATGCAGGCATAGAAGTGAGATGGGCAAAGAGCGAAAGGGAAAACGGAGGAATTTTGGGAAGGGGACGGAGAAGCAGCAACAGCTGGTGGGAAGCGCTTGAGAATGAGGTCCAGGCTGGCACGCGCAACATTGGGAGGTGAGGAAAGGGGGAATGAGTGATGGGGGAAGGCGTTTTATTGGCAGAGGCATGGTGAAACAGCAGCAGCTGGTGGGAAGAAAGCACACTTGAGAAGCAGCTCCAGGCTGGCGTTTTTTGAGAATTCTCAAAAGGCATGCGCAACACTGGGAAGTGCCAGCAGAGAAGTGTGATGGGGAATGAGCGAAAGAGAGGAATTGGGGGGGGGGGGGGGGGGAACGAGGGTGTTGAGGTGCTTTGACAGCACGAGCGAATGGTGGACACACAAGCAAATGTCACCTGCACTCTATTTCTGAGTCCACTAAAATAATAGACTTATCACACGAGGGGTGGGGGTGGGGTAACGAGGGTGCTGAGGTGCTTTGACAGCATGATCGAATGGTGGACACAAAAGCAGATGTCACCTGCACTCAGAATCGTTTCCCTCCCAAAACCCCACCCCCCATTCCCACCCCCCAACGCACCCCTGTACAGACGCATATCGGTGCACCGACAGCAGCAGCAGGGCTCCCAGCAGCACCTTCACTCAGAATCTTGCCCCTCTCAGAGCATCAACCCCACTTCCCCTCCTCTTCCCTCTCCCTCTCCCCTTCTACCCATAACTCACCCCTGTACAGACGCATAACGGTGCACCGACAGCAGCAGCAGATCTCCCAGCAGCACCTTCACCGCCCTAGGGAGGGGCGGCGGGCGGCGCTGGCCGGCGTAGATCGTCTTGAAGTTCGCCTGAGAGGCCCTCCAGAGGAGATGCTCGTATGCGAGCTCTGCCAGCACCCAGGGCGGCCTGAGGGGGAGGTGAAGGGGTGGAAAAGCGGGGAAAGGAGAGAGAGGAGACACGGGAGAAGGAATGATGCATGATGAGAGGCCCTCCAGAGGAGATGCTCGTATGCGAGCTCTGCCAGCACCCAGGGCGGCCTGAAGAGGGAGTTGACAAAAGCGACGGGGAGGAAGAAGGACGGAGACAGAGAGGGAAGAGTGAGGAAGAAGGCATGCCGAAGGAGATCCTTACCTCCCCACTACCCTACCCTCACTCACCTTCCCCTGTTCGCAAACCCCCTTCCTTTCGTCCTCATCTCCTCGTCTCCCCAAAAGACTGCATCCATGACAAGCCCTTGGGCTCTCCTCACCTCCTCCTTGTCTCTCTCCTTCCATCCACGGCGGCTCTTTGGGTTCTGACAGCAGCCCTGCCTGCCTCTGCAGGCGGGGCTGCTGTGGGAACCCAAGGGCCCCGCAGCTGTCTCAAAAGCCCTTGGGTTCCGGCAGCAGCAGCCCTGCCTGCCTCTGCTCCTCTTTCTCACACAAACCAATCCGTCGCAGCATCCCTCCCCTCCCCCCTTGCCCTCGCCTCCCGCTCTTCTCACCTCCTCCTCGTCTCTCCAACCTTCATCCACGGCGCCCCTTGGGCCCTGGCAGCAGCCCTGCTTGCTGCTCCCTTTCCTCACACAGGCCGTTCTATTCCAACCCTCGCCCCCTCGAACCCTTTCCTTACCCACCCTGCCCTCCCTCACCTCCTTCTCGTCTCTCCAGCCTTCATCCACGGCGAACCCTTGGGCTCTGATAGCAGCCCCGCCTGCTGCTTCACCACCCTGAGCCCGTGCAGAGAGTCGGAGTACTCGAGTGTGCCTGGGACGACGAACGAGGGAAGGAGGCAGGCAGCAGCAGGGGGATACGACGTTATAAGAAGAGGGGTTATGCACCCTAGGTTAGGTTCTGACAGCAGCCCCGCCTGCTGCTTCACCACCCTCAGCCCGTGCAGAGAGTCGGAGTACTCGAGTGTGCCTGGGTGGGACGGGGCACGGCGGCAGGCAGAAAGGGGGACATCATAAGCAGAGCGGGGTGATGCAACCCATCGGCTCTGACAGCAGCCCCGCCTGCTGCTTCACCACCCTGAGCCCGTGCAGAGAGTCGGAGTACTTAAGTGTGCCTGGGACGGGGCACGAGGGCGGAAACGGGAATATAATGTGAGGAACAGTGGGGTTAAAGACAGTTCTGGCTCCAACAGCTGCCCGCCTGCTGGTTCATCAACCTCAGCAGCTCAGCCCGTGCAGAGTCCGAGTACTCGAGAGTGCCTGGGAGGAGGAAGAGGAGGGAGGGGAGGAAAAGGGAGTGGGGGAGGAGCCAAGGAGGGTGTCACCGCCGCTCGGCCTTACCACCAGCCAGACTCACACACACGCGCCACAAAACTGGATTGACTCTTGGGGATTCTAAAAAAGACACCCTTAGTGAACCCAGCGCATCTTTGAGGCACCTCATTTCCCTCATCGACCTCATCATCCGTCACACACACAACACACCTCATCATCCCTCATCTATGAACCCAGCACATCCCTATGCATGAATGAACCCACAACGAACCCTTTCCTGGTGGCTTTTGAGTCGCTCAAAACAACCACCCTCCCCCCTCACTCAGGTTCAATAGCAATCCTTCCACTTCTGCCAGCAGCTTGAGCGTCTGAGTGTCATCCCTCTGCCACACACACGCGCCTCACAACCACCCCCATGTGAGCCCAGCACATTCCCATGAACCAGCCCAGTGCCCTCTCCCCTCACCTGGGTTCAGCAACAACCCTTCCACTTCAGCCAGCAGCGTGAGTGTCTGTGTCATCCCTCTGCCTCACAAACGCCTCCCACATGAACCCAGCACGTGCCTAGCCGTATTCCCCTCACCTGGGTTCAACAACAACCCTTCCACTTCTGCCAGCAGCGTCAGCGTCTGAGTGTCATCCCTCTGCCGCCTCACCAGCCACACACACGCCTCATGAAGCTCTCCAGAAGCTTCCTCCCGCATAGTCACATCGCCTATAGTCACGCCCGATCGCCCCACCACTGCTAGACGGGTGCCTGGTGCCGTGGCGTCGGTGGGTGCGCCAGAGGCTTGGCTCCCGAACCTGGTGGTCAGGTCCGGGAGGTTGGTTCGGGTGCCGGAGAAAACGGCCCAGAGGCGGCGAAGGGCCACTCGCCAGGCAAGCTTGGCTGGAGGAAGGAGGACAAAACGTGGGGACAGAAAAGAAATGTAAAAGGCGAAAAGGGTTTAGGGAAGAAATATATGAAGGAAGGGTGAGGGGAGTGAGAGAGAGGGGGGTGAGGCAAGGGAAGCAGGAGATACACGAAAGGACTGAGGGGGGAGAGAGTGGTGCACGCACTAGATTTTGAGTGGCAACGATTTAAAGACAGATGTATAGAAAGTCCCCTTCAGTACAAACAACACAGCTCACCTCCAACCGCCGCTGAGCTGGACGATGCTGACGTGGCAGGCCTGGACCGCAGCCACCGGATGTCCCTCAAAGCGCCGCCCAGGTACTTGTCAATGAGCTGGGTGGCAAGCGCTGTCTCTTCTGTGGATGGCACGTGCCACTGGAGAGCTCCTGCTGCTGCCACTTGTCCTGCTGCAATTGGAGGCTCTGCTGCTGCTGGTGGCGCTGCTACTACTGCAGCAGCAGCTTGCTTTGAAAACCATCTCTCCACCCCTGGAGCTGTTTGCTCCCAGCCCAAGAAACTGTGGATAGGAAAAAAAGAGTGGACAGAACGGGCATAAATTGCAACAGGAAAACATGTTGGGAGCGTTTAGGTGTAAGAAACATCAAGCAAGCATCTATGAGGAAGCAGACAGGAGGCTCAACAAAAGGGCATGCTTATGAGCTGACACCTCAGCTTATGGGCATTCACTGAGTGATAGAACATAAGCCCAAACAGGAACTTCTTTTGAGGCTAAAAAAAAAAAAACCATACTTACGTGTATTCATTCAGGGGGTAATAGAAGATGAGTGCAAACAAGAACTTCTGAAGCAGATCAGCTGCTGCATCGACCACCTGAGGAGAGAAAGGAGGGAGAGATAGTTGAGTGTGCGTTTTATTATGATTCTGATTTTTGATAATTCTCAAAAACATGCTGCTGCATCAAATGTTACAGTCACGATATTCATTACTTTAACAGCCTATATCCCAAACCGCACCTTTTGGGAGCTGGATGAGAAGGCAGCATCGATAAGCGCAATGAGGCGCTCCTTATGTGCTATCAAAGCCGAGCCACTAAAGGGGACAGCGTTGCTGACGAGATGCATGTGGAAGAGGACTGTGGCCTCCTGAGTTGTCGACAGCTGATTGGCTGGCAGCTGCGCAGGAGCAAGAGGGGAGCAGAAAGGTGGGCAGGCAGCAACAAGGGAGATGAAAGATGTTGATGGTAGGGAAATGCATGATCAGGGGCTAAAAGTCACAAAGCTGCCAAAAGAAAGAACAGGCAGGCAACCATTACTGCACTTCACCGCTAGTCACCTCTCTGCACCACTCACTTTCAGTGACTCCCCTGCATCCGCAGCAGCAGCAGCAGGAGACTCAGTGAGCCCCAGGAATGACGTGGCAGGCAGCGATTGGAGGAGGGAGAAGGCCGAATCCATGACTCCAGCAAGGATCCGATTGCACGTGGCCTCAGGAGCAGCATAGGCCAGCGCTGCCACCACTGTGCCGATCTCCTCCTCACACCCGCGGACGACAGAACTGGATACATATCGCTCCACCCTCGAAATGACCTGAGGACGCACAAGAGGAGGGGATTTATTGAAACAGGAGTGGGTGAGGGGCGGAGATGGAGGCCTCACGAGCAGCATAGACCAGTGCGGCCACCACTTTGCGAATCTCCTCGTCCCACCCACGGATGACACGGATGACACATATCGCTCCGCCCTTGAGATGACGTGTTTGGCGCTCAGGTCAAAACGGGGAAAGAGCAAATCCAGAGTGAAAGGCATCAGAAGAAGCATATGCCAGCACTGTGCCAATCTCCTCCTCCCACCTACGGACGACAGAATAAGAGACATAATGCTCGACTGTTGAGAGCACCTGCAACGCACCAATGGCATTACAGTCGGGTTTGCTTTGAATGGGAGCAAGAGGTGGAAAAAGAGGTGGGCTCAGGCGCAGCATGGGCCAGCGCTGCCACCACTATGCCTATCTCTTCCTCACACCCCCACGAATTATAGAGCTAGATAGACAAACCGCTCCACCCTTGACAGCACCTGGAAAGCACCCAAAGCGGAGTTTGATTTGAGCAGGGGCGAATTTCGGAGGGGAAGTCAGAGAGAAAACCAGGAGCAGCATTGGCCAGCGCTGCAACCACTACGGCGCACGAGTGAGAGGAGAGAAAGGAAGCGAGGAGGGGGGAAGAAAAAGAAACTTGAGGATTACCTGATTGAGCAGAGGAGGAGAGAGGCGCGCGAAGAGAATGCTGACGGTGGAGCGGAAGGTAGACCCCTCTGCCTCCTTCATAAGGAAGGATCTGCGAGGGGAGCGAGGAAGGGAGTGGGGGCCAAGGGGCGAAGAGGAGCAGGAGAAGAAATAAAAAAGAATCTGGTATTAAACCTCCACAGTTGCTCTCATTGCCTGCTGCGCCACTGCGTGGTGTGGCCCTCTTCCAGTGAGAGGAGGGGGAGAAGAGGTGTGCGAAGGAGGAAAGGCGTGAAAGAAGAGAGTGCTGTATTCCTCTCGTGTGTAACCATCCGTTCCGTGGACTCCAACGTCACAGGTCGAGCATCAGAGATGACAGGGCGAAAGATTCATCAGGCGCGTGTCGTGAAAGATTGCGCGAGCAACGACTCTCAATCATCGTCATGTTATCCCGCGCCAAAAGTCTCGCCATCCCATCATGGTGATGATGCCTTGGTCTCGTCACCATCATCATCCCAAAAGACGAGGCCAAAGCATCATCACCATGATAGGATGGCGAGTCTTTTGGCGCAGGATAACACGACGATGATTAAGAGTCGTTGCTCGAGCAAACTTTCACAAGACATGACCGATGAATCTTTCGCCCTGTCATCTATGTTGTTCGATCAGTGACTCTGAAGTTTACGGAACAGGTGGTTACACACGAGAGGAATACAGCTACATCATAACTTCTCACCTCTCAGTGCCTGCTGCAGCGCCCGCCACAGTAGCAGCGGGAGCAGCACTCTCCAAGTGAGAGAAGAGGGAGAAGAGGCGCGAGAGGAGGCTGAAAAGGGTGAAATCCTGATAGCTACACCTACACAGTTGCTCACCTCTCAGTGCCTGCTGCAGCGGTAGCTACAGTAGCAGTGGGAGCAGCACTCTCCAAGTGAGAGAAGAGGGAGAAGAGGCGCGAGAGAAAGTCCTCCAGCCACGTGGACCAATCAATGGAGAGTGCGAAAGGGCTTTCCTCGTCCCCTATTGGACCAATCTGAGGGGCAGAAGAGCAGAGACACGCACGGGAAAGATGAAAGAGGAGAGGAAAGCGGGTGGCATGAGGAATGAAAAAAAAAAGGTTTTTTTTTTTTTTCAATAGAGCACAACTGTCAGTTCATGAGGAGCATATCAGACACATGTTTGAAAACATATAAACACGTGAGACATCGCTAGACACATACATCCCATTCCAAGATATGTACAGAGGAACAGAGAGGTAGAGATGTAGCGTGGCGAGCGTCTTGGGGGGGTCATTTATGTCAATCCTAGGAAGCTTTGGGACGGCTCAAGGGACATAGCGTTACCAACATATGTACAACCCAGGATACGTACGGAAGAGAAGACAGAGAGGTAGAGGTCAGGGTAGCGAGCGTCTTGGGCGGGTCATTGGCGTCAATCCCAGGAAGAGTCGCCACCAGCGCCTCAGACACCACCTCCCTTGCCCGCCCAACCCACGTACAACCCAGGATACGTACAGAAGAGAAGACAGAGAGGTAGAGGTGCAGGGTAGCAAGCGTCTTGGGCGGGTCATTGGCGTCAATCCCAGGAAGAGTCGCCACCAGCGCCTCAGACACCACCTCCCTTGCCCGCCCAACCCACGTACAACCCAGGATACGTACAGAAGAGAAGACAGAGAGGTAGAGGTGCAGGGTAGCGAGCGTCTTGGGCGGGTCATTGGCGTCAATCCCAGGAAGAGTCGCCACCAGCGCCTCAGACACCACCTCCCTTGCCCGCCCAACCCACGTACAACCCAGGATACGTACAGAAGAGAAGACAGAGAGGTAGAGGTGCAGGGTAGCAAGCGTCTTGGGCGGGTCATTGGCGTCAATCCCAGGAAGAGTCGCCACCAGCGCCTCAGACACCACCTCCCTCGCCCGCCCAATCATCTCCTGCCACGTGTCCATGCCACCACCCTCCCCAGCCCCCACTGCTCCTGATCCATCCACCTCCATAGAGTCAAGTGTAAAGTCTTGCTCTGAGGGGGTTTGAGCAGCAGCGAGCAGCAAGGGGCGCACGGAGAGCGCGAGGGTCGAGAGGGCGGACTCGAGCTGGTGTGTTGCTGTGACCTGATGGTGGTTTCGGTGAGGAGGAGAAAGGAAGGAGCGAAGCGAAGAGGATACGGAAACAGTGTGACAAAGGGAGAGCACGGGCAACGGTGAAAGCAAGAGGGCGAGGGTCGCGAGATCTACAGAGAGGTACAAAGAGGTACAGAGCGGTACAGAGAGGTACAGAGAGGCATAGGGCGGTACAAAGAGAGAGGTGCAGGGAGGAACTAAGGAGATGCTACTCACAGTGGTCAGCGCACCCTGGAAGCTCTCCAGGACCACTGGCAGAGTGACACGTGGCGCCAGGTAGGACAGGGAGGAAGCCACGCGGGAGGCGACGGCAGAGAGGGTGGGGCTCTTGCTGAAGAGAGCGCGGTTGTGGATGAGACGGGTGAGCAGACGGATGAATGCAGTGGTCGTAGCAGGGGACAGGGAAGAAGGAGCACCCGAGGGGTACCTGCGAGGGGTAGCAGGGGCGTGGGATGGGACGAGTAGCATGGTAGGACGGGAGGCAAGGGTTGAGGCTCTTGCTGAAGAGAGCGCGGTTGTGGATGAGACGGGTGATCAGACGGATGAATGCAGTGGTCGTACCAGGGGACAGGGGACAGAGCTGCAGAGGAACCTGAGGGGTACCTGCCTTGGCAAGGGGTCAGAGGGAGGGAGGGGGGCGACGGCAGAGAGGGTGAGGCTCTTGCTGAAGAGAGCGCGGTTGTGGATGAGCCGGGTGATCAGACGGATGAATGCAGTGATGGTGAGACTCGACTGTCACCATGATTCATAGTGAGCACACACCCTCCCTGCACTCACTTACCCGTCACCATGAGATTTCTCCTCTGCAGCGATTCTCTTCGGAAGATGAAAGAAGAGAATCGCTGCAGCCCTTCACTCAGGCTTCTCACTCGCCTGTCACTCACTCACCAGAAGAATCTTCTTCTCTGCAGAAATTTTCTTCATCAGGTGGCATGTAGCCGAATGCAGCATCTTTTCCAGCAGCCCAATCCCTCCTCCCCCGCTACCCCTGTGCCCCCCACTCAACAAGTGAAAGGAAGTCGCTTAACTCTCACACTCCCTGCACTGACTCACCTGTCACCGACAATCTTCTTCTCTGCTGCGATTCTCTTCATGAGGTGGTAAGTAGCAGAGTGAATCATCTTCTCCAGCAGCCCTGTCCATTCTCCACCGTTGGATGGATGAAAGAACTGCTCCAGATCGTTCGATAGCTTATCAAACAGCCGCAGCACCGACGCCGCTCCTCCCTGCATCTCCATGGCTCGGTCCGAGCCCGAAGCAGGAGGTTCGGCATCCGAACCATGGGCGGCAGGTTCGGGGTTTGCTAGCAGCCAGACAACAAGCTTGGCGCCAGCTACAGCCCGAACCACCTGCTGCTGGTGCGGCACTCTGCGCTGCTGCCACCTGTCAAGCAGTGATAGGAAGACACGCGCGCATGCTGGAGAGACGGGGCGCTCAAGTTGCGCTGACGTGGCGGACGGGGATTGGCCGATGGGGAGGGAGAAAGACTCGAGAATCTTCTGGAAAAGGAAAGGAAGGTGTGGAGACCAGAGGGAGAGAGGATGGGAAGAGAGAGAGGAGGGAGAGGAGGAGGGAGGAGGTGGGGAGGAGGAGGTGGCTTGGTGCTGGTGGCATAGCTGCTGGTGTTTAGCTAAGCGTGCGAGGAGAGAGATCCACTGAGCGTCCCAGAAGGTGCAGTGGGGAATAGAGGACCACAATGAAAGCCACTCCGGCACCCAGACACTGCAGCAGGGATAATCAGAAAAGCAAGAAGAGGGAGATAAAAGGAAAAAATTAAGCAACAGAGTAACAAAGCAGTGTGAAAGAAATAACGGAAAAAAAAACCCAATTCATCTGCCTCACACACTGCACTGCAATGCCACACCCCTGAGCCTCACCTCCATTCAGCAACGGCGTCATCCTCGTGTGGTGCCACGTGGCGGCACGTGGTTGGCAGCAGCAGATTCAGCAGAGCCACCGCCTCCAGAGCATCATTGCTGCTGACGTCAGCGAATTGTGGCCTGAGGGGGGAAGAGAGGAGGGTGGAAGGGAACAAAGGGGTTGTGGGGGAGAGAGGAGAGGACGTGGGAAGTGGAAGGGGGCGCAGGGGTGGGATAAGGGGGGCTTTGGCTTACAAGTGGGTGGGAGGGAGGCAGGGAGGAGAGATGTGATAATAGAAGGCACAGACATGTAACACATCGCAACAAAATTGCAGATGATGGTATAATGGTGGTGGGTGGGTACCAATAAAACGTAACAGAATAAAGATTTTCCCTAAAGGAGCACCAAACATCATTGACTAGAACCAGCTGAAACGTTCCTGGAAGCACCTGAGAGCAACAGAGGCGCACCTGAGGACAACAGAGGCGCACCTGCGAGCAACAGAGGCGCACCTGCGAGCAACAGAGGCGCACCTGCGAGCAACAGAGGCGCACCTGCGAGCAACAGAGGCGCACCTGAAGAAGGCCCAGATGACAGCAGCAGAGCCGGGGGGAAGAACCTTCTCGCCCGCCTGACGAGCTGCACATGAGAGCAGCAGAGGCCCACCTGAGAGCAACAGAGGCCCACCTGAGAGCAACAGAGGCGCACCTGAGGAAGGCCCAGATGTCAGCAGCAGAGCCAGGCAGGAAGAACCTTCTCGCCCGCCTGATGAGCTCTGTGATGGCGTTGATGTGAATCTGCAGCAGCGCCGCTCCCACGTAGCCGGGCAGGGGGGTGGACCCTCTGTAGGCAGCAGCATGGGGTGTAAAGGTTCAGGGTACAGGGTTCAAGGTTCAAGGTTCAAGGCCCACAACAGAAGGGAAAGGGTAAAGGGTACAGAGGGTTAGGTCCCAGGGTGCGACAGACACTCCAGGTCTCAAGGTGCGACAGACAGGGGGGTCGAATCTCCTTGACTGCCTGATGTGCTCATTTATAGTATTCAAGTGATTCTGCAGCAGAGCGAATGAGCATCATGCAAGGCGAAAAGGGAGAGATGGGAGGTGCAAAGAGAGAGGAGTATAACGTGTGGAGCAGAGGGGCGGGGTGATACGTTTGGTGCAGAGGAGTGGCGCATCACGTACGGAGCAGAGGGGAGGTGTATAGCAAGGATGGAGTAGAGCGAGCGCCAGGGAATGGAGAGGGAGAGCGAGTAGCGGTGCTTGCGCAGGATGCGGGAGAGGCACTGAGACCAACGGATCTGAGCCACAGCGAAAACAGGGGGAGGGGAAAGAGGGAAAATGAAGAAAAGCTAGCTGGAAACGTTACCAGAAGAGGAAGAATAAGAGGGCCAGACAGAATTGGAAAAAAAAGAAAAGCAAACAAACAAACAAAGGAACTGTAGGGTGAAAGAGAGAAGGCCTACCTGAATGAAGAGATCCCTAGGGCCACGGCAGCTTGTGATTATATCGAGGGCAGTCTCTGACACAAGCTCCAGATCAGGGACCTCCAGACGAGACTTGGACGCCACGAAGCTACAACAATCGGGTGGAACAGGATGTGGACCCCAAAAAAGGAGATGAGGTGTACTGTAACTGTTACAGCACTTTTTCAGCACAAACGACTGCTAGTTCCTTCAACACAAGTGCCTTCAAACGCAACAAGCGACTGCTAGAAGTGAGTGCAATGTCTCAGAATGCAAAGCTGGCTGTCGGTACTAGTTCCTGACACCTCAAAACGCAACAATGACATAATTACGTCATAATCTCTAGATTCACGGATTGCCAGATTTGATCCTTAACTTAACACTGATTGACCAAAATCAAATCACTCAGTGACGACCAAACGAGATATGCGAAGCTCCCTTGCTGGCACGGTGCGACATGAATCCACCAGAAAAAAACACTTTAAAAGTCTGCGACCCGTGTCTCCGCCATGACCCGGCTCCTTCCCGCTTATCCTGAACTATCTCAGCGTGAAACCGAAACAGTACCTGTTGACGACGGAGACCCATTTCAAAGTCTCTCCGCCATGGCCTTGCTCTTTCCCGCGTTTCCACGCGGCCTGAACCTCCTCGGCAACAGCGTGGAACCTCCCAGGCTCCTCGCTCGCCGCCTGTGCCGCCACGTCAGGCGGCAACCAGCTATTGTTCGGATGGACGTACGAATCCATGACAAAATCCTCTGTTTCTTGTTTTTCTTCTTCTTTTCTGTCCCCCCCAATAAGCTTCTCCAACTGCTCGTATCAGATGTCAATTCCGCTAGAGAGTCGAAGGACTTCTCTTGCTTTAAAGATATAAACGAAGACGAGCGGTACCCGACGGAAACGAAAACAGAAGGCCGTGTCAACTCTAGTTCGCAACCTGCAGATCCCCACTATCGGCCGAACATAATCTCCCGGAAAGCTTGCCCGAAGGGGCTAGCGAATCACCTCCTGAGTTTCGCAGCGATGCTAGGCAAAGCAAGCAAATCTGGTGCTAAGACTATTTAGCCCGAGCAATCATGAAAATAAAGCTTCCTGACTCTGAATCAGCAATGTCGACGCGTTTTAGAGCAGCCAGTTGCTCGCCTGAAGAATCTCAAGCAGGCGAAATCTGAATCATAGAAAGACTAATTTTCTGTCTGATCAAAGGGGAGATGCCGTGCCAGTGCCACACAGGTTCGAGATTCAGAAGTTGGGGGTGAAATCCGAAGAAAGCGCTGGCGAGGGTATGCGACTTTTGACGAGACGGTAACCTACTCGCCGACCACTTGGACCCTGGTTGCGTGTTGGCTCTCCCAAGTTTTTACGGTGACAGCTGGGCCCTGATCTGTGTCCCTAACTCAGAGTTAGCTAACTCTGAGTTACCGAGCCGTGTAGGCTCGGATGAGTACACCGACAAGGCATCATTACGCTCGTGTGAATGTTGTGTAGTAACTCACGTGGGTGATCTGCGGCCTTTCGTAACTCCGAGTTAAGGAAGTTGCGTGGGGGTTCTCGAGAGCTCTATCGTAAAAAGTTTCAGGCTGGCCCTAACTACCCCGATCGCATAAAACAAAACATTTACGGCAGGATGGCAAAAAAATAAAAATGAGATTGGTGGGATCTAGTCGGGCGGGGTGAATGTGTCAGAAATTTTACCAAATTGATGTTATACTAGGTTTACCCTGCTCGAATCGCGCTCTGAGTAGTGTATTGAGTTTCACCCCAAAAGCCAAAGTAAGCGAGAGCACTGACTCTGAGTTAGTTTGCCCGTGAAAGAAGATTCCCCGCAAGCTTCCTACGGAGCGTACCCTGAGTTGTTACTTCGCGTAGATGCTGGCAAGGTGTGATTGTAACGTACACACGTGTGAGGTTTGAGTTAATGAAACCCCCTCGAAACCAGTCAACTCTGAGTTAAGGGGCCACAGATCAGGGCCCTGACAAGACAAGTACAGTATGCGGATGCAAGTAAGCGAAGTTACAACAGTAACTGCACTTCGTCACGCTGACGAGAACTTGCGACAGCGGAGCCTCCAGGAAATTACAATAGCCAAAGAAGCTTCTGCCTAACTTCGCCAAGAGTTAGCTTCGTCTATTCACGCAGTCATCCTGCTACAAGCGACGCGGGTTCCGCGGTCGCCGGCGTTACTGTATTTTCGAAATCACACCGCAGTGATTGCATCGTATAGCCCTTCGCGAATTGTTCTACGAAGCTTCTCTTCGTGCCACAACTGCGCATAACGCACGACGGCGCGTCGTCACCAGCACCTCCTTCTTTTCGTATGCGCATTCGAGCTTTAGTTACCTGTAGTAATATCTCCTCTTGGGTCTTGAAGGATGGTACAGGCTCACCCGGTCTCCAAACGCAGCTATCGGTTACCGATGTGCTTGTAACGAATGGCGCAAGCGACGCCTTCCGGAGTATCGACTGAACCAACGCATAATCTTATTCCTTCAGATTCCGCGGCCAGAAGCATCGCAATTGTCACTCGTGGCCAACCGGCGGAGGGCCGCGACGCGAGAAACACAGCCTGTACAGCAAACGAGGAAGGCAACAGCGAGTCAGACGCAGCAGAGAAAGCAGTGGAGAAGCCTAGGTTCTCAGATGAACAGTCTAGTTCAATCATAGCATCCCCGAACAAGGCTCGAGACGCTTCAGAAGCCGAGGCGGATGGCCTCGAGTCGCTGTCTAAGCCTCTGTCAGAGATGATGGCGGCGCTTTCGCTTGTGGTGGAAGGAGAATTGCAGGTGAGGATGACGTGCCAGGTGATGATGACGTGGCAGGTGATGTTGATGTATTGACACTTGTCATAATGCTGGGTCAAATTTATGCCCAAACTCCTAGAGCTCTTTCTCCCTCTTCAAACTTTTCCCCGCAGGCCCACACCACCCCCTCATACCAGCGTCTCACCCACCTCAACCTAGAAGCATCCACAGATGTCGAGTGACTCGCTGGCCTTTCATGTTCTCATTCTGCTTTCCACATTCTCCCTACTCAATCTCTCCCCCTCCCCTCCCCCTACAGGCCCACACCACCCCTTCATACCAGCGTCTCACCCACCTAAACCTGGAAGCATCAGCAGATGCCGAGCGGCTCGCTGACCTGGCGGTCGGCGTGGGTGTCTTTGTGCGCTGCCAGCTGGCGGCGCGGGCGGCAACGCTTCGGCAGCTAGTGGCGGAGGCGGAGGAGGCGGAGCGGCAGCTTGCTGACCTGGAAGGGGTGGTTGTTGAGCTGGATAGATTCACTGGGAAGCTGGAGAGAGCTGTGGCAAAAGCTATCAGAGAGGGGGTATGATTGTAGCAAAGTGGGTGGATGGTGGCTGGAAGGGGTCGCTGTTGAGCTGGATAGATTCACTGGGAAGCTGGAGAGAGCTGTGGCAAAAGCTATCAGAGAGGGGGTATGATTGTAGCAAAGTGGGTGGATGGTGGCTGGAAGGGGTCGCTGTTGAGCTGGATAGATTCACTGGGAAGCTTGAAAGAGCCGTGGCAAAAGCCCTTAGGGAGGGGGTGTGACTGTAACGAAGTGGGTGGGGTGGGAGTGGTGATGGGCTGTGATTGTAATAAAACTTCAACTGCTGCTGTAGGGTGGTGGTTGAGCTGGATAGATTCACTGGGAAGCTGGAACGAGCTGTGTAGCTAGTAATTAGGATGAGGTGTGATTGTAACTTAGAGTCGACTCAAAACTCGCGGCAGCTTGCTAACCTGGAAGGGGCGCTTTTTGAGCTGGATATACTTACTGGAAAGCTGGAACCACCTTTGGTGAAAGCCATCAGAGAAGGGGGGTGTGATTGTAATGAAGGGGGAGGTGTCAGGGTGCACTTGATTCTGAGATGTGACTAATCTTGTGAAGGATTACAGGGGGGTGTGATGATGGTGGTGACCCTTCATTTCATGGTTTACAGTGCATCAATTTCTAATAAATATACCCGAGAATCTTTGTGATCTCATTTATACTGAAGGTCTTCACTGTGCTTCCAGTTCCAAACAAGCACCAGCAATTCAATGTTTGTCAAGACGACAGTTGCGAATGATAGTGTATAACTCATCATACGGTATTAGTACCTACCTGCCCACCACCGCTCATTCCGAAGAATGTACCGTTAGTGTGTTCCTGAAAGACTATTGCGCTCCACATTCTGAGCACACCTGAGCTCCACCTCCTGAGCTGGGCTGATGTTCTATCATATAATTTACACACTGAGCTTTGCACACAACACTGAAGCTGTCTCTAAAGAAAAAGTGGTGAGATGGGAAGCAAAACGCTTACCGTACTCCAATCACACCTCGTCCCCATCACATCTGCTGCTGCTCTCTAATCTCTGTAACAAGTCTCCGAATTCTGCATGAGCAGCAGCGACCAGGTCCCACTCCAACCACTCATCCCAGTACGACCCTGGGAAGGCTTTCTTCAGCCGCCTCAGGAGTCAACTGCAGTGTGTGGCAGTTCTTGCATCAAGCCCTCAAACTCCCCATGAGCAGCAGCCACCAGGCCCCACTCCACCCACTCGTCTCAATACGACCGGGGGACGACACCTCCTTTATAGCCTCAGTCAGAAGTCGCCTGCAGTGCGTGGCAACTCCCGTAACAAACCCTCAAACTCCCCATGAGCAGCAGTGATCAGGTCCCACTCCACCCACTTGTCTCGGTACAGCCCCACGGAAGGCCTCTTTCAGCCGCCTCACTACTTTGTTGCCGCCTTCAGAGCCAACATTGAGCGATGAGGGTGTTTTTGAGAATTCTCAAAAACACCCTGAGAAGCACAAGGCTGACACGTGAAGCGAGGTTGTTTTTGAGACGACACCTGTCTGCGTTCGAAAACACCCTGAGTAGCACAAGGCTGACACGAGTCACACATCGCCCCCATCACCTGTAGTGCTTTCTAACTCCTGTAACAAGCTCGCAAACTCCTCTTGTGCAGCAGCCACCAGGTCCCACTCCACCCACTCATCTCGGTACGACCCCGGGAATGCTTTTTTCAGCCGCCGCACTGCTTCGTACATCTCCCGCCGCCATGCCGGCAGGGGTAAGCATCCGCAGTCCGTGCTGAGGCTGTCCATGTAGGGGAACTGGTGCGGTGGGATGCATTGGGGTGTGGTAGGATGTGGTGGGAAATAGCATTGAGTTAGCATGAGCTTCGTACATCTCCCGCCGCCATGCCGGCAGGGGTAAGCCTCCGCAGTCCGTGCTGAGGCTGTCCATGTAGGGGAACTGGTGCGATGGGATGCATTGGGGTGTGGTAGGATGTGGTGGGAAATAGCATTGAGTTAGCATGAGCTTCGTACATCTCCCACCGCCATGCAGGCAGGGGTAAGCCTCCGCAGTCCGTGCTGAGGCTGTCCATGTAGGGGAACTGGTGCGGTGGGATGCATTGGGGTGTGGTAGGATGTGGTGGGAAATAGCATTGAGTTAGCATGAGCTACGTACATCTCCCACCGCCATGCTGGCAGGGGTAAGCCTCCGCAGTCCGTGCTGAGGCTGTCCATGTAGGGGAACTGGTGCAGTGGGATGCATTGGGGTGTGGTAGGATGTGGTGGGAAATAGCATTGAGTTAGCATGAGCTTCGTACATCTCCCGCCGCCATGCCGGCAGGGGTAAGCCTCCGCAGTCCGTGCTGAGGCTGTCCATGTAGGGGAACTGGTGCGGTGGGATGCATTGGGGTGTGGTAGGATGTGGTGGGAAATAGCATTGAGTTAGCATGAGCTTCGTACATCTCCCACCGCCATGCTGGCAGGGGTAAGCCTCCGCAGTCCGTGCTGAGGCTGTCCATGTAGGGGAACTGGTGCAGTGGGATGCATTGGGGTGTGGTAGGATGTGGTGGGAAATAGCATTGAGTTAGCATGAGCTTCGTACATCTCCCACCGCCATGCAGGCAGGGGTAAGCCTCCGCAGTCCGTGCTGAGGCTGTCCATGTAGGGGAACTGGTGCGGTGGGTGGGATGCGGCGGATGTGGTGGAGTGTGGTTGGATGTGGTGGGATGCACAAGAAAAGTAGAAGTATGTGGCTCCAGGTCGTAGCTACTCCAGGTGATACCTGCTCCAGGTGATACCTGCTCCAGGCCTTACCTGCTCCATGCCTTACCTGCTCCATGCCTTACCTGCTCCATGCCTTACCTGCTCCAGGTCTTACCTGCTCCAGGTCTTACCTGCTCCAGGCCTTACCTGTGCACCTCCCCCAGGTCGTACCTGCTCCATATCCAGCCAGCCTGTGGGCGTAGCTCAGATACCTTCCTCCAGAGCCACGCACACTTCCCCTCACGTTTCTACTCAACACTACCTACCACCCCAGGCCGTACCTGTCCCAGGCCGCACCTGTCCCGGGCCGCACCAGTCCCAAGCCGTACCTGCTCCATATCCAGCCTGTGGGCGTATCTCTCAGGCACACCCTGGCTCCTCCAAAGTCACACACAGTCCTCCCTCACATGATACCTCCACTCATCCTTACCTCTCCAAGTCGCACAACACCCAAGTCTACCTCCCCCAGGTTGCACCTGTTCCATATCCAGCCTGTGGGCGTATCTCTCAGGTACGCCCTGCTCCTCCATGTGCGCATACAGACGACGCACGCCGTCCTCCATATCGGATCTGGGCGGCACGGGCAGCTGGCCGGATAGCAGCTGCGCCACCCACCGCGCCTGCAGCTGACATAGAGGAAAGGGGACGACCTGAGGGGAAGGGACAGAGGGTACAAGGGAAGGGAGGGAGAAGTTGAGACAGGAACGTGTTTTGAGTCGACTCAAAACACGACTCATAGAGGAAAGGGGACGACCTGAGGGGAAGGGACAGAGGGTACAAGGGAAAGGGAAGGGAGGGAGAAGTTGAGACAGGAACGCAGGAAGGAGGAGGTCTGGGTATGAGCAGCTGGGCGGACAGCAGCTGAACCACCCACCGTGACACAGCGGTCTTGTGACATTATTTCTCCACGAGCTGCAAACCGATTGGCAGAGAAATAATGTCAAAAGACCGATTGGCAGGAAGGAGGAGGTCTGGGTATGAACAGCTGGGTGGGCAGCAGCTGAGCCACCCACCGCGACACAGCAGAAAGGGGACGACCTGGGCGGGGGTGTGGGGGGGCAAATGAAGGAGAGAGAGAGGAAGCAAACGCTCGCCATTTCAATGAATCTTAGCTTGCGTTGCCTAATGATTCAAGAGACATAATCAAGCATGAGACCCTTTGGAAAAACTAATAGGAAAAACCATGCGAGAGATATAGAGGGGGCGGAGGGAGATTTACCTTCCAGGGGAGGCCGATGAAGGACAGCGAGGGGGCCAGTGTGGTAGGGAGGACGTGGCGGAAGAGGGGAGAGGGAGAGGAGGGAGGGGGGGGACAGCAATGCGAGATATATAAAGGCAGAGGGAGGTACCTTCCAGGGGAGGCCGATGAAGGAGAGCGAGGGAGCGAGTGCAGGAGGCAGGACGTGGCGGAACAAGGGAGTCACACGACCGGTATCGACGGAGAGGAGGGAGGGGGGGAGGGCGAGGAACGGGAAGGAGTAGCTGTAGCTGCATGGGGGGAAGGGGGGCGCAGGAAGGGGCGAGATGAGGGGACAGGGAAGTTACACGACAGTTGTTGATGGAGGGGAGGGTGGAAGGGGGGGGGGGCGAGGAAGAGGAAGGGTAGTAGTAGTTATGTTGGGGGGGAGAGACGGGGGGGAGAATGGGTGGGGCGGGGTGGGAGGATGAGGGGACAGAAGGGGTGAAAGCAACTGCTTATGGGAAAGGGTTGGGAAGAAACTGCTTATGACGTGGTGAAAGAAACTGTTTATTAAAGCACCCTACTGCACATGGAATGGGCAAGAACGAGTCCATGTGATGTCAGCACAGGCAGTAGGGTTTTTTTGAGAATTCTAAAAAAAAACCCTACTGCTTATGATGCGCTAAAGCACCCTAGTGCACATGGAGTGGGCAAGAACGAGTCCATGTGATGTCAGCACAGGCACAGACACACACCCGGTGCAGTGCATGATGACGTCAGCATGGCATGTGAACCCATCTTCAAACTCCACCGTCCCATCTGCGTTGGCTTGCTTGATCTGCGCTCGCGTGCAGTGGGGCGGAAGGGGCGGCAGGGGGGGAGGGGGGGAAGGGGCGGAAGGGACGGAAGGGGCGGAAGGGGCAGAAGGGGCAGAAGGTGGGGAAGGGGCGGAAGGGGCGGAAGGGGGTGAAGGGGCGGAAGGGGGGAAGGGGAGGGGCAGACGGGGCAGAAGGTGCAGAAGCGGCGGAAGGGGCAGAAAAAAGTGGGGGTGGGAGGAATCCTTGAGGCGCCTAAGAAAATCAGGAGAGGTAAAAGAGGCAGCTCCTCCCACCTGCACATTCAAAGAACCTCTGGATAAGTGAACACTGGGTAAAAGAGCAGGTGAAGCAGAGGAGGTCACTTTTGAGTCGACTCAAAAGTCACCACATTCAAAGAACCCCTGGATAAGTGAACACTGGGTAAAAGAGCAGGTGAAGCAGAGGAGGTCACTTTTGAGTCGACTCAAAAGTCACCACATTCAAAGAACCCCTGGATAAGTGAACACTGGGTAAAAGAGCAGGTGAAGCAGAGGAGGTCCAGGCAGAGCAGCTAAGGGTGCGTGCGCGCAGGTTTTTGAAACGCCTCATATTTTAGGCGCCCCAAAAATTGAAGCAGAGGAGGTCCAGGGAGAGCAGGCAGCTACGGTTGCGTGCGTAAAGGTTACTGACCATGGGGTGCTGCTGCACTCTGCTCTGCCTTTCAGATCCTCCAAGTGTCCAGCAGCATTACCTCCAGCTAAGGCCGAGAGCAGCTAAGGGGGAGAGCAGCGTGCGAGGTGGGTACTAACCATGGGGTGCTGCTGCACTGTGCCTCTGAGATCCTCGAAATACCCCGTCTCTATTGCTGAAGGCCAGAGAAGGTAAGTAGAGGAGGTAGCTAAGGGGGAGAGAAGTATGTGTGGTGAGGCCACAGCTACTAACCATGGGGTGCTGCTGCACTCTGCCTTTCAGATCCTCAAAATACCCTGTCTCTATTGCCCCGGTGGCTGCACCAGCACCAGCACCAGCACCAGCACCAGCACCAGCACCAGCACCAGCACCAGCAACAGCAGCAGCAGCGGCAGGAGAAGAGCGCCAGCCTCGCGCGCAGATGTGCACCTCTCGTGCCACTGCCGCCACCTCCCTCGCTATGTCCTGCCCACTCGCCTCTGCGCCCACCACCACCACCACCTGCCATGGGGTGGGATGGGGAGAAGAGAAGTTTGAGATGTGCAAGCGCCAGTGTTCCACCAACATCTTCCGGCCCCCACCTTCCCGCGCGCAGATGTGCACCTCTCGTGCCACTGCGGCCAGCTCCCTTGCTATGTCCAGCCCACTCACCTCCGCGCCCACCATCACCACCACCTGGGAAGGCATGGGATGGGGAAACAGGCATGCAAACGAGCAACAGAGACGGCAAGTTCAGGAGACTGTCTTCCTTTGTTAGGGAGACAAAAGAGATGAGAAAGGAGAGAGAAAAGAGAAGAGAAAAGAGAAGAGACTTCTTTGATAGAAGAGACTCTGAAGATGCGTTTTGAGACCCCTCTTTCCTCTCCAATGAAAGACAAGAGACTCCTTTTACAACACAGTGCTGAATATGTGTTTTAAGAATGTGCAAACCCCTCTCCTCTCACCTTGCCTGCAAACCCCCCTCGCCTCACCTTGCCTGCAAACCCCCCTCGCCTCACCTTGCCTGCAAACCCCCCTCGCCTCACCTTGCCTGCAAACCCCCCTCGCCTCACCTTGCCTGCAAACCCCTCGCGCCTCACCTTTCCTGCAAACCCCTCTGGGTGGCGGTAGTTATGGCTGTGCATCTGAATGCCTGGCCACGTGTCCACACCTGATTGGTTGGGATACAGAAATCAGGGAAGAAAAGCAAGGGGGAGTAAAAGAGGAGGGTGAGATCTGCAGCCCACTCTCCTTCATACAGAGGAGTGATTTTTTCCACTCTTCCTCACACAGGGAAAACAGCACACTTGGTTCATGCGTAAGTAGCCAACTGACTATCTCAACTACCCACTCACACTCCCTCACTCACTCACTCACCCACCCACTATCACCCACCCGGTAACAAACCTGCCCCCCGTTACAGTCTCACCCGCTATGCTTGCAATCTTGGGCTGTGAATAGTGACCGTTACACACCACCAATGCGTCAAACTCCCTCTCCTCCTCCCCTTCCTCCCCCCTCACCTCCCTCTCCTCCTTTCTCCCTTCCTCCCTCCCTTCCACCCTCTCCCCAACCCCAATCCCTGCTGCTGCTCCTGCCGAACCTCCTAAACTCCCTCTATCCGCACCAATACTCCTATGCGTTCTAGACCGAGCAATCTTAAGATGCCATCTCACAACAGGAGTATCAACCCCTTCCGCGGCAATCTCTAGAAGATCCCAAGCTTCCCCCTCCACGTGCGCATTCCCCGCATTCTCCACGTTCCCCTCTTTCCCCGCTTCCGCTTGGCTGGTTTCCGCTTCCGCTCCATTCCCCGCTTCTGCGCCGCCTCCCCCTTTCCTTCCGCCTTCCCCGCTTTCTTCAACGGCTGCTTGGCGGGAAATCACAGGGACGGCCGAGATTACTCTACTGTGGAGCTCCACGCGATTCGAGATCCCGAATCGATCCGCGTACCTGCAGAGATATCGCAGCACCTCCCTGTGCGACGGAAACCGTCGCAGATCGGCGTCGTCTCGTCGCGAATCCGCGCTGGTTTCACCGCAAGGGTCTGCGTCGGCATCGGGACGATCGCCAGGTAAAGGCGCGGAGAAGGGAAAGTCTAAATAACCCATTAATTCTCGGGGTAAATTCGTCCGTAGCGACGCGTACATGCTGCTATGGACCTGTTGCCGGTTCGGATCCAACCCTAACAAATCTTCCGTTTCTATCCGCTCGTCATAAGCCCACACGCCGCCTATCTCACCCCCCGCTTCAATCACAGTCACGGCGTGCCCCTCTCGCATCAGCTCGCGCGCAGCTGCCAGTCCCGCGGCGCCTGCGCCGATCACGGCAACGTCGAGCTGCTGACGCCGGGACAACGAGTCGGCCGTTGGTCGAGTCGACTCGCGGCTCGACGGTGTGTTCTCCGACAAGACCGCTGAAGCCATTCCGACTAGCCCGCTTTGGTTACGCGAGCTCAGTGACGGGGTAGCCTTATCGGGGAAGGCTGAGGCGAGGATAGACGGCGTTCGGAAACGGAGCTCGAACGGCGTGGAGTACGAAAACCGTCTGTCCAGGAAACGATGAGAGTGTAGGTTCTGAGAGGAATGTCGAGGAGGACCATCAAGTGCGGAAATACGCGCGCCGCAACCAGGGAGGATCCTGCTCGTGCGTCTCCGCGCGAGGTTACTAAGGGAGATACTATACGCGGCGGATTGCGCGATGAGCGGTGCCGCAAGCGCGTGAGACGGCATGTGGGCTTTACTTCACACTACCGCGACGCGTTACGAGTAGAAATGCGAGAAAGCGGAGAACCGAGAGGTGCGGTGTGAAACAATACGGTTTGAAACGAGGTAACCTCTAGGTCCACTGAACCTGACACCACGGCTTCGCGCCAAATCTGACATCGTCCTAGTTGAAAGTTTTGTAGTTCAGCAAGGGATGCGTCAACATCCCTTTGGCTGGCGAAACCAAACTCCCACAAATTCTTCGTGACAGGACGTAACCAGCTTTCGCCTTCAACGGGATTCAAGCCCACCCGAGCTGACTGACTGCGAACGAAAACAGGGGACTGGTAACCACAACTGACGGAATAATGCCCCGCGACTGGCTTCAAAGTTCGCCTAGAACCCGGATTTCTCACCGTTTCATTTTCCTGTGCCAATTTCGGGTTTAGGGGGAAAACCCGAAACCCGTTAGATCAGATGTATTACCCGTTTATCATACTGCTGCTAACCCATTAGTTAAGACTTTTGTTGAGAGCAGCTTGTTTATAACCTGCACAAAAGGTACTAGCTCGCACTTCCACGTCAGCAATGGGGTCCTCTCCCCCAGGTTCCGCCGTTACCTCTTCTATAACTTCCGCGGAAACTCCGCCAATTGCGGGGAATACACCCACTGCACCTGGCGCTGACCTAACGGTCCCTGCTCTGTCAGCTGACGTTGCGGCAACTCCGGCAGCAGCGGCGCCGCCAGCGGAAATTGCAGCAGCTCCCGCGGACGGCGGAAAGCAGGCGGAAACCCCAGTAGCGGCCGTGCCGCCTGCAGAGGTTGTAGCGGCTGTAGCGGCGGAGGTTGCGGCTGTAACGGCGGGGGGTGCGGCTGTAGCAGCGGGGGGTGCGGCATCCGCGGACGGCGGAGAGGGGCCGATGTGGAAGACGACTCTGTGCTCGTTCTTCCGCAAGCACGGGGAGTGCAAGCACGGCGCGCGGTGCAAGTTCGCGCACGGGGAGGCGGAGCTGCGCGCGCGCCCGGACGGGTCGTTTGACCCCACGTCCGCGCGCGGAGGGGCTAAGCGGAGCGAGGCAGGGGAAGGGGATCAGAGCAATAAGGGGAGGAATCGGGGGAGGAAACGCGGAGGGGGAGGGTCTTGGGGAAGAGAGGCGGAAGAAGCGGAGGGTGGCGGGGACGAGGGGAAGGAAGGCGGGGCAGGGGGGGACGGCGAGTGGAGTCGGCTTTGCGTGCAGAACCTACCAAAGTGGTGGAATGTGAAGCACTTTCGCGAAATGCTAAACGAAATGGTGCGAACAGGTTACATGCCACTACGAGCATGGATTTAAGGCAGAGGGAGACGAAAACACTGCACCTTTTTTAAAAAACACCAAGATTGCTGCAGCTCAAAGTTCAAAACCCTCCCTCAGCAAGATACAACATAAGGCAGATTGAGGACGACATTCCAACCCAAAACCCTTCGCCAAACCCCTGAATCGCTAAACTTTCCCCCGCTAAACTCTAGTTCGCTATACCCCATCCATTGCCGATAGTTTCCACACTCACACTCCACAATCCAGCGCTCCATCCAAAACCTTTCTTGCATAAAACCCTCAGGTTCCCAAAACCAAAGGCGTGTTCCTGATCCCTTGACCTGTTATTCTGGGGCTGTTTGGTGGGCGGCAGAGTTTGGACTATTGCGGGTCGAGGAAAAGCCAGGGGGTGGCGTTTGGATTTGTATCGTTTGAGTCAGCTGCCGCAGCAGACAAGGCCACTCAGGTGGGCAGGGGAAGTAGGTTAGAGTAGCAGGTGGGAAGGGAGAATCATGGGGTGGTGGGGCGGTAGAGGGGTAAGCGGGTGAGGAGGGGGAGGCGGTGAGGGGGGGTAAGCGGGTGAGGGGGGGTAAGCGGGTGAGGGGGGGTAAGCGGGTGAGGGGGGGTAAGCGGGTGAGGGGGGGTAAGCGGGTGAGGGGGGGTAAGCGGGTGAGGGGGGGTAAGCGGGTGAGGGGGGATAAGCGGGTGAGGGGGGGTAAGCGGGTGAGGGGGGGTACGCGGGTGAGGGGGGGTAAGCGGGTGAGGGGGGATAAGCGGGTGAGGGGGGGTACGCGGGTGAGGGGGGGTAAGCGGGTGAGGGGGGGTACGCGGGTGAGGGGGGGTACGCGGGTGAGGAGACTGCAGGCAGCGCAGAGCGGTAACAGAGGTAACTTCAACAAGGCATGTTGATGTTCATTTTGAGGCGCCTCAAAATGCACCTCACTACACAAGGCATATTGATGTTACTTTTGAGAATATCTCACAAGTAACATCAACAGAGCGGTACCAGAGGTGACTTCATCAACGCACATCACACCCACACGCTTCTCCCCTCCCCTCCCCCCAACCCAACCCCACCCCCGCTCCCCCCATCTCCATCCCCCATCCCCATGCTCACAACTGCTGCATGGGAAGGCAGTAAGGTGAGGACCCAGACGCTTTCCCCACCCAATCGCTGGACGTGCAACCAGGGTGGTATATAAGGCAAATGTCAACTACCATACCCATCCACAACCCCACCCCTCATACCCCCACACCCAACCCCACCTTCCCACTACAGCAGTTGCTGCATGGCATGGCAAGGCAGTGAGGAACCAGACGCTGGATGTGCAACCAGCACAATATGTACAGCAAGTCAAACCAAACATACCCACTCCCACAAATCCCCCTTACACCCAACCCCACTCCTCTCACCTGCAGCTGTTGCACGGCAAGTTGGTGAAGAACCAGGCGCTAGACGTGCCGGGACGGTACCGCACTCAACCATGCCCGCTCCCCCTCAAACTCTCCTCCCCTACCCTGCGGGCCCTTGCATCCCCACAGCTATTGAACGGCAAGCTGGTGAAGAACCAGATGCTAGACGTGCAGCCGGCACGGTACTAGGGCCCCTTCACAAACACCCCTCCTCTGCTCGCCCTCCTCTACCCACCCTCCCCTACCCGCTCTTGCATCCCCACAGCTATTGAACGGCAAGCTGCTGAAGAACCAGATGCTAGACGTGCAGCCGGCTCGGTACCGCACTCAGAAACAGACGGCTTTTGCCGCCCAGGAGGGTGGCGAAGGGCATGAGGACAAGAAGAGAAGAACGGAGGGGGAAGGAATGGGGGAGGCAGGGGAGGATGGTGGGAAAGAGGAGGGCGAGAGAGGTGGGGAGGGTGAGGATGAGGAGGAAACGGCAGAGATGGATGGGGAAGGAGAGGATGGGGGAGAGGGAGGCAGAGGAGGAGAGAGGGAAGGGGAGAAAGCAGAGGGGAGGGTGAAGAAGGAGGCGTGGGAGGCGGTGACGCCACTGGCGAGGATGGGGTATCGGGAACAGCTGGAGATGAAGGGAGGGAGAGTGGCGAAGGATCTGCAGCGGATTGTGACGAAGATGAGGAAGCTTTATTCGCGAAAGAGCTTTGCTCAGCTGCCTGAATGGATCAAGTCTGCTAAAGCGAGAGGTGAGTGAGAGGGGTGACCGCAAAGGGGCGAGTGAGAGGCGAGAGAATGTAGCAAAGGACTTGCAGCGGACTGTAACCAAGATGAGGAAGCTTTATTCGAGAAAGAGCTTTGCACAGCTGCCTGAATGGATTAAAAGTGCTAAAGCGAGAGGTGAGAGTGTGGCTTTTGAGTCTAAAAATCACAGAGGTGGGACTGTGTGTCAAGCTGTTTGAGTGTGTGTTTTGGGAGTTTTGCAAGTGGTGAGAACAATTTAGTGTTTGATGGCTGTCGCAACAAGTGCATGTCCTCTGCTGTACCGGTGTACCCCTCCACCCACCCACCCACCCACCCACCCCACCCCACCCCATCCCATCCCTCACAGCCCACCTCCCGTGCACCTTTGAGGGAATCTACGCCTCACCAGTGGTGGACGGCTATCGCAATAAGTGCGAGTTCTCCATTGGCCCCTCGGCTGCTGGTCAGCCCACAGTCGGGTTCCTTCTCGGAAACTTCCGGTGAGAAACAGGTGTGGGATGGGCAGGCATGGCAGCAGTAACAGAGCCACTCAGAAAAAACAAAAACAAAAACAAAAGAGCAAAGAACAACAAAGCAAAACAAGAAAGGTCCAACTCCCTTGAGATTTCTCAAAGACGTCTCAAGAAGCTTTTAAGATTTCTCAAAATTCAAAAGCCTGTCCCTGGCCTGGGACATACGCTTCTCCTTGGGAGCATTCCTTTTTTTTTTGTCTTGTACCCAACCTTTCCTTCAGTTCCTTCTGTTAATTTGCTGTTGCACACCTGCTGCTGCAGCGGGTGGTGCGCGGGGGCTCTAATCAACTCAAGGCCCACATCTCCCCCTCTTGCTCCTCTCTGTTCTCTTTTTCCGAGGGACGGTGTGACAGCAGTAGCGGAGCCTCAAGGTGTAGAAACATCTCCCGCATCGCTATCGCCTTTGCACGCCTGATGCATGCAAGTCACACCTACCCCATCCCACCCTGCTCCTTCCTCCCTTCCCTCTCTCCCCACCACCTCCCAGCGATGGAGTGACAGCAGTGGCTGAGCCGTCAGGGTGTCGAAACATCTCCCCCATTGCCATCGCCTTTGCACGGCTGGTTCAGGAAGTGGTGCGAGAATCACCCCTGGCTGCATGGGACAAGGTCAACAACCGGGGCTTCTGGCGCCTGCTCACGGTGGGTGGGGATAAAGGGGGGGGGGGGAGGTGGGAAGCTTGTGTGAGGGTGTGTGCATGGAGGCCCATATGAGTGGTTCGAGCGCTTCCCCCCTCTGGCTGCATGGGACAAGGTCAACAACCGCGGCTTCTGGCGCCTGCTCACGGTGGGTGGGTGGGTGGATGGGTGGGTGTAGCGGGTGGTATGGAGTGTGTGGTGCAGGGATCCCTCCTGGCCGAATGGGACAAGGTCAACAACCGGGGATTTTGGCGATCGCACATTGTGGGTAGAGGGGTGGCTTGTGTGAGGGGGTTAGGTGAAAGGAGAAGAGTAGGGAAGGGAGAGACGGAGGTGATTCGACACGGCGTGAGGGTGAGGGTTGGTGGGCGTGGGGGCAAGCAGAAACGCGACTCGTGCGGCAGTCTAAGTTGTGTTGCTTTGTTTTCATGTGTGTGTGTCTCTCTCTCTCTTTGTCCTCCCTGCACCCACTTCAACTGCAGGTGAGGGAAGGCACAGCCGAACCACTCACTGCCACCTCGCTCCCCGAGCCTGCTGCTGCTGACGTGGCGTCGATGGACGTGGACCAATCAGCAACAGCAATCGATGGACAGCCACCCGCAGAAAAGCAAGATGATCATGGCACAAGAGATGAAGATGACACAAGGGATGACACAAGAGTCGACACAAGGGAAGGGGAAGGGTCAAGGCACAGTGGCAGAGCGGCAGTGAATCAAGTGATGCTGCTGCTGCAGGTGAACCCTGCTGGTGCCGATCGGACGGCCGTGGATGCGGAGCTGAGCAGATTGACGGCTGAGATTGAAAGGCGAGCAGCGGAGCACAGCCCGCCACTGCCTCTCACACTCATCCTCGTTCAGGTTGGACTGCCTCACTCTTACTCAAAGTCAACTTTTGAGTCGACTAAAAAATCCTCGTTCAGGTTGGACTGCCTCACTCTTACTCAAAGTCAACCTTATACTCTCACTCCTATTCCCCTCTCCCGCTCTCGCTCTCACCACCTTTCGCATTGTCATTCTGACTGTCATTTGCAGTCTCATTCTCAGTCTCATTCTCATTCTCATTCTCATTCTCACTCTCATTGTCATTCTCGTTCTGATACATGTTACCCATCTCCGTGCAGGAGCATTCAGGTGTGTCCAATGCAGCCCCTGAGAGCTGCCCCATCCGCCTGCTCTACCCTCGCTCTAGTCACATCGAGCCATCGGCAGCAGTGACAATGGCGGGGAATGGAGCTGCTAGTGGTGCGGAAGAAGAGGCACGTACATCACAGGAGAAAGGGAATCAGTCAGCAGCAGCACCAGCAGCAGGAGAGGCAGCAGAGGCAGGATCATCAGCAGCTGCAGAAGCAGGAGCAGAAGCAGGAGCAGCAGGGGAGGCAGCATGTGACACACACATATACGACCACCTATGTGGGCTCAAGTTCCGACTGTCACCCACCTCCTTCTTCCAGGTAACACACCTCTCCCTTTATCCAGGTAGGAAGGTGTGAAGCAGCAGCAACAGCAGCAGCAACAGCAGCAGCAGCAGCAGCAGCAGGGGCAGAGCAGGCAGCGTGTGACACGCACATATACGACCATCTGTGTGGTCTCAAGTTCCGCCTCTCACCCACATCGAGTTTTGAGACGTCTCAAAACACGTATGTGGCCTCAAGTTCCGCCTCTCACCCACCTCCTTCTTCCAGGTGATAAGCCACATGGCACATGCTTCTCTCGAATGGCTGTTCGGTATGCCTTCTCTCTCATTGTAACGCCACGGCCGCCTGTGTGTCTTGTTTGGTATTCCCATTCCCACCACCACTAATTAGCTGCCTGATTCAACTCTCCCCCACCCTTGTCATCCCCCTCACCTATTTCTCCCTTTCACTCCCGTCAGACCAACTCAGCGGGAGCGCAGCTGCTGTATCAGCTCGCTGCTTCCTGGGTGGGCTTGGGGCCGCCTCCCCCCTGTCCACCTCCCGTGCTCCCTCCTCTCTTGACCAAGAAACAGCAGCAGGGGCAGGAGCAGGGGCAGGAGCAGGGGCAGGAGCAGCAGCAGCAGCAGCAACAGCAGCAGCAGCAGGGGGAGGAGGTGCAGCAAGAGGGGAAAAGCGACGAGAAGGATGGTGTGTTGGTGTTTGATGTGTGCTGTGGCACGGGCACCATCGGCCTGTGCGTTGCCAAGCATGCCAAGAAGGTAAACGCCGAGGGGTTCTGACGTCAAATGAAAGTGTGAATAGAGCTCAGTGCCGGCTTGTTTGCTGTAAGCCGTGTGCACCATCAGCTGGGGGAGGCAATTGGTGGTGTGTTGGTGCTTGATGTGTGCTGTGGCACGGGCACCATCTGTCTGTGCGTTGCCAAGCACGGCAAGAAGGTCACCGCAGAGAGAGTCAGTCAAGTCCGTACAGAAGCACAGAGAGAAGTTGGGAGAAATGTGCAGGAGATGTTAGATGGCTTGCTTTGTAGGAATTGCAGACCATGCTAGGAAGGTCATTGAGTAAGTCCTTTCTTTGAACTAGTGGCTCGAATCGTCAACAAGGGTGCAAACCGCGAGCATTTGGTCTCTGAGTAGACCAAGGTTTAAGCGTGATACTTGGTGAAGTGAGGAAGCCTGGTTCTTGTCAATATCTAAAAATGATTGGAATGAGTTGGCAGAGGGGGATGCAACGAGATTTTTTTTGCTAGGTTTTGAGGCGAAGGTGATTGGGATGGGATTGACATTAACCTTCTTCCGCTCCCTTGCTCTGCAGGTGATTGGGATTGAGATGAACGAATCGGCAGTGGAGGATGCGAGGAGGAATGCAGCCATCAACGGCATCCAGCATGCTGAGTTCATCGCCTCCCGGGTGAGCCTGTGCGGTGGGTTGAGCAGTGTTTGCTTGGAAGGTAAGTGCTTGTGGAGGCTTGTGGAGGGTTGTGGAGGGTTGTGAAGGGTTGTGAAGGGTTGTGGAGGGTTGTGGAGGGTTGTGAAGGGTTGTGCTTGCTTGCTTGCTTAGGGCATGCTTGCTTAGAGGACGAGGAATTTTATTGCAGCCATCGACGGCATTCAGCATGCCGAGTTCATCGCCTCCCGGGTGAGCCTGTGTTGGAGCGCAGGGCTGGATGCAGGGGTGCATGCAGGGGGTGCGCAGGGCATGCTTGCTTAGAGGAGGAATGCAGCCATCAACGGCATTCAGCATGCTGAGTTCATCGCATCCCGGGTGAGCCTGTGCGGTCGGTCAGCCTGTGCTTGCTTGACCTGGGGGAGGCCATCAGCCTTGCTTGTAAGGTTGTGCCTGCTTGTTTAGAGGACAAGGAATGTGGTCATCAACGGCATCGAGCATGCTGCGTTCATCACCTCCCGGGTGAGCCTGTGTGGTCGGTCAGCCTGTGCTTGCTTGACCTGGGGGAGGCCATCAGCCTTGCTTGTAAGGTTGTGCCTGCTTGTTTAGAGGACAAGGAATGTGCTCATCAACGGCATCGAGCATGCTGCGTTCATCGCCTCCCGGGTGAGCCTGTGTTGGAGCGCAGGGCTGGATGAGGGGGTTCATTCATGCAGGGGGTTCATTCATGCAGGGGGTGCTAAGGTGCTTAGAGCATGATTGCTTAGAGGAGGAACGCGCCCATCAGCGGCATCCAGCATGCCAGATTTTTTGCATCCCGGATAAGTTTTGAAACGTTTCAAACTTCATTCCAAGTGCATTCAAAGTTCATTCAAAGTCCATACGAAGCTCATTGTCTCCCTCTCGGGTGATCCGGTCAATGCAGGGTGTCCCTCTCATGCCGTCGTGTCCCTCTCATGCCGTCGTGTCCCTCTCATGCTGACGTGTCCCTCTCATGCTGACGTGTCCCTCTCATGCTGACGTGTCCCTCTCATGCTGATGTGTCCCTCTCATGCCGTTGTGTCCCTCTCATGCTGACGTGTCCCTCTCATGCTGACGTGTCCCTCTCATGCTGACGTGTCCCTTCCATGTCTCCACCAATGCAGGCTGAGCTGGTGCTGCCAAAGCTCCTCCATAAATACCTCCCCCAGGTGAAGCCTGCCCCTGACAGCCTCCCCCAGGTGGAGGGGAAAGAGGGGCAGCAGCAGGAGGAAGGAAAGGAGGAAGGGAAGGAGGGGTTGAAGGAGGAAGGGAAGGAGGAAGGGAAAAAGGAGTTTGAGTTTTCTCGAGTCGTGACAATCGTAGACCCTCCAAGAGCTGGTCTGCATCCAACGGTAATGAGTTGATGGCTGTACGCGCGCGCGCGCGCACACACACACACACGCACACGTGCACATACACACACACACGCACACACGTGCACATACACACACACACGCACACACATGCACATACACACACACATGAACACACACGTGCACATACACACACACACGCACACACGTGCACACACACACACGCACACACACACACACACACACGTGCACACACACACACGCACACACACACACACGTGCACATACACACACACGTGCTCACACAAACACGTGCACGCACATATGCACACACAGGCATTCAAGCCGCTGTTTTTTTTCTTCTTCTCTCACTTTCCCACTCTTCTGCCTCTCTTGCACACCCGCAACAGGTGCTCAGAGCCCTTCGGGAGAATCCCAAGATCGAGCAGCTGCTGTAAGCCCTCTTCTCCCCTTCTTGAAGTGCGACGATGATTGTTACGCCTTGAAAAGTACCTCACTAAGCACAAACAGCTTCCATGTGCCCTCATCTCTTCTCTCCCTTCTGTATAAAAGATGAGGCGGTTTTATAGGGGCCTAAAATAGGCCTCATTAAGCTCAAACAGCTTTTATTTGCCCTCATCTCTTCTCTCACTCCTCTCTGCGCGATCCGGTCGCTGAAAAAGATTCCATTAATTTCATTCTTGAATTGTCTCAATCATTGGCAACACCCTTTCGTTGTTGAAAAGGGCTTTGCATAGCTCCTTCCCCATCCCCTTTTGTGCTCCCTCTTCCCACTTCCCTCGCCTCCCTTCAACCTTCTTCCACTTCCGCTTCTTCCCCTCTCTCGTTCTTCCCCTCTCTCGTTCTTCCCCACCGCTTCCCACAGCTACATCTCATGCAACCCCTCATCTCTCATTGCCAACGTTCTAGACCTCTGCTCACCTCCCTGCACTGCCTTCACATTGCCAGCCCTTACCAGCATTTCCTTCTCTCTCCAATCCCTTTGCTCCGTCCCCTTCCCCCAGCTACGTCTCCTGCAACCCCTCGTCTCTCGTGGCAAACGTCCTAGACCTCTGCTCGCCGCCTCCCGAGCTAAAAAAGCCGCAAGCAGGAGGCGGCGGGTGGAGCAAGTGGGGGCCTGCGGCGGGGCAGAGGGCCATGGCTGGGGAGCCGTTCCGACCAGTCAGAGCCGTGGCTGTTGACCTGTTTCCCCACACGGAGCACTGTGAGGTGGTGATGCTGCTGGAGAGGTAGTGATGGGAGGAGGGGGAAGGGGAGGGAGCAAGCAGAAGGGGGGGAGTGGAGAAAGCGGGAGGGGGGGGTGGGGTGGAGCAAGTGGGGCCCTGCTGCGGGGCAGAGGGCCATGGCTGGGGAGCCGTTTCGACCTGTGAGGGCCGTGGCTGTGAAATTGTTTCCACACATGGAGCACTGTGAGGTGGTGATGCTGCTGGAGAGGTAGTGCTAATAGGGTGGGGTGGGGAAGAGCAAGCAGCAGCAGGAGGGGGGTGGAGCAAGTGGGGGCCTAGCGGCAGGGCAGAGGGCTATGGCTGGGGAGCCATTCCGACCTGTGAGAGCCGTGGCTGTTGACCTGTTTCCCCACACGGAGCACTGTGAGGTGGTGATGCTGCTGGAGAGGTAGAGGGGGGAAGAATGTGGGGCAGGGGGTGATGTGATGAGATGAGCGGGAGGGGTAAGAAGTTTGACCTGTCAAAACAGTGGCCATGGAGTTGTTTCCCCACACAGAGCACTGCGAAGTGGTGATGCTGCTGGAGAGGTAGAGGGAAGGGAAGCAAATATTTGCTCACATTACTCTTCTTGCACTTCAATGTAACCTTATGATGGCATTAGTAAGTGTACCCCACATACATGTAGACTACACTGACCTCAAGAGTACTCCATTGCAACTTTTTACATGCAAGAATGATGAGAGAGGGTTCACGTTTGACAACCATAACTTTGATGCATTCTTTCAAACATCCTAAGTCAGGCCACGAGGGTACGGTCGGTGCTTGCTTACGCACACCCTTCATTTTCTGACTTCCAGTTACAACACAAACCAAGCCCTGTAGATCTTCCAATATTTTACATATGCGAACACACAAGATTTAATAAAGGCCTTTCTTTTGCACTAAATGGCTACTGCTGTCATGTAGCATTATCTTTTCATTGACTTGGCTATTCTCTGCAGATGGAAGTTAATCGTGTTTCTGGTCTTGCCTTTGGACCTCTGCATACGCACAGATGCAGCAACACAAGGAAGGCAAGAGAGGGGACGACATGAGAGTGAACAGGGGGATAATAGGACTGCGTATTATTGTGTTCCTGATCTTGCCTTTGGACATCTACACCCACGCAGATGCACACAGATCGCAGCAGCACATATTGGAGTGACTTTTGAGAATTCTCAAAAGTCACTTTTGAGAATTCTCAAAAGTCATCTACACCCACGCAGATGCACACAGATCGCAGCAGCACATGAGAGGCAAGCGAGGGGATGGTACGAGAGGGAAGAGGTAGGGAAGACAGGGACGGAAAGAGGGGATGTTAAAAAGGTGAGGAAGGAGGGCCGGCAACATACGAGAGAACGTATGAGGAACTGTTAAGACGAGGAGGGGAGAGAGGCGATGTTATAAGGGCGTATTCCTACAGCCTCCTATCAAGGCCACCTCCTATCAAGATTGTACTTTTGCCTAGGAAAAGTAGCGAGAGGTTTTGGGTTTAGGGGATTTTTCAGTGTGAGCTTGATAGGAGGTCAGATTGATAGGAGGATAGGAATACGCCCTAAGGGTAAGGAAGAGGAGAGAGGGGAGGGAAGGGGGGTTGCTAAAAGTGGGGATGCTGAGACAGCAAAGGGAAGACTGGGAAGGTATATAGAGGTAAGATAAGAGTGGGGATGTAATGAAAGAATATGGTGGAGGACCACTGCGCAGTTGCTTTGAATTTTGAGGCGCCTCAAAAATCGCCTAAAAATAGTATTTTGAGGCGCTTCAAATACGTTATGAAAGGATATGGCGGAGGACCACTGCGCAGTTGCTTTGCTCGCGGGTGGAAAACCGTGCCAGATGACTTCTGAAAATTATTTGAAGTGGCTAATGGCTAGATACGGTGCAGATTAGTCAACTCGATAGATTTGTCTGCATGCACCCCCCCAATGCAGCAGAAGGAGCGGAGAGACAGGAGGGAAGTGAGGAGGGATGAGAGGAGGGAAGAGAGAGGGGATGAGACGAGGGATGAGAGGAGGGATGAGAGAGGGGAAGAGAGGAGGGATGAGAGGAGGGATGAGAGGAGCGATGAGAGAAGGAAAGAGAGGAGGGAGAGGAGGAATAAGAGGAGGGATTAGAGGAGCGAAGAGAGGAGGGAGAGGAGGGATGAGAGGAGGGATGAGAGGAGGGATGGATGAGCGGAGGGAAGAGAGGAGGGATGAGAGGAGGGAAGAGAGAGGGGATGAGAGGAGGGATGAGAGGAGGGATGAGAGGAGTGATGAGAGAGGGGAAGATAGGAGGGATGAGAGAGGGGAAGGGAGGAGGGAAGTCACCCATAAGCGTTCATGGGTGATCATGGCCAATCAGAAACGACCATGGCGCTCAAGGCCGATCATCGTCGTTCATGGGCGAGCACAGGCGATCATGGGCGACCACGGGCAATCGGGCGATCACGGGCGATCATGGACGATCACAGGCGATCATGGACGATCATGGCGAACTAACCAGGGTGTCCACGTCGAGCGCGGAGAGGGGCTTCTGGCACGGGCGAGCACAGGAGATCACAACATGGGCGTTCCTGGCCGACCATGGGCGATCGCAAGCGATCAAAGGCGAACTGACCTGCGTGTCCATGCACGCGTCGAGCGCGGTGAGGTGCTTCTGGCACGGCGTCGTGTCGAACGCGTTCTCCTTGATGCAGCTCATAAACGCCATCATCTCCGTGAAACACGGCAGCGTCTTCCTCCCACCCATGTCCTTAGGGTTCACCTTAATCACCTCTGAGACCTTCTTTCTCGCCATCGCTCAGCCCTCGTTACTTAGCAATCTAGTTACTGTGTAGTCTGGTTACCCTGTATCCTGGTTACCCTGGATCCAACAAAGGTTTCTAGCTGAAGTCGCTATGGCGATTGAGCTGGTGCAGGGATCGAGCGCCGCTGACTAGGCTACTAATGGCCAGAGGTGCAAATCGGCGTGCTGCTATGACTGTGCGGCTGCTAGCACGCTAGCAGTTACCGAGGTGGTAATCTGCAGACCTGATCGCGAAGTCACAACCTCAGGTCCCTCACGACCTGAGACTACCTGATCCAACGCCGAGAAGGTGCAAGTAAGGATTTAGTGCCGTCACGCGAAACCAACTTGACGGGAGAGAGTCAAGGAGCTAGGAACCAGGAGGTCTAGCTGTGCACGTCCCATACCCGTTATCATATACCAGACTATGCAAATCTGGATGGACAGTGTAATGAAAGGAACAATTGACCTAATAATATCTGATGTTCTACTAGTATCTAAGTGTTTTTACCGAAAATCGATACAAATTCTGATCCACTTGGTGGTCAGTCGTCATCCCTTTCCACCACTTGGTGGTCAGTCGTCATCCCTCTCCCACGACAGGGCTCGTGGTGGATGGAAGTCGTCTAGCAGGGTCGACTGTGGCCGACGTTCTCCGTCCAATCATGGAACGCTGACAGTATTCGCGACGCGACATTCTGGCCCGGGGACTTCCCAGGCCTTCAATTTCGAACCAAGCGACAGCTGAGCGAGTCGTACGCTTTTCGCGGGCGAGGCTCGGATAACTTGTGAAAGTCGTGGATAATTACCCTCACGCTAGGAAAATTCTCAAGAAATCATAAACTCACCGCAACGACAGAGCATTCCTGTGCCGTATTGAACTGGCGCACTCCTGGTTTTGTACTAATGACATCTTTAGATTCGTTGAATGTTTGATGTCTTGTTTAGAAAAGCTTGCAAAGTTTCTATAAAGCAGCAGAAAGTACAGTACTCAGCGCCATCTCCTCCCACGACCGCGTTGTTGCCCCCAGGCCAAAGAAAACGAAGAGGTTTGGTTCAACGGTTTCCGCGCCGTTGTTCGAGACCGTTCCCGTGGCGCCTTGTATGGCGCGTTGCATGCTGGCGCCTTTCCACCGACGTTTCGGCTTTCAACATTCACTAGTGTCGGCTTTCACCTCAGAGAGTATGCGTGTGTGAAGGCATCAGGGGCGACAATCCCTTGATGGAGGCCCAGTTTGCCCCTCTAAAGCTTTTCAGCTGCTTATCAGACCAGCACCTCTTGCATCTTTTGTGCACATTATCATTGCACAACAATGGCACCGAACATCTGTCGCGTAGAGCCTGCGCCCATTGCGTTTGGGACAATCCCGCAAGTCAAAGTCCCTGCTGCTAGCGCCAGTGATGGCTTTCCTAGACCTGAAATAGAAGAGCGCAGCGGCGAAGCAGCAACAGCAGCAGCTCCCGACCTGCTCCATGAATCCAAGCCCCAAACTTCAACGAAGGCAGCTTCAGAACCGTCAACTGACACCCAGTCGACAGTCAATGGAGGAAGTGCACCAATTCGTGAGGAGAGTTCTGCTGCTAAGCCGCCGCCGCAGAAGGTGGCCCAGCAGTACCTCAAATCCCGGTTCCTCGGCTTAACTGCAGACCAGATAAAGGCGCTGTTCCACCTCTCCGTGAACAGTAGCCCGCGAATGCTCCTGCCTCTCGTTGCAGCGTTAGCCGTGCAGCTGACTCGGCACTTGAAGCAGGAGGACTTCCTGAGCCTCTGGCAACAAGTGCTTCAACTGGACCGGTCAGTTGCGATTGCAGCCTTTTCCGCGGTCGTCTTCGCTGTTACAGTCTTCGTGCTCACCCGCCCCCGGCGTATCTTCCTTGTTGATTTCGCCTGCTATCGCCCGCCGGAGCACCTTGTCATCACGAAGGATGTCGCGCTGGATCGGGTAACGCGACTCGGCTACGTCGACGAGAAAAGCAGAGAGTTTCAGACGAAGGTGTTTGAGCGATCGGGCCTCGGCAACCGAACATACTTACCGCCTTCCATGCACACCTGGCCCCCTTCTCCCTCAATCTCCAACGCTCGAGTCGAAGCCGAGATGGTGATTTTCGGAGCGATGGACGAGCTGTTTGCCAAGACAGGAGTCGACCCTAAGGACGTCTCTATTCTCATAGTCAACTGCACAATCTTCTGCCCGACGCCGTCGCTGTCTGCCCTGGTGGTTAACCACTACAAGATGCGTGAGGACATTCAGTCGTACAACCTAGGCGGCATGGGGTGCAGCGCGAGCGTCTCTGCTGTGAAGCTGGCCGGTGACCTTCTTCAGTCGCAGCCGAACAAGTACGCGGTTATCGTTTCCACGGATAACATCACGCAAAACGCGTATCTCGGTAACCGTCGCTCCATGCAGGTTACCAACGTTCTGTTTCGCATGGGTGGGGCCGCTGCGCTGATCTCCAACAAGCCGCGTGATGCCTGGAGGGCGAAGTACGAGCTGGGTCACGTTGTTCGTACGCACTTGGGCGCAGACGACAAGAGCTACAAGTGCATTTACCAGGAGCAGGATGAGAACAAAATCTCCGGCGTCATGCTCTCTCGCGAGCTCATGGCCACCGCTGCTCAAGCCCTCAAGGCCAATATCACAACCCTTGGACCCCTGGTGCTGCCGGTTACGGAGAAGCTGATCTACGCTGCAGCTTACATCGCCAGGCGCGTCTTCAGAGCGAACATTAAGGAGTACGTGCCGGATTTCAGGCTCGCGTTCGAGCATTTCTGCATCCATCCCGGTGGCCGCGCTCTTCTAGACGAGGTCCAGAAGGCACTCAACCTCACGCCTCACGACATGGAGCCCAACAGAATGACTCTTTACCGATGGGGCAATCTCTCATCCGCCTCCATCTGGTACGAGCTTTCATTCCTCGAGGCCCGAGATCGCGTGCAGCGTGGAGACCGCGTATGGCAGCTCGCGTTTGGGAGCGGATTCAAGTGCCAGAGTGCCACATGGAGAGCTCTTCGCAGCATCCCTGGTGATAAGAACGGAGGTCCCTGGGCTGAGAACGTTGAGGTGTCTTCACCACCCCCAGGTGAAGCCATGTAGGGTCTTCGAGATTAGGTTTGCACCTGTGCTATGCTGTTTATTTTTTTATGGTAATATTGAATATATGCATCTTGTACTTACACACATACAACAGCACAACACAGCATACTTCTAAGCATGAATGTACACACAAATCCCTCCTACCATGATCAGAGATTACTTGCTCTGGCAAAGCATGCCAATTCATCTGCATCCGTTCTAGCAGTTCAGCAGGGTTCACCAAAGCTGTGTTTGTGATGCATTACAGCAGCTGCATGGCTTTTCACAATCTCCGCTGCTGACTGACCTGGGCGAATGGTGTACCCAAACTCTCCATCTGCATCAAGGGAACGCAAGGAGCTTAGGATATTGAAGCAACGCCGTGCAGCCAATTCTTTCATGAATGCATACTGTACATACCTGGGCTCTTGAAGACCCAAACATTGTCCCCTTGCACGGTTCCATCTTCAACCATGGAGGTGTAGAGAGCGTCGTATATGGCTGTCAGAAACCTGCCAATAAACAAAAAGCACATCGTTAACCATCAATAACATGTTTTGCAGGCTTCCCTGAATCCAGGCTCGGCAGCATACACGTTTCTTGAGGTGAATGTCCCATTGACGGTAACATCCTGCATTCCAAACTCCTCCCATACTAGAGGCTTATTTAAAACATCCTGCATGTGCAAGAATGATCAGCAGATATGTTGCGAAAGAAACCACCACGCGTGGAAAAGAAACAACAGAAGCATGTAACTTATACACGAGCGTCTTGATTATGTGCCGTAATCCAGTTCTGTATGAATGACAGCTTCGCTGATGTATTCTGCTGGTTTCCAATCCAGTTCTCCGACCTGGATTTCGCACCACATGAGATTTGCAGGCACATACAGTAAGGAAATTCCAAGCCGTCTCACTTACCAAATGTGTGCAACTGCAAAGTCAATTGCCCAAAACTTGTTGTTACGTATGAATTCCTGCCCTGTCTGTGTCGCCCAATGGCCCCAAGGCTCTGAATGCCGGCAAAACATGTTAGGCTAAGCCACAAGAGAACAGCGACAAGCAAGCACCTCACCTCCTGGATTGATAGACGTGTGGTTATGATTTTCTCCATAGAATCCCTCGTACCCAGTTGCAACCAAATGATTGGGATCGACTTTCTGAAAACAGACAGACAAGATTAGCCACTGGAGGCTAAGCAGACGGCCGTGAACTTGCTTGTCAAAAGTACCTTAAGGTATGTTGACATCACTTCGGTCCAACTTTGGACAGAATCTTGACAGCCATCAGTAAAACACCTGCAATTCAGAAATTATACACAACAAAAGAACGAAGCACACATAATGCTGTGGTTTACTTGCCATACCTTGGCTCGTTTAGCAGGTTCCAGCCCAGGATGGTCGTATCATTCAAATAACTGACGCCATTGTAGGTGTTCACCCTTGAAACTAGCATCTGTTGAAAGACAAGATCTCGGCGATAGTGTTTGCGCAACGTAATTGGCGCTAAGAACGACGGATGAATCTTCTCACGTACCTTCATATAGCTTTGGTAATAGTTTTGGCAAACAGTGCTGTTAAAGAACAAGTCCGTGTGGTTCAGCCCAGCCCACTTGATGTACTGCTTTGAAACAGGAAGAAGTGTGAGACTCAAGCAGTTAGATAAGAACAATTAAACGTCTGGGCGCGTACCTTATTCACTCCATCTCCCATACCCCAAAAGTTGGAAAAGGCAATCATCACTCTGATGCCACGAAGTCTAGCTTGAGCGAGGACGAAATCCAGCCCTGTTTGCAACGCATCAGCAGTGGTACTTATAAAGGCCGACGTTTGGCTGTGATGTTTCTGGCGTACCTCTTAATAAGGTTTGATTGTATACCCCGGGGCTTAGCTGCACAGGTGAACTTGCTCTGTGATGACACTTGTTCAGATTAGTCAAACGCAACATTAGTACCGCAACATCCAAAATGGATTGCACGCACTGTGTTGAGAAGCCCCAGGTCCGGACAACTGAGAGATTCATGGATACCATGTCATCCAGCGTCGCGTTCACCTACACATAGGCAACATGAGTATGAGCGAGGGCATGAAAACAATAGCAGAATGGTACGACTTCTTACTGTCCCCATGGTGCTTGGATTACTCGCATTCTGAAAAAGGAGGAAAAGCCATGTTAGTAAAATCGAACGAAACACATCGCCTGGAAGACATGCTGCTTGAAGCAACCAACCTGCATGAGGTCCCACGAGTTGCATCCGGAAAACACGAACTTCCGGCAATTGAGGTAGAATGATCCGTTTTCAACTATCACATAACCTGCACTAAAAATGTTAGTGAGAATTCATGAACACCTTCGGACTCCAATTGCCCGAATAATACCTTTCGTTGGTACCAATTGGCTCTGCGAACCATCAAACGTCGCGTCAGTGTACTGAGGATCAACAACAAGCTAAAACCACAGGCATACCATTGCTGGTGAAGCAAGTAGGCTTAGACCGGCAAGCACAAGCACTGGAAACATGAGCCCACCCATGCTTCTAGGCGGTAAACCAGAACTATCGTGAGAAGAAGCTTGGATCGGTGTCGAATGACAGCTGGAATGGTGCGGCATTTTTGCGCGAGGGGTCTTTTTCAGCTGTGAGTTCTTGCAACGTACTCGATAAGTGCAGAAAGAAATCATGTGCTTTTGGGAACAGCTCCGTAACGAGATTGCCTTCGTAGAGAACTATTTGTCGACCCATCAGTACACTTAATAAGCCTACCAATACACCTAATCGTACAGAACGTCTTCCTTTTATCCAGAAACAACAGCTCTTTAAGCCAAGCAGGAACATTAAACAAAATTCGACTGATCAGCAGTTCCTGCTGTACAAAATCTCCATGGCGTTAACTAGCTGCTGATCCCATGATACATCAACGCCACCTGCAGACCCTACTATTGATGTGTATTTGACAATGTGTCGGCCTGACATGCATTTACGACCTTCCGCCATAGCCTCCAACAGGGCCACCACCACCAGTTTGCTGCAAAAAAAAAAAAAAAAAAAAAAAAAAAAAAAACGAACCACATGCAGTGCTTTAGAATGGTCAGCCCAGAGAACAAACAAAACTAATACAGACGGCACCAACAGGCTAGATACAGTAGGAGTGCGAGGAATTTAGATTGACGGCTGCTTAGAAAGGGCGTTCTTAAGCAAGATTGCAGAGGAGAGATTACAGTATGAGGCTTTGTGACACTCACAGGCTGAACCAGAGTGACACCAGGAAGGGTAGCCATGTTGATGGCCTTGAGCATATCCAGGGTAACAGGGTCAACCTGAGAGCATCATGATGGGGAACGCATGTATGAAAATCAAAAAGAGGATTCTCAGCTAGCTTCCCTGCATTAACTGGAAAGAAGAAAAAAATCCCTGTTCACGACCCGAGCATTGCAGCGATGTGAAAAGAGGGAATCGAGTTGCATATACAAGCCCTCGAATTCATTCAGCTAACGATCTGAGTAATCCATACTGCATTCGCCTTGCTACCATACTCGTAGTCCAGAACTGCGTATGGAAACTATTGATCGCTCCTGAGTCACGTTCTGACAAGTGGATGGATCAGCTGCTACATAAAACCACTTAATGGAGCTGCATTGACCCGCCACTCCCCTCATTTCCAAAGCTGCCAAAATACTCGAACAGAGTCAACAACACCCGAAGTCAGCATCTGCGGCAGCTCCACTAATCCACGCCATTTGAACCCCCTTGACAAATCTAAACTAAGAAGGAAGAGCGCTCGTGTATGACGACGTCGCGGCTGAACTATCGTGAACGATCTAACAGAAAAGCTTCAACACCGCGTGCCTTGACACGAGGACGGCATGTACTCTTAGCCTCAACGACGACGGCGTATCATCGAACTCAGCTGCTACTTCGGAAACGCGGAATTTCAAAGCCCACATAAGACTTCTGCGCCAGCACCCACAGCGAGTGCGCATAATTCTTAGGGCTCTTCAAAACCTGCGTTGGGTTGATCGGCTCGGAGACGAATAGTGGCGCCAAAAGGAGCTAACCTGAACTATCGTGAACGATCTAACAGAAAAGCTTCAACACCGCGTGCCTTGACACGAGGACGGCATGTACTCTTAGCCTCAACGACGACGGCGTATCATCGAACTCAGCTGCTACTTCGGAAACGCGGAATTTCAAAGCCCACATAAGACTTCTGCGCCAGCACCCACAGCGAGTGCGCATAATTCTTAGGGCTCTTCAAAACCTGCGTTGGGTTGATCGGCTCGGAGACGAATAGTGGCGCCAAAAGGAGCTAACCTGTCATGTTCAACCAAAAAACTCGCTACAGTGGCTCTCCACGCCTTGAGGATGAACGCCGACCCCTTAAACCGAGTCCGAGACACCTAACCCTGCTCACAGAACCTTCTCGTCGACCAGTCGATCTGCTTCAATTGGCCGTCAACATCTACCAACCGACGGCCTACAATTAATTACGCCGCTCTCATTCAGCCGCTGCCATAGATTTCGCCCAGCTGCTGGCGATCGTTGCTGTCCCCCTGCTGCTGACATTTACATACGTCACATGCCTGTCTGCTTGTTGGCCTGCCTGTCTGCCTGGGTGCATGCCCGACTGATCGCTTGTTTGCCTGCCTGCGCGACTGTCGGGCCGCTTGAACGTCTGGCTGCTTCAAGGCCTGTATGCGCTGACTGCTCCTAGGGTAACTGGGCGCCATTTTCGACGACTCAAGCTGGTGCTTGGCTGCCTGAGTGCCCACTCACCTCAATGACGTCCGTCTTGATGGCAGACTCGTCAGGGACGAAGTCCATGCGCCGCTCCCTCTCCTCCTCCTGCAGCTTCAGCGAAATGCCGCGCACGGGGCCCTTCTGAATGCGCTTCATCAGGTGCGTCGCGAAGCCGGCGATCTTGTTGCGGAGGCGCTTCGTGGGGATGACTGCCACTTCATCACAGATCTTCTTGTTCGTCTGGAAGTCGAGCGTCATGCGCGAATAGTACTTCTCGATGATCAGTCGCGCCGAGCGCTTCACCGTCTTTGTGCGGACGCGACCCTGGTGGGTGCGGAAGGAAGGGACGACGAGAGGGACGACAACAAAGGGACAGACGAGGAAAGGGACGGAGAAAGAGGAACGAAAAAAAAAGAGAAGAAAAAAACACAGAAGAAACGCGAAGGAAAACGGGGACTATGAGATGGGCGCTACGGAGCAGACGGAAGGCATACAGCCACGTGAGGGGGTTCTTGGTAAGGTTGAGGAAAAGGGACGGAACCCTAAATTGAGCTGGCTTGCGCCTGAACCGAAAGCAACTAAAACCCCATGGTTATAATGCGCGCCGAAGTCCCGAACTCTTCTAAAATACGAAATACTGTGGAATTCTTACCATCTTGACACGCTACGAAGTAACGGCTGAGAGAGGGGAGGACCTCCACTAATGGAGAAATTAGGCTAAGGGAAGAGAAAGGAAGAAACTGAGAGGGAGGGGGCTCTTCAGCTGTAGGGAGGTGAGTCAAGGGGACAGAGCAGGAAAGAGGGGAGTCGGGCGAGGCGTGGAGGACGAGGGAGACGAGGGAGGGGAGCTACGGGAGGCATGGGAGGGACAGAAGGCACGGCACTACAGGCTCGGGAGGCCCAGCTTGCACAGCTTGCACAGCAGGTAAGGAAGGGAAGCGAGGGGGCAGTGGAGGGGGAGAGTATGCTTTGGCGGCTGTCCATCGTCAAATTGGGCGTCGCAAAATCACTACCAACCAGTACGGTCTGTCAAAAATTGGAAGAATGTGCCACAAATGTGTATGGTTCTGAAAGATGCTTTTTGGGCGGATTTTATTACCGAGGAAGACCATAAGGGAATTGACTTGTCAGCCAAGTTTGGCCGAAACGCTTCTCAGCCGCACCGCCCACCACCACATTAAATTTGACTTTCCCGCCGAAAGTTTCCCCCCCATGCCGACCAACCTAGCAACGAGATTGTCGCCTAGAAAGTTGGGGATTATGGCAGGGGAAATCTGGGTGTTCAGGCGCTAGAGAGGACTGATAAAATGAGTAATTCTGCCTCGGTTGCATCAATGAAGCCTGTTTTGACGCGTGTCTCGGGAATAGTGCTTGTCGGTGCAGCCGTCGTCTCTGAACTGATGAGGACGATTGAACCTTTGTAGTCCATTTAGCAGAACTAATATCCACTACTAACCATCTTGCAAAATTAGTACCCAACGATAAATATATGTAGGAACTTCACATTTACGGAAGGGCTCGTGCGTGATTTATCCGGTTTAATTCAAGAGAGTCGTTTGGACAATCACAAGACGACATGATATTAATTTGGGTATGCAAGTGCCAAGCTTTTAGACCTCTTAGAAGGTGATTCTTGGGTGCAAATGCCAAGCGCCGGATTAACTTCCTCCTCGCGCTCTTTCTCACTCTCCTTCACCATCCTTCTTCTGTTGATAGTTCCGCTTTGCTTCCAATGCGTATCTTGGTGTTCGGCGGCGATCTTGCCCTCAGATTTATCAGTTGTACCGCAAAAACGTGATGTTACGAGAAACTTATGGCGACGGATTTCAAACAAATCCCTTGATTGCTCAGGGACGCTGGTTAAGTCTGATTCGTCAGGAACACGTGAAACTCCCTTGTGTAGACTTTCTCATAGGCACGATAGACTTTATTCCCGTGACACGGAGCAGAATAGTGCAACGAAACCGTCAAAAGCCGCCAACGGAACGGGAAAAGATGCTGAGGGAGAAGGTGCAAGGTCAAGGCTACAAAAGCCACCAGCACCACGAGGACGCCGAGCAAGGGCTCTGGCGGAAAAGCGTTATAGCGGGTATACGACGGTTAGCGAAGTCACAATACCGATCAAGAAACCGAAGATCGTAGCACCATGTCGGCTCATTCTCCTGCGAGACGCCGCGTTCGCGAACACCTCCAACCAGCCCACCATCCAAGTCGCCTACACACCGCCTGCTGGGTGCGGCTTGGTACGTGTGCTGGGTATCGCCTGGTATTGTTTGGCAAGGAACTACTGACTGGTAAAGGTTATGAATTCTGCTGGTGCTGTTTGAGGTATTGAGGTTGCCGCCGTGCTGCTGCGAACGTACTTCATTTCTGAAGCCCCACACGCACCTGACGTCATCCACTGAGACGACTTTCAGTTCGTCAGAAATCTTCCGTGTCCATGTTTCCTTCTTCATGTCTCCTACTTCATAGGCCCTGATTCATGTTCCTTCCTTCAACTGTATCCATGATCCCTTCTCCATGAGCACTTCTTCATGTTCATTCAAGTTCCCTATTTCATGGTTCCTTCTTCATGTTCCTGTCATGATTGGTGGTTCAGGCCTGGAAGCAGGTGGTTCTCAGCGTTGGCGTGCGAGTGAAGGGAATACAACAGGGAAGAGTTCTGTCGATCTTCTTCAATGGATTCGAGCTCTCTAGATCTCTGTACGCCCTCTTTCTCCGGCATCTAGGCATTGTAATCATAGTGCATAAGACTCCGGTTAGGAAAACAACATGGGTGTCTTCCCAACACTTCCCTTCCTCGCTCCTGCTTTCCTCGATCATCGGTGTGCATTGCTGCTTCTCATCCCACGTTCCCCCATCTCTCCTCCGCTCGTACCGCCGCCCTGACATCAACTCTCAGAACCACGCCTGGTTCGGCCAATGGCGTGCGCTTTGCACTAGAGAGAGACCTCACCAAGTTTTCAAAAGTCCTGCGCAGGGTACGTCCAGATGCACTGTATCTTTTGCTTCTTGCTGAGGCGATTTCTTGCTCCTGTTAAGTTCTATCATCCCTCATATCCTCCTGCTTTTTCCATTCCTCTATATCCTCTCTGCATCTCCTGCAGAAAGGTCGATTCTACATCACCATGGAAAACGCCTTGGATGAAGTGAACACCGGCATATTCTATGTAGATCTCGAGGTATCCTACTATGGAGGACTGGTCTCCCCACACGTGCCTCACAGCCTGCTCTCTCTCTCCTCCTCCAAGACACGTGGCCGGCCCCTCATCCTCTCCGGAAAAGACGCCAGCGGAATCCTGGGGACCAGTCAGCAGTCGCCAGGTGGCAGCTCGTCCTTCAGCCTGGCGTCTGCTTCGGTCATGGTGTCGAATTTCCCGAGGAATTTGGTCCGTGCTGAGCTGGATCTGACGCTGACAGCGCATGGTGATGACAGGGCGTACTTCAGTAACATGCTGGAGAGGTGAGACTGGAGGGGAGGTGAGACCCTGGAGAGGTGAGTCTAGGGGAGGCTCGACTGGGGCGGTGAGACTGGAGAGAGGTGAGGCTCTGGAGAGGTGAGAATGTGTAGAAGTGAACTCTGGGGAAGCATGTCTCTGGGGAGGCGAGACTGAGGTAGGTGAGGTCATGGCTAGGCGAGACTGGGGGACGTGAGATTGGCTGAGGTGAGACTAGAGGGAGAAGATACTAGAGGAGCTGAGATTCAAAGGGATGGTGATGTGGGGGGAAGGGGCAGGGTAGTAAATCTGTCGCTCAATATCAATACTGGATCAGAGAAAACGAAACCCAAAAACAAAAAATTAAGCATGTATTGTTGCTCCCCACGTCTACCCACGTCCCTTTCTTGCTCCTCTCTGCGCCATTGCAGTTACCACTCCGCCCTTCCAGACTCTCTCAAGGCGAACTTCGTCCCTGGAAGCCCGTACCGTGAGATAGTCGTCTACATAGACGGAAGGTTCGCAGGATCGTTCTTCCCCTTCCCCGTGCTCTCCCCCTCCTCCCTCCGCCGCTCCCTCTGGACCCCCGTGGTGGGAATCGGGTGCTTTGCATTGGAGCCATACTCGTTAGACGTGACCCCGTTTGTGGGATTGCTTGTGGACGGGAAGAAGCACAATGTTACTGTAGCGGTTTCGGGGGTGCTGCCTGGAGGGGTGTGGCTGGCGAGTGGGGTGTTTCGTCTGTGGCTGGATCCGATCCTGCTGAAGACCACAGGGAAAATCACCACCTTTAATGTGAGTCATTTGCTAACTTAACACCAGGCACATGACATTGTTTCAATCAGACTCAGCCAACGACTTTTTTTTGCACGTCAATGTCAATGCATCACATCTTCTGCCTTCACCTTTTGGAGCATGTTGTGTTTCACTCACTTGTATAACCTCCTCATTGTTCTATTCCTACGCTGGTCTCCTCTCTTTAACATGTTATTTGATTAGGTTCCAGCACTACAGTACTATGAACCGCCGCCCAACATCTACACTGGCATAGATGGAACTCTAGAGGCCACTGCCATGCGGCGATACACCATTGGTGGGCGAATCCTCACCTCTCGTGGGGTGGTTACCAGCCTGGTGAAAGCCTACCACGTGCTTCAGAGCCGCACAGAAGCTCTCGGACAGCTGAAATTTCTCAAGACGGAGTATAATGTTGTTGCAAACGTGACAACAAGGAGAGGTCGGCTGAGTGGAATGCTGATCGCAAAGGACACAGTGACGCATCATTTCCCATTGACCATCACCCAGACGGTGTTCACAGATCAAGGTGAGAAGGCTGAAGGTTGAGCTGCCATGTGTGATCCGGCGTAGTGGATTGCTGATTGCCAAGGACACGGTAATGCATTATTTGCCATTGATCATCACTCAGACGCCTAACCTTTGCCTCGACCCCACACATTTGTTCTCCTTCCAATCCCCGGTGTGTTCTCCCACAGATGAAAGTACCTCCTTCAATCTCTCTCTCTCCCACAATTTCCAGCAGCAGAGAATCCACAATCACGGCAACAGCCGCACAAAAATGATACGAATGTGCCCAACCCCTTCCTTTCCCTCTCCCTCATCACTCTTTCCCTCGTTATTCTTGCCTCCCCAATGTTCTTTCCCACAGATGGAAGTGCTTCCTTCAAGCTCTCTCTCTCCCACAGCTTCCAGCAGCAGAGCCTCCACAAAGACGGCAACAGCCTCACGAAATCCACTCAAGAATCTCTCTTCAACTCCCAAACATGCAACCTGCTTGAGTATGGGATTAGCACTGATAGCATCGCTACCGGTACATCCAGCCCACTAACTAGCAGCGGGCCGAGTGCCACTAACGACACTGGCACTATAGCAAAACCTGCTGCAAACGGTTCAGAAACTGGTGATAGTGCTGACGCCACTGGTGTGGTGGTAGGGCCGTTCTCTACGCCTAATTTGGTCGTGGTGGGAGGGTCCCAGACCCTAAGCATTCGAGGTAGCAACAAAAAGGCTTGCTTCTGGCGGAATGTAGAGACAGGGGGGCTTCAAGTGCTCTCAGACGGATCTGAGCACAAGTGCTAGATACATTATTGTACAGCGCATATGGTTCTATTGTATCCTCCAATAAAAAACCCGCTGTGGTTGAACAAATCATTAAGTTGTCCCTGCAGTCGTTTCATAAGTTGGTCAGCGCATTTTAGGGTTGTACGATAATCCTGATGCATGGCTTGAGTACTGGCAGGAGTTGTACTCCTGATGCAGTGTGGAGTACAAGTGAAGCCATCGTGAATATATCTCATTTTTTCCGTGCCCAAAAGCTTTGGAGGGGGCTAATGACAAATCTGGGTCGTACATGACCAAGGGAACAGGCAGGGCAATAGGGAAATTCAACCAGGAAGGCAATGTACAGGCGAGGCAGTTCAAAGAGTTGCACGGGGGGGCATTGCAAAGGGGAGGCAACAGGTAGGCTGGAGTAGTTTTACCACCTAAGGCACAAGGGGGAGCTAACATGATTGTCCTATGACCGAGAGCACAGGGGAGGCGGTAGTGAGTTGCTCACAGGGAGCATCGCAGAGGTGAAGCATTGCACAGGGGTAGGCCGGACTACGGTAGTCCTACGAGTGAGGGAACAGGGGCGAGGCAATGCATAGGTGATACGGTAATGCATACGGTACAGGAGTCGATACGCAGGGGAGGCAACACACAGGGGAGCCAACACACAGAGACTCACACGGGAAGCATCGCCCAGGGGACATCAAGGAACATTGGCACGGCTGACACGTGCCACGGCACAGGGGGGCAGTGAAAATGAATTGTTCCACGACAATAGGCCCGAAAGCGAGGAGGGAAGGGCGCAGGGGCCAGCGCACACGTGCAAAAGCGAAAGAGGGCATGGGGTTGGGGAGATAATGTCCCAAGAGACACGACCCAAGGCACAAGGGGACGCTTGCTGCGACTCTCTATGTCAAGCAAGAGAGACAGGAGCAATGGAGGAGATGCATGAGGACTACCCGGGAGGTGGTGGTGGTTTGGCGGTGATAGCTAAGCAGCAGCAAGCATGAAATGTAGTACGGTAAGAAATATTCAGGATGTATAAAAGAAATGGACAAATGGTCTAAAATGGAAGAGCTAGCAGCTAATCTAGGGCTGTATCATCGTGTTGAACTACAATAGTAGGAAGGCTAGCAGCTAATCTAAGGAACAAGCACTGGGAATCTCCCCAAGCTCCCTGCTAGTCCGCGATATCAGCTGCTCCGTCATCCGCCCTATCAGCAGGGCCTTGAATAGTTAGGTCGTGTGTGTAGTGTGTGAAGTATGTGTGTGTTACTGGTAGATCTCGCCGTTGGGCCAGCGACCAAGTGCGAGAGACCCTGAAATAAGGAGATCGACGAAAAAGGAGGAACAAGGCAAGGTCAGCAACGCTCCAAAACAATCACTGAATGGAAAAAAGAGAAATGAACCGAAGTCGCAGCACGGAGTCAACAAGGAGCAGTTTTACGGGTAATTTACCTTGTGAAACTAGTGGTGGGGCTCGGGATCCATCTCGAGAGCCTCGACCGGAGGAGGGGGAACGTAGCCGTCAGCCTCGGCCCACGGCCCGGGGTTCTTCGCGCCAGGCACGGTGCGCAGCGCCTTCCACACGGCGCTTTGGCACTTGAACCCGCTGCCGAACGCCAGCTGCCACACGCGGTCGCCGCGCTTCACGCGATCCTGCGCCTCGACGTACGACAGCTCGTACCAGATCGACGCGGACGAGAGGTTTCCGAAGCGGTACAGAGTCATACGGTTCGGTTCCATGTTGAGCTGCGTGAGGCGGAGACCCTTCTGGACCTCGTCGAGAAGCGCGCGTCCTCCGGGGTGGATGCAGAAGTGCTCGAAGGCGAGCTTGAAGTCGGGAGTGTACTCCTTAATATCCATCTTAAACACGCGCCGCGCGACGTACGCCGCAGCGAAGAGCAGCTTCTCGGAAAGCGGCAGCACGAGCGGGCCGAGCGTCCTCACGTTCGCCTTAAGAGCCTTCGCGGCAGTGCTCATAAGCTCGCGAGATAGCATCACGCCTACGATCTTCTTCTCATCCTCCTGTTGGTGAATGCACTTGTAGCACTTGTCGTCCGCTCCCATGTGGGTTCGCACGACAGTCTTAAGCTCGTACTTGGCCTTCCACGCGTCGATCGGCTTGTTCGACATCAGCGCCGCGGATCCGCCCATGCGAAACAACACGTTGGTAACCTGCATCGAGCGACGGTTCCCGAGGTACGCGTTCAGGGTGATGTTCTCGGTCGAGACAAGCACCGCGAGCTTGTTCTTGTTCGCCTGGCCCTGCATCAGATCTTGAGCCATTTTGACGGCTATGATGCCCGCGCTGCAACCCATGCCGCCCAGATTGTACGACTGGATGTCCTCGCGCATCTTGTAGTGGTTAACCACCATAGCCGAGAGCGACGGTGTCGGGCAGAAAACTGTGCAGTTAACGATCAGAATAGAGATGTCCTGGGGCTTCACGCCGGTCTTCGCGAAGAGCTCATCCATCGCGCCGAAAATCACCATCTCAGCCTCCAATCGTGCGTTGGCGATCGACGGGGAAGGCGGCCACGTGTGCATGGAAGGGGGAATGTAAGTCCGGTCACCGAGACCGGAGCGGAAGAAGACCTTTGTCTGGAAATCGACGGACTTCTCGTCGAAGTAGCCGAGCTTCTTGACGCGATCGACGGCCACGTCCTTGGTGATAACGAGGTGGTCGGGGGGGCGGTAGCACGCGAAGTCGACGAGGAACACGCGGCGCGGGCGCGTCAGCACGTACACGGTGACGGCGAAAAGAGCGGCGGAGAACGCGGCGACGAGGTAGGACGTGTCGAGCGTGAGAAGCTGCTCCCAGAGCGCCTGGAAATCCACGTTGCGCGTGAGCTGGACCGCGACCGCCGCCAGAAGCGGCAGCGCGAGCCGCGTGGACTGAGTCACGGCGTGGTGGTAGATCATCTTAATCTGCTGCAGCGGCATTCCCAAGAAGGTGGGATCGCTGTTCTCCATGACAGGCCCTTGCGCCATTTCCTCCGCGGACGGGTGCTGCTGGGGCTCCGCGGGAGCAGCGGCGGGCTCAGTCGGGGCGGCATCAGCGGGGGTGGACGCGGCGGGAGCAGGGGCGGGCGGATCGGCGGGAGCAACGGCGGGCTCAGGCACGGTGGGGAGAGTGGTTGCGGGAGCCTGCTTGAGCTCCGCCGGGGAAATTACAGACATGGGGCCGAGGGTGGGACTGGCATTACACGCGTTGGGAGCCATTGCGAACCTGGCGTCCCGAGGGAGAGTAGTGGATAAGTCGCTGGACGAGATGCCTAATGAGAGAAACTGGTGCTAGGTGGAGCAGGATTGCTTGATTGGAAATGTGAGAATTGAGGGTTATAAAAAGGAAGAGGATTGAGATAGGAGCATGAGAGGCAACGGCTGAGCGTAGGGGAGCGAACAAGTGTGCTGTGTTGCAGGATAGCGGCTCGGTTTTACGACGCGTCACGACGACCTGGCCTGGTTGTGTGAGGTGGGGGAGAGAAGCACGGATGGATGGTTGGGTGGATGGAGGGCATGGAGGGAGGGAAATTCGCTGATATGATTGGAGCAGAGTTGCGTAGTGGGTCTCTGACTGATGGCATTTCGAAAACGGGCAGCGCTAGCCGAGAATTCAGGGCTTGGTGCTTCGTTTTGTTTCATTTTCACGCGCAACATACATATTTGCGCACCGAACCAGTGCGCGACGATGAATGCGGGATAAGGATTGGGCAACGACCCTCTCGCGACGATGGCGATTTCAAAGTTCGTTTGGTTTTGTTTTCCGTGGGGCATTGCAGCGCTGCCGTTTCGTTTCCGTTTATGGCGGGACAAATGAGGCGCGGCTCCTCAAGGCGACTGAACATCATCGCATGTGGTCGGGCGTGGTGTTTGTTTTCGCCAGAGCTCAGCACAAGCCCGTCAGTTGTTTGAGAACCGCAGCGCAGCCCACAGAAAAACAGCGCGGGAAACACACCGCGCCTGGCGATATGGAATCTTTTTGTGAGGATGGGTGTTGAAGTGCCTGCGGATGAGCCGGGTCCAGGAATGAAGGGCAGGTGAAATAAAGCTGTTGCGATGAATTCGTGAGCAGCACGATCTGGCTTGGTGTCAGAAAAGCGAGTTCGCTTATCACGAGACCAGCGATCCGTTTTACAACACCCCTTAGGAGCATTATGAGTGCATAATGTGTTTCTTCGTTTATTTATCATCAAATTGTATCTTCCCACTGCTCATTATGTTTTCACTTGCACATACCACTATCGGTACACCCTGAGGTGTTTTATGCAGGGGATTACTACGCCATGCTGCGTGTAAAACATATGCCAAGCCTTACCTAAACTCACTGCACCTATCACCACCACACTTCTGAGCCACGTAGAACAGTAATGGTGCCTCCCACGCTATTCCCACTGCTGGTGCCACTACTACAACATCTGCTGAGCTGATCTTCTGGCATTGCTTGCAGAAACTGATAAAAAACAGGCTTCAACCACATAAAAGATTGGCTGCTGCAACATCCGATGAATAGGCTCAGAGCAGCTAGTGCTGCTGGTAAGGGGCCCCTAGAAGGAGGATGTGAGGGAGAAAGTGTGTGACTTAGTCGTAAGCGGCTAAGGGAGGCACGCTATCATGATTGATAAGATCGGGACGACGCAATGAAACCAAGTGCTTTAATCGGATAAAACGAGTGTAGTGAGTGAAAAGGGAATATCGGAAGGCGTGTGTGTGAGGAGGAACGGAGGCTTGTGAGGAGGGAGGCTAGGGTGTGAGGAGGAACTGGAAGGTGCTGTTGTCTCGAATGGCTGGTGGCAGCTGCAGCGACCGCAGGTCAATCTCGTGAGTGCTCTTTGAGATGTCCTCCACAGTGAAGGGGATGCTGGGGTGCGTAGGGAGTTGGAGTGGGGAAAAGGGTCGGAGGAACAAAAAAGACATACGGGAGGAAGGCAGATCAATATCGTGGATGCTCTTTACATTATCCTTAAAGGAGAAACGGATGCTGGGGTGAGTTGGGAGAAAGTGGGGGGAGGAAAGAGGAGAGGGTTACAAGGGAGACGTGTGAGAGAGAAGGAAGGCTAATCTCGTGGGTGCTCTTTGACATGTCCTTCACAGAATGGGATGCTGGAGAGGGCCAGGAAGGGGGGAGAAGGGAGAAGGGAGAGGGGAGAAGGAGAAGGGTGTAAGTTGGCATGGGAAAAGGGAGGTCAACCTAGTTCTGATATGTCCTTAACAGGGAATGGGATGCTGGAGAGGCAAAGGGAAACGGAGTGGGATGGGGGAGAAAAGGGGGAAAAGGAGATGAGACGTCAGTGTCGTGGGCACACTTTAGAATATGCTGTTCATAGGCAGTGGGGGAGATGGGTAATGGGAGGAGCATGAGGGTTGAGAGATTGGAAGGGGAAGTAGCGGAGATTCAGAAGCAGAACCTTGTTGACTTTAGAGTCGACCCAACAGTCACCTTAGAAGTAGCAGAAACCCCGCAACTAAATCCAGCCTCCCTGCAAAATCCCGCTCGAAGCAGGAATCAGCACCCTGGAAGAAGCAACATCAGAAATCCCATGTGTCCGTGTGTACTATCAGGGATGAGAATGCCTGATCGTGTTGTCGTTACATGTACAGCTGGCTTGAGAGACAGACATTGCTTATGAAACATTGCCTAATGAACATTGTGTATGAATCCTCGCCCAGCAAGAACGAGTTGGTGAGAGAAACGCTGTTCTCGTCGCTCATGCGCCGCCGCATCTCCAAAATGGCTTCATTCGACACGGTGTGGGTGCCATACTTGTCATCCCAGTACATGGTGCTGATGCGGTACAGCTGCTGGATGCTCAGTGCCGGGCAGAGGTCTAAGGTGATCTCCTGCATGCTCATCTTCGGCTTCTGGCGAATCACCTGGTGGCACATTAGCAGTGGATGGAAGAAAATTTCGCTGCCGCTATTACAAATGGCAAAGGGTGGGAGAAGGTACAAGAGTTCACATGTGGTCTCCTACATGCTCTTCTTGGGCTTCTGGTGTATCACCTGGTAGAGCCGCACATGGGCGCATGTGGGGAGGAGGGGAAATCATACAAGAGTTCACATGTGATCTCCTGCATGCTCTTCTTGGGCTTCGGATGAATCACCTGGGGAAGATCAGCGGATTGGGGGATGGGAGAGCGGCAGAGTGCGATGGAAGGGTAGGAGAAGGTAAGGGAATTCGCATGTTACTGTGAAAAGCTGAAGTCTGTTCTTAGGCCTGGGTCAGGGCGGAATTCCAGGTCCGGCCGACGGGGCGATTGGGCGATGGGAGAGGGAGAAGGAGCAAGATGAGAACGGGTCCTCTCCTGTTGTTGCATTGCAAAGACACTGACCATGCATTTCCGGTCTACTCACGGGTTGCCTCGTGCATCCCGTGGTCCCCGTGGTCAACCTACTCAGGTGCCATGGTAACGAGGTGACTTTTGAGTCGACTCAAAAGTCACCCCGTGGTCAACCTACTCAGGAGAAGTCTTGAGCCTCAAGACTTCTCCTGAGATCAACCTAAGGTCCAACTGTTTTGAGACGTCTCAAAAATGATATTCTGGTCAGCTCAACTCAACAACCACCTCAAAAATTGTCTCATAAAGGGAAGGGAAGGGAACTTACCAGGAAGCCGACGGCTTGGCGGATATATTAAAGCTCCTCCCATGCGTTGGTTGTACACTCCTGGGTTGCCTCGTGCAGCCAGTGGTCCAACTCGCCAAGCCTGGGATCAACTTTGGTCAACTCAGAACGGGTCTGCAGCCAAGGGTACCTACCAGGAAGCCGACAGCCTGGCGGATGTACTTAAGCTCCTCCCATGCGTTGCCCGTGTACTCATGGGTCGCCTCGTGCAGCCAGTGGTCCAACTCGCCCAGGCCTGCCTTCACGTACTCGCCGTTGCTGAAGGAGCAGCACTCATGACGCAGCAGCAGACTGGTGGGAGTGTGAGGGGAGAGCAGGGAGAAGCAAGAGCGAGAGGAGGGAGAGAGGATGGAGAGAGGAGGGTTTGTTAGCCAAAGGTCCAGCTTGCCCAGGCATGTCTTCACGTGCTCGCCGTTGCTGAAGGAGCAGCACTCGCGCCGCAGGAGAAGGGAGCAGGTGTGCGAGTGGTGTGAGGGGAGGGAAAGGGCGGGAGGAGCAGCACAAGCACCCGGTGTTTTTGAGAATTCTCCAAAAAGTGGGAAGAGGGCAAAAGGAGGAGGAGCAGCACAAGCACACGGTGTCTTTGAGAATTCTCAAAAACACCCTGCAGCAGCACAAGCACACGGGGCATGGGAAGAGAAGATAGCTGTTGAGGCGCTGCAAAAGGTGGGAAAGTAGGGGCGGATGGATGGAGGAGCAAAAGGAGGAGGAGCACAAAAATGGGCCATGAAAGAAGCACGAGCATGTCTTCACGTGCACAGATTTTCCCTTCTCCATCCTCAACGTGTTCCTCAACAGGCGCCCCTCATTTCCTCCTGCCCGCACCCACCCACCCACCCACCCACCCACCCACCTGTTGAAGAGCTGCACGTTGATGAAGGAGAAGATCTGAGTGACCAGCTTGCGCACGAGGAAGGACGGCACATGGGAGGCTTTGAGCGTTGTCAGCAGCGTGGTCAGTGTGGCGATGATGCTGCCCCAGTGCGTGGCTGTGGTTACCGGGCTGTGCGACGAGTGCCGCCCGTAGGCCGACCGAGACATGCGCGGCGCCTGGTGGGGGATGGGGCGTTCAATGGCGAGTGGAGCGTGCGTGCGGTGGATGTTCGAAACAGGGAGAGAGTGCGGAAAAGAGAGAAAAGGAAGGTGGTACTCTTTTGATTCGACTCAAAACACGAGACAGGGAGAGAGAGTGGAAAGGAGAGAAAAGGAATGTGGTATGGAGGCATGCGGCGAGCACGGATAGGGTGGCAGCGTGGTGAGCGCGGCGAAGGTGCGAGCTCAGCGCATTGCACAATGCACACGACACACATACCCGCACTCACGCACGCACGCACGCTCGCTCGCTCGCTCGCTCGCACGCACGCACTCAAAAGAGCCTCCTTTCCCCACGCACCTGAATGCACTGAGCGAGGGTGGGCGAAATCTCCTTCTTGATATTATCTCGAATCATCCCATAGTTCTTCTCCACACACGCTGTCAGCTGTTGCTTGAACAGCAGCGCCGGGTACTTGGCATCCACCTGAGGGATGTGCTCCAGGCCATCGCTCGCCCCCACCACCCCTGCGGGCGTCGTGGGTGACCCTCGGAAGCTCTGTTGGGGAAGGGATGGGGGGCGGAGAAGGGGGATGGGGAAAAGAAATGCGAATACCGATTCAAAACTATCCCTCAACTAGGCTTTACGTGGCTTTAAGGTTAATATTTAATAGAAGGTTGTTGAGGCGCCTCAGAAACTGTACTCGAGTCATGCGGCCGAACAGTGTCCATGATGCTTCTATCATATAGTTGTTGTTGTTGCTGCTGTTGTTATTATTATTACTATCATTATTATACTAATTTGTTGCTAGCAAGTACTTATCGTTACAATAATGCGCCTCAAGCACGCCATACCTGGGTCATGCGGCCAAACAGGGTGGTCTGCTGCATCCCGCCTCTCCTCCTCTGCGCCTGCGACCCCGGTGACTCTCTCAGCTTGAGATTCCGCTGCAGCAGGAACAGCAGGCAGCTCGTGTTGGCCAGCCAGTAGGCCAGCCTCTCGTTGCTCTGCTGGTTCTCGATGTCCCCGCCAATCGTCAGGATGATGCGGTCGAACACGCTCGTGCGCTCCGCCTCAAACGACCGCCAGTGTAGCAGCGCCTTGTACGTCACACACGCCACCACCGGCTGGTTTCCGTCGAATCCCAGCTCGCTCACTATCACCTGTAAAAGAGCCTCCCGGTCTTGCGGGTTAGGGCAGCCAAAAGCCTCCCGGTCTTGCTGCTCAGGGCAGCGACGAGCCTCCTGGTCTTTCTGTTCAGGGCAGCAGGGAGAGAGGGGCCAAAGCACGAGGTGAGAGGGTCGGTCAGGGACAAAAGATCCAATACCCTACGGTCATTCAAATGCTTCAGCCACTCGCTCTCCTCCTCACTAGGCACGGCCAGGTTGCCCTGAGGGGACTCTGGCGGATGCAGCACATGACAGGCATTCCCGCTGGCACTCACCGTCTCAACATCATTCAGATGCTTCAACCGCTCGCTCTCCTCCTCACTGGGCGTGGCAGGGGCACCCTGAGGGGGTTCCGGTGGGTGCAGCATCTGGGAGCCGGGGGGGGAGAGGTGGGGAAGCCACGTGTATTGAGACGTCTCAAAAATACCCTCAATACACCTCACTGGCCATGGCAGGGACGCTCTCCTCCTCACTGGCCATGGCAGGGGCGCCGTGAGGGGGCTCCAGCGGGTGCAGCATCTGAGAGCGCAGGGAGGGAGAGGTGGGGAAGGGGGTGGGATGGGGTGGATGATGCGGCAGGGGGGACAGAGGTGGCTTTTGAGTCGACTCAAAATTCGCCTCGTTACAATGGGGTGGATGATGTGGAATGGGGGACAGAGGTGGGTGAGTCAGCAAGCCACCACCGGCCGGGGCTGCTGCCAAAATCCTGCTCGCTCACGATCGCCTTCCAAAGAGCCTCCTGGCCGGGCGTTAGTGAGTGTGAGCCCATGCTTACAGAGCAAGCAGTCGATCACCTGCTTTCGCTCGACCTCACTAGGCGTGTCCGGTCCGGGTTGCCTTGAGGGGACTGTGGCCGATGCAGCATCTGAGGTGTGTTCAAGAAGGAATCGCGGGTGATTGAGAGCTCTGTATTCTGAAATGTGTTGCTCTTTCGCACTCACAGTCTGCCGTGCTGCAGGTGCTTCAGGTGCTCCAGGTGCTTCAGGTGCGTCAGGCGCTTCAGGAGCTTCAGGTGCTTCAGGTGCTTCAGGAGCTTCAGGAGCTGGCATGGCTGCTGTCAAGGCCTGCTGACGCAGCACCCGGTTCTCCTGCTCCGCACTCTTCACCTGCTCCTCCAATCTGGATAAGAGGGGGAGGGAGGGAGAAACAGTGAGGCGTTTCAGAAGCAGAGAGAGGGCCTGCTGCCTCAGCCACAAATGGTTCTGTTTTGAGGCGCCTCAAAACACATCTCCTGCTCCGCATTCTTCACCTGCTCCTCCAATCTGGAAGTGGTGGGATGGTGATTGGGGACGAAATTGAAGGAGGGGGTGAGTGACAAGGCTGGGAGAGACAGTGATTCGTCTCAACCGCAGACAAGGCCTGCTGCCTCAGCAGCACCGGGCTCTCCTGCTCCTCCAACCTGGAGAAGGGGGAAAGGGGGAGAGGGGGGATGAAAGGGGAGCCGCAAAGCAAGGCGGATGGATCTCAAGGTCTGATTGCTTGCTGACTGTAGAACAGTACCCAACAGCACTGACATTGCACCTGGTTCTCCTGCTCTGGGTTCAACACCTGCTCCTCCAACCTGGAAAAGGGGAAGGGGTGGAGACAGGTGGGCGGGTAGCGAGAGAGGTTCACCACTCACCGCGCACAACACCCACTCACCGCGCACAACACCCACTCACCGCGCACAACACCCACTCACCGCGCACGACACGCACTCGCCGCACACACAACACCCACTCACCGCGCACAACACCCACTCACCGCACACAACCCCCACTCACCGCGCACAACCCCCACTCACCGCGCACGACACCCACTCACCGCGCACAACCCCCAATCACCGCACACAACACCCACTCACCGCGCGCACAGCTCCTGCACCTTCCTGAGCTCCTCCCGCGTCTCCTCCAGCAGCCGCTCCCTCTTGCCAATCTCCTCCCTCACCTCCGCCTCCACTGTCGCCATTCTAAGAGACAGCCTCTCGGTCTCTGCCTTGGCTACTTGGATTTCCGCCTTGGCTGCTTGTGTCTCTGCTTTCGCTGCTTGTGTCTCTGCTTTCGCTGCTTGTGTCTCTGCTTTCGCTGTTTGTGTCTCTGCCTTGGCTACTAGAATCTCTGCCTTGGCTGCTTGTGTCTCTGCCTTGGCTACTAGAATCTCCACTTTAGCTGCTTGGGTTTCTGCTTTGGCTGCTAGGGTTTCTGCGTGTGCCTCATCCACCTTCTTCATTGCTCCCTCCAGCTCCTGCTGCAGCTTGTGAATCTCTGCCGTCTTCGAATCCTCCATGTCCCGCTGATGGGGGGCGGGGTAAAGGGGGGCGGGTTGAGAACGAGACTGAGTGGTGGTGAGTGGTGCAGAGCGGTGAGCAGCAAGCAAGGCAGGGATTGCAAGGGTTCTCTCCTCCCTCCAGCTCCTGATGCAGCTTATGGATCTCTGCTGTCTTCGCCTGCTCCACGTCAAGCTGATTGGGGGGGTACAACAGGGGGTTCAGAACGGAAGTGAGTGGTGGAGAACGGACCAGCGCCTAAGGCGAGAGCGCCCTCATCGGACGAAGAACAATGTACGCTGGGAAATTATGCGTAATAGATCGAGCGTTTGCGAGAGTGTGATGTGCGGGAAAATTGTAAGCAATAGGCTAGAGGCGATTGTGAGTCAACAGAATTGATTGGCAGGTACTCAGATAGCGGGGGAAGGCACTCGGCGAATTTGCGGGAAAACTGCTCCGAGACCCTCGGAGTGTTGCCTGTTTCGGCAGGGTCGTAACCTCAATTCGTCCTCCTCTCATACATGTTGACGAAATCTCTCGTCAAGGTAACTGGATTCGCGTCCAAGATTGTTGGAGCTCATTGTAACACCCGTTTTGTGACAGTAACGGTTGCATCTGGTTACTTTTCCGATATGTTTAGATATAGTTCATACGAGATACACCGGAAATTATTTTTATTCGTTATGACTAAAACATAATAGAGCGGAAAACTGGTTTGATTACTAATGCGGATATAGCATGAAGAGGGGCATTATTCCCGAATTCAATACTAGCTTCAGCTTATATTCAGAATCCACAAATTAGAAATGCAATTTATTATGATCATAAACAATACCTCCAGCATCTCACTACTAAACATTGCTATTACCATTGCTAGGATGGCCTGAACTGCCATCATCATTCCAATCCTTTAAAGCAACAGCACCCAGGTCAAAAAATCCATTTTCTGACCTTATCCCTGCCTTTTTCAGCCAGTTCAGAATCTGATCCTGCCTCTTGTCCATCTCCCTCATGTTGACGCTGCTGTCAGCAGTGAGGCTGGCTTTTCCTGTCAGCATGCTGTTCTCAACCTGTGAAACACAGAAACACAGCATAAAACATTATACACACTTCAAATGTACATATTACCTACAACAAACCGAAGTTAATAACACTCACCGCCAGAAACATGTAGCACATCTGATCGATGGTGAGTGCCACCACTGCTGGCTCTTCCTTGTACCACGCAGCAGCTGCTCGTTGAATGCTTCACTGCAAAATGGTGTTCCATCCAGAGCATGCCATGGGACGCCAAATTGCTCTGCAATGTGGCAACACATTTCTGGTCAGTAAAGTTTTGAGTGATAAGCATAAAACAAACCTTACATTTACCTGACAGGTTATCTGAAGCATATTGGCGCCGCGCTTCTGGATTGTTGTCAATGCGATCCCCCAAATCGTCACAGAGAAGGGCGTAGGCAACTTCACGAAACTTGGTACTTAACTTACCAGCAATCTTAGCACAAAGCCCGCCATTGACCCACAGGGACTCGAAATAGCGGAGCTCTTTGTCGAGCACGTCAAGGTCAGCGATGACTTCGGCCTTGTAGTCCCGCTCAGAAGGATAGATCAGCCTTTTGGATAGCTTCGGACCGTTGAGAAACATGTCCACGACGTCACTGAGTGATTCCTGCAGCACAAACACTGAAATAAGTTAGAAATGAAGAATCAAAACAGTGAGATAGCGAATTAAGCGAGAGTACCTGAATCTTGGCGTCGTCAGCCCAAGGTGGTTTGATCACGTGAATCATCAGCTCCTTAAGCATTTCCATCATCTCCCGCTGGCTCCTATCCGAGGCAGCAAGGCGAGCCTCCAAACGGCCTAGCGTCTCTCCAACCTTACGAACAGCGTTGCGGAGCTCCGTTTCAGAGCTCGGTCTCACATTGTTCGCCTCTCTGTGGAAAATGTTGCGTTCCGAAGGTCGTTCCTGTTCTGGGTACAAAAAATCACCACGATCACAGTATGAGGCTCATTGAATCGGAATGTGTTGGCAAACGTGAATAAACAATAACAGTGACTCGATTTATCACTCACGATTTTCAATTTGCATCGGAGAAGCTTCCGCAAGAGGCAGTGCAGGTCCCACAGCATTGACTTGCTCTTGTGAACCAAGAGCATTCTCCCCATTTCCTTCCGACGAGCCTTCCGCGGCAGCACCCGATGCTTGCTTCGACAGAGAGCCACCTCCACCGCTCTCTTCCGCGTCATCTTTCCCGCGATCCTTACGAGCCCCATACAGTTTCGTCTGATATCCCTTCAGCTTGACAGAGACTTGAGGTGTTCGCCTCTTACGTCCGGCGAAAGTCTTCTGAAGCTCCGAAGGGATTTCATCTGCCATGACAAGTAGTGGTGAGGAACTTAGTGGATAGAATAAGATTATATCCAGTTATGAAGTAGACATTCTAAACAAGAGGTGAGCAGGTAGTGACAGCGTGAACTCCAACCATTACCGTGCGAGAAACCACGTAAGCGTTGACATCGGACGGGCTTTAGCGGCGATAGCTACGGAGAGTTGAACGTGGTTTGTGAGCTAACAGAACCGATGAGTGGAGCGAGGCCAGGGAGGCCAGGAAGAGAAGAACGTGCATCCGTGGCAGCTCTACTCCTTCCACCTCGGGGGTACAGGAGGTGCGCAGAGCAGGGGGGTAGGGACGGGTGAGGCAAGCTGCAAGGGTAGATGGGTTGCAAGGTGCGACAAGAACGTCGAAGTGACTCAGCAGAAACCTACCGTGACAGCTCAACAGTCACCCACGGCTCAACATCCACGGGGAATGCACATCCGGGCAGGCTCGGCTCGATCAGGGTCAGTACAAGAGGTACACTTCGAAAACTTGTCACGCGATTTTTGCTCATTCTTGGCATCGCGGGCAGGGATGCTAATTCATGCAGCTATGACTTCACCGAGACGCGTGCGCGCCAGATGGCAGCGAGAAACACCCTGCCTGCAAATGTAAGTGCTGTTGACCCAGTATCGCGATTCCCAACGTCAGTTTGCGAGGCCAACGATTGGTCGAGAAGCGCCGCTGTACATAGACAAAGCAGAAACGTGACTGAAAGGCTGGAGCTCGGTATAGGGAGGTGTTACAGTGTTCGATTAGGTGATCATCTGGTAAAATCATTTCTGTCAAACCTAACCCTCTTTGAAGAAAAAGGATACAAAGAAAATAACTACAACAAGAACTCTTCAGTTCTTAGCCGGGGTAGTCAACAATCTGTTACAAGAAGCAGATCAGATGTTCTCATTGGGGCTGATGCAGCAAGATCTACAGATGCCAAGACACATGGGTGTCAAAGAAGTTGAAATAGGTCACATTACTTCAATAGAACTTGAATTTGTTGAGAACAAATCGGTCAGCACCTAAAGGCACGACATGAGCTACACGTAGTACAGCCTCCGCTTCAATCAATTGGTATTCAGTCCCCTCCTCATCCCAGGTAAGCACGGGGCAGTGCGAACGGTGCGTCTCCCCTGTGACCTTGTAGAATCGCACGAAAGCGTACTCCCGCTGCTCGACCTCACCGCAATCTGCTGTGAAAACGTCGGCAACAAACAGGCAGAGAAGCCTAGCATACCACATGACCTGTTTTTCCGATTCTTCCCCAAGCACGGCCACATCACTGAACCAGGGCTTGCCCATGAACACCGGCGTCGCACGCACATAATGGGCCTGACTGGAATATCTAGTGAAGTCCTCATCCCCCGGTATCGCCATGCCCTTTTTCACACGAATCGTCGAACTAATCTTTGTACCCTCGCCCTCCAAGCTTCCAAGCAGAGTTTTCAGCTTACTCATGTCTCCAGGGGCGACAGCAACATGCTCTTTCCAAGCATCCGAAGCCTCACACAGATTCTGCCGCCAATTCACCCTAATGGAGCCAGCAGCAAAGGTGTTGACACCCTTCTCTATGGCCTGCCATGGAAACAGGGATGAGAACACACGCCTTCAATGGGTGCTAGAATAGATTATGTGGCCGCAAACAATAATGATTTCTCGCGAATGAAAGATTCAGGGCAGCAAAAGTAGAGGAATCTCTCAAGCAATACCTTGCTGCCCTCATTACACACCTCTTGTAAAGCCACCATTCGATGCGGACCATCATCAGAGTTCGAATCGGCAGCCTGTAGCGTGCGAAGCATGTGCGCCCTAACATCATGTCGCACAATTTGTGGCTCCGCGTTCCGCTTGTTGGTGGCTCTGTAGGCGCGTTTCACCAGTGGTTGGTGCAGACACTCGAACATGTTGGCGTTGTAATGGACGGGTACTCCCGATCGAATGATGTCATCCACTAGGTGAGCCATGTCATGCACTTTGGTCAAGTTGAATTCGTTGGCTTGTTGAGCACCGAAGACGGTTTTCAGCTGTGGAATCAACCTGTGACCATGCGGGGTACGTTGTGACGGATCGTGGGAAGGACAAATGGAAAAGGATTGAGGGCCAATGGGCTGCCCCAAGTTGCAGAGGGAACATGGAGTTGGGGGGGTTAGAGAGAGATGGGATGCGAGGCACCGTGGGCTGCCCCAAGCTGCAGAGGGAACAAGGAGGTAGGGGGATGAGAGGCATGGGATGCGAGGCACCGTGGGCTGCCCCAAGCTGCAGAGGGAACAAGGAGGTGGGGGGATGAGAGGGATGGGATGCGAGGCACCGTGGGCTGCCCCAAGCTGCAGAGAGAACAAGGAGGCGGGGGGATGAGAGGGATGGGATGCGAGGCACCGTGGGCTGCCCCAAGCTGCAGAGGGAACAAGGAGGCGGGGGGATGAGAGGCATGGGATGCGAGGCACCGTGGGCTGCCCCAAGCTGCAGAGGGAACAAGGAGGCGGGGGGATGAGAGGCATGGGATGCGAGGCACCGTGGGCTGCCCCAAGCTGCAGAGGGAACAAGGAGGCGGGGGGATGAGAGGCATGGGATGCGAGGCACCGTGGGCTGCCCCAAGCTGCAGAGGGAACAAGGAGGCGGGGGGATGAGAGGCATGGGATGCGAGGCACCGTGGGCTGCCCCAAGCTGCAGAGGGAACAAGGAGGCGGGGGGATGAGAGGCATGGGATGCGAGGCACCGTGGGCTGCCCCAAGCTGCAGAGGGAACAAGGAGGCGGGGGGATGAGAGGCATGGGATGCGAGGCACCGTGGGCTGCCCCAAGCTGCAGAGGGAACAAGGAGGCGGGGGGATGAGAGGCATGGGATGCGAGGCACCGTGGGCTGCCCCAAGCTGCAGAGGGAACAAGGAGGCGGGGGGATGAGAGGCATGGGATGCGAGGCACCGTGGGCTGCCCCAAGCTGCAGAGGGAACAAGGAGGCGGGGGGATGAGAGGCATGGGATGCGAGGCACCGTGGGCTGCCCCAAGCTGCAGAGGGAACAAGGAGGCGGGGGGATGAGAGGCATGGGATGCGAGGCACCGTGGGCTGCCCCAAGCTGCAGAGGGAACAAGGAGGCGGGGGGATGAGAGGCATGGGATGCGAGGCACCGTGGGCTGCCCCAAGCTGCAGAGGGAACAAGGAGGCGGGGGGATGAGAGGCATGGGATGCGAGGCACCGTGGGCTGCCCCAAGCTGCAGAGGGAACAAGGAGGCGGGGGGATGAGAGGCATGGGATGCGAGGCACCGTGGGCTGCCCCAAGCTGCAGAGGGAACAAGGAGGCGGGGGGATGAGAGGCATGGGATGCGAGGCACCGTGGGCTGCCCCAAGCTGCAGAGGGAACAAGGAGGCGGGGGGATGAGAGGCATGGGATGCGAGGCACCGTGGGCTGCCCCAAGCTGCAGAGGGAACAAGGAGGCGGGGGGATGAGAGGCATGGGATGCGAGGCACCGTGGGCTGCCCCAAGCTGCAGAGGGAACAAGGAGGCGGGGGGATGAGAGGCATGGGATGCGAGGCACCGTGGGCTGCCCCAAGCTGCAGAGGGAACAAGGAGGCGGGGGGATGAGAGGCATGGGATGCGAGGCACCGTGGGCTGCCCCAAGCTGCAGAGGGAACAAGGAGGCGGGGGGATGAGAGGCATGGGATGCGAGGCACCGTGGGCTGCCCCAAGCTGCAGAGGGAACAAGGAGGCGGGGGGATGAGAGGCATGGGATGCGAGGCACCGTGGGCTGCCCCAAGCTGCAGAGGGAACAAGGAGGCGGGGGGATGAGAGGCATGGGATGCGAGGCACCGTGGGCTGCCCCAAGCTGCAGAGGGAACAAGGAGGCGGGGGGATGAGAGGCATGGGATGCGAGGCACCGTGGGCTGCCCCAAGCTGCAGAGGGAACAAGGAGGCGGGGGGATGAGAGGCATGGGATGCGAGGCACCGTGGGCTGCCCCAAGCTGCAGAGGGAACAAGGAGGCGGGGGGATGAGAGGCATGGGATGCGAGGCACCGTGGGCTGCCCCAAGCTGCAGAGGGAACAAGGAGGCGGGGGGATGAGAGGCATGGGATGCGAGGCACCGTGGGCTGCCCCAAGCTGCAGAGGGAACAAGGAGGCGGGGGGATGAGAGGCATGGGATGCGAGGCACCGTGGGCTGCCCCAAGCTGCAGAGGGAACAAGGAGGCGGGGGGATGAGAGGGATGGGATGCGAGGCACCGTGGGCTGCCCCAAGCTGCAGAGGGAACAAGGAGGCGGGGGGATGAGAGGCATGGGATGCGAGGCACCGTGGGCTGCCCCAAGCTGCAGAGGGAACAAGGAGGCGGGGGGATGAGAGGCATGGGATGCGAGGCACCGTGGGCTGCCCCAAGCTGCAGAGGGAACAAGGAGGCGGGGGGATGAGAGGCATGGGATGCGAGGCACCGTGGGCTGCCCCAAGCTGCAGAGGGAACAAGGAGGCGGGGGGATGAGAGGCATGGGATGCGAGGCACCGTGGGCTGCCCCAAGCTGCAGAGGGAACAAGGAGGCGGGGGGATGAGAGGCATGGGATGCGAGGCACCGTGGGCTGCCCCAAGCTGCAGAGGGAACAAGGAGGCGGGGGGATGAGAGGCATGGGATGCGAGGCACCGTGGGCTGCCCCAAGCTGCAGAGGGAACAAGGAGGCGGGGGGGTGAGAGGCATGGGATGCGAGGCACCGTGGGCTGCCCCAAGCTGCAGAGGGAACAAGGAGGCGGGGGGATGAGAGGCATGGGATGCGAGGCACCGTGGGCTGCCCCAAGCTGCAGAGGGAACAAGGAGGCGGGGGGATGAGAGGCATGGGATGCGAGGCACCGTGGGCTGCCCCAAGCTGCAGAGGGAACAAGGAGGCGGGGGGATGAGAGGCATGGGATGCGAGGCACCGTGGGCTGCCCCAAGCTGCAGAGGGAACAAGGAGGCGGGGGGGTGAGAGGCATGGGATGCGAGGCACCGTGGGCTGCCCCAAGCTGCAGAGGGAACAAGGAGGCGGGGGGGTGAGAGGCATGGGATGCGAGGCACCGTGGGCTGCCCCAAGCTGCAGAGGGAACAAGGAGGCGGGGGGATGAGAGGCATGGGATGCGAGGCACCGTGGGCTGCCCCAAGCTGCAGAGGGAACAAGGAGGCGGGGGGATGAGAGGCATGGGATGCGAGGCACCGTGGGCTGCCCCAAGCTGCAGAGGGAACAAGGAGGCGGGGGGGTGAGAGGCATGGGATGCGAGGCACCGTGGGCTGCCCCAAGCTGCAGAGGGAACAAGGAGGCGGGGGGATGAGAGGCATGGGATGCGAGGCACCGTGGGCTGCCCCAAGCTGCAGAGGGAACAAGGAGGCGGGGGGATGAGAGGCATGGGATGCGAGGCACCGTGGGCTGCCCCAAGCTGCAGAGGGAACAAGGAGGCGGGGGGATGAGGGGGGGATGAGAGGCATGGGATGCGAGGCACCGTGGGCTGCCCCAAGCTGCAGAGGGAACAAGGAGGTGGGGGGATGAGAGGCATGGGATGCGAGGCACCGTGGGCTGCCCCAAGCTGCAGAGGGAACAAGGAGGTGGGGGGATGAGAGGCATGGGATGCGAGGCACCGTGGGCTGCCCCAAGCTGCAGAGGGAACAAGGAGGTGGGGGGATGAGAGGGATGGGATGCGAGGCACCGTGGGCTGCCCCAAGCTGCAGAGGGAACAAGGAGGTGGGGGGATGAGAGGGATGGGATGCGAGGCACCGTGGGCTGCCCCAAGCTGCAGAGGGAACAAGGAGGTGGGGGGATGAGAGGGATGGGATGCGAGGCACCGTGGGCTGCCCCAAGCTGCAGAGGGAACAAGGAGGCGGGGGGATGAGAGGGATGGGATGCGAGGCACCGTGGGCTGCCCCAAGCTGCAGAGGGAACAAGGAGGCGGGGGGATGAGAGGGATGGGATGCGAGGCACCGTGGGCTGCCCCAAGCTGCAGAGGGAACAAGGAGGTGGGGGGATGAGAGGGATGGGATGCGAGGCACCGTGGGCTGCCCCAAGCTGCAGAGGGAACAAGGAGGTGGGGGGATGAGAGGGATGGGATGCGAGGCACCGTGGGCTGCCCCAAGCTGCAGAGGGAACAAGGAGGTGGGGGGATGAGAGGGATGGGATGGGAGGCACCGTGGGCTGCCCCAAGCTGCAGAGGGAACAAGGAGGTGGGGGGATGAGAGGGATGGGATGCGAGGCACCGTGGGCTGCCCCAAGCTGCAGAGGGTACAAGGAGTTATGTGAGGGATGGGATTCGTGGCACCGTGGGCTACCCTACGACACTAACCTCTTGATGTCGCGTCGTAATTCGTCAAGAGTGCCTTCCGTGTGGTACCAACGCCGACACCCCAGCATGTAGCAGTCAACAAACGCCGCTACCGCATCAATGACTGCTTGGGGCACGAGCGCAACCATGCTGAGGACGATGCATATCACTTGCATGACCGCGCGATGCTCGAAAGCCTGAAAGTTTGAGCCCCCAGAAAAATACCCCCCCTTTTCCGTCCCAGGCATACGAAAGCCAGAAATGCGCTTGTCACCATTCACAGACTGAAGTGCATCATCAAGCTCGACAAGCACTTTGCGGTTCCCCTTGAACATGTTGCGAATGCAGGACACAATGTGCAAGAAAACTCCTAATTCCCAAGCGTGCATGACCTCAACAAGAATGGCACGATATGGGTTACCAACATCTGTGAGCCCGAGCGCAAAGCCCCAAATGGCGGCCTGGATGAGGGGGAGGTGATGGGAATGTAACGACGAAAAACAACACGGGGGGGGATGGGATTAGGTAATGGTGAGGCCAGCGGTGGCAAGTACATATGGATAACATGTGAGGGGGAGGGCAGCGGTGGCAAAGACAGAGAAAGAACATGTGAGGGGGAGGGCAGCGGTGGCAAAGACAGAGAAAGAACATGTGAGGAGGAGGGCAGTGGTGGCAAATACAGAGAAAGAACATGTGAGGGGGAGGGCAGCGGTGGCAAGTATAGAGGGAGAATATGTGAAGGGGAGGCCAGCGGTGGCAAGTACATAGAGACAGCACGTGAGGGGGAGGGCAGCGGTGGCAAAGACAGAGAAAGAACATGTGAGGGGGAGGGCAGTGGTGGCAAAGACAGAGAAAGAACATGTGAGGGGGAGGGCAGTGGTGGCAAAGACAGAGAAATAACACGTGAGGGGGAGAATGGAAAACACTTCATGGGCAAGGGAGGTGAGGGGGAAGTGGAGGGGGGTGGCTAGAGATGAATTTAAGAGCGGCTTTCACTCACTTCTACAGGATGCGTGCTAACTTTCCGCGAGGCTTCAAGGCGCTGGTTGTTAACTTCGATCGCCATAAGCTCCCTGACTTTCTCCATTTGCCCGCTTTCAGTACGATACACCAAAGGCAGGTCCATGTTGCTAATGTTGTCCGTTTCCACAAGACATCTGTGGCATGGAAACTTTGCCTTATGGCTGGCGAAAGTTCCAGCCACCTTGCATGCCTCCGGGTGATCCGCAACGTACGCGTACAACATCGCGTACACCGTGCGCTCGACACCGAATGGATCGAGCATGGCCCTGCCACTGAACATGGGTAGGAAGAAGAATATAGTTGATGTGACAATAGTGCTTGTTAACACCCCGCATGAATTCAGTACTGAATTGATGGACAAACATAAACGCTTTACTAACCTTGCTGAAAGTTGCTTGAGGTCGCGCAGAACGTGGCACATAGCTCTCTGAAAGATGTTTCGCCGGGTAGCCTTGCCCACCTCCGTTTTTGCGTCAATGCCGGTCAAGGGAGGCAACAAGGCCACCATCCTGTGCCCATAGGGCTGCCATCTGTCTTTCACTTGGATGTTTGCGAGAGTGACATAAACAGGATGACCTACAACACGCCCATCCGAGCTCAGATTTGTCGCATCACTATAGATAATAACATTTGCAATAACGCAACCACACGGAATTTCCATTTGGGCATTGATCCACATATCCCCCGTTTCAGGGCCAGCAAAGATTCGTTTCCCCTCGCGCGTTCTAAGAGCCTCAGCCCACACGACGAAACCTTCAGCCACTTTTGGTTCAGCGTACAAACTCTAAACAGCATCCGCCATAGATGTTTTGTATAGTTTTGCGGAACCATCGTTGTTCTCACTCACATCAATGCTTTCCCAAGTGGCAAGCCCACTCACCTCTGCCAATTGTTGCTTCTCGAACTTCTCCATGCTTGTTCGGTTGTGGTACACTGGTTTCTTATACTTGGGATGATGCAAAATGCACAGAATGCGGTTGATATCAAAGGCGGATAACCCCATCCCACCATTACATGATAACAACACAGTCAAAAGAGCAATATTCACATCTCATTCGGGTTCAACGCAAGGTGGATCATCCTCCACTCCTAGTCCAACAAAGGGTGGACTAGGTTTTCTCTCAAACTGACCCCCAACAGCAGGAAAGTGGAAGGTTGGTTCGGATTGAGTGTGAGGACTAACCTCAGGTCGTTCCCGTGAAACGCGCTGCCTCTGTCGCTCTCTGTCCTGCTCTTTGTCCTCTCGTGCACGCTGCACCCGTTCCATGAATGCCACGTGTTCATCTCGCCTTGTTGATCCAGTGGACTTGCAAAACTTTTTATGCTTTCCCAAGTCTGCACGAGTAGCAAACTGCCGTGAACAGATGCATGATACCACCATGATTGTCACGGCAATCAAGAGGTGCACCCGAAACCGTAGATTGACTGTCATAGAACCCAAATTAGAAAGAGAAGATCTCTGATTGAAATTCAAAATGCGGCCTAATAATGTATTCTCATTGCAGAAATCCGTTCTTGTAAGAAACTAAATTTCAAAATCGTAATATAACAGCGGATTTCAACAGCTGTGCTGTTCAAACTTGCAAATGAGCTCCTGGAAAGTTGTAACGTCAAGATTATGGAGGCATTTTATTCTAAGTCTATTAGAAGGCCTGCTCAGTTCCTTAGTCAGATTGGGTCTCCAAACCCTAGCAACGGGAAGATCTAGGGGTAAGGAAGAGTCATGAGCAATTTTGAATGCAGTGAAATGAGATGATGTGCATGTGAGAGCGGCTTGTATATATATATTCGCGTTTGGGTACGGTTTAGGGCAAAACACCGTTTTCATTTGAGTGGCCCTTGTAGGAGAAGCGAGTTCAGCAGAAGAAGGACCCCTGGGATTGCGGGAATCCACCAATCCTGCCCAGGTTTCGAAGTGTCCTGATTGGTCGCGGGTCGAATTTGAGTCGGTCGAGCTATCGCCTTACCATGCTTGCGACACGAAACGACCATGCTGTAACACGGTCGCAACGCGTGAAATTCGATCGCGCACCCTGACGGAAGAAAGAAACGGGCGTCAGGGATTGGGCGATGCTTTCTACCACCACAAACAGGGGATTCGATACCAGGGATAGGTTAGTTTGGTTTGTTCTTATGGCCTTGTGGTTCCTAAACATCATACGTAGATACTTTCTCCTAAACTAACGCTGAGTATACTTGACAGTGGCCTATTATAATTGCATCAAACTATAGATTGCACACAAAACTGCTGCAACACATTTGTATGCAAAATACTAGTATAAAAACAAATAAAAAACAAAACGCAAAGGAATCCTATGGTGTAAAACTCCAACACAACCATTTCCAGCAAACCTAAATTGCAACAATGCTGTTAAACATGCGGACTGTAATTTTCGTAAAACTTCCAACATTAACGAATGTGTGCATACGCGGAGAGTTACAACACGAACGGTCAACAAGGATGACACGCACTTCCGAAACTTGCCCCACGACACAAGCAGTTGGCAGGCAAACTCTGCCCAATATATCGAGGTTGCGCTCTGATTGGTTGCGAGAGCACAGATATTCGTGACAATCGCCAACGCGATTCCCAGATTGTTTCCCCCCAAAACATCATACGTAGATACTTTCTCTTAAACTAACGCTGAGTATACTTGACAGTGGCCTATTATAATTGCATCAAACTATAGATTGCACACAAAACTGCTGCAACACATTTGTATGCAAAATACTAGTATAAAAACAAATAAAAAAACAAAACGCAAAGGAATCCTATGGTGTAAAACTCCAACACAACCATTTCCAGCAAACCTAAATTGCAACAATGCTGTTAAACATGCGGACTGTAATTTTCGTAAAACTTCCAACATTAACGAATGTGTGCATACGCGGAGAGTTACAACACGAACGGTCAACAAGGATGACACGCACTTCCGAAACTTGCCCCACGACACAAGCAGTTGGCAGGCAAACTCTGCCCAATATATCGAGGTTGCGCTCTGATTGGTTGCGAGAGCACAGATATTCGTGACAATCGCCAACGCGATTCCCAGATTGTTTCCCCCCAATCTTCCCACCAACAGTATCGCCAATTTATTGCCTCAGCAATTGCCAGTGCAACACCGCAAATGTGCGATGCTAGGGCGACTGCCCTAGGCTTTATCGCCTAATGCACGAGCGCCATGAGCCAGCGCTTCAGACGCGAGTACCTTAGGCCCTAGAGAAATCGCTTTCTTAAAAACTGACTGAATAGTACCTTAGAAGGTCGTTTCCCTTGTGAGTAGCCTCGACGAGAGCCCTCTTTGAGGGAGATTGGGTGGGAGGGGAATGAAACAATAGCTAGTGGAGGGTTGGCGTGGAGAGTAAGAATCCCAGGGCTGTTTTCCAAAATCCAGAAAGTTGTCAAATTGTGTTGGCAAATTCTTGTAAATCCTCGACTTGAAATAGTTGGCGACAGACTAAGTTTCGTTTATTTCGAGAAGTCGGGCGGCGATGACATGCAGCTTTGCGAAAGCTGATTTTTTGGAGTCTGGCGACGGAATTCTGAACTTCATCTGGTAAAATCGACAAATTCATGTCAGATTTATATGACATAGCTGCTGTAGGCTGTAGCGGGGTAGCACATATGGGGTACAGTTTTCTAGGGTTTGTACTTGTACCCAACTTTCCCTTAGTCAATCTCATTCCTCGACACTTTCACATGGTATAGAGCGGGTTCCCTCGTGGGAACGCTTCCTAGGGCCCACCAATCGATTTTTTTTTTTCCTGCCCGGAGCGCGCTTCGCTCCTGCCCGAGTCGCGCCCCGCGTGCCCTCCCTACCGTCGCGCCCTCTCTAGGCTCCTTACGGCCCCTTCGCGTCGCCCTTAGCGGCTCCTCTGACGGCCCTTCCAGCCGCCCTTACGGCCTCTCGTGCCGCCCTTACGGCCCCTCGCGCCGCCCTTCCGGCCCCTCGCGCCGCCCTTACGGCCCCCTACGGCCCGTCGCCGCCCTTCGCGGCCCCTCGAGCCGCCCTTCACGGCCCGTCGCCGCCCTCCACGGCCACCCACGGCCCCTTCACGGCCGGTTGCCGCCCTCCACGGCCCCTCGCGCCGCCCTTCACGGCCCGTCGCCGCCCTCCGCGGCCACTCGCGGCCCCCCCCTTCACGGCCGGTCGCCGCCCTCCGCGGCCCCTCGTGCTGCCCTTCACGGCCCGTCCGCCGCCCTTTGCGGCCTCTCTCGGCCCGCCGTCGCTGCCTCTACAGCAGCAGCAGCTGCAGTCGCTACAGCGGCCGCGGTCGCCGTCCCAGCAGCAGCAGCATCCGCCGCCCCAGCAGCAGCACCCGCCGCCACTGCAACCGCGGCCGCCGCCGTCCTTGCAGGAGCGGCCGCCGCCGCCCCTGCAGCAGCAACTGCCGCCGCCGCTGCAGCAGCGGCCGCCGCCGTCCTGTGAGCAGCAGCCGCCGCTGCCCCTGCAGCAGCCGATCCGCCCGAGCCGCCGAACCGCCCGAGCCGCCGAGCCGCCCGAGCCGCCGAGCCGCCGAACCGCCCGAGCCGCCGAGTCGCTGAGCTGCCGAGCTGCTGGTGCTGCCGAGCCGACGAGCTGCCGAGCCGTCCGAGCCGCCCTGTCCTCTACCCTCGGTCCGTCTCGCCTGCCCGGTAAGAACAGCACCTCTACTACTGCGCTGCTCTTACCCTACTGCTAGTGCTGCCAGTCTACTGCTGTCATGGCTACCCCCAGTGTCCTCGCTTTTGACGCTGAGGGTCGGGCCATTGACTTTGACGTCTGGGTAGATGACCTGCAGCTTTTCCTACAGTGCGATAGGGCAGACGGTCTCTCCCTCTTTGACCTCACTTCTGGTGCCTCTCCTGCCCCCGCTGCTGATGCTGACGCCACTGTTCGCTCACAGTGGGCCACACGCGATGCTGTTGCACGTCTTGCTGTGCGTCGCCACTTGCCTACCTTTGAGCGTGCGCACTTTAGCCAGTACAAGAGTGCTAAGACCTTGTACGACGCTGTAGTTGCACGCTACTCTTCCCCTGCCACTGCTGTACTTAGCCGCCTCATCCTGCCGTACCTCTTCCCTGACCTCGCAGCTTTTCCCACAGTTGCTGACCTCATTACACACCTCCGCACTAGTGACATTCGCTACCGCGCTGCCCTTCCCGCTGAGTTCTGCGCCAAGAACCCCCCCCCTATGTACATCACCCTCTACTACATAGTCACCCGCCTCCCTGACACCCTTCGCCCGGTCAGGGACCACTTTCTCTCTGTTTGCCCCACC